CCCAAAACCCCAAAACCCCAAAACCCCAAAACCCCAAAACCCCAAAACCCCAAACCCCAAAACCCCAAAACCCCAAAACCCCAAAACCCCAAAACCCCAAAACCCCAAAACCCCAAAACCCCAAAACCCCAAAACCCCAAAACCCCAAAACCCCAAACCCAAAACCCCAAAACCCCAAAACCCCAAAACCCCAAAACCCCAAAACCCCAAAACCCCAAAACCCCAAAACCCCAAACCCAAAACCCCAAAACCCCAAAACCCCAAAACCCCAAAACCCCAAAACCCCAAAACCCCAAAACCCCAAACCCCAAAACCCCAAAACCCCAAAACCCCAAAACCCCAAAACCCCAAAACCCCAAAACCCCAAAACCCCAAAACCCCAAAACCCCAAAACCCCAAAACCCCAAAACCCCAAAACCCCAAAACCCCAAAACCCCAAAACCCCAAACCCAAAACCCAAAACCCAAAACCCCAAAACCCCAAAACCCCAAAACCCCAAAACCCCAAAACCCCAAACCCCAAAACCCCAAAACCCCAAAAACCCCAAAACCCCAAAACCCAAAAACCCCAAAACCCCAAAACCCCAAAACCCCAACCCCAAAACCCCAAAACCCCAAAACCCCAAAACCCCAAAACCCCAAAACCCCAAACCCCCAAACCCCAAAACCCCCAAAACCCCAAAACCCCCAAAACCCCAAAACCCCAAAACCCCAAAACCCCCAAAACCCCAAAACCCCCAAAACCCCTGTATCACCCCCTCATGACCACATAGCAATGTATAGTAATGTTTCCAGGTATAATAAGGCTTCTCTTGTGCTAAATATATATTTCAAAAGTCTACTATAAGGGAGCTTAGAAAGCTCTGCTTATTTATTTAAAATCATCAACAGTAAAAAATATATATTACAATTGTCACATGACATTGTAATAATTGATGTCACATCTACACTGTCATGTGGCTCAGCCCCCATGTCAGATGTCACACATGTACATCTAAATAAACGGAAATACTTCACATTTACATTGTGTTCTTTAATACTACTTACATTTTATAAGTAATACCTGCATGCTTTCTATCTACAATAGTAATAGGGTTTATTTCCTCTTACCTATTTTAAATTATAAAATGTGAGCAAAGTATATATCATAGGTACATCCAATACCTTCAATCTGGAGTATTCCATTGCATAAATAAGCCTGCTATTTTATTTATTATGAACATGCAAGACCATAAATTATTATGTTTGCTAATTGCTATAAAAGAGAAAACACTTTCTGCCAAACATTACTCATTTTATATTGACAATAAAATTAATATCCTACCTCCAAGTTGAACTCCATTAATCATCAGATTAAATCCTATATTTGAAATTAATTAATATAAATGTTTTTAAAGACAACTACTATTCCATGTGATAAGTGTGATGAAACTTTTATTACTCTAGAATTAATGGCAAAACATTTTATTGATAGGCATATTATGTTAACAAGTTAATTCAATAAACATACTTAAAACTGTATTCTAAAAACTAGGAATGTTGGGCACAGATTTCCCTAATAAGAAATGCCCATCAGTTGCCCTTTTCCTTGTGAGTAGAAAGACTCACAGCCATAAAAAGGGCAAAACAACAACAATATTTTATGAGTTCCCTCTCTTCTCTTTTCCTAGTTTTAGAATATAATTTTAAGGACGCTTATTGAATTCACCCATTAACACCTGGTCTAATACTCTATAATCTTCTTTGCTGTGACATCAATTATTGCAATGTCACGTGACAATTGCAATTGGGAATTTGCGATTGTTTGAAATTGTGATTGTTTACGATCGCGATTTCTATTTTCACGGGCGATAGTTTTGAATAGATAAGCGGAGCTCTTTAAGCTCCCTTATAGTGGATTTTTAATAAAATTAGTTAGTACGAATAAGTTTTATTACACTGACTCTAGTAATGAGCCAAGCACAGTGAATAATAAGAAATTGGTGGTGGACTGAATGTGTAGCCCAGAGTGGCATTGGCAAGTGTGTCAAAGTGCCCAGCAACTCGAAAGTGGTAAAGAAACATGTAATGAGTATAATTTAGGGACTGTTATGTTGTGGCAAAATATTGTTTGATTTTCCCACACTTCCTATCTTTTCAGCTCCCTACCTCTATGCCTTTATATTGCTTGTTTTTTGTTTTTGTCATGAGTTGCATGTCACAGTTTGTTGTGCTCTATAAAAATGTGGGTCTAAATCGATATATTCAAGTCTTAAAAATTACTTACTAAACTGAAAAATGGCCAGCACTGTGTGGGCAGTGCTGTAAACATCATGGTGTTCCTTGATGTCAGCCAGCAATAACAGGAATGTGTATAGTGGCCATGAAGGCAATCTTGATTCTTGAAAAGGAAAGATAATGGCTTGAAATGTGTGTTGGGCACCACACAGTTTAGACACATGGCTTTGCATGTTGGCTTGCTGAGATTAATTGATTATGTGCATGGCAATCAAGAAATGATGTTTTTTATTATATTTAAAAATAAAATAGGAAGAAAATTGTTACAAAAGTATAATTAAAAAAGGATATTTAGTTTTTTATTAGTTTATTTATGTGCTAAGGAGAGCATATGAGAGCATATGAAAGCATATAAGAAACGGCTATCAGGCAGTCAGGAATTGTTCTTGAAATAAATAAACTATAATAAAAAACTAAATATCCTTTTTTAATTATACTTTTGTAACATGCATCTACAACATTACAAGCTGATCAGACTTGTAACAATTGCTATGCCACCATGTAGATAATAAAGTTAACAAAACCCTAAGGAAATTTTAGAATGTTTCAAGGTCCATGGACACCCATCATTTTTTTGGTATTTGTTTTATATGTATTTGTTTTTTGTTCTTTTTTTTGTTCAGGCAATAGATTAGCAAGGAGGATGGTCAGCAGCAAAGGGAGGAGTGGGTAATGAGGATACAAAATATGAAGATGAGGGCTGGTTGTATGACGAAAGAGGATTTGACGTGGAAAGCCATTGTGTGTGTGTTCAAACATCTCTTGGCATAAGTTGTGTTTTGAAAGTGAAAATGTGCTGTAGATTTTGCGAGCAAAGGGTTGGTTATTGAAAAGTCAAGAGGAGGTAAGTGGTATCCACGGTTGCTGGTGATATATTCCATATATGAACATGGTGCGTAAAGTGTAATTGGTAAGTAGTGTTGTAAAAAATTGTGGTTGGGATGAGAAACCAAAGAAATGTCTTGGGAAGTGGACACTCTATTTATATGAAATCTGGCATTCAAATGGACGGGCGAGAAAGGCAGCTAAAACAGAGCTGTCATTTGGAAAAAGAGATAGAAAACGAAAAATACAGCAAGGTCTTTGTTTTGTGCCAGCCTAAAATAATTTTCCCACGTTTTTACACCAAGAGGCCTGTATTTGGGCAATATAATAAGCCCAAACTGCCAAAAACAGCAGCAAGATATATCTCCACATGCTTGAAAAAATGTTAAGTGAAAATGATTTTGATACTTTCAAATATACAAACATGCATTCGGCCATTTTCGCAAGCCAAGCAATGATATCTTTTTTTGGGGGAGGGCAAATTTTGTTCTGAATATTTACATGTATATTTAGTAAATAAGTGCTATGCACTGTGTAAAGGTAAAGAAAAGAGAGCATATTGCTTTGGTCACTGTGTGACTTATTGTTTGTGTGGCTAAACAGCCAAGACTGATTAATCAGTTGGTTGCCATCAACCAATGATATTAATCAAAAGATTATATTTATTTCTTCCAAGAACAATTCTTGGCTGCCTAATAGCCATTTCTTATATGCTCTCCCTGGCATGTAAATAAACTATAATAAAACCTACACCATTGCTTACTTGCCATGCACGTAATCAATTAATCTCAGTAAGGCAACATGCAAAGCCATGTGCCTTAACTGTGGCATATCATTGGAGTCAATTCACAAACTGATTTGCGTAGCATTGGATGTCAGTGCTTTAAAAGCATGTTCATAAAATGATGAATCATTTCCAGCAATGACATATACAGGATGCTGCTTCCATTATTGCTAAAATCCCATGTATAAGTAAGACATGGTTTATCAAATATTCAGCTGGTAATTCTTTGGGCACTCTTGTTCCTTTTTTACTCACAACCACAAACATCTTTACTTTATTTGCCAGCAACCATCATTTTCAACATGCAGATTTTCTAATTCACCACCCTTGCCCTGGTTGCTGTTGCTGCCACTGCTATGACATCAATTATTACAATCACAATTTCTATTTTTACTGTCGATAGTTTTGAATAGATAAGCGGAGCTCTTTAAGCTCCCTTATAGTGGATTTTAAATAAAATTAGTTAGTACGAATAAGTCATTACAATAAACATATTTCACACAATTGCTGAAGGCAGCCAATCACTGCCTAGGCGAATATTTATTATTTCGTGTAAGGTTATAGGCCCTCATGGACGCGAAAAACAAGTCGTTTTTGGAGGTTTTAGTTTAGTTATAGTTGGAGGAAAATACATTGACACTTAAAAATAGTTGTCTCATTGCCAAAACTTTGCAACACAAACCCATCCAGAAACTCAATGCCTCATGAGGACGCACCCTAGTTATCCTGGCGGACGCGCGCAGTGATGACATCGACGGCACCCAACTCCAGCAGCTGCACCATCTGCGGATTCACCACCTCTGTTACGTTTTCTTCTGCTGTTGCCAGTCGATATGCCATGAGAAAAGTGCACAGCCGCACGAGACTCTCCATCAGCATGTGCAAAAGCCCAAACTCAGACACTGACTAGCGCGCAACACCGAGCAATGCAGGCAGAAACACCAGGTCGATCATCTGCTGGTGGTACTCAGTGTGCAGTGCAAACTGCTTTGCCATGGCCACACATACCAATACAAGTATGGTGTCTGACTGCTGTCTCTGTTTGCTGCTGCCTCAAGCCGAGCCATTGGCTGGCTGCAGAAGTGCCTCACTGAGCACCTCAAGAAACCCGCAGCCGGCTGCCTGCCGCATGTGCTGCTTGGACACTGCCGTGTCCGATGTGTCCAGCAGCCCGAGCAGCATGGTGGCTGCCTGCATTGCCACTTCTTTCTCCTTGGGTGCGTAGATAGCGTCCACCAGCGCCTCAATGCCGCCGGCCCAAACCACCCTGCCGACCCGCTGTGGCGTCATCACCAGCACCTGCAGCAACACAACTACCCTCAACCGGCCCTTCTCTGGTCCTGAACTGCCCTGAGCCTGCGCGACTATCAACTGCAGCATCTCCTGCCGCATGGCCATATCGAGCACCAGCTCAGATGCAATATCCTGCGGCTTAAAGTTGGTTAATTCCTTGGCACAATTGGCGCTGAATTCGCACATTTTGGGCATCTGAATGTCCAACGCCGCCTCACTGTCTGCACTCCCGTCAGGATTAGTCCCAGCATAGCAGGTGTGCTGCCATTGCTTCTTTTGTTGGTGTGCGTAGCATAAATCTAGCCCGTACTGCAATTGGTCCAGCAGATGCAAAAGTACCCGGTATGTGCCGAGTGCTGTTCCGACGCTAATTGCGAGGTAATACCGGCTATCATCTATGCTAGCAAAAGAATATTGAAAGAGTGTAAAAAATACTAAATTGTAAAATGCAAACTGTGAATTGGAAAGGAAAGAAAAAATGATAAAGTAAATTAAGAAATAAGAAAGAATAACGTTAAATTGAAATCATTTGACAAAATATCAAAAATTGAAAATTATGGATGCAATCAATGTGCGAGTTTAAAAGTATTTGTTTACAGCTAAAGTGATCGGTGAAAGGTGATCGGCAGATCAACGAATCTGTAAATAAGAGGGACAGACAAAAGAGTTTATAACTTTATTAAACGTGAAGGAAATTGAATTAAAAGAAAATATTTCATCTGTTAATTTGTTGGGTCGTAAAAAGGTTTATTAAAAACAAAAAAAGCTAAAGTGCTAGCTTCTTGAATGACCCAGCATTGATCTCGTCCTCAGCTGGTCGCTTAAGCTGGCAACTATCCTCTTTGAGGAGCTCAATTGCCTGGGGATGCATAAATCTGGGAGCAGCATCCCAGTTAGCCTGTCGTTTAAATGTACTGTCCCACCAGAGCTGGTGGCTAATGTACTGGTTTCCCGGTTCAAATAAGAACCGGCGCATTGAGTGGAATAGACCCTGAATATCTTCCTTGGATTTCCTATCCCAAACAACTCCAGATACTTTTCCTCAACCATCATGATGCTGTACCGACTCAAAGCCAGGCTTTGACTGTCCAGAAATTTGAAGCCCTGAACGTCATCTCTCTTAGTATCGGCTGAGCGCACTGCATCCATAACGACATAGAAAACACTCTCCAGGTCATCAAGGATTCCCCGGATGGGGCTGCTGCTGAGCATGGGAATTCCCATGAAAAGCGGCGTCCCTGTAAATGGGTCCTTGGCCACCTCCACTTGTCCCACTGTTGTTGCATTGAACCCCCACTGTTCGGCAACATCAATGTGTTTGAGTTGGGTTGGGTCAGTGTCCCTGGCAGCATCCTCAGCAGTGCCCCAGCCAATGACCTTGGCACAGCCCCAGTCAATGACATACACCTTGTTGTTTTTGACGCACACATTCCCTGGCGAGATGTCCCTGTGCAGGATACCAATGTCATTTGCCTGGGCAAGACACAGGGTCAGCTGGTCGACAAAGCCAGGAACCAGCTCATCTTTCTGATTGTCAGTCTTGACTTTCAGATACTCGGCCATTGACTGGCCGCAGTACTCCATGAGCACAAACTCCAGCCGGTATCCATTGAGGTTGCTGATGAGCAGACCCTTCGAAAAGATCCTGGGAATACCTTCGACTGGTCTCTTGTTGAGGATGGTGTATGCGGCACCCTCGGGCAAACGATTGGCTGGGGTCCAGGAAAGCTTCAGCACAGCATCACGACCTTTGCAAGTCCCCTTGAATAAATGGACATGGCGCCCAACCATGTATGAATAACGCGCTATTGTCTCCTTGATAGAAAACAGAGCAGCACCATCCTTGACATCCCTGACATCCTGGGAAACCGAGTATAAGACTTTGATCTTCGAATCGCCCTTGCCGTTGGGTGAAAAAATGAAAGACCTAGGTTTCTTCGAGACATTGCAGAAATGCCCGAAAATGTCCGACTCAAGAGTCAGCAGGAACCAGAACTGCATGAGGCATTCCTGAATTCCTTCGGCTAGTTTAGGAGTCCAATTTCCGTATTAAAGCATAGCTGGCCGAGCTCGACGATGTACAATTGTCACGATAATATGCATGAAGCGTCAGGAGATTCCCATGGAGATAGAAAACAGGCGCAAACGTGCGGGTTGCCTGCTGATCATTAAGCACATGGCCGTAATCTGCGAGCTGACCACGAGTATCCTCTGGGGTTCTACTGAGGTTTGGATCCATCTTGGCCTCGAGTATAGCATGACGGCATAAATGTCCGTGTCTTGTAGGGTGATAAAACGCGATATCTGGCTTGTGCGGAGTGCCTAGTATAGCATCACTCTGATGGTCCCCAGATTAACCCGCACTCTGGGACTGGAGTTCTGCCTGCTGGAATATCTTCATTTGCGACATAACTGCATTGACCATCGCGTTGAAGAGAAGATAAAATATTTGACCAAGCGAGCTTCCTTAGCCAACCCCATCAATTTCCCCGAATGCTTTTCGAAAACGTCGGCAACGGGAAAATCGCCGAAATCGCCAATCGGCGAACGTGCATTGGCTACGATGCCTTTGCTATCAGCCACTGGCGATCCCCTGGCTATGCTGAGGAAGAGATTAGGCCAATCCTTGATGAACTGGTCATACCGCTGCTCACACCCAGCGATTCGACAAAGTCATCGAACGGATAGTCGTGCATATGTTATCGCCGAGGCATTTCAGCAGCCGCTGACGGCGCTTATCGCGTACTTCGGGGGGTTCTGATTCCCGGGTGGCAGTTCCTCTTTTTTTGATTTTTCGAGGGCGTTTGGATAGTGCCGCCTGTCTTGCTGTTCTAATAAAAAATAATACAAAATGGTTTAAATTAGTGTCCGAATTGTTTTATATGCATCAAAATAAACAACAAACAACTCATCAGTATCATAATAATTGTTTATATTGAAGTACTTACGCCTATTTGATTCGGCGGAGTCTTATTCGGAGGAGCTAGCTCAGACATCATTGAGGAAAGGAAAGGGAAAGGGAAAGAGAAAGAGAGAGGGGGAGAGAGAGAGAGAGAGAGAGAGAGAGTGTGTGTGTGTGTGTGTGTGTGTGATAAGCACTGAGGTATGGTAAAAGTAATAAAAAGTGAAGAAAAAACAAATTGAACGAAATGGTGCGAATTGAGAAAAAGGCAAATATTAAAAGTAAAGTAAAGGTGGAAAGTTGCAAAGGTGAAAATTGTTGCGATGGATTGCGCCAAAAACAAAAAACAATTTTTAATATAAACAAAAAACCTTGAGCTTCTCATGCTTGCATTTGGTTGGCTGAAATATGGAAACAAGAAATAATTATATTTACGGATTAATTTCCAATCGGCATTGTTCTTTTTCCTTGCGCATTGATTTGAGCTTATATTGTTTCTTTTGGGAGCATGGTGGCCCTGCCATTCACTGCTGTAAAAAATATGTGCTTCCCTATGCGTACACTGAACCAGAGATGCGTTTATGATCCGTCACCTGGCTGCGACCAATTGAGACACAGAGCCACATGTTTCATGTGTCCTGACGGGAGCATAAAATTCTGAATGCAAGAGAACTTTCACTGGGTCTTTAAGATCCAGCCGCAGATCTTGTGATTGAAGCGATCAACAGACTCCAGGTGTATGGAAACCGCGATAGATAACATATTGGAGAAACTCAAAAAGTGTGTGGACGCCCATTATCAGGACAAAAAAGCTGGAACTTGGATATGAGACACGGCTGGAAGGAGCTGACAGAGAACGTTTGTCATTTTATCAAACAATAGAATTTAAAGCCTCTAGTATAACTGGTTCCTTCACAAGGGGCATTGTTTGGTACATCTGTATAAATTGCGGCTTGTTCTGGGATTGATTTTTCCTTAATTTTTGACATAATTCATTCACATAAATATAATATGCATAGTGTTCATTTTTTTTTTTTTATTTTTTTACCAATTTTTTTCTAATTTTCATTTAATTCGTTCCAAAATAATAATGTTCATTCAAATAGATCAAGGTTTCTCATCAGCCACTATTGATTTAAAAAGGCTAACCGCCAATAAAAACAGCATGAGCAGCAATAAAGCTATTAAAATGTTTAAAAATATATAAATATATAAATACTTGCTAATCTGTGAAAATGTTTTGTATAAAATAACCGCAAAAACAATAGCTGAATGCATCCAATTATGAGTCCGAGCCTGTGCTTGTCATTTTGGCAATAATTGCATGCTCCTGCTCGAGCGTTGACGACCTGTATTTAAGGCGGCACAGCGGGACATTGGTCTTATGTACCTCGGTCTGACCAGTCTCCAAGTACTCGCGACCAATCCAATGGCGCTTGACCTCGGCCTCAAAGCCGCTCTGGATGACCGAGTTCATTGCTAGCTCGCACATATCGACACTAGAGAACTTCCAAATCTGGGCAGCCACAGAGTACTCCTCCATCAGCGGCTCCTTAGTGAAATGGAACTGCAGCGGATCGTCTGTCGAGAGCGCCACATTAAGGCCACGCTGGAAATATGTGTTGAAAGGGTTGCGCTCATACACCAAGAACAGCGCGTTGTTGGACAGAGGCGACATGGCCAGGCCAATCTGCTGCAGGTAGAACAGGTACTGCAGAGCCGGGACCTTGCGCAGCAAAATTCCGTGGTTGATGGCTTGCGCCGAGAGGAAGGCCGCAGCCAAGTGCTCGGTGTCGCCGGCCTCGCCGGCGTGCGGGCGGAAAACAAAGGTATTGAAGCCGCGGCGCGAGCGCCACTGGTTGAGCGTGCACATGTTGGCCATTGTAAAGTAGCAGTAGTACGTGTACGGCGGATTGTCTTTGCTGGTCCACAGGCGTGGCAGAGGGTACTTTTTGTGCAGCCGGCGCTCATGTTTGGACTCGTCGTCAACCGAGTCAAAGCCCACAACGCGCTGCAAAAAGATGTGCAGCTTGGGGTGCGAGCTCGGGTCCTTGGTGACCTCGAACAGCGGGCGGAAAAAGTTTTCCAGCACTTGCTCAAAGTTTTCCACATGGCCGCCGGCCTTGTACACGTTGTACAGGCGCGGCACCTGCACAAGCCAGCGCACGTTGCTCGATATAATCTTGTGGTCAATGACCCAGGCGGCCAGCTTGTCCCACTCGTCGGCGGAGCGGCCGTAGATCGAGATGCGGTACTCGGCCATCTGGTACTTGGACTGCTCGAGGTCCGAGATGACCTCCTTGGTGATCTGCGCAAAGTACTCGCCGTCAATGAAGTTGTCGGACTTCATAAAGATCTCGCGCAGACGCGACTCGCCGATGGGGTTGTACTTTAGGTTGAACTTGTCGAAGCGGTGGTAGGCGCCCTTATGGGCGTGCATGTCCAGCGTGTCGATGGACAGGTCGTAGGCGGTCAGGCTCAGCGACTCAAACACCTGGCGCAGCGACAGCGTCTGGCCGTCGCGCACTATGACCGGCCTGTCGGGCTCGGTCTTCAGCTTGTACTTGATGAAGCGCAGCAAGTGCTTCTGGTTCATCGCGCTGGCCAGGTGCACGTGCCCGTCGACCTTGCGCACGTTGTACAGGTCACGATGCGGCACCATCTTGGACTGCATGGTCTCCTCGCGCTCGTTCAGCAAGATGTAGAGCTGCCAGCGGGCGTCGAGGTAGCGCAGGCGGCGGAAGGCCCAGGTCTTGATGGGCCCGTCCGAGATCGCGTCGATGACAAAATCGAGGTCGACGAAAAACTCACGAATCGACGGCGCGCTGGTGAATGGCTCTGCGCCCGATCCCCGCGCCTCCTCAGACTCGTACACAGCGTACACGCCGTCGTCGCCCATCTCAAACACGCTGCTGTCAGGCCCGGGGACCGCGCAGGCATCGAGTTCAAACTCGACCTTGACGCTGGCTGCCGGCTCGTTGAAGTTGCGCCACGCGGGCGACGGCGGCGGCGGGTAGATCATCCAGGCGGCCGCGTTGCGCGGGTTGTCAGCCTCGCGCTGCATGCTCAGCTGCATGTACTTGGTACGCAGAGCCATGCACCGGGTCAGCGTCTCGCCGATGCGCTTGAGCTCCTGCGGCCCCTCGTTCATGCCTGCCAGCTCGGGCGCCTCGTCAGTCAGGTGTGTGCGGATCATCATCTTGCGAATCTCCTTTTCCAGCCGCCGGCCGACGACCTCGTCATCGAGGAGCGCGCTGCCTACGCTGCCGTCTGTGCTGAGCGCGTTGCCGTTGGCCCGGCCGGACGCAGCGTGCGTGTCCAGCGCCAGTGGCGGCATCGTTTGCAAATCGATGTGCATCGACGGCATGCATGGCGACAGCTGCGGCAGCACGGCGTCGGCGTGCGCCTGGTGCAGCTTCTGCGACATGAGGATTGACCGCGGTGTCATTGGGTCGACCTGCGGGCTGCCCTTGCCCAGCGTGCTATTGAGCGACAGGTACCCGTCGCCAGGGCTGCCAGCCCAGCTGCCGCTGTCGGCAGACGTCGACGGGTGCTTGTCGAACATGGCGTTGACAAACATGTGGCCGGCCTCAAAGCTGCTCTTGGACATGGAGCGCCGCGACAGGTACGGGTGGTGTTCCTCTTCGTCCTCGGCCTCCTTGGCGCGGTCGAGCGCGGCGTCGATAACCTCGGTGTTGTTGTCGTCGTCGCCGAATGAGAGGCGCGAGTGTGGCCGGCTGCTCGAGCTGGAGTCGCCGCCGTCGCCGCCTGTTGTTGGGCGAATGTCGTTGACAATGGTCATGGTGCCCAATAGAAAACAAATAACCAAATAGGAAGGTGCCTGCCCTTAATTTGTGTTGCGTTGATCTGTGTTGCGTTGATCTGTGCTGTGCTGTGCTGTGCTGGTGCTGTGCTGTGGTGGACCAGTGGTGGAGGAAGGAAAATATGATATTCCCCTCCTCACTCTCAAAAAGAAGACCACCGTGAGGGAGGTGGGTCGGATCGCTCGGCTTTTATAGTCCAAAAAGTAATGGAGAAAAACGCCAATGCAAACGACACTACGATTTCCCTTGGGGTTTGGGGAGGGAGAAAGGGATTTGAAGAACCAATATGTAAAAGAAAAGCCACATCTGCTTTTGTTACGCTTTTTCTCACTGATCATAAAGCGGATATTAAACTTCTTTTTTATTATGTTTGCTGCAAAGCACAAAGCACAAAGCCCAAAGCCGTATTTTTCTTTATATCTGCAACTAGAAAAATGTGTAAAATCTACTGTTGTTCGCCCTTTTGTGTGTCATTCACAAAATGTAGAAGGCAAAAGCAGATTTTTCCCATCAGCTTGAGCAGTCAAATGACGAACTCACGCGTGGACAAAATATAACCGCGCAAATCTTTTCAAGGGATCACTGCCCGAATAGCAAAGAAAATAGACTTAAAAAATGTATATAATGGTGGTCGTGGTGGTGGTGGTGATGATGATGACGATGACGACTATGATGATGACCGCTAACGATATTGTCCAATCAACCAAGCGAGCAGGCAAGCAAGAAGCAAACGGGCGAGAGAAAAAAACGACCAGACAATCTTCAGCGTGTGAAGAGTGTTTTTTCTTTTAAAAGATCTTTATATTGGTCCCGCCGCTGCAAGGAACAAAGGCGCGTCTCACTCAATTTGCAGCCAAGCACCTTGCACAAATACAAGCCAAAGCCGTTATAATACTAACATACCGCAAGTTTGGGTTCAAATATTTGAGGGGACAAACAAGGTTAATTGAGGCCTTTGAAATAAGGAATATAGCAAGTGTACCATTGTTCAAAGAATCAGTTCCTGTGAAGGCGCTGGTGCGTTGGCGTGAAGTTTGTCTGCTCCGCGTCGCCGCCATTAATCCTGCTGCTATTAACACCATCAATCGCGCCGCCGTGGCCGTGGCCGTGGCCGTGGCTGTGGCTGCTGGTTTTCCCTGAAAATATTTGTCCGGAAAAGCTCTGCTGGTCCCACGCAACCCGCTTGGGCTTGACAGTCGAGTATTTAACCCATCCGGCGGCAATTGGCTGCAGCCTTGGCATGTAGCCTGTGGCGACAGCGGGTAGTGCGACGACATGGTCGGCGAGCTGCAGCTACTACTGTTGCTGCTTGCATCAGGTGCTGCCAAGCTTGTTGGCTGGGTTTGCAGCAGCATCATGCTGGCCTCGGCCGCATCAAGAAGCTACTCGGCTGGTCATCGACCAGGGCGCGCACATTCTGCTTTAGCGCCGGCGACGATGACGGTGACGACAGAGTTTGCGCCATGGGCAGCTTCGGTGGCGTCGGCAATGTTGAAATCAAAGCCGTTGACAATGACTCGGAATAACCTCCATCTGCAGATATACTCGGCGTCAATGTCTATTTTGTTGCTGAAGCGGTGTGCCAGGCGGCGTTGCTCTGGGAGCATTAGCGACCAGGTCGGCAGATCTATGGGTACGTTGCTGGGGGGTATGGAGTTGCTGATTGTGTACATATCTAATGGAACTGGCGCCGGCAGTAAAGGCAGCGGTGTGGCGTTGCCGATTGGTCGTGGGATGCAGTGATGCGCCAGGAGCTGCGATGGCGGATCCTGCCAATTGCCGCTGCGGCTGTGCTCGTAGTGGTACGCCGCTTGCTTTTGCGCGAATCGTCAGCGTCCATTGAGGCTGCTGCTGACCAGCCATGCAACCGTATTGTACGCGAGACCGGATGCTCCTGAAGCAACCATCGAGTATAATTACTGTGTAAGTTCTTTTGATTTTCCTCGTCCTTGAAGTTAATGATGAGGCGGCCGTCGAGGCTCAGCTGCGCCAGGTACGCTTGCAGCATGGTTCCTGAGGTAATTGTTCCGTGTTTTTGGACAAACTGCTTGAACGCCCGAAACTCCTCGTTGCTGTAGCCGTGAAACTCGCGCTCGAGAGCCACGGCCTCTGACCGGCTGGCCCTTCTGGGCTCGGCGGCGGCGTCCCACCCGGTCACCCGGTTAATCATGACAACATCCGACATGGTCTTCTCTGTTGGCGTGTGTTCAGGCGAACATGCTTGGAATCAGGCACAAGCCCAGGTTTTGCGCGGCGCTGCTCGACGGCTGTCCAGTCCAGGCCGGAAAAAAAAGCATGTTTCCGCAAGCGCTCGTACCCCAGGCGGCGGTCGGGGTCGGTGCACAAAAGGCCACGCATTAGCGCTATGCAGTCGACAGACACTGAATTGTCGCTTGGGAAGACCAGGGGCTCATTGGTAATGGCCATCTTCAGGCGCTCGCGGCAGCCACCATGGTCCTGCCTCCGATACGGCCGGCGGCCGTAGACGCACTCGTACAGGACAATGCCAAGCGACCACCAGTCGACCGGGTACGAGTAGTTCGTGCGCATCAAGAGCTCTGGCGCCATGTAGCTGGTTGTCCCCGTCACGCCGCCGACGTTTTCGGCAACCTTGACGGCGGCGTTAAAGTCACCAAGGCTCACATGGCCGTCACAGTCCATCAGGATATTATCCGGCTTGACATCCCTATGCATAACCTGATGCGCCGAATGCATGTAGTGCAGGGCGCAGGCCACTTCGGCAATCCACAGCCGCACGGTCGCTTCGGGAAAGCCTTGCCGATGCCTCTGGATATGCTGCCGCAGGTCGCTGCCCGCCTTGAGTTCCATAACAAGATATAGCGTGTGTGCATCTTGGAACGAGTAGTGCAGTGTTGGGATGTGCGGGTGGCCGGCGAGCGACTCGAGGATGTCACGCTCGCGCAAAATGTTCTGCTCGCCCTGTCTGTCGATGCACTCGGCTTTGCTGATGTACTTTAGCGCATAGCGCTGTTTTGTTGAGCGGTGTTCGATCATGCGAACTTTGCCAAAGGCGCCCTGGCCGATGACCTGGAGCAACTCAAAGTCGGCAAGGCTGTGATCTACTGAATCAAGCAGAAAAATTAAGAGCGAAGTGTTAATACAGCGCGCGAGATGATGGAATAAAAAATCGACAATGGCAGTGTTAGTATAAATAACAAGCAGTGTAATTTTATTTGGTGACAGCTACAGCAAACTAGCCAACACCAATTCCTCTCGAGGTTCAACTTGCCTGATTCCATGTCCACTCCAGATGCGTCGCCATGGCCGAACCCATGCTTGGCCACTGAATTGCCCATTGTACACCTGTGTAGTATTGTACTTTAAAGATATATGAAATGTCACGTGTTTAATTACAACGATAGCAGAAAAAATTTAATAAAAAAGTAGCTATAAAAATAAGACAAAAATTAAAGAAGTATATGAAAAAGTATATAAATGGCAAAAAAGGGAGGGGGTGAGACAGGAAATCGACAGATGAATACAATAAAAAACTAACAAAAAGCAGAGCGACAAGATGTGGCAAATTCCAGGGTATTTGTTTTGGTAGTTTTTCTTTTTTATTTAAAGTTCAAATTCCGCCCTTATTTCACCCACAGCCCCTGCCAAGCCATACCCGGCCCTGCTCAGCCCAACGCAGTGCAGCCCAAGCCATGTAGGTTCTGATTCCGAAACGGTCCGGTCTGACCATCAAAGCCAATCGCCACCATTTTAGATTCCAGAAATGGTACAGTCAAGCATCGTGCAAGAAATGAGCGGCATGCGGTCGATCATTTGGTCTCCCAAATATAAACAACTATCCTGGTGGTGTGATGTGCAATTGCAACTGTAACAGCCAATTGCAATTGACAATGCCATTAAATATTATTTAAAAATTTTTGCCAGATGCAGTTGCCACCCGAGTGCTAGTGCAGAGCAAACCTAAAGCAGCAAATGTACAATAAAATAAAAAGGCGCAAACATTGCACAGCTGGCGGCCTCATCCAGAGAAAAATAAAAAACTTTATTTATTGCAACAACCAGTTCAAAAAAAGAAATCAACGGCAGCGCTCATTAATTGTTCTTTACTTGTTCGCCGACGCAATCTTGGCAGCACCAACCTGCACGCGGTCGCCCTGGATCACGGCCGGGCTCAGGTACGAGATGTCATCCCAAGGGTGGCGGTACAGGCCCTGCTTGAGTCTCTTCTGGTCGAGGTAGTGACCGATGAAGCCGATCGAGCGGCCGAGCACAAACAGGCCGTTGAGGGTGCCGATGCGCGCGTACTCGTCAGCCTCCTCGCGCGAGAAGGCGCCCGAGTGGCGCAGCAGATCAACAAACAGCACACCGATGGCTCCGTCAACGTTGAGGATCAGATTGTCCTTCTTGGCGGTCGTGATGGACTCAACAGCGCGCGCGTAGTCGAGGATAGGCGTGGTTGGGAAGTGCTTCTTGGCGTACTCGGTGATGATGGTGACGCGCAGGTCGGGGTTGGTGCGTGACTTGATCTTGTGGCCAATTCCCAGGATCAGCTTGTTCTGCTTGCGCATCGTGTCGACGAACTCGCGCGGCGTCAGCCCTTGTCGTACGATGTCGAGAACAGGTCGGCGGCACCGTCCAGCGCGCCGCCGAAGCGATCGCCAATGGTCAGCAGGCCGGAGCACAGCGACGAAACCAGGTCCTTGCCGGCGCGCGCAGTCACAATGGTGTTGTGGGCGCCCGACACGGCCGGGCCGTGGTCGGCGGTCAGCATCAGCACCATCTCGATGAACTTGCAGGCGTACTCGGGCAGGCGCCGCTTGAACCACAGCAGCGACAGCACGCCGCCGATGCCGATATCCTCCTTGAAGACGTCGGAGATGCGCATGCCGGCGTACAGCAGCTCCTGGCCACGGTCGTCGCAGATGGTCGACACGAACGATGCCGGCTTGCGCACCAGGCCAAGCTCCTGCGCCCACGCGTAGTCGATGGGGATCTTGGGCGCCTCGGGCTCGGGCGCACGACGATGACGCCGGTCTGCACCAGCTCCGAATACACTTGGTTCAGCAGCGCCGGCAGCGCCTCAAAGGTGTCGGGCACGTGGATGCCGGCCGCGCGCATGGCGGCGTTCTTTGCCTCAGCCGTCTCGCTGTCCGAGTTGGCCAGCGCGCCGGCGTGGCCAAACTGCACCTCGGTCTCGAACATGCCGGCACACGTGCCGATGGCCCAGGCGACAACCGGCTTGGTGATCATGCCGGCGCGCACGGCCTCGGCGACCTTGTACTCCTCGACGCCGCCGACCTCGCCCAGCAGCAGCAGCATCTTGCATCCGGGGTCGGCCTCATAGCGCAGCATGTGGTCGAGGAACGTGGTGCAGGGGTAGCGGTCGCCGCCAATGGCGACGCCCTCGTAGACGCCGTCGGTAGTGCGCGCAACGATGTTGTTCAGCTCGTTGGACATACCGCCCGACTTGGACACATACGCGACCGACCCGGGGCGGTACAGCTTGGAAGACGCAATGTTGTCCATCATGCCGCCGGTGTTGCCGATCTTGAAGCATCCAGGCTTGATTCCACCGACCGTGGCCGGGCCGATGATCGTGACACCAGCCTTCTGCGACAGGCTGATCAGCTTGCGCGTGTGGCGCTCAGGCACACCCTCGGCGATAATCGCCACGGTGCGCACCTGCGCGTACCCGAGCATCTCCTTGGTCGACTGGTACACCGAGCGGCACGACGCAAAGTTGACGACAACGTCAGCATCGGGGTTGAGCTTGACCGCCTCCTTCATTGACGCGTACACCGGCAGCAGCGTCTCCTGCGTGCCCCAGTAGAACTTTTGCACGTGGTTGCCGCCGAACGGGTACACCATGCAGGCCACCGACGGCACCTTGCGCTTGCAGATGAAGTCGAAGTCCAGCATGCCCTGCACGGCGCGCGGCTGCATGCCGTAGACGATGGCGCGAGTGTGTGCGGTGAAGGGGGAGTACCAGGGCGCGGTCTTGTCAGCGGAGGTGGTGGTAGCGGCGGCGGTGGTGGCCGCAGCGGTGGCAGGGGCAGCGCCAGCTGAGCGCAGCGGGTCGACCTCCATCTGGCGGCCGGCGTGCCTGGCGTGCTGGCGACGGTCGAGTCGGGAATCTGCTTGGACAGCGAGTCCTTGAAGCCGGTGCCGACGGCGCCAGCCGACGCCTTGCCCAGCGCCAGCGGCACGATGGCTGTCACGTGCGTCTCAGGGCCGTAGACGCGGATCTCGATGCCCAGGGTCTCGCCGAGCTCGCGCATGGCGCGCAGGCCCTCCTGCCAGTTGGGGCCGGCGCGGCGCACAAAGACGCGCACCTTGTTGGCAATCAGCGCCTGCTTGTACTCCTTGAGCGCGCGGATGATGCCCTTGAAGGTGGTGGCAACGTTGGTGAAGTTGGCGATGCCGCCGCCGATGATCAGCACCTTACCGTCGGGGTTCGGCGTACGCGTCATCAGGTCGAGGATGGTCTTGGCGTAGTCGTACGTCTGGGTCTCGGATGGCGCACCCGAGTACTCACCGTAGTTGGCCAGCTCGCCGGCAAAGCCCAGCGCGGCAATGGCGTCCGAGTAGACAACGCTAGCGCCGCCACCGGCGACCATCGTCCACACGCGGCCGTCCTTGTTGAGGATCGTCAGCTTGAGCGACGCGCCGGTCTTGGCGTCCAGCTCCTGGATGTACGCCTCCTCCTTGCTCAGCTCGCGGCCGAACGGCGCTGGGAACTCCATCGCCGGCCCGGCCTCGGCGGCCTTCGAGTCGGCCGTGCCGTAGATGACGGCGTCCGAGCGCCCGCGCGCCCATTGTCGCCCGACTCGAACTCGGCTGTCTGGTCGAGCTTGGCGGCCAGGTCGAGGAAGATGACCTGCGGCGCCTGCGACTTATCGGCCGACTCGAGCACGACGAGCGGGTTGATCTCGAGGTACGTGAAGTTCAGGTCGACGTATACGGCGTACAGGCGCTCAATGAACGTGGCCAGCGCCGCACGCTGCGTGCTGCTGGTGATATCGGCCAGCAGCTGCTGGGCGATCGCGTCGGACGCCGGCAGCGGCTCGTCAATGGGAATAGCCAGGCGCAGCGCCTTGGCATCAACGTCGCCGATCTCGACACCACCCTCATGCGTGAACAGGATCTCGTCGCCCTCGCGGTGCGACTGGATGCACACGTAGTACTCGACGTCCTGGGGGTGAGGCACAAAGGGCTCGACAAGGAACGTCTTGAGAACACCACTGATGGTGCCGACGCTGACCTCCTTGACGGCGCGCTCGCGGATCCACTGCTTGACGTCCGCCCATTTGGCGTTGAGCAGCAGCAGGCCGCTCTTGCCGCGGCGCTTGATCAGCTGGTCAGGCTTGGCCACCAACTTTGTCGTCTGCAGCCACGGGTTCAGCAACTCTGCCCGGTCCAGCGCTGCCTCGACGGCCTCGGCGATCTGGTCGGTCGAGTCCGAAGTGCTGACATGCGACAGGTTGATCTGCGCGAGACGCGTCTGCGCGGGAGCAAAGGCCGGAGTGGGCTTCTCGAGCGCGAGCGTTGGCGACTGGAGGAGGTAGTTGGCGAGCAGCAGCTTGCCGTCGTATTCGCGGATGGCCTTGGCAGACATACTAAAAAAGTGCAATAATAAAACAAGGAGGATGTAAAATAACGCTTATTGGAAATTTGTTGAATTCGAGAGAGAAGAAAGAGAAAAAGTGGGAAGAAGCAAAACGAGAGAGGGATCGGGTTGAGCAAAAACAAAGAATTGAGCAGAGTGTAAAAATAAGGAGAATACACTTTTTTAACGTGGTTGTCGGACTGGGTTGTTGTTTTGAAGCGCGCAACGGCAACAGAAATAAGCAAAACAAGGGCGGCAAATCACAATCATGCACGAACCACCAACAGGCTGACGCGTAAACCCGAATCGGAATCGGAATCAGAATTACAATTACAATCAGGGATCAGGAACGCAACAATGCAATGAGGCATGGATATGCACATATGGATCACATAGAAGAGACGACAGCAGTGCCGACGACAGCGACGTAGGGTATATTCATAAGGCACTTACGCTTTTTGAGAGTTTGTTTCTATTGAGTGATGGCGGTTATGACAAGCTTACAAAATTTGGACTGTGGTCACAAAAAGAAAAGCTATAGCGAGAAGTAAAGAAAAATATAAAGTGGTTGATGGTTTGGGTTGGATGTTGGCAATAACAAATAAGCAATAAAAGTCAAGCCAGGTATAGTGTGTAGTAAAATGGGGTTTTGGATAATTAAACGAAAAAATGAAGATGAAATAGTATTAGGTTGCTATTCGAACTAGGCAAAAAGAAAAATAGAGAAGAGAACGAAATAAAAGCACAAGCAGAGCAAACAATAAATGAAGCGAAGGGAAGAGGAGAGAGGAGAAGAGAGACGAGGAAGTAGAACTGGCAACTTTAAGGAACAGAAGGACGGACGAACACAGGCACACAAACAGAGCCATGTTCTCTCTATTTTTCTCGGAGTGGGGGAGGGCCAGAAAAGTGATAAAACACCTGTTGCTGTTTCTGTCGCTGCAGTCGTTGTAAATGGCGTTTTGTGTGAGGTTGGCCACTTTGCAGTAGGATAATTGCAAACCTTTTTAAAGTTTGCATACACCTTGGCCTGTCATTAAGCCACGCCTGCCTCTGCCTCCGCCTCCAGCTTGGCTTCTGGCTTTCTTAAAGCAGGGGAAGCCAACAACAAATTGCATTCGCCCGAAAGGGCCGTGCGTGGCACGAATTATATCGCTGCGCTGCGCTGCGATGCACCAACATAAGCGCCTTACGCTTTTCAGAGAGTCGTGCTAGTTCGGAGAAACAGTCACCCGCAAAAAAGCGATATTCTGCTTCTTTATTTGCTTTCTTGCGCATCCCTTCTTTAATCGACATGTATTTTGCACCTCTTCCTTCCACTCTGGAATTTTTCTGGCCAATACCTAATTGCCGAGTAATTGGGGACATTGAATTAAAAAAATCCACCTCATCGCCTCGGAAATCATTAGCTGGCAGAGTATGTTTATTCGTGAACCAACTTTCCTTTTTTTAAACAGTGCGATTTTCGATTTGAAACCTTTAATGTTGCTGTTTTGTGAGGCTGGGACATTGTGCCCTGAGTAAAAAAATATATATGTAAAAGTGATTAGCAGATCGTTTTGTGTACAATAAAATCACGTACGTGGAGGTTTCTACTTGCCTAGAATTCCATGCATGAATTGCACTCGGATTTGCTCTCTCACCTTGTGTGTGTGTGTGTACGTGTAGCTGTACGAATGAGGAAAAATAATTATATCGACTAAACATCGCAATGCATCATAAATAAATTTCCCAGCCTACTCGTACGAATTATTCCACTGTGCATGGAAAAAGGGTAAACAAAGAATACCCAGTGTGAATCGTAAACCTCTGCTAGCTTTGGGATTATTTTTGTGTGGTGACAGGATGGAATGCAGGAGGAGCAGGCCAAGGGAAGCTCTCTCGCCTTCCTCTTTGCTTCGTTTCGATGCAGGTGGTTATTAAGTGGGTCCGCTCCCTGCTGTTGTTTTCTTTTTTTGTGTGTGTGCTTGTGCAGATCCAGCAAGCCGCTTATTTTGGATTTTTGCTGTTTTTGTTTTGCCGGTCGGCCAAGCCTGCCTCTGGCTTGCTCACATTTTTTGGGTGGGCCAATTGGAATCAAACCAAGCAAATCAAATCAACCAATCAAATCAAATAATTGAGTTGTGATCAAATCAACAATTCAATCTGAAATTGAGTGGCTGGTGGAAAATGGGCGGCAGAAGCGCCAGCGCCAGCGCCTGGGCCTGGCCTGAATTCCGCCGCATGTTTTTTCCCGCCCAAACGGACGATACAGCCGGAAATTCGCTTGCAGTGCTGCCCTGCCCTGCCTGTCGGAGCAAGAGAGCAAAATATGCTGCTGCTCTTGCTTCCGCTTCTGCCAGTAGCACAGGGCCACAAACGATGAGTTTGCTTGTTGGGATGACGACAATATTTCGCTGGTATAGAAGTTCTAGATGACTGGGCTTTTTTCCGCTCTGTAATATTCACTTATAATTAACAAAGCAGCCCTCTAATTTCGAGCAATGGCAAACCCAGTCATTGAGCAGTACACCACAGGCAAGCCGATTGTCGACGGCACCTTCGGCCACCTGACGAGCGAGCAGACGGCGAAGCTGCAGCAGCTATGGCGCAAGCTCTTCGAGACCTTCCACAAGCCTGCATCCGACCTGTCCAGCGCGCCGCTGCCTGCCGAGGCCACGGAGGCGTCCAAGAAGGAGGCCAGCCGCAGCAGCAGCGTGCCGGTCTCAGGACGCAGCAGCCGCATTCTGAAGCGGCACACCGGCGCCAAGGACTCACCCTCGGCATCGCCGTCGCCGTCGCCGGCATCATCCGGGTGGTTCGGCTGGGCCACCAGCAGCGCAAAGGCAGAGGCGCCCGAGTACCGACAGCTCGTCGGCGACGAGGCCTCGGAGGCCAGCCTGCCGCCGCCATTTGTCCCCGGGCAGGGCGCAACAACAGTTGGCGAGGCGTTCTGGGAGGCAGCACTGTACGACCACCCGGACGTCCTTCTGCTGCGGTTCCTGCGCGCGCGCAAGTGGCAGGTCGACGACGCATTGGCGATGTTCCTGTCGTGCCTGAAGTGGCGCATTGACGAGCAGGTCAGCTGGCTGGTGTGGCGCGGCGAGGCCGAGCTGAACCTGGCGCTGATGCGCCGCGGCATGGGCGTCGTGCACAAAACCGACCGCCTCGGCCAGCCCGTCCTGCATATCCCCGTGCGGCTGAACATTCCGTCGGCGCAGCCCGGCGAGCAGATGATCGAGTACACGCTGTATCTGATGGAAGTCGCGCGCATCGTCCTGCACCCGCCAGCCGAAAAGGTCTGCCTGCTGTTTGACACCACGGATATGTCGCTTGCCAACATGGACTGGACCTTCTTCCGCACGTTCCTGCACTACTCGAGCACTACTACCCCGAGTGCCTCGGCCTGGTGCTGATCTACAACGCCTCGTGGGTGTTCAACGGCCTGTGGAAGCTCATCCGCCCGCTGCTCGACCCCGTCGTCGCCAGCAAAGTGCACTTTGTGGCTTCGGCCAAGGACCTGCAGCACTTTATTGCCCCCGAGAGCCTGCCCAAGGAGTTCGGCGGCGCTGATGCCTTCAAGTACACCTACCCGATGCCTGTCGATGGCGAGAACAAGGCCATGTTTGACTCTGCTGGCCGTGAAAAAGCCGTGCTCGACAGACGTGCAAAGTGCGAGCAGTTCGAGGCCGCCACGCGTCGCTGGGCCGGCGTGGACTCAGCCAGCGACCTGTCAAAGGACGCGCTGGGGGACGAGCGGAAGGCTGCTGCTGATGAGTTCGTGGCTGCCAGCAAGGCCCTGGACAAGTACGTGCGTGCGCGCACGCTGTACCACCGCAACGGCGTCATTGGCGAGGATCTGCGCGCCGACTGGAACAAGGTTTAAGTTACAAGGCTTAAGTTAGGCACACCCACGCGCTCGATATATACCTCTACCCCCACCTTATATGCTGTATATGATTGCAATTTCCGGCGGTAACGCGTGGAAGCGGTAGGTTACTTGTAACGGGGAGGAGCAACGTGGTCTTATTTAATGCCGTTTGCTTATTTTTTATTTTTATATTTTTATATTTTTACGGCCACGCGGCGCCAAGTAGACCTAATTTTTTGTTTGCACAGCAGCCAAGCCTGTACACGATATTTATATAAACTACATGGGTGGAATCGACTTCAAGAATCCTGTCTTTATTTCAAATACCTATATATCCTTCTGAGAAACATTATTTTATAAAAGAAAAAGCCTTACCATACTTGCACGGTACATTTTACACACACCCAACTATTTCAGTTAATATTCTCGACATGCTCGCCCGCATCTGTCTGCTTGTCGCCAGCGTGGCGGCAGTGGCTCGCGCCTCGGACGTTATCTTTGGCTACCTTCCGACCTGGCAGCTCGACAAGGCCGCAGCCATCGACCAGAGCAAATACACGCACCTAAGCCTGGCATTTGCAATTCCTGACGAGTCCGGCAGCATCTCGATGGAAAACCAAGATGACATCTTGACAAACTACACAAGCACGGATCGACTAAAATCCTAGTCTCTCTGGGTGGCTGGACCGGCTCCAAGCACTTTTCAGCCATCCTCAAGGACGCAAAGAAGCGCTCTGACATGGCTCAAAGCATGGTGCGGTGGATCAAGGACTATAACTTTGACGGCTGGGATATTGACTTTGAGTACCCCGGCCGCCAGGGCGACTCGTGCCATGCATTTGACCCTGTGCAGGACACAAAAAACTGTTGGTCTTTGTCAACGACCTGCGCCAGCGGCTCAGCGACGAGTTCCCCGAGTCGCAAAAACTGATCACCCTGGCCACACGCTTCCAACCCTTCGACGGACCAGCAGGCCCCTAGACGACGTGTCTGCATTTGCCGCGTCCATTGACTTTATCAACATCATGCTGTATGACTTTAATGGCGTATGGTCGGACACCACGGGGCCCAATGCACCGCTGGACTTTGCGCCAGGCAAGGGTCTGCAGGTCTCTTACCGCTCTTCCATCCAGGCATGGATCGACGCTGGTATTCCGCCGGCCAAAATAAACGCCGGGCTCCCCTTCTACGGCCGCACAACGACCGCCAAAATTGACATTTCAAAGGAAAAGGACATGTACCAACCGCTCAACAAGCAGATCCCAAAAGGCGATGGCGAAGACTTGGAGGAAGCAGACTCGTCGTGTGGCGGTCCAAAGGCATTCTCGGGTGTCTGGAAGTACCGCAACCTGCGCTCCGAGGGCGTTCTGGATTCTGTTGACTCGGCCGTGTCGCCGTGGGTCAGGCACTTTGACCCGGAGACTATCACCCCCTGGCTGTTCAACAGAGAGACAATGGACTTTATCTCTTACGACGACACACTTAGTATATCTGCCAAAACACAACACGCTATGGACAAGGGCCTGGCTGGAGTCATGGTGTGGCCTGCCACAAATGACTATGACAATGAGCTGTTGTCTGCCATTTACGACACATTACATCAAGAATAGACTATTTATTACGAAGCTATTTAGAAAAATAAATGGAAAAATAAAACAAGCGCTTTTAATACAAAATGCACAATACTTTGATTCCCAAGTCTTTTATTTTATCTATAGTGACAGCACGGGCAAGTCACCGCTGCTAGACTTTACCACAGACAACATCAACGATGAAAACTGATTTCCAGCGACAAACTCCACTTCAGGGCCAATCAAATGTTCTCTAATCGAATGCCTCAAATCCTCCGGCACATTGCCGGACATTGCAGCCTTAACAAATGGGTGGTCTATGCCTGCTACATCTGGGATCTCCATTATAGCCGCCATCTCCGATGCCTTGTTGCTTGTTCCTGCGTTGGCTGAGGGCTCCTTTGACACGACTTGTTGTCTGGCTGATCTGTGCGTGGGATACGACATTTCCTGCGCTTGTTGTGTGGGTGAGCCCAGCTTCGATAACAGCCGTGCCTCCAAGATTGCGTTTGCCTTGTCTACAGGGTTTTGGTGGCTACGTGGAATCACAAACACAGCGGCCATGGCGGAGGCACTGACAGAAAGCGTGGCGAGTAGAAGTTTCATGGTAATTTGTAACAACTATAATAATAATAATAGTAATGAGACTGGCGTGTGTTTGTGTGTATGTATGTGTGTGCTATTGTAAATAAAAAATAATGTTTGACAAGAAAATTGGCTACCACTGGCTTGACAGCTTATATACATGTTGAAAGCAAAGTGACATTACATTCAGCTTGATGTATACTTCACCTGGATACCTTATTTGCTTTGTTTTTTGTTTATATATTGTGCACTCCCCATTATTCCGGGGTTGTCATTTGATCATCTTATATTTTTAAAAAACAAGAGCATTTTTATTAAAATACGGGGATAAGTAAAGAAAAATCATCCCCACTTTACTACAATTATCCAAGAAAAAATCTACAAGAAAATCTGGAGAATCGGGGAAACCCACCCCTCTGAAAAACAACAGAACTATCGTGGAGATTGGCACAATCCACAATTGTTGGCTGGTGAAAAGAAAAACAAATGAAAGACAGGTCTTGATTTTGGAAAACGGCATTCCTCGATCAACCAACGTTTATGCTAGTGCAGACACCGCTCGTGTCAAGGAATACATTCAAACGATCGGGTCTGTAGTCCATAGTCATCATGCAGTTATCGCCCTGGAGGATGCGGCGGGCTTCGGGAAGGGACTCGACGCTAAACTCCTTGCTCTCATCGAGTGGAATCCCGTTTGAAACCAAGTCCTTCTTCTTGACAAACGCCTTGCCGAGTAGATGCTGGTACTTGTTGTGTAGATCCTGCTCCTCCTGCTTCATACGCTGGAGAGTGTCGTGATGTTCGATAAAATCCATTGTGTAATTGTAAAAATATTGGTAATATTTGAAGTAAAAATTGATAATGGCTCAAACTTTTTAATGAGAATTGAACAAAAGCATTTCTTTATTAAGAAATCCTGGACGCAAATGATGCCTTATGTGTCGCGTCATGCCAAATTGGCTTGCTTAATATAAATAGCTGCTAATTTAATATCCTGCTTTGTCATATGGGGTCACATGCGCGCAAATAAAAAATACACGATTTATACAGGCTGTAAACAGGCGGATTAGGGTGGACTAGAGCGTTGTGCCATGTAACTCAAATATTGTGGATTATACTGGAACGCCTAGAATTAGTATTATAGTAAAATTGCATGTCCAAAGCAGTCATAAACCTAATTATTCGCCGCAATTAATAGTGTTTGTCCGACTGCCGAGTTTATAATTGCTTTTCAAAGCAAACAAAAAAGCAATAAGATATGGACTAAAGATTTGGTGTTTAAAAAAACTGCCTGTAGATGTGCCATTATTGTCCAGAATTGAAATTGCGGCATTGCTGAACTTATTATGTTTTGTCCGAGCAGAACTCAAAAATAAGCAAGCAGCAATCGGCCCAACCCAAGGAATTGGTTGTATCGAGGAACGTAAGCGTTAAAAAAAAGAGAGAAAGGGCAAAATAACTATCCTATTTTGGATAATTATTTACGCACATCATAAGGAAATCCTCCCTTTATTATCATCCTCGCCCAAGATATCCAAGCCTTGGAAAAGAACAAGGCCGAAATAAAATTTTGTCTGACAGAAAAAAATTCTCGCTTTGGTTGATATATTTTGCGGTAGAATTGCAGAAGTACGTGAATCCCAATAATAATAATGTTTTTTGTTGTTTCGTACCGTTATCTATTTTTTTATAAAAAAGCTGTTTAGGAGCCTCAGTCCTTTTCCATTATCTTTTTCTTTTTATAAAAAAGATATTCTTTTATTATTTTACGACTTGCCAATTTTATGACACTTAAAAAATAAAGTTTTTTAATTTGATTCAGCTTGCCTTTCCATTCTATCTCTCTTTTCAACGCGTCTGCATACTTTTTTTTACCTACTTGCACAACCAACAATACAACCAAACCCAAAAAATTGGACTTGCTGTGCCTGACACACGCACACTCAAGCTTATATATTGACTGTGCATCAAGCGTTGGCAGCTACAACTGACCGCAAAAGTATAAAAAACAACACTTTTAATTAATCCCTTTTTTAGTATCCTAGGTTACACCTGCCATATCTAGTCGTATTGGAGGGCATGTATACTCACACATACCAAGGACCACGCAGACATAAAAAACGAGACAACAATTCGCTGTGGAAGCCCTTCGAGTACTGTTTCTAGTTGGTATTAATTATTTGTTATTTATATCTATACTTTGTTTTCTGCCGTCCCATCCTGTCTACAAATTTTGTTATGCCTGGATACCCGCACATCTGATCACCGTTATAGCACAGACCAACCAGTAACCATACCAGTGATAACAACAGCACCAGCACCAGCACCAGCACCAGAAACAACAGTTAAAAATACAAACAAAAGATCATACAGACAGACAGACATACAACAAAAGCTGCATTAATAAAATGCAGTCTCCGGGCAATGGCATTGGTAGGGGCAGCGGCGATGAAAACAGTTTTTACGATTCCTTTAATAATTTGAACCAGCCAACGAAACATCTCCAAAATCAGCAGCAGCAGCATCAACACCGCAAATCAGCCGATCTTACGCTGCGCAGGCGCCAGAACCGCGACGCAGCAGCCCGACACCGCCAAAGACAAAACAACAAACTTGATCATCTTGCACACAAAGAGGCAGTGCTGAGCCAACAAGTGTCAGAGATGCAGCTTGAGATTGAGTTACTGCGAAACAGTCAAGCAGGCTTGACGTTGCCTACACGAGATCCTTTTACTGCGTGCATCCAGGCAATGCTCGACCAGGTAAGTGAGCTGCATAATGACGTGAAGCACTACACTGAGAAAAGCCAGGAGCTGATTTTTGAAGTAAGTTTTGAACATTACATTGCTAAAAAAATATAATGGTGCGTATGATATAGAACAGCATTTTTTGGATATATTATGGCACACACATAAAACTAATGTTTTTTAATATTCTATTGTTAATTTAGCTTCAAAATTTGGCAAGCTCGTTGACTCAAAACAAAGACAGAAATGGAGATGGAGATGGAGATGGAGGACAACGGCTTTTGCACAAGGACCAAAGGTGAAAACCAATAGCACTAATAGCAAAACACTTCTGCATATTTTCAATAAAATATTTTGTATATCACGTATAATGTCAACCAATAAATTATTTTGCAAAAAGCATTGCTCCAAAAAATTGCTTAAAGGTTTAGAAATGCACAATCAATATTAAATAATTAAGATAAACTAAACAATTGAAATACACAAGCTGTGTAAAATTATTATACTTGTGATATTACCTGAGATTGTACGTTGTTTTATTTATATTTTTATGATAAAGACTTTAATGTCAATACCATTTCTAGCCCATTGGCGCTGGCCATCGTCGAATATTTAAGCTCATCTTTGTCATTTTGCTTCTGCAATAGTCTTGACACAACTGCGCAAAAATGATAAAACCAACAGCGTATTTTTGTCAAAATTTTCTTTGCAGCAAGTGTTGCCAGCGAGCAGCAACACCGCCTTCTCAGCTGCAGCCAACATATGGCCGTTTGGCATGAATCTCGATTTGGCACTATAGTTTGCAAGTAGACAAGTTGCATGCCTACTAGGGGCCGAGGAACTGCGAGTGGATAACACACTAACAAGAATACCAGTTAGTTTAGGACCAAACTTGCCTCCAAAGCATGGGCCCTTTTACTCGCAAGGGCTTGTGCTGAAAACATTTCAAACAGCGCAAAGCATTTGTCCCAAAAAGGGAGAGGGGAGAGAAGGAAAGATGATCATTAAGGGCAAAAGCGGAAATGGTTGCAAAATATAAAATAAAATCCGACAACTGGAAAAAGAAATAAGGGGCAAACCAGCATCAATCAATCAACCAGCCATTCCGTTGACTTTCATTTTTTTTGCTTCTTTTCATTTTTTATTTTTTGGCAATGCTAATTGACACCCTTTTATTTTTTTACACTCTCTATAATCATGACGGACTCGAATATACCCATGGAATTCCCAGGTGCTGCGGGCAGGCCGTTGAGAAACCCTGACGCATCGATTGTCTCAGCAATTTCATTTGCTGCTGGCCAAAGTACCACTTATGCCAACGACAGCATCGCCACCAGCCAGCCTCCTCGTCACAACGATGCCGCGACAAGGTTTAACACAGAGAACCAATCGGCTGATGTGTTGATGGACAACGAAAACGACAATGACAATGACGAGTACGACGAAGACGAAGACGAAGACGGATGGCCAGAAAGCCAATCTCTTTTCACTGTACACAACCACACCAGCCACCCGCTCAACACTCTCTCAGATATAAATCCACGTCAGTCCAGAGGCAGTGTTGGCAGCATTGGCAGCATGATACCCTACGATAGCGCCTTTGGCAGCCACGAAACAGACGTTATAACCGACAACCCAGGCATGATTAATGGGCACCCGGCATCGCCACGCTCAATAAGGAGACTGCGCAACCGAATGGCTGCCGCTCGCATGCGTACACGGCAGAAGCAGCATCTGGAAGACCTCGAACAGCGTAAGGAGAAGTTGGAGCAGCAGGCAGCGAATTTGGAGAGTGAGTTGCGCGCAGTTCAGCGCAAGAATAACCCGCTAAACTCATCTATCGACAAGCTGTCAGAGATGATCGATGACTTGACAAAGGTCGAGTCCACCATGCTCTCAGGTATAGACGAGTGCAAGAGCCTGCTAAAGAACCTTGAGAGACTGTACTGGGAGCGAAATCCCTGACGCATCAAAATAAACATATTTTTAAGAGCGCTGTGGCACCCTTACATTTTTCATATATTTTTACATACTCTCTCCCTCTCTTATTTAGCGAAACTGTGAAATAATTTTTCAAATGCATATATAATAATACTACACATTTTTTTTAACTATTTCGCACATATCAAATATTCCTATAAAAATTATAGCAGGTTCAGTTGTCATCAAGCAAGAATGAAATGGGAATGCGAGACGTGGTCTGGCTGTTGGCTTTGGAGCCAGACCGAGACCGGACTGTGGAGGTAGTAAGATTAGCGTTCCAATATAACTCAGATACCGACTCAACCCTAGTAATGCCACCCATCCTATCGCTGACACTGTCAGTGCTGCTGGTGCTGCCTCTTGCGTCCAATGGTGCTGATATCACTTTCATAAAACCCGATGATGGCGATAACAACGACGACCTTTGGCCCATATTGAACTCTAAACTGGCAACTTGATCGGACAGCAACTTCTTCAGCACATTAATGCGCCCAGCGCAGACACCAAGCCAATGCGTAGCGCCCTCCAGCAACATGATTATCTGGTACGCCTGCGTATCAATCTCCAAATTACAATTGCTCTGGCTATACTTAACTGCCTTTAGCAACATTAATCCCTGGGCAGTAAGGCTGTGAAAACCGGCAGCAGCAGCAGTAAGACTAGCAGCAGTCGACATCATCGTGTTGTTGTTTAGAGATGCAGAGATGGTGTGTTGCAATGATTGCAAGTAGTTTTCTAGTCTGAGAATTTCCTTGCCAGTCTTCACAACCTTGAGTCTCTGGCGCTCGCGCAGACGTGCAGATGACTGGCGGCTCTGGTGGCGACGCCGGCTCTGCGGAGACATGTTTCCTTGGTCTTCAATGGCCTCTTGGTCGGCACTGGCGGATCCAGTATTATCCTTGACTCTGTTCATTGTTGTAGACGCAGAACTGACGATGATATTGCTTGAAAATCTGTGAACGTTACTCTTGGGCAGTCTGTGATAAACTCCCGCATTTTGCTGCTGCTGTTGCTGTTGCTGTTGCAAATGTTGATAGTGTTTGTGCCTATACACTGTGTTTATAAGATAGTAATGGAATGTTGTGGCACCATGCGCAGCCGATTGTATATCAAAAATACGTTAAAACCCAAGTCACATTAAATTTGATTATTAGCATCGATCTCGAATGGTTTTATTTGAATGTAAAAAAGATTGAGTAGAGAGTACTTTAATTTTTTGGTTATGTTGATGGCCATAATAACAAAGCTACATAGGATAGTAACAAACAAGTTATAAGAGGACTACAAATACTAGCATACACTATTGCAAAATATGATAGCAAATAAAAATAAAAAAGCATGATTCTGCAGTGCCAATACATTTAAAAATATCACTGTAAATACAATGGTGAATTTGTTGTGAATATTCCCTTACCTTGTTTGATAGTTAGCAGTCAGATCAATGAGCAATATTATTAAATGCTGTCAGTATAAAAAGTGAGTGCTCAATTCAGTTCAGTTCAGTTGCGGTGGAGCAAGTAAAAAAGGCAGGAAATTATATACAAACTGAAGGCGACAGTGGTTTCTTGCTGGTGGAGAGTGAAAAAGTATAAAAAAAGTTAGCGCGTTAGTTTGTGCAATATAAATATAAAGTTTGGCTACAAAAACAGGTAATTAGAAGGTTACAATAAGAAAATTATAAAGTAGAGCCAGGGGTATGGTAGGGGATATACTTTAATCAAAGTAAAAATTAAAATAATACGAAACGGGAGAGGGGAAGAAAAAAGATAATAGAGGGAGAACAAGAGCAAGGGGAAGTAATAAAGCCCAGAAGTAAATAAAAACAGCTAGGAGTAAAAAAAGGAACAAAACTTGATATCATGTCATGGCAAGCAAAAATCAGGATAGTAAAAGCGTTGTAACCAATTGTATTCGATGGCAAGGAGGCACTCATAAAACAAATTTTGGGGAGGCATTAAACATGGTGAATGACAACACCATGCATATTGAGGCTTATCACAATAAATAATTATAAATAGTGATGTAAAAATTAAGTGACAAAAACAAATAGACATCCGTCATCTTTTTATTACAAGCGCGATTTTGCCATGCAAATTTGGAAAAAAAATTGAAAATAAGCAACCACGTGAAAATGTTCATCTTGCAGTCACTACAGAATAATATCGTGCAATGTGAGTGACGTCATATGCTGATAAACAAAAAATTGAACTATTCCGCTGACCACAGCCTCGCCTGTGAGACTGAATAGTTATTTTTATATTGTGCACTAGATATTTTTGTAAACCAATAGGTGGTGAGAATTACCACATAAGCTTGGCTGAGCCGAGAGCTCGCGAGCTAAGTCGATTCCGAGCGGGGATTTGTTATGTAAGAGGGGGGTGGGGAGCACTACTGTAATAGTGTTAGAAAGTGGGTGTAAAATTATAAATAGTTTTATTATTAGTGTTTCTAAAGTACTATTATTGCCGGCCTCGCTTTATATATATATCCTTGTCTTTGTGGCACTCACTGGCAGTTGTGTGCTCCGTTCGCGAGAGCTGGTCCTTATGAAAGTAACCCGGGTCTCTGATATGGCATAATTGGCATGTCTGTATTCTTGCGCCCAGCACATCTATTTAGAGTCAGACAGTATGTCTGGATGTCAACAGTGGCGTCTGATTTAGTTCCCTGTAATTTGGTCAGTATCAGATCCATCAGTAAGCTGGCAGAAATCTGTCTTATGATTATTGCCCTCAGCGTCTACCTCCATATCCTTGGGCTGCGTACCACATTGATGCGCAGTACCAGCTGAGAGATCATTCAGTCATTGTAACTCTCTGCCTATAAAATGGCAGAATGGGAAGGCTCGATAGAATATTTCCCTAGTTTTTGTTTTAATAAAGTTTTATTGGACCCATCAATTCTGACGTATACCACACAATATGATAAATATTAATTGTAATGTGCGTTGGCGGGCAGCAGCAGCATTGGACAATTTTTTGTTTATTTTAAGGGCTTTTCTTTCCAAGGGAAATATCAAAACAACCACACATCATACATCACACATCACATGGCATGCCAGCTATCTGCATTGGTATTTTTGCATCGTTCAGTTGCTTCTGCACTTTCATTGCTGTTCAGAAGCCAGCCTTTTCAGTTCAACAGCACCACTATAATGTTACTATAAATATCCAGAAAATTGGTTTTGAGAAGCCACAGTGCAAAGTCGAGCACAGCGCAGCTGTACAACAAAAGAAAAATAGACGAGACTTGCGCCACTGTCTGACCAAGCAAAAGCACTAAAATCAATCACAATGATGACCAATTTTTGTTTTTGGATTTTTTGCCAAAATTAGTATCATGCCATAAAATGTTTTATCAACCTCGAAACCAACTTTAATCACTCGCTCGGCCTCAGCATGCCGAAGCATGCTTCAAATCTTGCATGCAGATTCTGCGAGATGAAGTCTGCAGCCGTGCATGCCTTGCTTGTCTGAGAGCGAAGCAACAAACAACCACTAAGAATGGCGAAAAAGAATGGCCAATGATTACTTTGCTCATCTTTCATCTCTAGAAAAAAAATACAGCGGAACCTTCCACTGTTGCACTATTCGCTCACCAACTGCGCCCACATTCACCAAATCGTGTGCAATTACGATTGGATCTATCTACACCTGAATTGCTGACTCTGGGTGATGAGCTAACCAAATGAGTCAAAAATAAAATACTTGCCTCCATTTACATTATACAGCAGCTACACGTGAGCAATCGTTCTGCAATCACCCTGTTTCTATTTTCTCTAATTTTGGTTTTTTTGCCAGCCGATGCCACAGCCCATCAAAGCACAGATAACTTGTTTTCGCAAAGGTGGAGGCCAACTTGATAAGAATGAGAATTACAAATAATAGTTGGGCTTTATACATGCGATTCCTCCATTTGTGGCAGTAGTACATATTCCGTGGGTTTGGGAGGCCAACCTGACCTTTTTAAACATATGGCCAAATATCATCACCCCTTTTTTTTGCAGAAGACGCGTACCATTTTCCATGGTGCTCCTTTTATTGTTTTTATTGTTTTTCATTGTATATCTTTTTTTATGATGGTGCCTTTTGGTCACCACGCCCAACTAGAACATTTTTTGCACTCTGTGTATTGTGGGATGGGAGTGGCTGGCACCGACCTAAACCACCAGCACAACACCACCAAGTGACGGTATCTTTAAACCCCGCAAGTGATAAAACCCAAAACAAAAAAGTCCTAAACAGAAAAATATCGCCTTCCGAGAATTCGATTTTTTTCATGTCATTTCACATTCACAGCAGTCGGTGGAAGAAAATATAGCAAAAAATATTTTTGTTATATTTCATAAGCCTTGCTGCCTTGCGCACTACAAGTATTACTCTTATTTTTATGCCCTGTGAATATTTTTGGCTTATTTCTATAGTTTTAAATTTGCACGACCCTCTCTGCCCACCTCCATGCCATTCCCCTCATTTACTCGCTCTTTAGTTTGTGACTGCGAAAGGGAAAATAAAACCCCTCTTACGTTTGCCCATTCTCAGCCTGCACATTCTTTTTGTTCTCTTTTATGTTTATTTGTAAACATTATTTGTAAACATTATTTGTAAACATTATTTGTAAACACAGTTGATAATGGTAAGCCCAAAAATACTATATTTTTTTTTTAGAATTATTTATACTTTTTCCATTATCATTTTTTTCCATTATCCATTTTTATTCTATTATTTCATTCTATTTTCCAGTAGTCATTTTGTACCCACTCGAGTCATTGAAATGATTCCAGGCTACATAAAAAATTAAAAAAAATTTTACTAGCTCGAAAATATTGCTCTATTTTTTTGCACACTAATTTGTTAACATAAAATTAGTGCGCTAAAATTTAAGCACTGAAATTTAAGCGCTGAAATAAAAATTTTACTTTTTTCGCGATACGACGCGCTTTCGAATCGCTCTTTGTTTGCATGATCGTTGTCTAGGCTCTTCCAGCCCCCTTACAGCTGCCACTTACAACCCTTTTGGCATTCACTTTGGCCCACCCGGATAATTTTATGTGAGCAAATAACTTTAAACTTTATGCTTGGGCGCCCGATTTTTCCTGCTTAATTTTCAAAACAACACTCTTCTTTGGTCTTTCGACACAAACCCCCTTTCCTCTCATCGCATTTTTTTCTTGAGAAATTTTGTGTGCCCGCTTCGTTTGGCGTTACTTTGGACGCAGCTCATTAATTGTATATTTTTCTATGGCGGAAAGAAAATTATTACTGAACTGCCTATAACCATTTTCAACCCTATTCATCTTCAACGTAGAGTCAACAGTCAAAGCCCAGGTCCATACTTCCAAATGGAACTATAGAACGACCTCAGGATGGATACCTGCTCGAGCAGGCTCTCTTACGCAAACGCGAGCGAAACAAAATTGCCGCCAGACGAAAGCGCGACCGCAAGAAGCAGCGCATGGATGCTCTAGAGCAGCGCGAAAAAGAACTACGCCATAAGCACATGTCTCTCGAGTTGGAGCTTCTGCTATACCAGACCGCCAACAAAAACCGCAAGATCAACGAGCAGGGCCGCTGGCTGTCGAAATTGTTGCTAAGGCTGTCGTAGTACCGAGGGAAAGGCCCTTTCTCCGACGATGCCCGTGACACCGAGGCCAACGGTGCTGCTAACAATGGCAGCGACTATACCGCGATCAACGCCGAGATAGCAGAGCTGCACGACAGCGTTGTCACCGCTTGCAATCAGGCGCAGGTGACGTCAGATACCCTCATTCTGCTCAAGCATGAAATAACCCAGCTGCTGGAATTTATGGAGCAAAACCGGCCGCAATGAAAAACATGTATTGCTGATATGGTTTTTTATTTGCACTGAAACTTGTAATTTTTATTCTGCATTTTTTGTCTTTTCCTTTTATTTAGTATTCTAATAACGCCAGTTTTATTAATGTCGCAAATATATATTTCAGCATTCAGCTTTCGGTATTGCTTGGACTCATATCGTAACTTTAAGATCATATTTTTTAGCCTGTTTGCTTGATGTTTTTTATTTGCTTCCATATTTTTTGTTTTAAGCTTTGGATTATTGATAGACTAAATTGTTTACATTTTATTTGCTGTGCTGCTGATCAGATGAAATGACAATGCACTCAATTGTTATTTTCAAATAAACCTCAAATCACAACCGTCGTTTTTTGATTGTCAGCCACACAGATTGTTGGCAGCGTGCTCTTTCCAAACTCCATTTGTTCAAAAAAGATAACATTAATGGAAACAATGTAGCGGCAGCAAGCATTGAAAACTAAATATATATTTAATATCCAATGAAAAGTTAAAGCGGTTGTATTTTCCCTATATTTTCATACAGGCACCTAATTGAAATAAAACTAACCCACGCTTTTTTGTTTACTTTCAAAACGCGCTCGAATTCCCACTACATGAAAAGTAACATAACAAAGTAGGTCGACCGAGAAAAAAACAGTTTGCCCTCCAATGCCACTGCTTTTGCTATAACAAAAAATATAGTAATACACGCGACATAACAACGCACACAATAACTAAAAAAATAACTACAGCATAATATCAGGTAGCTCCTACTTTCTCATCATAGTTTTAATCCCCATCCCCCCCCCGCACTGTGGTGATGGGTGAGTTTATATGTGTCCGAAGCAAGTGCTATATTTCCCGGTACCTCTTTTGTTGTTTACTGCCATATACAATCTAGCCCAATAAGAGGAGAAAGAGGAAATAGGGGGTTATGACGCTTACATTTACACACCCCCAGACTTTGCGATAATCATCAAGAAAAAAATGGTCTCTATCTCTGGTCTCTGGTCTTTTTTTCTCTGTAAACGATTTTCTTTACTATTACTATTTCTGTTTTTTTGCTTTACTGGTGTACTTGCTGATTTCTCTTACTTTTTAACTTGTATATAACCGCAGAACAATACTTTGAGCAGTCAGCTTTTTTCGTTTCCGTGTTTCTCACACGGTTTTTCCATTAAAGTAACAATTAGTTTTTTTCAGGCGCTATTGCGCTATTTACCCTTATTGCCCTCTATTTATTTTATATATTAAAACATAACAGTGGTTCGATTGACATTGCCCGACACTGCGCCATTATTTATACTAATTACTTCTTTTATTTGCCCTTGCTTCATTACCTCGCCTGAAAATTATATTTCTTCTTTCTTTCAATTTAATGACTTTAAGGATCTGAACCGGAATATATATAAATATTTTGCCGTTTGGACAACGCCTTGCTTCAATAAATTTAAATACCTTCGACTTTACATTATTATTTTATATCCACCATTACGTAGACGCACATTGCGCCTCATCTTTTATTTCATCTATTTTTATTTTTTATTTTGCTCTGTACATACCGCCGCAACTGTATTCTTTGGACACATTTTTAATCCTGCGTTTTGATATTATTTCTGTATATAAACGCACTCGCCCACAGCGTTTATAAAACTTTTTTATTTAAAACATACTTTATACTTGTTAGGATTTCATTGACACGCACATACGCACAGGCACAGACACCACCACAGCCACAGGCACACGCACAGGCACACGCACACCTTTTTAATTGCATACCTTCAAGACCTGACTGTATTACCACTTTTATTTCTCATAGTAAGTATTTGCAAAACTGACATGACCATTTTTTCACTGTTGAATAACCTTCCAGTATACAAAAACAATCACACTGCTATATCACACTGCCATTTGTATATCGCGTCGAATCATGTTATTACATTTTAAATTTCAAGTACTGGTCACATTACATTCATTTATTTCCCTAACTTTAAAGGTAAAATTTTGCATGTAAATAGCTGAAATACGCTTTTATTATTGAGCCTAATATTGCCAATCCCGGTATTTCGGGGTGATCAACACCACGCTGCATTGCTGACTTGCCACTGTCGGCATTTCAATCTATATATAGAACATGCCTCGTGTACGCCTTCTGCCTTTACCAATCATGGTTAGCCATTAGTATATTGTTTTTCTCACATTTTGTACATCATTTATTGCCCTGTGCGCTTTATACTAATCCTCTCCGCCCCAGCTGGATACAAAAATGTGATGAGCATTTCAGTCACATATCAAAAATTATCATATTATATTTGCATAGTCAATTATTTTGTCTATACCCGCCACTTATCATAGTCATTTGTGCAATTTCTGCGTACGGTGTCAACTGTTTTTATTAAAAATTCAGCCGTGCATTGCCTTTTTAAAGCCATTTCCAATATGTATATATATATATGGAGACACAGGCCATTGACACCATATTCACTGAAAAATAACACTAATTCGCATAAACTTCCTACACAGTTTTTTCATTAAACAAAACACCATTAGGTATAATTCAGCCAATTTACGCCATATACACGCAAAAAAACACTAGCCATGCGCATAACATCATATGTGGCATTTATAGCTACAGTGCTTGTGCTGCATGCAGGGCGTACGGCTGGCCACCCGCTGTGCTCCCAGACAAAGCTAAGGAGCTCTGGCAGGCCACCCCTGAGGTGACGCAACCACCAGCAGGTATGCCCGACTTTTACAGGCCATCAGTGGCCCGGCGGCCACAACCACCCAGCGGCGTGCATGTTCCGGCACCAAACGACCACGCCAAGGTTAACGACAAGATGGCAGCGCAAACTTTAGCCTCTGGGCAGCACAAAACAAAACTGCGCCTGGATACCAAACCAGAGTATCTACAGTTAAAGCATCATATCGGTGCTAGATTCCGATAAACAGAGCCCGTGAATACTGGCCAGCCGTTGGTATTCCCATCGGCAAACAGCCCCTACACGCCCAACACCAACCTTTTTGACGCCAACACTGTGAGGACACCGCTAGTGACCAACAAGTGGTGGCAGAATCTCATTATCGAGAAGGGCGTTGATCCGATTCACCCTCACCCCTATATGGTCAAGTGCTCAGCAAGTCGTCAGTCGTCGGGTTCCCTAAGTTCCAGGCTTCCAAGAACGCATTTACTAGTTCTCAGCCGCCCGATTGGGAGATTAGCGATGCCTCAGGGGCGCTGACCAACGCCAAGTCACTGCTTTTGATGCGCTGGGCGTTGAGGTCACCTGGTCGGGCAAGTCAGCAGCCAGCATGAAATCCCGCTTTTATAAGGGCTTCCCGCTTCTGACGTACGAGATGAACAGCATGGCACCCTCGCTCAAGACAATCCACGCAATCCTTAAGGTTCAGCAGCTCGGGCGCACTATCAACTCGTACGGAGTCAACACCAGCGAGAACGCAACCAGGCTTGCGCGCCAGATGGTCGAGCAGCCGTCGTTAACCCAAATCACACTCAACGACAACTCGGAGTGGCTCATCGTGTCTAAGCCAACAATTGTATGGAAAAATTCGGGAAATGGAATGCTCGTTCAGCAGAACCCTGGCGCGTACTCGGGAGTCGTGCAGATCGCGCACCTGGGCGACAAGCCAGCAGAAAACATCAACGTGCTACAAAAGTATGCCGGTAATTACCCGATCGAGGCATCCATCACTTACGCAAAGGCCGAAAACAAACAGAATGTGGGCCGGTCTTCCGACGTTGTTTTCTTTTACAAGACCAACGCTGGCAATGGCGGCGACATGTCCAGGTTTTTGATGCTGGAGAAGTCTCAGGAGCCGTCACTCTGCTGTCGTTGGTGCTGCCCCACCACGTGGATTTGCTCCCAGAGAAGCCTTGCTATCGCCTGGTCTCTCCGGGTACCGCAGCGCAAAGGGCCCGCTGACAGCGGTTGTTGGCAATATTATCTCGTACAGCCAGCCACTGCAGACAGTCTCGTTTGACGGTGCGCAGAAAATCTCTCCCGGCGACAAGGCGGAAATCCAGCACCAGCTACTTAGGGACTTGGCACAAGCACCAACATCACTGCGCCCGACCCTTACTTTTTTGGCAAGGGCATAGCCAAAATTGCGCGTCTTTACCAGATTGCACAGGAGATTGGCGATAGCACCTCGGCCTACACCCTGAGCACCAAGCTTGTTGCCATATGACGCCGTGGCTTATCACCAAAAAAACGACGATCCGCTGGTGTACGACTCCAGCTGGGGCGGCATTGTATCAACCAAGGGCTGCCGATCCGGGCGCTGACTTTGGCCAGGGCCGGTACAACGACCACCACTTTCACTACGGGTACTTCCTCTACGCCGGCGCCATCCTGGCAAAGTACGACATCGATGCCTTTGCGCCCTTCCGCGAGGTGCTTAACCAGATGCTGCGCGACTACGCCAACCCGACCTACATTGACACGCAGTTTCCCTACATGCGGCACTTTGACCCCTATGACGGCCACTCGTGGGCTGCCGGCCTCTTTACTTTTGGCGACGGCCGCAACCAAGAGTCTTCTGGCGAAGCAGTCAACGCCTACTACTCGGCATACCTGTACGCTCTGGCCACCGGTCTGCAAGAGACGGCAGATTTTTATGAAATCATCCTGAACATGGAGGCAACTTCGGGCAGACGCTACTGGCACCCAACGCGGGCCCAGTCCAAGGAGCTGTTTGGTGAGCCCTTTGTGCACAATGCCGTGGGCATCTTGTGGGCAAGCAAGGCTGATTATGCAACTTTCTTTGGTGCTAACCCCGAGTACATCTACGGCATCCAGATGCTGCCCTTCACACCAGCCACCAAGTTGCTGGTCACCACCGAGTGGGTCAAGGATGCCTGGTGCCCTGAAGGCTCGTCGGCATGTGCCGGCGGCATGCAGGCGGCTGCCGAGCAGGCTGGCAACAACGCATGGACGAATCTTTTGTACACGGCGTATTCGCTCGTCGATCGAAATACCGCGTGGAACAAAGTCATTGGCAGCACGCCCGATGACGGCAACACGCTGACCAACGCCATGCATTGGATTGCCACCAGCGGCAAGCAAGGAACTGATGTGAAGTAAAATATTATTTATATTTTTTTATTGTTACATATATTGTTATTTTTTTAATCTAGCGACACCCCCTTTCCGAATAGTCATTACCAAGGCAGAAATAGAAAATGCACATAATATATAAATAAATAAGTTAAATTATAATTAAATGTAAAGTTAAACCAAAGTATCACTCGCGCGACGCCTTTGGTACCAAACATATTAAAAAGAGCCATCACATTGGCGTGCATCCATAGAGATAGTGGTTGCGCGCGTGCAAAAGCGAGACAAATGGCCGCTGGCAAAGCTCACACGACTCTGGCACAGGCTCGCAATTTAGCGCGCACATGCGCTCATGCCACGCTCTCGAAGCCGCAGGCGCAACCCGCATATTGCAGTGCTTGCATGACTCCACTACCGCTATATTGCTGTCATCCGCCCACTCATGCACGTCTTGCCATGAGATGCCGCGCGTGTGTGTCGGCGGACTCTGTGTCTCTGACGACACCGGCCGCAATCTGGTTATTGACCGCCGCCCTACGGATTCTGGAAGCCGAATCGTCGGCATGCACTGCATGTTGTGGATGTCGAGAAGCCGCCCGCTGTTTATGCTGTCTTCGATGCTGAGGTCGATAAAGTTGGCCGAGTGGACGACCGGCTGTGGCTCGCGCCCGCTGCTATTCCTGTGCCACGGGAAGCTGCTGGTTTTTGTTGGCGATGACAAGTACTTTTTGATGAGAGACATTCTCAGGATTTGAATATTATGTTGTGTTTATGGTGAAAAATGAAGGATACAAAAAGAAAGCAAAATGCTCTGCAAAATAAAAAAGGTATCAGGCAAACGGGATGCTATCATTTTATAATAGCCGCAGTTGCAATTGCCTTTCTTATTTAACAAGGAGCACTCTTTCTTACTTTAAACCTGCTTTTTTGCATGCCCATCCGTTTATCTATTTTAATTGAGTGGTGTGCAGCAAAAATAAGGGCATCAAGAGACATTGTGTCAAGGAGGATGGGGCATTGCGTGTATCTATCTGTCCTTTGTTCGCATGAACAGCTTTATCACACGAACGCCATTTCCAATTGATCATCCAACGCCACAATAAACTAAAAAGCGGGTTTTTATATTACTTTTTCTCGCTTATCCGCAGCGTAAGTGCTCGTATTTTTTAGGTTTTGGTTTTGGCTTTGGGCTTGGTTTTAGGTGTCGTTTACAATGCCAATAGGTCAGGCCGCCTATTATGTTAACTGTGCCTGTCGCATTGTTTGCTCTTTTGTTAGCTCTATTATTGTATTGATGTATTATTTTTTACAACTGGCAAGACGAGTATGACACACTACAATTAACATTTTTGTTTGTTGCAACAGTTAGGTCAAAAGTACAAAAAAGGGGGGGGCAACTATTTGGCACTGGTCTGTCTATCTGTTTGTCGCCCTGCACAAGTGTTGAGTGTCTAGCAGAGACACGCAATGCACGCTGAATGCCTACCGATTGCAGCAACTGGTGCTTCCACAGACAAGCACAAAAATCAGCACCACAACTGCCCGTTGTCATCAAGGCATTCTTCCTCAACATCAATATCAAAATTTTGCAGACAGACCTGTGATTATGCTTGCTACTTTTTTTTGTTGTTGCAGCAAAGTAATTATTTGTTTTTCAAATGTCTTTAATGCTCGATGCCGTGACATGAACAGCTCCCAAAAGCAATTGAGACTTGTGCGCTGCTAATTATCTTACGAGCCGACCTCTTTAACAATCCTAGATGACCGGCAGGTCAAACCTCAAGGTGATTCAAGCTCTTTCTAGGACACGCTTTATTTTTAACATAATCACATTGAAACAAATCCCCAGCCTGCGAGGCGACCTTGGAAATTGTGTTTATGCACCTACCTTTGTATTTCTTTAGAATGCAGTTAGTTAAGACATTTCACTAGTGGTAGGAAAAAGGTAGCACACATGTGAACCATTCATAAGCATTTAGCAGCAGATTAAGGATGGTAAAAAAGGGACATTAGGCAGACGAAAGTGGAATAATCGTTACATGACAGCGGTGCTAAACTTTTGCACCATCCTTAATTCCCCCCTTACAGGCGAACAACTTCCCTGTTTTTTGCGCAAAAAAGCACCGTTCGAGTCGGCTAAATTCGAGTCTACAGCGACGCTTGAGATTTTTTTGAAACTTTGCATAATGCTTGTTTGTAAATATATGTTGAAAACAAAGCTTTTCAAAGTAACAATTATATTATTATTTTTTGATCACGACGGATTGATCGACGAGCCAGGGCCACTTGCAATGAACGTCGTCTGCTGGTGGTTTCCATAGTTTGGCAGATGGAATCCCGTGGTATCGATGTTGCCCATCTCGTTTTCGACCATCTGCGTCTCAACAATTTGTTGAACTGCACTTGGAGTCCATTTAGTTGCGAGCCTCTTTTTGCAATACCACTTGTAGCCAAATATACCGCCGACAATAAGTAGCACGCCCAAGATTGACATTGAAACGGCAATGCCGATAACTTGGCTGCGCTTGAGCCCGCTGCTCTGACCATCATTCGTGCTGGCACTTTTAGACCCATTGTGCGAGCCGTCTCGCTTGAGTTGTCGGTCAAATAAGTTGCCGTTCCGGTCGCGCTAGCAGCGTTAATTACAATCAGCGTCGGGTTACCCGATATAGTCACTAAAATGGTCCTCGAGCTAGCAGCACCCATCGAGGCAGATGCTGTGGCCAGAAACTGTTGGTATTCACTGATTTCCTTATCAAATTGCGCCTCTTCGAGATCATCTGCATCTTCATTGTAGTCTGCGCCGTTCTCGTTGTCGCCGTTCTCGTCGTTGCCGTTCTCGTCGTTGCCATTTTTGTTGCTGTTCTCGTCGTTGCCGTTGTTGTTGTTCTCGTCGTTGCCGTTGTTGTTGTTCTCGTCGTTGCCGTTGCTGTCGTTGCTGTGTTGTCGTCACTGCTGTCGTTTTTTTGGAACCATCATCGACTACGGCACCGGCACCGTTTTCGGCGTCAAGTATGGGATTCCTATTATCTCATGGTCGCCATCGTTTCATCTGCTGTTTGCGTGTGCGCGGTTGTCGCTATCATTGCTGCGGAAGTTAACTTTGACGAAGGCCTTTCAGTGAATGTAGAGTCTGACCCTGCGGGAATGGAGAGGCAGGGTTGGAAGTGGTGCCAGTGGCAGCGGTAGTGGCGGGCTTTGTTTCTGAGTCTGAACCCGCTCCCGATAAGGGTTCTGAGGTAGTTTTTGAGGGTGGAGCGGAATCTTGTTCAGTATCTTTTGTTGGCTTAGTTACCGGCACCTGGGTGTCTGGGTCTGACTTTAAAAATAAATTGCCTGCAAATGTGCCTGTGCCGAGAACAGTGTCAAACGCGGACCCTGCCATTGAAAAGAGGGGGTTAGTGCTGTATCCGTAGTCCGGGTGGTTTGGTACCAAGTTTATCTTGCGATCGATCACAGACTCGGCAAAAGTAATGTAGTTGGCCAGCGATGTGTAGTAATGCAAGAGGCGCGAAGAGTCGCATAGCTGATTGCCGTAGTAAACCGTGTGGCTAAAAATGGCTGCCGGCACTATCTTCTCCAAGGAGACAGCGTAAGAGATGCTAAACGGCATATCGCACTGAGCACCACCCACGGCTGACATAGTTGCCGTTGTGCAGAACATGCTATCCGTGTTTGCTGCATATATTCCTGATGTCTGAACGCAGTAGGAGCTTTGGCGCAGGCGTGTCTCAATTACCGCCTCATTCCATGCATGGTCTGCACATCTTGCAAGTAGCTGCGCGCAAACCATCTATTGTTCCACTCGTCTGCGCTGATCCCAACACCACTTGACCAGCCACTACTGGAGATACCGGTAAAGCGAACAACAGCAATGTTGTTTGCAAATGTGCGCGGGTCGAAATCGGGGTGGATTGTGATTTTGCTGTTACTGATCAACGCACGCTCCTTTGCAAGACCCGCAGCGTTGTTGAAGTAGATTTCATAACTGGCCTTTACCTGATTGCCGCTCGCGTCGGTCAGACAAGTGGCTGCGACAAAGGCGGATTTGTTGTCGATCAGGGCAAACTCGCATGATGTCGCCTGCCCGTCAGATACCAAAACGGCCGCGCGCTGGAATTCAAAATAAGTAGGTGCATCAGTTGGTTTTGCGCGCTTGGTAAAGTTTAACACGCTGCCACTAGCAAGCTGAAAAGCAAACAAAAGACACATGACAAATTTTGTTATCATCTTTGGACCCGATAAAGTCATGCAAGTGAACAGGTGGGCGGAAGCGAGTGAGTGAATGAGAACAAGATAACAAAAATATATGTATGTATAAAGTCGAAATAGTAATGAAAGTATAATTTTTATTATAGTAAAATGAGATGTCGAAATAGAATATAATGTAATGCGGATAATAATAATAATAAAATTGACTCTAGTACTAAGAATACCAATAAATGAATAAAAACAGCAATAAGAGAAGAACTAGACAAAAAATTGGTTTTCTACTACTTTTAAAAAGATGCCCGGGCACAAAATGGAAATAGGCGCTAGTTTGAAACTCAGCTTCTGTCACATACATAGCTTGCGGAGGAAATACCAGTCGATAAAGCTCCAGACAGCAAAAAAATATGATTTGGAGCCTTCAAGTAACTATTGGGTATTTTTAAAAAGATGTGCACCACCACTGTTTTATTAACAGTTTGAAAGCAAATATGTCTTTAAATTTACAAAGAGATGCATTGTCGATTGGCAAGGGATGGCCAAATAAAGTTTTTTTCCCCTCTGAGCGGAGCAAACGAAGAGGCAATAAAAAACATTTACATTTAGAAAGGCTGGATCAGTGCTTAAATTTCCAAACTTTTCGTCCATTGGCAATTAAAAAAAGCAGGTATCTTTTATACAATTTAAAATGATAATTCGCCAATGCTGTTTGCCACAAATGCAAAAAATTAGATTTTAACATGATGAGTACTTGTACATAGGCCGTTTTTTTAGAAAGACAAATTAACGTGCGTCGAAAAAATTGTAGATGCGGACTGGCTGGCATTGCTAGACCGCAAAGAATATGCAGACGTGCAGACCAAAAGATCGACAGAAAAAAGTGAACTTTTCGACAATCCAACTGAGTTGCTCGGGTGTATCCTTTTGCTAAAGTTTGAAATAGGCAAGCCAGAAAAATCAATTGTGATATTTGCAATGTCGACCAAGTTTACTGCTACAGCGCTGCTAGAAGCTTCCGCTTTGTCGGCTTAGCCTACGGTGTAAAGTGTGGTGGGTGTGTGAAAGGTGCCGAGTTTGCTGGTGGCCTAGCCAGAGCCGAGTTACCCATCTGGCCAGCAGAAGAATCGTAGCCTCCAAACTGCAGCGAGTTCATGTACTCAATCTCGACGCTGGTCGGGTCTGCAAACAGTGTGCTGTTGCGGTTCAAGTAGGAGTGCCGCACCTCATTGTACACGGCGGCTGCACACCGGGCATCTGCACACCGGCTGCGAGGCGCCGCCAAGCTCGTCAACAAGGGCAAGCACATTTTTCTGGCGCGAAATTGAGCCACGACTCCACTTTTTGCGCTGCTGGTTTCGCTGGTACCTGGTAATTATAAAATACAGCGCTATGGCCAGCACAATAGCCGCCAGCGGAATAGCCGTGGCCATGGCAATTACCGTGCTTTTTGGGACGCCGCTGAAGGTGTCATCGTTTTCGCCATCCAGGCCGTTCAAAGAGTCCTGGTCGACATCGCTTGAGGACTGGTCAAGGCCAGAGCTTGCAAGAGCAACGTCAGATTCATTGTCGTTTGACCTGGAGGGTTGATCCATAGTTCTAGTTTCGGTGACGCGATCTGTCATTGTGGACGTGCTGACAGCTCCGGGAGCTGTTGTGACGTCAATAACCCAGACGACTTTGCCAGAAACGGTATTTTCAACGGTGTACATGTCGCCGCCAAAGTGCCTGGTGTTGTTGTCGTCAGCTGCGCTTGGCGACTTCATCTGGAAGTTGACGCTCCTGCCAAGGCCGTCAAGGGCACTCGTATTTTCGACGTACTGGCTGACAGAGCGATTGAGCACCGCCCGCGCGTACATAACGTAGTTGGTGAGCAGCGTGTAATAATGGAATTTCGAGCTCTCCTCGCACATGTAGTTACCGTAAACAACCGAGTGACTGTAAAGCGCGGCCTCGCCCATCGAGTTTTTGCCCACGCCGTAAACCGAGCCGTAGGGCATGGCACATTTGCTGTCAATCGGCGACGCCGTGCTCGCTTTTGAGCACACAAAATCGTTTGGATTATTCTTATACAGACCGGAGGCCTGGGCGCAGCTTGGGTCGGAGTTTAACTGAGAGACAATTGTCGGGTTTCTCCACGACATGTCGTCGACGTTGGTCAGCAGCCGGCGAACATACGCAATGTCTGTCCACTCGTTTCTGTAGGCGGCAATGGGGCTGTTCCAGTTTGAGGAGCTGTCAGGATATGTGAACTTGACCACAGCGATGTTGTTGGCAAACGATTCCGAATTGTACGCCGGTGAATGTAAATATCGGCGATGTTTATCCGGGCCTTGGTTGGAGAGCTGCCCTGCGCGTTGTCAAAGTAAACCTCGTATGTGACTTTAGCGTCGATGGAGTCGCTAGAAGTCTTACCCAGGCAGTTGGCTGCGACAAAGCCGGCCTTTTCGTCGATAAGCGCAATTTCGCATGATGTCTGCTTGCCGTCTTTGACCAGAATAGCACCCCGAAAGGAGTTTAGGGCTGACTCAGAGACCGCCCGCCTAGCCAGAGTGATGTTTGATGGAGAGCCGGCAGCCAGTGCAAAAGTAAGTGCAAAGCCCGAGCCAGAATTACATCACATAATGAGCGGACCATGGTTTTTATGGCTGTGTGAGAAAAAATATAGAGGAGTGTGTGTGCGTGGGTAATGAAGAAATGATATGAATATATGTGATTTATAAAACAATGCTGATACAGAAAAAACAGGGTATAAAAATGCGCTAAAATAGAACTGACAAAATGAAATGGAAACGAAAAAAAGTATTTAAAAACAAAGAATTAAAATGAGCAAACTTTTCGACAAATTTTCAAGCAGTTGAGTGGTACTATAACATGTGCAAGTCCAGCGGCCTTCAAACTTTTTCCAAAAAAAAGACAAATGGGGAAATACGTAAATAAAATGCACTTTCCCCAAAGACCGCAATGCTTTTGAAAGCGGGTATGCATCCTGTTCCGAGCCCCCTTTTGTAAAAAAAATTTAATGCAAAGAATCCAAAAAAAAGAGCAAAAAAGGAGCGCGCCAAGTTAATCCATGGTTTACATAGTGTACGAAAAATAGACCGCTTTACTCCAATGTGATGTGTGTGCATTGTCATTTTATTTTTCACTTTCACAGCAATGTGCGATCATGGAAAGGTTTGGGAGTTGCATGGATTCCGTGTTTCCGAATACTTAAGGAATAAAATAAAAATACAATCAATTTGTTGCGATGCCTTGAAGACATTTTGTAAAAAAAGTTCACTGCCAGCACAAACCTCTAGCAAAAAAATCACTTGAGAAATTGCAGCCAAAAAATAAGAGCAATTGGTTGTCTTCTTTAGCGGCAAAAGGCAGCCATAGCGACAGAAAAAGATGCCAATGCCGTCGCAAAAGTAACAGAAATGAGCAGCATCCCCGACCATCTGAGCGGCTGCTGCAGTACAGCCAGCTGCGCGTGCGTGTGGTAGAAGACGGACATGGCAGCCAAACCAGTGAATACGGCCAGAAAGAAGAGCGCCAACCCAATATAGTGGTTGTATCCATTGATAACTGTTTTTAACCAGTAGCACGAGTGTAATATATTCTTATCATTTGGTGACGTGTTACTCGGTTGCCGAAAGCTGACTAGCGCTGCGGCGCCCGTGCTCATGATGACCATCGACAGACGCAACCAGCTCAGATAGTTGCGTTCGGCGGCGTAAAAATCCCTGGCTGTGCTTCCTTTGTTATCTATCTCGCTGGGAACCCCCGACCATGCGACGCCTGTGGTAGTTATGGCGGCAGAGCTGCTCCTAGAACGCGAAGCTGCGTCCATGAGGACTGTGTTGACTCTGCTATTGACTCTGGCGCCGAAATCGTGCTCGAATACACTACAGGCGGCTGGTCGGAGAGCAGCCGATCTGTTTCTTGGGCGTAGCCAAGTGACATCGACTCATTGGCTCAGTGCTCAAGCAATTCTCAAGAACTAAATGTGTGTATTAATGTAATGTATGGACTGTATATAGTGCTAGTTCGTTGACGTGCTGCTTGTTTGCGCTTGTGTTTATCTGAAGAAAGCATTAGGAGATAACGGTATTGCCAAATATGCATATCGAGTGCAAAAAAATATATAGAATACAAATAACAAGGTTAATATAAAAATAAAGCGTAACTGAAGAAAAGAGCAAAATAGAAATGATCACGGCAATGTATACATTCGGCCAGCTTGATGGTGCAACGCAAAGACTAATTGTGACTGGCAAGCGCATGACTCCGCAGAGTGGGGATGCACAAAACAACGACCCAGACTCCACTCCCACTTCATCATTCATGCAATAAACATTAGCGCCAGAGCAGCAAGCAAGAAAGTATATGCATATTGAATGGCATTGTCTGAAGATAATATTGCAAGTGTTTTAATGTTTACTGCCTTTAATTAATATTGCAAAAACCCAAGTTCATCTAAAATTTCTTGGTTTATTTTTTGAGTGCCAGCATAAAAACTACGCGAAAATTGCGCAATCCAAAGGTTCCATCACGCTCACAAGTAGGACTTGGTTGCATTTGGTCAAACAGGAGGGAAATTCAAGTAGATCCTATCGCCAGTTTGGACTGGGTTTTCCTGATTTGGGTGTTTCAACGGGGAGTCTGGAATCTGTTGTACCATTTTTCTCACTCATTCTTGCGCAAGAACGGAACATTAGTTGTGCCGTACTAAATCGACTTTAGTTCATTGAAATTGCTACTCGCTCGCTCGCTTCCTTTTTGCTGTTCGATCTCCTTTTTCATAAACAAAATTAATAGTCCCAAAGCAAGCAGTGGTTTCACAGAATCAACCACGATAACAAATATAGTTAAAAATGAGAAGTATCACTTTATAAACACTTTATATTTGTTTTCTATTTTGCTTAAAGCCGTGTGGGTGCAGATTGTAAGCAATAAATTGACAATATTGTATATGGCGTGCTTTAGTCGGCGACCGGTGCTGGCGGCAGACGGCGTGCCAACCGCTTATGCTCAAGAGGAATAGATGCTATGAACATGAGCACACCAAATGGGATCAACGCAGAAAGACCAAATGCAGAGAGTGCATGTAAGCGTCGATAATTCCGCTACGAACGTCGACAGGCACATTACTGGAGTAAATTACACTTGGCTTGTCCAAGGCTGCGCTGATCACATCGGCATACAAGCCGTGTTGGTCTTTGAGCAAGCCAATTTTATCGCGCAGAGTGCTGCTCATAATTGTCTGCATGATTGCCATACCAAATATGCTGCCGATCGATCTAAAGAAAGTTAACACGGACGTGGTTGACGCCATATCCTCGGGCTCCACGGCAGCTTGACCGGCAATAAGCGACAGCTGGATGAACGCTCCTGCGCCTAACCCAGCGATTAACAGATAGCACAGTCGCTCCGCCATATTCGAATTGTGATCAAGCAGTGCCAGCAGGCCCAGGCCAACGGCGCACACTGCTGTGCCGGCCCACATAAACGGCCGGTATATTCCCAGCTTCATTACAAGAAACCCCGACAGTATGCTTGTTAGCATGATGCCAACGACAAAGGGCAGCATATAGATGCCGGCAATGGTCGAAGACGTGTTCCGCACCACAGTGTGGTATATCGGAATATAATATATCGGGGTGAACAGACAGGCGCCCATGAAAAACGAGGCTGCCATCATTGACGCAACGTTGCGAATGCGAAACAGCCGCAGCGGCACCACAGGATCGAGAGCAACACGCCATTCAACTATAATAAATACCTCAATAACAACAATGCCAACCACCAGACACGAGATCACTTTGGGCGCACTCCACAGCGTGCCCATGCTTGGGAAGGTCAATCCTAACAAAAGAGACAGTATCCCACCGACCAGTAACAAAATCCCCAGCCAGTCAATACCGCACACCTGAACCCAGACATTGGTGGTGGCGCGTCGCGGCAACTTATTTCGTAAAAGCAGTATGGCTGCCACGATCACAAAACCGCATATGGGCTCGTTCAGCCAAAAGATCCAGCGCCACGAAACGTGATCTGCAAAAACGCCGCCCAGCAGGGGCCCGATCACCGATGATACAGAAAATACCAGCGAAAAGACAGCCATATATGGGCTGCGCTTGCGCATAGGCACAATGTCAGAAACAATGACCAGGGTCAGCCCAATTATAGCTGCCGACCCCACGCCAGCAATTGCTCGTCCAACCAGTAGCATTGCCATCGATTTGGCCAAGGCGCATACTAGCGACCCAATGGAAAACACGCCTATGCCCAGCAGCAACATTGGAGTGCGACCAAAAATATCGCTTAATTTTCCGATACTCGGCTGAATTGCCGCCGAGCTCAAAAGATACGCATTGACCAGCCACGGCGCCAGCGACAAGGCGTTGAACTCCTCGCTTATCCTGACCGTGGCTGTGGCCACAATTGTCTGGTCAATGGCAGCGATAAATAGCGCGAGTGAAAGCACGCCGGTAGTCACAAGGAGTCGGCCCATTGGCATCTCGTTGTGTGGCGGGCTGCGGGATAACCTTTTGCTGCGTGGGAAAAAGCACCCGCCTTTTGGTTGTTGCGCTTCTTCGATATCGACGGATTGTGTACATCTATTGGGGTTCTTGCTATCTGTTTGATGGCTTACATTGGCCGTAATTATGCCGGCCCTAGATTTTGACAGTATTATCTGCCCTCTCGGGTTGGGTGCTGGTGACGCAAATACACGCTGCGAGGCGGGTAGTTGGTTGACGATATATAGACCGCTTTCCGCATCGCTGCAGTCCTCAATTGTACTTCCCGTCATATATTACTCGCTGAAAAAGTGACAAGTTTTTTATGGTAAACAGAATATTAGGCAAGAGATAATGGAACGTGAGCAGAATGAGCTGAAAATAGGGATTGCAAAATCGCTAGAAAAAATACAGTTGTAATAATATAAAAGAAAACGACGATAAACGAAACAAGCAATACAAATACTAATTTCGATATTTTAAACGTTATTTAATAAAACTGGAAGAGTAAAAATAAGTAGAAAATAAATAATTCAAAGCAATAATGACTACAAAAAGTTAGCATGTGCTAGACATTTCCAAACAAACACAAACTAATGACTCGTGCAAACATTAGTTGAAAAACCACAATGAACTATATTGCCAAAAGAGTAAAAAAAGATAAAAAAAGTATTACTGCTGGCCAACCGTCCAATAATGGCAATATTCATTATACGCGAGTGAGTTGAATTCTAGAAATTGCCCTATTTCTGATTCGAACAATTGGACTCAAGCAGAGCTGTGGGCAAAAAAAACTAATATTTTGCAAATACAAGTCACATTTTATTTGATTGATTTTAAATGGTCAATGTGGCTTAAGGGTGATGAAATTAAAGTCAAAACAAATGCGTACAATAAAGTTACTAACAATTACTATTGCAACAAAAAAGATTAGTCTAATCTGTCCCTCAAAGTAATAAATCCAACATGTTTAAAACAGGAATTTTCAAATGTGCATTTTGAACTTGGTTTATATTGTTTTGCGTTTACTTTTTTTATTGCTTGCGCCACATTTACAAATTAAAACATGTGTAATGTGTGGAGCTTATTTTAATCAAAGTAAATTATAATTAATCAAAACAATTCAAAAGCTCAACTTGTCAAGATTAACCGCAGTTTTGTTATTTCTGCTTCGCTCAGTTCACTGTTATAATGCATTCTCGGACCACATCTGGACGAGCACACCTTCGCTAAATTCCTTTCTGTTTGCATTTTAAAAAAACAATTATTAATGTGGCTTTCAGATTTGCAATGTCAGTCTTTATTTCACCCAACGTCCGTATCGAGAAGCCAGAAACAGTGATCGACACAAAACCAATTTCTCGTACCCGCTGAACCGATGCTGGGCGTCACCGACCATTGAAAAATGAAAATATACCTGGGAAGGCTTTGGTATTTTAATTTTCCAAATCGCATTTCGCATGCGTGTATTGACATTGCTCAGTAACAAAAATACGAGTACAAAAAAGACGCTTCATAAGCAAGCAACTATAATTTGGTGCGCTGGCAATACACCCACATCTCGCCCAGAGAAAATAGATCCATAGGTCCACTTGCCCCTTTGGCAAAACCCTGTCCTGTGTTAAACAACTGACAACAATAACCGCCATGCCATGTGGACGAATCAATCCTTGGGCTGCCTGCGAAGATGAGTAACTGTGGTAGAGGGCGCCTACTTGGGGTTTCACCCGGCTGCTACTGCTGAGTCTCTGCCAAATGATTGAACTTACCTTTTAAAGGAATGTAATGGTAGGTGCATAAGCACAATCTCCAAGTTTACCCCGCAGATTGGCGATTTGTTACCATGTATTTTCAATAAAACGCTACATTCAGTTATTTTAAAATTTTAAAATTCAATGAAAAATTGGACCAAAACAATGCAAATCCTGGCTGCAGCTAGAAAGACCAAATAAGAACTGACGATGTGAATGAATAAATCCCGTTGTTGGGTCATTTGCATCTCTTTACAGCAGAATGAGAAAAAGATTATTGTAATTCGATATGCTTGAAGATAATCCTTCTTTTTAAAAATTCCTCGTGGTTGGTTTTCCCTTTTGGAACCACCAGACGGTTTATGTTGTTTACAGCTTTAAAAACTTTAATTTGTAGCACAGATAATAAAAGAGGACAAGCTTCTTTCTCCTTTGAATGCTAATTAAACATATTTGATTCTACTTTCAACTAATTGCTACTCTTATTGGAAAATACACCTTTTACTTGTCTAATATCTGTGTATGCTGCATTGACACAAACATTACAGAAAACATGCAGACGACAGACAACACAGCTGCTAATGAGCCAAACACCATAGGGACAGCACCCGTGGTAGCCAAGACCGAGAGCGCCGAGAACACTGCGACTGCGGTATCTGCTATTGAGACTGAGAAACTGGCCGAGACAGCCGCAGCTACAGCCAAAATCAACAATACCCGCAGCAGCAGCAGCAACATTAGCAAGATGAGCAAAGGCGCAGCGACCGTGGCTGATCCAGACAAGGAAGAACTAGATATTGAAACTGGCGCCGAATGCGAGGCCAAAAAGCCCAAAGCAAATGGCACCGACGCCGGCGACGAACACGATGATTTGGCCTACAGAAACGACAATGATGTGGTCGAAAAGTCAATTCTTGGGTCGATGACTATGCAGCGCAAGATTCTGACAATGGCCGCCCTGAGCATGTCGGTGTTCATCGGCAGTCTCGACCAAACCATCATTGCCAGCTCGCTTCCGAATATTGCCGAGCAGTTTAATGCACTGAGCTCAGTGAGCTGGATCGCCACGGGCTTCCTCTTGGCATCAACAGCCATGCAGCCGCTGTACGGCCGGCTGTCCGATATCTTTGGGCGTGTCGAGACGCTGATGTTTGGCATGGTAATCTTTTTGGTTGGCTCTGCTGTCTCGGGCGCAGCCAACAGCATGGGCATGCTGATTGGCGGGCGCGTTGTGCAGGGTCTAGGCGCCAGCGCGCTAATGTCTCTTGTCATGGTCATTGTTTCGGACATTAGCATTGAGCGCGAGCGCGCCAAAGTTACCAGCGTGTTCGCAGCAATCTGGGCCGCGTCTTCAGTGCTGGGACCCGTGCTCGGCGGCGTGTTCACAGAGTCAAAGGGCGGGTGGCCCTGGGCGTTCTACTTTTCGCTGCCTGTTGGCGGTCTGGCGGGTATCTTCATCGTTCTGTTCTTGCGGCTGCCGCGGCCGCAGGGCTCGTTCAGGGAGAAGCTGAAGCGCGTGGATTTCTTTGGTATGATCGTCCTGGTCTGCGGCATAGTGATGATTCTCCTGGCGCTGAGCTTTGGCGAAGACAGCGCGTCATGGAACTCACCCAAGGTTCTCTGCCTGCTGATTTTTGGAATCGTCGTCGTCGGCATCTTTGTGATTATCGAGTGGAAGATCCCCGCCGAGCCCATCATGCCTCTGCGCCTGTATAAGAACCGCAACGTCGGTATTTCGCTGTTGCAGCAAATATTTGTCGGAGCCGTGATGTTTGGCCCGACATTCTACATTCCCATGTACTTTAGCGTAATCCAGAACAGCTCAGCTATCAAATCCGGCCTGCACCTGCTGCCATTCATCTTGCCCATCAGCCTGGCCTCTATCGTCAGCGGCTTTGTCGTGTCCAAGACCGGCCGGTACCGCGAGATGCAGTGGCTGGGCGGCTTGCTGCTGACCTTGGGCATTAGTTTGCTGTCGATTCTCAACGAAAAGTCAACCACCGGAATTAGCATTGGTTTGCTGCTCCCCGGCGGTATTGGAATTGGATTCCTTCTGCAGCCCATGCTGCTGGCCCTGCAGACCTCCATCCAGCCGCGCGATATGGCCACGGGCACAACGCTCTTTGTCGCCATTCGCTCACTCGGCGGGAGCGTCGGCCTGTCGATTTTCCAAACAGTCCAGCAAAACTCGATCTCAGCAAAGCTCGACGCACTTGTCCTGAAGTACCCAGAGTTCGTTGAAATGATTAGAAGGACCGCCGATAACCAGTCCTTCATTCACTCGGCTGAGCTGCCTGATGATTTGCGCGCCGACTTGATTGGCGCGTATGTCAAGTCATTGCGCTACGTGTTTTTCGCCATGATCCCCTTTGGCGCAATGGTGCTCATACTGGCACTGTTTATCAAGCACATTCCGCTGCGCACGAGAATGGCAAAGACCATTTCGACCGATGCCAAGAAGAGCGAATAATACTGCTAGATCGAGTGTTTCAATAAACCAATATGCCATAAATTTCAGAGCCACCGTGCTGTTAGCCTTTGCTATTGGCATTTGTAAACGATTTCATCCGCCATGCTTTTTCTTCTTCTTCTTCTTCTTCTTCTTCTTCATAACAACACTATTAAATATAGAAATGTAGGCATTGAAATGGCAGATATTCAAACAAACAAACGAAAGACAGAGTTAGTGGGCCTTGGTGGACAGAGCAGTCTGGATAGCCTCGTACAGCTCGATCTCAATAGCAGCAGCCTCCTTGGTCAACTCATCCTTGGCCGACGCAGCCAGGCGCTGGGACTCGGCAAGCTGTGAAGCAACAGCCTGGGCATCGATATCCTCGAGCTTGAAGGCCTCGATGGCGTTGATGTTCAAGACCGAGTTGGGGTTCATGATGGCGAATCCACCGCTGACAAAGTACTTCTCGGCACCAGAGTCGGCAATGATGTCGATGACGCCGGGCTTGAGCTGCTCGATGGTCGGAACGTGGTCGGCAAGAATACCGAGATCGCCGGAAACGGCCGAAAGATCCACCTGGTTCACCTCCTTGCTGCTCAGAACAATCTGGTGAGGCAGGGCAAAGTTAAGAACCAGCTTTCCCGAGGAAGCTGCGGAGGCCTCGGATGCGTAGAGCCGAGTGGCAGCTACACTTTTAGAGAAAGAGTGTTTGTTTTCCATGTCGGGTTTCGTCGTAACAATGTCACAAATCGTCGTTGGCAAGCAGGCGATAAGCGTCGGTATGTGCATAAGGCGCCAGTGTCCGTTTATCGTTTGTTGTAGTTTCCCCCATGCCGCCAGCAAGACACATATGTTTACGCAGATGATCCAAAGTCCGTGCGACAGATAAAGATAATACAGATAGAAAGTTTGGGTCAGATTAGTACTCGGGTGCGCATGGTTTGTGTTTCAATGGCTGAATTGGAGCGCAATGGATTTCCAGCACTGTGGAAATGCATTCATGTTTTGCCGAGATAAGAGAGCGCAATATGTTCCCTTTTTACAACATCGACTACTTACCCTGGCGCGAGACGCGGGCAAAGGCAGCGGCGGGCTTGAAGGTGCGTGCAAGGAAGCTCATTCTGAATTTAAATATAAATGGTAAAAAAAGTCGTCTGTTATATAAAAACCGTGAATTGAAAAACAAAGAAAAAAAGGTTTTGGACAAACTCGAAGAGCAGAATATTGAATTCAATTGAAGATTCTGAGATTCTGTCACTCTGCTACCCGCTAAAAAAATTACAGCATAATTCTTCTGGCGCTATAGTCCTGCTTCTCCACCAGAGCACTGCAGATTGTATTTGAGTGAAGGGAGCCTTGAAGCCATTTTTGCACTGCGTCGCTTGTAATCAAGGCCAGTCCAGTCATGCGAAATTTGCCTTGGAGAGTGCAAGCCGAGTGGAGTATATAGGCAGCTTCATTTTTTTGATAAGGAAGGCCTCGCTTGTGGCCTGGATAGACTCCTTTTTTCTCTTCGCGCTTGCGGGAATGAAGGCCCCATTGGGCGACAGCGGAGCCTGCCGCGATCAGTAGTCGAGCCGAGCCGCATTTAGTGAATTAAATAATAAGTGTTCAAGCACGCCACGATTAACGCGATCAAGCCACGATCCAATGAAATGCAGCCATCCAATTTTTTTTACAAGCTTGACGCTGAAAGGCAGTCCGGGCTTCAGCTTCGGCTCGCTCGCTTAATCCGTGTAGCCCCCCCCACAAGAACATTATTTCCGCACAGCAAAGAGAACAAAAAAAAATTAAAAGCGGTTCGGGCGGGAAAAAAAAGTCTTATCGCTTCCGAGCCCTAATTTTGCCCTGCCCCGCCATTTTATACCCCCTGCGATGGTGGGCGAGCAAGTGCGTAGAGTGAAAGCTGAGGAGCCCTCATGCCTGAATAAATGCTAGCGCCAGTGCTTGTGCCTTGCCACATGGCCTTGCTGAGCAGAGTGTGGTTGTGCGAGTTTTTGGGAGCATTCGAGCTTTTGTTTTATCTTTCTGCCTTTCTTCTTTTCTCCTTGGTTTTTTTTCTCGTTATTAAACTATTTTATATTTTTTAGTTCTTATTTTACTCAGTTTTCTGCTCGTCAAGAGTTGTTTTCGGAATAAGAAAAGGATTACGTTAAACATGATCATTACTCGCTCTGTCTCGCGCGTTGCCAACAAGGCCGGCCGCCTTGCTCGCAGCTCCAACCGTAAGTACAAATAACTGGTGTTGTGTATTTATGGCGATAATAGTACTAATGGACCATATCAAAAGCAGCACAATAAACCCAGAGCCACGCGGTGCTTGTTATCCTCAAACTCAAGGCTGATGGTTCTTTTTGAATCTTGCCCTTAAATTGTATGGATTCTATCAATTCAGCGGTATATTTCTGTATTGTTATTTTTGGTTATCACACCGCGACTCAACGCGGATTGCGAAAACAAAAAATACTATTGAATCTCGAATTCAAAGCTGACTTTTTGCAATCATTTTTATTGTTGCCCTTGAATCTGCGTTGCATGCATTTTCAGATTTGGTATTGTTATCTGCTCTGCACACACTGATTGTTCAGCGACAACAGCTCTACTATTTGCCGTGCCAACCAGACGCACAAACACACACAAACAGCCGTACTTAAACTTGTTCTCTTATCTCACACCTGTTTGGCTCTCCTATTTTTTGATGTAGTCCGCAAGTACGCCACTGAGGCTGCTGCCAAGACCGTCGCCGCCGGCCAGGTTCGTCAGGTTATTGGTGCCGTCGTCGACGTCCAGTTCGAGCAGGACAACCTCCTCCCATCCTGAACGCCCTCGAGCTCTTCAACAATGGCACCCGCCTTGTTCTTGAAGTCGCTCAGCATCTCGGTGAGAACACCGTCCGCACCATTGCCATGGACGGTACCGAGGGTCTTGTGCGTGGCCAGCCCGTCACTGACACCGGCTACCCCATCCGCGTGCCCGTCGGCCCCGAGTGCCTCGGCCGCATCATGAACGTTATTGGCGAGCCCGTCGATGAGCGTGGTCCCATTAACGCCAAGAAGATCGCTTCGATTCACGCGTCTCCCCCGGAGTTTGTTGACCAGTCGACTGCGCCGAGGTTCTCGAGACCGGTATCAAGGTCGTCGATCTGCTCGCGCCCTACGCTCGTGGTGGCAAGATCGGTCTGTTGGCGGTGCTGGTGTCGGCAAGACTGTGTTTATCCAGGAGCTGATCAACAACGTTGCCAAGGCCCACGGTGGTTACTCCGTGTTTGCCGGTGTCGGTGAGCGCACCCGTGAGGGTAACGATCTGTACCACGAGATGATTGCCACCGGTGTTATCAAGCTGGACGGTCTGTCCAAGGCTGCTTTGGTCTACGGCCAGATGAACGAGCCCCCAGGTGCCCGTGCCCGTGTCGCTCTGACCGGTCTTACCGTCGCCGAGTACTTCCGTGACGAGGAGGGCCAGGATGTGCTGCTCTTCATTGACAACATTTTCCGTTTACTCAGGCCGGTTCCGAGGTTTCGGCCCTGCTCGGCCGTATTCCCTCCGCCGTCGGTTACCAGCCCACTCTGGCCACCGATATGGGTGTCATGCAGGAGCGCATTACCACCACCAAGAAGGGCTCGATCACTTCCGTCCAGGCCATTTACGTGCCGGCTGATGATCTGACTGATCCCGCGCCCGCCACGACTTTTGCGCATCTCGACGCCACCACCGTCCTGTCGCGTTCGATTTCCGAACTGGGTATCTACCCCGCTGTCGACCCTCTGGACTCCAAGTCGCGCATGCTTGACCCCCGCATTGTCGGTGATGAGCATTACAACATTGCCACCGGTGTCCAGCGCATTCTGCAGTCGTACAAGTCGCTCCAGGATATTATTGCCATTCTCGGTATGGATGAGCTGTCCGAGGAGGACAAGCTTACCGTCGAGCGTGCCCGTAAGATCAGCGCTTCATGTCCCAGCCGTTCTCGGTTGCCACTATTTTCACTGGCTTCGAGGGCAAGCTGGTCCCCCTGAAGGAGACCATCCGCTCGTTCAAGGAGATCCTTGAGGCAAGCACGACATTCTGCCCGAGTCCGCTTTCTACATGGCGGTGACATCGATGATGTTGTCCGCAAGGCCGGTGAATTGCCCGCGAGTTGGCTACTAGCAACAACTAAGTCTAGTTCTGGTTCCTTTTTTCCTTTCAACCAAATATTATATCGTTTCAAAACCGAAGGATATACATTTTTATAGAGCAGGTATTTGAGCGTGGGTTTTTTATCACTTTCCTGTGTGTTTTCCCCATTGTTTTTTACTTTGTATGATAAGCGTGTTGATTAGATCATGTGGACAAAAAATTAAAAAGGATATATTTATCATCAACATACAGCAGCCACAAGAGAGGAGCTAGCTCTCTACACGCCTACCACGACAAGATGCAAGAAGCAGTCCGCGTAGAACAGGTTGTCCGCCAGCCAGCTGATGGGCGTCTCCCAGGGCACGCAGATGCCCTGCGACAGGCAGACGCAGTTGCCCACAAACGCGTCGTCGTTCTGGCCGGTGATCTCGTAGCACAGCTTGAACGCGTCCGCCAGCGTAGTCAGCTCCGCCGAGCCCTCTCTCATCAGCGGCACGGGGAACTGCGCAACATGGAACTGCGACATATCCGGCTGCCGCGCTGCACCCGCCGTCACAGCCCTCTCGTTTTCCTCGGGCGCACTCATGGTCTGCATATAAAACTTAAGTGGAATAGCCTTTGGGACCGTCCTCCCAGCCGCTGTGCCGCCGCCCCTGGCCGAAACCGGCGGCCGGGCATCCTGCGACGGTATGATGATCGACCGAATAGCAAAGTACTTCTCGAACGAGTGCGTCTCCAGCCCATCAAGGAACTGCATCTGATCGGATTTGGCCAAGTCCATGACCTTCTTTGTCGACCCATTCCTGATAAAGTCGGCCTCCTTGATCATCGCCATAAACATATCGCGCATAGCCTGCACGCCACTCCGGGCACCAGCTTGGTCGCCGGAAACTTGCGCACATGTAGGGTCAGTCCCCAGGGCAGCTCGGGCTGGCCACCGACGACATCCGCTACGAGCATGTCGTAAAGCAGCCCGACTGGGTAGTGCCATTTGAGCGCCTGCCCGCGGTACTCGAACCACATTTCGGACTCCTTTATCACGCTATTGCCGGGTGTGCGCGATCCCGAGATGGAGAACATCGGGTCCAGCCACCGTTCCTTAATCTGCGTGCACATGAATGGGAAGTAGCTAACGCGCGGAACCAGGAGATAAAATGTTTGGAAGGGCTCTGGCAGAACTGCTGAAGCCAGTAGCTCGATGGCATCAGCGGAGGCTAGCTGGAGTTCAATTGGGATCATGCCGTCCCAGATGCGCTGCAGCGGCGCCTTATGTTCGAAATCGCGAAAATCCATCGTGAAAGGGAGTGTGTAATGTGCGAAAAAAAAGAAATATAAAAATGATGAGCTTAGTTATGTTAATGTTTATTTACAATATAAATATTTTTTAGCGCTCAAAACCAAACTGCTGGTTTATTTTCTTTAAATTCGCACATGTTTGTTTAGGGGGACAGGTGCACGTGTCCATGCAGCCGGGGCTTTCCTAATATTGAAATTCCAAAAGTAAATAAGGAACCGCAGCAATGCGTCTGACTATTGTTCCATTTATTCGTCAAGACCCAGTTCAAGTATTTAAATAAAGTTTGTTTATAATTAATTGTAAACATGTTTAACCACCACCTTTTCTTCATTTTGATAATAAAAAATAAAATAAATTACAAGTTGACCAAATGATTTTTAAGAAACAAATAATTGCCATCCCCCAAAATAACTCCGGTCGGAAAACCTTGAACCACTTTTGCATGAGGATTTTGTCCAGCTCGACCTACAAAGGAAAGTATTCTTTTGTGCCATTGAGCCTGTAGATCAACAAGGAAATTGTCATTTAGACTGATCATTTGAAATACATTCCACATCAAATGATCTGCAATGAGAAGGCAAATGATATTTGCTTTGAACTGGTTTTTCCCCGCCCGCTTCACCATTGCTCTCCATCTGCATTTCAATCCATCTTCAAGCTAAACGAAATGTTAAAAAATATCGACTGTTTCATCGATTCCTTTCTTTGTTCTTCCTGTCATATTTTCTAATCAAAACTATAATACCCCCCTTATAAACTATCCTAATATTTCCTTTAATACAGATGAAGGTCCTCAGCTCTCTCATCGGGCTATCCATAGTCGCAAACCTCGCTGCTGCAACGCTCAGCGCATGCTCCAAATCAATCGCCATCAAGATCACAAGCATCTACGAAAACGGCGACACCAACACCCATCACGACTACTGCGAGTACCTCGGCGACGGCCGCGGCATCACCGCAGGCATTGCCGGGTTTTGCACAGGCACTGGTGACGCCTGGGAAGTAATCCAGGCATATCACAACAAGACGGCGGTATTGACGAATTACTCCTATGGACGCCAAGCTCAAGCAATACGCCAAATCCGAAAGTGACTCCAAGGTTGGACTTGGAAACTACTGCAAGGTTTGGAGAAATTGGGCAAATCCGATAAACTTTTTCGACAGGCCCAGGATGAAGCCAGAGACAAGATGTATCTCAAGCCCGCACAGAACGCTGCCAAAAAGCTTGGTCTCAACTGTGCATTACTCAGGGCCAGCTGTTCGACGCCAGTATTCAGCACGGTCCTTACGACGACAAGGATGGAATGCTCACCCTGATCAAGGAGACAAGCGCCAAGTTCAAGGCCAATACGAGTGGATTGTCAAATAGTACGTTGATTATTAATGGGCACAAGGTTGATGAAATTGTTTGGCTGAAGAAGTTTTTGGAGGTGCGCACGAGTCATTTGAAGAATCCCAGGGATAGTGCCAATAGGGGCGGCAATTACTGGGCCCAGACCGTTTACCGCGTCAAATCATACAAGTACGCAGTTGATAAGAAGGAGTACACTTGGAGCAAGGGGTCGGTCAAATTCCTCGACAACGATGGCAATGCGACAACTGTCACATGCTAAATGATTGCGAAAGAATTTTGCGATTACACTTTTTTTGAGGTGGCTGGAGATGATACAACACGTTGATAGTTGCCAATAAAATACAATTACTTGATAATTTATATCCAATGCGCCACGTAATCTAACGACAAACACGCGTCTTGTTAACTTGTATGGCCGTGAAACAACGGTTTAATATTATTAAAGGTGGCGTGAATAATGTATGCGTCAAAAATTCTATCTAAAAATGGGCTTGTTGCACAGACTGAAGATATGGAAGTGGATATCGAGGTTGAGAATCGTGAAACAAGTTTTCATCTACATGCCGATTAATAGGGTACTAATTGGATTATGCAGGCGTAAATTAGGGTGGCATCATAATGATAGCCAGATATGCTCCCTATTTTGCAATGCACACGCGTGAGTGTACACACGAAAACTACAACATTGGCTTGCTAAGATACTGGTCTGCTCACAGAAGAGCCAGTTCTCGCCAACGGAGTGCACAATTGGCAATGTGCACAACAAAGGCAATGAGACACATATATAAGATAAGGCCGGCACTAGTAGCACTTTAGAAACATTAGTAATAAAAACTAACAAAACTCAACTACTTTTAACACTAGGTGACTAGTGCTCCACTCAAATCACAATACCTTTAACACTAGTCGACAAGTGCACTCTCCAAACCACAATAATTGTTTCCTTTCTCTTTTAACAAAAACTTTGTATGACGCAATGTGTGCTCTCACTACTTCCAACCTCATCAGATTTTGTTTTTTAAAGTCAGGGTCAAAAATTTAATTCAAAAATCAAGGCAAAAGTGAAATACATATCAACCATATTGTTTTTGCGTTGCCAAAGCAATAATAATCACCTCTTTACCCGTGCTCAACCGTCATCAAGTTTTTTAATAAAAGCGTTTCCAAAAATAGACCGTGTAAACATAGTTCTGAGAACTCGCTGTTGCCAAAACTGTCAAGTAGGAATACTTGTACGTTGGTACTTCAATCATACGCATAAATACACACTATATTGTCTAAACCATACGCAGTAAAACAGGATTGACAGCAATGCCATTTTGTCAATAGAAGTTGCTTATTGTGTTTTCAAACTAACAAACAAGCAAACGAACAATCACACTCAGTACTTAATGCTTCACTTTTATACGACACCAACTCATCTCGAAAAGAAAAACGGGTTGGACAAAACAAACTTAGATGTTTTTGGGACTTTATTTCCCCAACCAACAATGTCACACGCACACATTACCTCGCTAAAAGTATCTATTTTCTTTTAAATTTTCATATGTACAAAATAAGATAAGTGATTGATAGCCATCAGCTATCAATAAAAGTAACAGAAAATTTTCAGTACATATATGTTTGTTTGCAAAAAATTATAAAAGTTAAATTAATTATTGAAAATCCTCCAGGTTGCTTTTTTTGCATCCACTGTCAACAGCGTCATGCCCAAATAGTAATTTACACGGCATAACATTGCCATTAAAATTAATTTACTGCTATGGAAATTTTTCTTTGCTATTCCGTGAGTGTTCTATTATCCGATACTTCCATTCAAATAATTGCATTCATCGAATTTTGGTGCTTGCAATCTTGTGAAACGGGCTTGGCGTTCCATATCATGTGTGCATAACACATTAACAACATAAAAATGGCGCATCAAGCCATGCCACCTCTAGTATTATTAAAAATGCATTGCATGAAATCTGCAGCCAAGGATATCCTAAGCATATAAAAAATATTCACAGGGAATCAAAGTTCGAAAAGCCATGCATTATTTTTAGCATTGATGTTTTTGTTTTCGGTGTTGCGTCAAGAATATTCAAAAAATACATTAATTTCTGCAACCCCACATTCTAGAATATTCTATATTTATCAATGTAATTGTGCATCAAGACAAATAGCTTTAGCAAACAAGGTTATTCTATTGAACGCAATAATGTAAACACATATGTGGATGGAGGGGAGTGATTAGACAATGCTGTGGAAAAATCATTACTTGTAATCAGCTATCCAATAAAAAGCAATACTTGAAACTCCCATGCTGAACTTGCTGAGGGCTTTTATTCAAATTACCAAATGCATTGAGAAAAACATTCTCGTGCTAAAAAGTGAACATATTGTTTTTCCGTGCAAATATAGTTAATTTCAGCTATTCATTTTTGAAAATACATTTCTCCAACTTATTTTTGTGTATGTAGCTCTACATTCCTTGCCTATATAATGTCACTCCTCCCACCTTCGATTTGAATTGTATTTTAGTCACTCAACAACAACCAACAACAACCCAGCTTCAATCAACCGATTCAATCCTTTCCAATGAAGGTTCTCACCTATTTCGTCAAGCTTGCCTTTGTGGCCCCTCTCTTTGCTGGCTTTACTCACGGTAAACTGGAAGGCTGCTCCAAGTCCATTGCCATTGATATTACCGGTATCTATGAGAACGGCGACACCAAAACCTACTTCCACTACTGCGAGGACTTGGGGGACGGCCGCGGATATACTGCCGGTATTGCCGGCTTCTGCACGGGCACTGGTGACGCCTGGGAGGTTATTCAGGCCTACCATAAGCTGACCGGCGGTAAAGATGATTTCACCCCTATGGATGCCACGCTTGCAAAATATGCAAAATCTGGGAGTGATTCTACCAAGGGCCTTGAGAAGTATTGCAGCGTCTTTGAAAAGCTGGGCAAGAGTGATAAGCGGTTCCAGCAGGTTCAAATAAATTCCAGAGACAAGATGTATCTCAAGCCCGCGCAGAACGCTGCTGCCAATCTGGGCCTGAAGTTCCACATTTCCGAGGGCCAGCTGTTCGACACCAGTATTCAGCACGGTCCTTATGATGACAAGGATGGGTTGCTCACTCTGATCAAGGAGACCAACAATTCGTTCAAGGCCAATGCTCTTGGCGACTCTGGCAGCACGCTCAATATAAATGGCAAAAATGTCGACGAGATTATTTGGCTGAGAAAGTTCCTCGATATCCGCGAGGAGCATCTCAAGCACCCCAAAAACCCGGATAACCAGGGTGGTAAAATTACTGGGCGCAGACTGTTTATCGCGTCAAGTCCTACAGATATGCCATTGATCAGAAGCAGTATAATTGGGGTAACACTGCCGTAAAGATCCTTGACAACGACGGCAAGCCCACTACCGTCAAGTGCTCAAATGTGCCCAAATAAGTAAAATGTCATTGCATTTATAAGATGTGAGACCCAAGCTTTGTTTTTAATTTTCTGTCGGGTATTATTCCGCTCTACTTTCAACATTTATAATGTAATAAATGTTGTGCTCTATAAAAATGTGGGTATAAATTATTATATTCAAGTATCAAAAATTACTTAAGGAACTTAAAAAAGGGGGCAGCGCTGTGTGGGCAGCGCTGTGTGGGCAGCGCTGTAAACATCATGGTGTTCCTTGATGTCAGCCAGAAATAACAGGAATGTGTATAGCAGCCATGAGGGCGATCTTGATTCTTGAAAATAGAAGATAATGTCTTGGAATATGTTTTGGGCACCACAATAAATTAACGCTTTTACAAGCGATAGTTATCTATAAAATTTTGCTGAAATATTCGGCAGAAGAGGTGGCACAGTTTAGACACATGGCTTTGCATGTTGCCTTACTGAGATTAACTGATTACGCGCGTGGCAATTAAGAAATGACAATAAGTTGTTACTATAGTTTATTTATATGCCAGGGAGAGCATATAAGGAATGGCTGTCGGGCAGCCAGGGATTGTTCTCCTTGGAAGAAATAAATATTATTTTTGATTTATACCCCTTTGTAACAAACCATGTGTGTATTCTTGGCATGTATACAATCAATTTCACTTGTTTGGGATGACCAGAGTGAAATGGCGAATGTGTATATTTTAGGGATTATTATATGTATCCAATAATAGCGACGGACCTGTCAAAATGGATTTTGCGCATGATTGGTCTTTCTAATTTTTGCCTTTGTGCGTAACACGTGCAATTAACATGCGTTAAAACAGTCTTTGTGAATAAGGGGCATCCGCTCATCTTATGAGCACTTTGCAGCATGTGCCGTTTGTAGGCTATTTTGCCATTTTTTTGCCATTCTCATTTTCTTCCTTTGTTTCGATCTAGTAGTATCTTTTCCTTAAGTTTAGGCTAGTGAGAATTATTCTTTAGAGATAAACTAAAAAACAAACACCAATTTTTGATCCTTCTCCATATAGCAACCCCATTATTTTATGATAATTCCTTCCTTCCTTCCTTCCTTCCTTCCTTCTTCCTTCCTCCTCCTCCATTTATTCCATTGTTTTTATATCTCCATTCACTGTACTAGTTAAAATACTTACATTTTATTATATTTTTCTCTCGACTTTATTTATTTTACTCTGGTTAGTAAATAAATAAATAATTATACATCCCACTCATTTTAACATCTCACTTCTAATGAAGATTTACAGCTACCTCGCCAAACTTTACATTGCTGCCCCGCTCTTAGCCAAGCTTGTTGATGCCACCCTCTGCGGGTGTGCCAAGTCCATTACTATCAAAATAACAGGAATCTACGAGAACGGTGACACCGACACTCACTACGAATACTGCGAGCATCTTGGAGACGGACGTGGCTTTACTGCCGGTATTGCCGGCTTTTGCACGGGCACAGGCGATGCCTGGGAGCTCATAAAGGCCTACCACGAGCTGACTGGTGGCAATGACGAGTTTACCCCATGGATGCCACGCTTGAGAAATATGCTGAAACCGAAAGCGACTCTAAAGTAGGTATTGAGGACTACTGCACCGTCTTTGAAAAACTGGGCAAGACTGATAAGCTCTTCCAAAAGGCCCAGGACACAATCAGAGACGAAATGTATCTCAAGCCCGCGCAAGACTATGCCAAGAAACTCGGTATCAAACTCAGCATTACCCAGGGCCAGCTGTTCGACACCAGCATCGAGCATGGCCCAGGTACGGATCCCGATGGCATGGCCACTATTGGTAGTGAGACTAGCGCCAAGTTTACAAAAGCAACCCCTGGTGACTCTGGAAGCACTCTCATGATCAATGGGAATGAGGTTGACGAAATCGCATGGCTCAGCGAGTTCCTCAATGTCCGTTCAGACCATCTCACGAATCCCAGAGATGAGGCAAACAAGGGTGGTAATTATTGGGCTCAGACCGTGTATCGTATCGAGTCTTACAGGTACACCATAGAACAGAAGCAGTACAAATGGGGCAAGACTCCCGTAAAGTTCCTTGACAACGATGGCAATCCTATCACAGTCTCATGCTAATTAGCTCTGCGCTAGTGGGCCGCGGTCTCAAATTACCAATATTCTGGAAATATCAGTAAAAATTGATCGCGAATGTGCACTATCCAATTCGGCGCTTTTGGCAGCGTCGATGTTTTTAATCATCTTATTCTTCTCCATTTTTCTCTACATATTTCAAATTTATTATGATTTTGGTCTCGGTTAAAAATACAACAATTTGCTACTGCCTGGTATTTATTGTCAATAGTTTTTTACAAACCGTTTGTCGAGCAGAAAAATAATAATAATTCAAATAGCAGTTACATACTCGTAGCTAACTCTATTGAATGTTCTGAATATTGAAATATTGAAAGATATTGCCCAGGAATGACAACGTTATCAGCAAATATCAACGTTCTATATGAGGCCTTTTTTTTTACAAAAACACACGCCCAACAGCCAGACTGCCATTTTCTTTTTAAAAAACTTTTTCTTTAGCTGTTTTAATTAATTTTTCTCACTCCATTCCACATCTATTATTTTCGTGCTCTACACCTCTCAGCACCTCTCGATATACGCCATTTTAATATTCACCGATCACACATGAAATATTTTTACATTGGCGGCCTCCATGCCGCCCTTCTGGTAATATGGTTTGTTCTGAACTTGGCTTGCGCCACCGCATCTCCCGAGGCATCTTTGCTGTTGATGTCGTCTCAGATGCTGAAGTTGAACCATCAAATGCCAAGCTCCCCGACACCGATATTATCCGCGGAGTTAACATTGGCGGTGTTTTCCTCATCGAGCCGTTCATCAAGCCCAGTCTATTTGACCAGTTTCTCATTCTAAACGAGGCTGACCGCCCAGTCGACGAATGGACGTTTTCTGCCACACTGGGCAAACAGGAAGCGCGCAAGCAGCTCGAAGAGCACTGGAACACATTTGTGACCAAGGAGGATTTGGAAACCCTGGCTGAATATGGAATCAACTGGATTCGTATTCCAATCGGGTACTGGGCATTCAACATAACTGACGACGAGCCGTTTGTCGACGGCCAGATTCCATATATCGAGCGTATGCTCGAGTGGGCCAGAGACATTGGTTTGAAGGTTGAGCTGGACTTGCATGGTGCCCCGGGATCGCAAAACGGCTTTGATAACTCTGGCCGCCGCGGCTCTCCCCAATGGCTGCACTCCAGGACAAATATTGACCGCACACTCGATGCCCTGAGTAAAATGTCCCAGCTGGCCGCCGAGTGGGAAGATGTCGTGTACGGAATCCAGATCATGAATGAGCCCTCACGCTGGAAGTGGCCGGCAGCCGACATCTTCAAGTTCTACAACGAGGCATACGAGCTTGTGCGTGGAATATCGCCGGATACATACTTTATGATCCACGACACCTTCCTCAGCCCCAACGACTGGCCGTCCTTAGTCAACACTACCTGGACTAACGCACTGATGGACACGCACATCTACCAGATGTTTGACGAGTACGTGGTGTCCCTAGACGAATCGGCGCATATTGACCTGGTGGCCAAGATGGCCGAAAACATCACTATTTTTGACAGGTCCCAGCTTGGCGTCGTTGTCGGAGAGTTCTCGGCAGCCACGCACGACTGCACAAAGTATATCAACGGGCTGGGCCGCGGCAGCCGTTGGGAGGGCACGCTGGAGGGAATGGACCGGCCTCACTGCCCATTCGACACGTGCTCGTGCACTGGCGACTACGGCAGTAACTATAAGGAGTTCTCGACGCACTATAAGCGGTTCCTCAGGCGCTACGTCGACGCACAGCTGGCAATATACGACAGGGAGATTCTCGGATGGTTCTACTGGAACTTTAAGACCGAGGGCGCACCCGAGTGGGACTACCTTCTGGGTGTTGAGCAAGGCTGGATTCCAAAGTTCCCGCGCCTCGCCCAGCCCAAGGAGGAAATAAGCATTGTCTCGGATATCGACCACACCACTGAGCTGTTCGATATCTCGTATGCATTAGCCAGCCCGCGCGCACTAACCGCGTCGACACTACTTCTGTTGATAGCAACGTGTGTATTGTCACAATTTTCCGCCTAATTTGTAGCACTATTTGCTATCCTCCAAAAATTCATTACAAAAGAAAAAAAAGTAATTATATCTTTGACACACCAAATCAAACTAAATGAATAAATGATAATGGATATATAGTTACCATAGAGGCACCCATCCGACATACAGAACGGCAAGGTTCTCCGATGAGGTCGCCTGCTGAATCAGCTTCTCGATCTGCTCGGCCACGTCGAGTTGCTTGTTTGGGTCAAAATCAGTTCCGACAAGCTTGTCGTGGATGCGCTTAACAATCGCACGGCCTTGGGGTTTCCGGTCTGCCAGCCCCTGTCGTCGATGCCATGATTTTTGAAATGAAGGCTCTTTGCGACACGGCCATCGCTAGGACTCCCAGCCATCATGTTAGTCTCATCGGGCACAGCCTTGGTATTCGTTACTTCGTCCCATTTAGACATCTGGCTGTCCATGCCGGTGGTGCCTCTAGAGCTACGCTGCTGCTTGGCGGTGGTTGCTTTGTCAGCGTTGGCTTGGTTTTGAGCAGACTCGTCGTCTTGGAGATAAGACCACGAGACCAGCGGGTCAAACACGAACGCCTCGAGAACAGCCATCAGCGAATCGCGGTTCGCGCGCAGGACCCGCATGGTATGGTTGGCAGTAAATTTGAACAGGCCCTCGATCGTACTCACTTCCATGGGCATAATAAACATGCGCGTAAGGCGGAAGGGGATGGTTTCGGGGTACTTCTCGCGATGGGCAGCCAGCTCGAAGCAGTCGCCAAAGTCAATGTGCACGATGTTGCCGGTCCACGTGTGCATCATGATGTTAGACGGATGGCGATCTCCAAGACCCAGGATGTACCCGGCGATAGACATCACCGCCAGGGAGCGAGTGTAGTTAGTCCGCCTCTCCAGCCAGACCTCAGCGTTTGGCGACTTGTACCACATCGCACGCTGCAGATCGTTTCCTGGTGTATGCAGTAGTGCGTACTCGAATGCCTCGACCTTCTGGATAATGGTCAGGGTCTCGAGGTTGGGTGCAAACTGCTGCGCCATGCGCTGCTCCAAGTTGACAAAGAGGTGGTGCGCTTCGCGATAGCTTTGGATAATGCCATGGATGTTTTCGCAGTTCGGGTAGAAGCCAATAAGACCAGAGTTTGACGACAGCGGAATAACCGGGAATCGCTCGATTGCCAGCGACCTCTGTGCGGTTTCTATATCGCGGGTCAACAGAGAGTTAATCAGGCCAAATAGCTGCATGACACGCTCGTCCTGGCGCAGTCCTCATGTCCCTTGAGAACAAAGGTATACTTATTGCCATCGATCCGCGGATGCATAGCTGACGAGGGTGCTGTTTTGTGGGGTAGACAGTGACTACCGGATCGAACGAATCAATGCGCACAAGTTCGCGGTCTGGATCATAGGTACCAGGCACAGCCAAATGCATGTCACGGCATTGCAATAGAGTTGGTGCCGTGTCCTTGAGCGTCAATATCTTCGGCTCTGGGTAAAGCTTATTGATACGGCGGAAAATAACATAGTACGACTCCCACGCTTGCTGCATAAATGCCTCATTCCGGTGGGCGGGACTGGCGCCAAAGTATTGGGACAGGTGCTGCTCTGCGTGGCCAGCTCGGTGCCGAACATCTGCACAAAGTGGTACTCGCGCAGTGTCTCAGGATTGCGCGCGCGCTCGTGCAGGGGCTTCAAAATACGCATCATCTCTTCCGGGTCGTGCTGCTTGAAGTAGTACTTACTGGCATTGTCCAGAGCATCATGCCACATCTCAGGGAACAGCAGCGTAATACGAATCAGTTCACGACTCACAATTTCGGTCTCCTCGACCAGCTCCGGTGCCAGATCGTGCAGCTTGGCCAGTACATCCTTGGCCGCCTGGCTGCGCTTGGGATGAGTACCGCGCGCAGCGACATATAATGAGAACATAATTGCGTTCGGGTGGAATTTGCCGACCTCGACCAGCAGCTGCTTGATAAGCTTGCTGGTGCTCTCAAACTGGTTGTGGATGCGTGCCAGAATCTGCGGAATGACCTGCAGCCATGTACGCAGTGATACTGTATTAAAGCCATCCTGTACGGCCTGCGCAACACTCTCATGTTGGGAGTAGTTAAACCACGCTGTCAGCAGCCGCAGTGTGTCTTGCAGCGTTGTATTACTCTTTGACAATTGAATGGCGCGGAAGAAACCATGGACTGCAGGAACAACATGTTGGGCAATGACATCCTCGGGAACAGTGCCGTGTTCCATATCGTACTGCTGCGTCTCGTGGAAATGCCGCAGAGCTAGCAGATGCCATGCCTTGTACCACTTGCTGTCAAGCACAGTCGCTGCCCGGTACGACTCAATGATTGAATCGTTGATACGGTCACCCTTGAGGCGGTAAAGGAACTCGGCATCTTTGGCTGCCTGGGCCTCCGCGTTCTCATCCTCATAGACGTCTGCGCCGCGGCCAAATGCACTATCAAGCACAGGCGCTCCAGTAGCCGAAAAAGATATAGAGACACGGCTGCGTCCCATGTTGGCCGATCCATGGCGAGACCCTCTGCGCTGCTGCAACAGGAGCTGCTGCTGCAAATTCGGCCCAGAAGAGTTGGCGGTATTACCAATGTCTCCTCCACCAGCAACCACGCCAGGACCGTTCAGACCAGCCTTGCTGCGTGCCTCCTGGGCCAGAGTGGCGCTTGCTTGGATGCTGCTCAGCCATTCGGCACGCTTAAAGTAGAAGCGCGCCAAGAGATGGTTTGTGCGCACTTCGTCCTCAAGGTCCAGATGGCCGCTGTTGACGTTTTCCAGGGCGCGCGCATCAAGACTGTCAGCAAAGGCGTCAGGGTTGCGCAGGTCAAAGCCGATCTTGGCTGAGTAGTCGCCTGCAAACATTTCAAGCATTTGGAAGGCCTCGCGCCGCTCCTTGGCCGCCCACTTGTACTTGAGATACATGTACACAAGCGCCGGCTGCTGCGACAAGCGAATTGCCGAATCCAGATACATAGTATCCGGCTGGCCACCGCCGCCGCTGGTCACCGAAAACCGGCGTCCGCGACTGTCCCAGGCGCCTGCCACAATTGACCCCCGCCGGGATTGAGGCTGTGGCTGCTGAGCCGACTGCGCCTTAAGTCGCGAAAACTCCTGCGCCTGCATTACAAGTTTGCCCGACATCACGTCGACCTCGCCGCGGTTGACCTCTTCCATGTACTGGGCCTCGTCAGTGAGCAGCTGGCTAATTGCGTGGCGCGCAATCTTCATCTGGCCGGACTTGCGGCACATGTTGGCATACTTGATCCACGTATCCAAATCCAAAATCGGGCGCAGGACCATGCTGCGCAGCCGCAGCAGCTTCTGCCACAGTCCAACGTCCTGCTGAATGCCTTCCAGCCGCCGCCGCCACGTGTTGACAATTGCCATGCGCCGCTCGTTGTCGTCATGCACCGTCTTGTACGCAATGACCTCCTCGAGCTCGGTCAGCATCTGGCAGCGGAACACCTGCGCGTACCCGCGGCTGTACGACTCGGCCGCGTGCGAGATCAGATCGGCTCCATCTCATTGCGCGCCTCGCAGATAAACGTCTCGGCCTCTTCAAACTGGTTGCGGTACACGGCCAGCAGCGCGCGACAAAACGACTTGTCGCGGCTCTTGTTTGGCAGCACAGCCAGATACTGCTCCATGCGCTCGATGTCGCCCATCGCCCACGCCATGCTCATGCCGATGTTGGCCGACGCCATCTGCATCTGCTGGTCAGTCCCCGACCAAATGGTGTCGTAGATTGGCGCCAAGGACTCCCAGTCCGACATCTCAAACAGGCAGCGAATCTGCCCGTTCGTGTTCACATAGCTGGGCCCGAGCTCGCTCTCTTCCTGCCTATAAATGGCCAGGGCCTCGTCCCAGCGCTGCAGCCGGAGATGCCACTCGACACAGTCCTCAATGTCCGGCTGCTCTTTGCGCACGTAGTTGAGCATGCCGACTGCCGAGTCATGGAGGTCTAGATCCTGGTTCAGCTCAATCAGCTTCTCGATCGTGCCATAGCCATTCTCCAGCGTCCACTCAGCCTCCTTGTAGTGCAACTCCTTGGCAAGCGCGTGGCACCGGTCGGCATACTCACCCAAAAGCTTGAGGTCAATTGGAATCTGCTTCTCGTCGCGCTCCATATACCCGGCCAGGCTGAGGATTGTCTGCAAAATCTCCGAAGGCACATCAGAGTGCGAGGCGACCTCCTGCAGCGACGAGATGACCTCCTGCTGGTACTGGCCAGGCAGCTCGGTCCAGCACGAGACAAACGCAGCGTTAAACAGCTCGCTGCTGAGCCGCGGCTGGCTTAGTGCAACCTTGGTGCACGCGCGCAGCGCCGGCGACGGCGACTGCCTGAGCAGCTCGACAGCAAAGTTGTTGAGCCAGGTGATCCAGTCGCCCTTCGACAAGCGCTGCGTCGTGCTCCAGGCGCGCCGCAGCTGCACGACATCGACAAACAGCTTTGGAGCGCTGTCCCGCCCTGCCCGAGGGCGCATCGACCTGCGACAGGTCCCCTGCATGAGCGACTGCACGCGCTGCGGGTCTCTGGGAATGAGCTGTCCAAGGAATAGTAGCCGCGAATACCGCTTGTACTTGGCGTGGTCGGCCACGCCGCGCGCCTTCATGGCTGCGGCGATTGTTGGCATGAACAGGCAAAGTCGCCCTGCAGCTGCTCCATGAGCACGCACATTGTGTCGATGACCGCCGTCTGCAGCGTCGGCGTTGGCGCGCTGCGCAGCAGCTGAACCAGCTTTAGCACGATCCGCGACGCAAAGCTGTTGCAGTTGACCGCCGCGACAATGGTTGCCATGCACTCGAGCGCCTGCTCGACCACGCCGAGCGGGGTCATTGCCAGCTCCAGCAGCGCAATCAGCTGCGGCATGATCAGATACAGGTAGCCCTCCAGGCTTGGGCTCAAAATGCGCAGCGCATGCAGCGCGTTGAGTGTGGCTGGTGCGACTGCGACATGTCGCGATCAATGACAGCAATCAGGAACGGCAGCACCTTGGCGATGTGCGGGCCAAAGTCGCCGGACAGCGACTCTGCAAGCACCTCGATCAAACCGATAAGCACCTTCTGCTGCTGCTCACTGATGATTGCATCGGCGTCAAACAGCGCAAACAACGGCTCCAAGTATGGACGGATCAGCTGGCGCGCAATGCCAACAAGGCGGCTGAGGCGCTCGATATACGAGTTGGCGCTGTCGGGCGGCGCAGCAGCCATTGCGCGCAGAATTGCCGGCACGACGCTCTCAAGGTACTGCCCGCACACCTTCTGGAGCGAGGCAAACATCGTGTTCAGCTCTTGCACTGCAAGCAGATGGTCCTTGGCGTCCGCCGGCGAGTTGAGGATGCGCAGAAGTGCGTTGACCGACACCGATGTAAATAGTTCGGATCGTTGCTGAACGTGGTGCCGTATGACTCAACGTGGATGTCGCCGACCAGGATCTCGCGCGGCTTCTCGCTGTTGAACACGGTCATCACGTTGGGCGCCGGGCCGCCCTGCTTTGCCTTGTGCTTTTGTTGCCGTGGCGGCCCTGCTTCTTGCTGTCGGCGTCGGCCACGCCACCAGCAGAGCCATTGCTGCCAATATTCCCGCAGGCCCCGCCGCGCTGCTGCTGTTGCCGGCTCTGCCTGCCGCCTTGTTCTTTGCGTTCTTAAACACGTGCGGATCAATTGCGCCCAGCGCGCCGAGCACCCGGTTAACCTCGCGCCTGACCTCGCATCGGGCTCAGCCTTGAGCATGTCAGACAGCATGCCGAACAGCTGCGGGTACTCAGTGTACGGGTAGATGACCATGCCGCAGAAGCTAGCGCAGCTGCTTATCGCCTTGAGCGCCGACATGCGCTTCTGCACGCTTGTTTGGTCGGCCAGGTCCTGCATGATGCTGACCAGCAGCGTGTCAAGATGCGGTACCAGGTCATTGCCGCCAACGCGTGCCAGTGCCGCCACCATGTCCAGCAGCTTGCTCGCGAGCTGCGACGCGCCGTCGTTGATGCGCGGCAGAATTGTGCGGAAGATGTCGCCGACGTACGGCCGCACCCAGTTCTCGGCCGTGCCAACCAGCTCAATCAGCAGCCGAATGCAGTCCTCGCGCTCGCGGCTGCTGCGCGAAAACTCGAGCTCGGTCAGCAGCTGGACGACCATGCGCCGGAGCGGGGGCATGACGTGCGCCGGGTTCATGTTGGCCAGCCTGCCGAGCACTGCGAGCACAGCGAGCCGCACGTTGAACACCTCGTCGTTGAGCAGCAGAAACAGGCTCTGGATGTTCTGCGCCTTGCCCAGGTGGAAGTCAAAGCAGCTCCCCTCCTTGAGCTCCTCGACGGCCATTAGGCGCACCTCGGCGCTCGGGTCGGTGACTGCAGACATGATCAGCCGCTGCATCACGTCGCCGGCCACCTCGACGCCGGCGCCGGCCATTGCCTTGTACAGCGGATCTGACCTGATGATGTGCGAGGCCGCATAGATTGCCTGCTTGCGCACATCGGAGCTGGCGTCGTTCAGGTAGTCGAGCACCTTGTTGCGCACAAACTCGGACAGGTTTTCGTTGCTAAAGTCAAACTCGCTCAGCGTGCGCAGGGCAAGCACAATGACCTCGGTGGTGACCGGGATGTTGCTGGCTGCTGCAACGACCAGAGACGTCTGCTCGCTGCTGAAGACGCTGCTGCCGGACAAGCTGCCGGACCTGTCGCCCAACGATGCCGACGACAGCCCCGATGCCACTGTTGACGACGCATAGTGCAGCGACACCGACCCCATGCGGCTCTCGAGGCTGTCCAGGCAGGGCTGCATTGGGCGGAACGGCACACCGGCCAGAATGATCGACACCATGTCCAGCAGCCGGTCGTGGATGGCCTGCCGCAGCTGGCCAACCTCGCACACCAGGATCTTCAGCGAGCCGCACAGCTCTTGGCTCAGCCCGGTCGTGAACATCAGGTCCAATATGTCGCGCATGTACCGCGTCAGCGCCGGCCCCATTGCGGTCGCCAGGGTGGATATGGTTTTGAGAACAGCCGCTGCTGTCTCATCGGTCTGCGCAGGCACACTGCGCGACTTGGCGCGGTGGGCCAGCGTGTCGCGGATTGCGCGCATTGTTGGCTCGAGGTACGGCCTGAACTCAGTGCTGCAGCACTTGGCAATGTCGGCCAGCGCTAGGAACGCAGTGCGCGGTCGCGTTCGCTGGTGCGCGCCTGGGTGATAAGGAAGTTGCACGTGCGCGTCAGCAGCGACTCGCCGCCGACCGCATACTTTGTGAAGTCGTGGGGCTGTACTGCGCCAGCACAGGCAGCAGCTCGATGGCGGCCTTGCGCACAACTGCGTCGGGGTGGTCCTTGAGCTTGAGCGCCAGCTCGCTGGCGTGGCCAAAGTGCGCCTGCATGAACATGCCGCCAGACTTTACGAGCTCAGGGTACCGCAGGAGCATCGCGTGGTATCCCTCGGTAGTGCCCATCTGCTGGTCGCGCTGCAGGTCTTCGAACACGTAGTTTAAAAGCGAGAGCCGCGGCGCCTGGTCCTGCTTCTGCACCAGCCTCAGGCACGCGCCGAGCGCTTTCGCTGCTGCGAGGCGCATGTCAAGCCGGCGGTCGCGCAGCGGCAAGCTGAGTGAGGTCAGGATCTTTGATATGTACGAGTACAACGACGTGGATGTGTCTGTGCACAGCGCCTTTAGAAGCAGCAGTGCGGTCATCCGCCGCACGTCGTTGCGCTCGTTGCTCAGCCACTCGAGGCACATGCCGACATCCTTTTCGGCTGAGTTTGTGGCCTCGGGCCAATGCTTTGCTATGACCTTGCCATACAGTGCTGCTGCCTCGGCGCACACCTCCATGTCGGAGCTCTTTAGCAGCGCTCCAATTTGCTTTACAATGCGGAACTTTTGCTTTGTCTCCAGAGTGTCAATGTCGACCAGCGCCGAGAGAATTGCTGTGCCTGCCAAACGGTCCTGAACATTTTGAGCGCTCGAAAGCCTCATGAGTCTCGCGTTGAGCTCTATATAAACGGGGTTTTCCTCTCCGCCTTCCCACCAGCCTCTGCGTCGGACATCTATAGCAATGATATTGCATCGCACAAAGGGTATATACAAAAAATATAATGTCTGACGACAATTAATAAGTGTAGTGTGCAAGGTGTGATGCGACGCGCTGCTTGTACAGGAATATAATTCTTTTTCTTACCAGATTGCGCAAACTAATTGCGGCATTCTCCCGCTTGTCTGCATCCCTAATAATAATAATTGACAGATTGGTTCATTTAGTGTCGTCCATTTCTGTGCTTTGCAATGGCAATTTGTGCCCTTCCAAAATATTCTAATTTAGACACTACTCTGACCGAAGCTGCTTGAGCAGGTCTGGCTTGATGTGCTCAAACTTGTGCTCGTTCATGTGTATTGAATATTCGGAACTATCCCGGTTTTTACTGGTGTCCTGTGATTTGGTAACTCGCGTGAAATTGTGTGTGCTAATCGGCTGTTGTTGTGAAAATGAACCCTGAAGGATAAATGAATTTGTCTGAGAATGAAATTAATTAAAAAAAACAGGTCGCAATGTAATAAATAAAAATTATGAAGAGAGAAAAGAAGGATGTAAATTGCTTGTCAATGCCAAATTTTCAAGAAGTGAAAAAGAAATGGAAAACAAAAATTTGAAGTGACAGAATTAGGCCCCTTCTGTCATAAAATATACCCAGAAAAACGTGATCGTCAATTTTTTTGGTTTGTCTGTAAGACACTTACGGCTAATCGGATATTAGCTTTTTTTGCTTAGCACTGTTAATGTCAACTCAAGAAAAAATTGTTAATGTCAACAAAGCAATTTTGTGTTATCTGGTAACCCCACATTGCTGCGCTCACCTATTTGCTGGCTGCCCCCAAACTATTCATAGTATGTTTTTTAACTGCAGTAATATGACAAATTACAAATCAATAAGCAGAGAAATCGACTTGAGCGCGGCCAAATAGCTTGTTCAAAAGCTCGTAAAAAAACATCAGCATCTGGGTATAATATTTCCAAAATGACATGTAAGCTGATGTGACCAAAATCCTTGAATTTGGACAGAAAGCGTATAATTTGTTCAACCAGGTGTCCCAATAACTGCAGGGTGTGCACATTCGAGGGACATGCGATAAAGTCTAGAAGTTTTAAGTCTCACATAACTCGAAATTGTGATGTGTTTGAAATTCAGGAATAAGGCAGTGACAAGATGCGAATCAAACTTGCCATTGATACTGGCAGCTCAGGTTAATGACCTACTGGCTGGAACATCTCCAAGATAGAAATCAATGTCAACACCCATGTCAAGTCATTTGAGGGCTGGGAACTCGACACGCCGGGCCAGTGCACTCTTGCGGAAAAGTCACAACAGCAATCAATGTGCATAATTTGAGATCTAAGACTCAAGGTGTTCGACACGATCAAAGACTGTGCCGCCAATCACGCTGGAATGAACAGATCGCGGATATCCAAGGATGAAAGATAATAAAAAATCGAGGTGATGGAGAAAGTGGAGATATGTTTTTAGAACCCTGTTGCCAGTTGTACACTGCTATCATCAAATTAGTCGGGCCCTAAGATAAGGCTGTTAATGTTTGGAATTGCATTGCAATATGTCTGGCGGCTTCCTCTGGGGGCTCTATAGAATCAGGCGTTTTAGTAAGGACCAAAGACTTGTCAAAATCAGTCTTGGCTGGAAGTACTAATTTGACAGGGTCTCCAAATATGAAGACCAACGACAATTTTTGACACACCTCCAATAGAGCAAGCCCAAATGGAGCGGTTTCAGCACCATCAGTGAGTCTGCTGTTGATATTGCCTTATTACAAATCTTTAAATGCACTCTGGTGACAAGCTGCTGGCTGCCAAGGAGAGTAAGGCTATCGATGTTGCCGGAAAACAGGTTTTATCGGCTTTTAACCCAAAAAAGTTCTCATCCTAACGCATATCCATATCCTTTTTGTACCCGTGGCTAGAAATAGCATTTACAAACAACTCAAGCTTTGCAACCTCCTCCACTGGAACAGACGTGTAGCAGAAACAAATGATTTACAAGGTTTCTGTCGTAGACATCAACTGTATCTAATGGGTTATGTATAATTCAAGTCAAAATGAGAGTAGGAAGATTAGCGAAATGACCACGGTTGGAAAAAAGGAAGTATAAAAAGTGAACAATTGAATGAACTAAATACAAATAAATATTTTTGCAAATGAGTTGAAGTAAAAACAATTGAAAAAGGGGGTATACAAAATAAACCAAACCATTGTGTTCCTGCATCAAAATGCATATAAAAATTGGGCTGCGCATTCCAAATGTACTGCAAATCTGATCCAATACATTTTATTTGGATGATTAAGCAATACTAAGAGTTCATTCTTAAAGTTTCAGTCTCATACTGTACTTCAATAATTGCAATAAATAATTAGTGTATGTACAGTAATTTTATTTTTGCCTTGTTATTTGGCAAAGACAAAGAAAGAAAGGTGCGCTGAGAAAAGTGCTGTTTAGAGTAATGCCATCTAAAAAACATCGCTGCGCAAATAATAGCTGTTTATAGCTAATAGACCTTCGAGTGCAAAATGTCGTTGGACGCTCGAGATATTTGCAACTGGTTGTCATGTCGTGGGTTTGGTACATGCGCTACTCTTTCTAGCCATGCCCTGTTGTGATTTTGTGAGGAGCCCATCCAGACGCTGGTGATCCAAAAAGGTATACGGGTAAACCCCATCCTCTTCTATTCCGCTGCCTCTGATTTCAGGTCTTAGGCGTGTCACCAGCCGGATAATTATTGAACAAATGCTCTGTGGGCCCCCGTATATACCACATACCTTTTTATAATGTGCCCAGACATGACATTGATGAGACCAGTTGCAGATATCCTACCGAGTGTTTACTAGACACACTCATATTTTTTGTAATGCGCGGACGAGCGTAACTGTGGCAGATGGCGGCTATAAGACGAAGGCCGATATAGTTTAAAAGATGACGCTGCGCGAAAACCGCTGTGTATGTGTGTAATCCCTCCCACAAAAGTGTGTATTGCGAACCAATCCCCTATGTTGAAGCCAAAGTCGATGCCGCTGTATGTGTATGTGTACTGTAGTCGTGATGTTGTAGTGTAATATTAAGATGTGGGTGCGAATTGGGGAAGAAGTGGTAGTATTTTAGAGGAAGTGGTGGTTATTGGGAGGGAGATAGGGAACCAAAATTTTCTTGGAAGTGGGGGCTCTATTTATATTGAATGAGTTACTCGAATGGATGGAAGAAAAGGCAGAAAAACAGCCCTGCCAGTTGAAAAAGAAATGGAAAATTCAATAATTGGTGTTCTTTTTCGGCCAGCCTAAATATTTTTTGCATTTTTTTGCACCAAGAGACTTGTTTCGGTTAATGAAACACCCCAAAACTGCCAAAAATGCATACAAATATTCCCATGTGCTTGAAGAATAAAATACTGTCAACATTGCATCGTTTGTCAGGAAATATAATAAAAATTACCAAGCCATTTGCTACAAAACAAGCATGCGGTTGGCCATTTTTGCAAGCCAACAATGAAATCATATGCTTTTTGAGAGAGAGGCTCGTTACAAAAATTGGCATGTATATTTAGTGAACCGGATAAGAGGCCCAACATAAAACATGAACAATTGACATTTAAACAGACAATTGATGCCTCCCAAAAAACAAGCACACTGTTCCGTGACAGAAAAAATAAGGGTAAGAAGTATAAACATGTGTTGCATTTGTTTACGGAAACTAATATATTTTATATTTGCCCACGCTGCTCATTTGCTGCGAAAAAACCCAGAATCAAAGCATTGAACGCCATACATTTTTGTTTGTATTCATATTGTATTCTGTCAGAACTGTGAATAGTGTATTTCTCTTCCAAACAAGCAGACCAACGTGAATGCGCTGTTTCAAACAAGCGGAAAACATTAGACATGTAAAGCTGCTTAACCCAATAATGAATTTGCTTCTGTCTGTTTTTTGGGTTAGGGCTGTTGATTTTGTTTGTTGCGATTTTCAGTGACTGGCTGGAAAATAGTTACAATGTGGTGGTCACGCGGTTACTTGGATTCTACAATTCCAAAATACGCAACAACAATTTGGTTGTATTGTACAATGGAATGATACATTTGATGTCGAAAGATAGATAATCATTGAATAATTTTGGTTAAATCCATTGATCCACTTTGCCCAATTTTCCCAATTTATCAGTTTAAAATTTTTTTACAACGTATGCCTTTAATTAAATTACACAGATTTTGAAAGGTGCGAGGCTTCTTGTTTGACTAAACATCATGCATTTTGCAACTCCAACGCGCAGATTTAGGCATTCTTTTAGAGCATGCAGTTGTCCAAGTATTTTTTGTTGCCATCATTTATACTATCTCTTTTTGCATTAGCCATTTGCAAACGTTTTATAGTATACCGTTTTTTGCTATCATTGCTTTCATTTTAAATATAAGATTCCTCCCAATGGTTTACTCAACATATACTTATTACACGCGATGAGCACGCGCTGGAGGCTTGTATTCTTGGATAATGGTGAGCCTACAAATAATTTCATAAATATACGGATGTTTATTAAGTACTCTTCTGTTGATAAATTATTGCCAGTAAAGCCAACCAGTGTATATTTAACAAGACGCTCTCAGCTATCGCATTTTTGAACGTGAATATAATACTATTTGTGATTATGACACATCTGTTGATGAATTATATTATATTATTAGCTAGTCTTTTATTTGCTACCTTTTTCTAAAAGTATTGTCGCAGTTTAATTTCCAGGTTTAACAATTTAAAAGAATAAAGATGATATGGATGCCGCTTTATCTGAGTTGGAGATAATGCCTGGAATCATCTGCTCGAATATTTCACTGCATCAGAGGATACATAACTAGTAAAAATAATTGATTAAATTTTTTCTACAAGTTTATAAGATTGCCTTTTGATTTACCAATGTATAATTTTTGGGTGAGCTCGGCTGTGTGCCAACCAAAGCAAACTGCATTTTGCGTAACCTGACAGCCAAGGAGTATCTGCGCGTAAAACACTATATAATTGTTTGGTTCAAAAAACAAACGGCTATTATTGTCGGCGGCGGCGGCGACAAGAAAGTGAATTTTTTATACGATATAAATTGTCTTATTAGTTTTAAAAAAACAAATAAATCAAGTTGCCATATGCACCTATGTGCCATACCAGCAACTATAATACAAATTCGGATGGGGAAAATGAGACAAGGCACTGTGTTTATCGCTTAATGCAAGCATCTGCGCATACACTGATGGTAGTTCCAATTGCCATGGCAGCGCCGGTTGCACTGCTGCCATCTCCAGTTCCAGTGCTGGCCCTGCTGGCCATGCTGGCCCTGCGGCTCAGGGAATGGATCAGCCATTGCTTCGGGAGCGGCATTGGCATCCGCAAGGGCATCGGCATCCGCAAGGGCATCGGCATAGGCGTTGGCGCGCACGACAGTGGTGGCAGCAACAGCGGCCAGGCCAAGAGTAGTGAACGAGAAGAGCTGCATGGTGAAAAGTTGTTTGTTGGTAGAAATGATAAGTGCGTTATAAAAGAAGGGCAGAAAGTACCTAAGGGGCTACTCGAATAACTTGTCGGAAACATGTTCGTATTTATACTCGGCCAAATGTCTAGCTAGATACGGTGGCCACATCCACACCATATCAACACTCAGCATGTTGCATATCCGTGCGAGCATATGATGGAGCGCATTGCTAGCATCAGGCTGCGTGTGCGCGCCGCCATATTAATACTACCCGAGCAGTGCATATCGTGATCAACTAATTTTTTTATTTGAAATCACCATCTGACCAATGGACGACGGCCATGATGTAGCAAGCCTATGCCCGTAGCTGTCAGCTTGAGGAACTGCGCCAAGTTAGGAGCGCGCATTTCAGGCGTTAGGGCAGAGCTAGAGGAATAGCACGCGGATTCAGGCCCAGCTGCTCTCTATTCGCTAGCTCTTTTTCCTTTTCGAATTTTTCAATTGCCGTCTCATCATCTCTCGCCTTTCTAATTCGCAAAAAGAAATTTACTTTTCATATTTCCACACTCCATTTGATTATTTTTATTTACAAATTCAAGCATTCCGTTAATGATGGCGACTACAGCAGGAAAGGCGCCGGCAGACGCATGCTACATGCTACTCCATCCACAACTGATGTCGAGACGCCCAATTTGCAGACGCTGCGGCGCAATCTGGAGCGGGGCACGGACGAGATTAAGACAGAGGCGCTGCAGCAAGTCATCACGGGCACGCTGCAGGGAGAAAACTACGAGCAGCTCCTGATGCACGTCATCCGGTTTGTCATGCCGACACGCAACAAGTCGCTCAAAAAGCTGCTGCTCTTCTACTGGGAGGTGTGCCCAAAGTACGCAGCCGACGGGACGCTCAAGCAGGAGACAATTCTCATCTGCAATGCACTGATGAACGACCTGCAGCACCCGAACGAGTACATTCGCGGAGCCACGCTGCGCTCGCTGACCAAAATGCGCGACGCCGAGATTCTGGAGCCGCTGATCGGCACGACGCGCGACTGCCTTGAGCACCGGCACGCGTACGTGCGCAAGAACGCGGTGGTTGCCATCTCATCGATCTACCGCACGCAGCCGCACCTCATCCCGGATGCGCCCGAGCTCATCCAGGCCTTTCTGAATTCGGAGGCCGACATGACATGCCGCCGCAACGCACTCAACATGCTGACGCTGAGCGCGCCGGCCGTCGCCGTGCAGTGGCTGCAGGAGAACGCGCAGCTCGCGGGCAGCTTCGACGAGCTCTTGCAGCTGGCGGTCATTGATCTGATCCGCCGCGCCGCGCCCAGCTTTGGCGCGCAGAAGGGCCTGTTTGTGCGGTGCATCTTCGACATGCTCAGCGCGCCGGCCAGCTCAGTCAAGTACGAGGCGGCCACCACGCTGGTCAGCCTGACGGCGAATCCGGCGGCAATCAAGGCGGCCGCAGCGTGCTACATTACGCTGGCGTCGAAGGAGTCGGACAACAACATCAAGATCATCGTGCTGGAGCGCCTCGACCAGCTGCGCGCGCGGCACGAGGGCATCCTGGACGACCTGGTTATGGACCTGCTGCGCGTGCTGGCGGCGCCGGACCTCGAGGTGCGGCGCAAGGCGCTGGCCACGGTGATGAAGCTGACATCACGGCGCAACGTCAACGATGTTGTGTCGATGCTCAAGAAGGAGCTGAAGAAGACCGTCGACAACAGCGACTACGACAAGTCGTCCGAGTACCGGCTGCTGCTGATCCAGACAATCCACGCGTGCGCTGGGCAGTTCCCTGAGGTGGCCGCCGAGGTCGTCGACCTGTTTCTCAGCTCGATTTCCGAGTTTGGCACTTCGTCGGCCACCGACGCCATCATCTTTGTGCGCGAGGTTGCTGAGAAGTTCCCTGCCCTGCGGCCTAGCATCATCGCACACCTGGTCGGCTCATTCCTCGAGTTCAAGACCGGCCGCATCATCCGCGGCGCGCTGTGGATCTCGGTGAGTATGCCGAGTCGGTGGCTGAGATCCGCGACGTGTGGACCAAGCTGCGCGAGGCCATTGGCGAGCTGCCCCTTCTGGCAGCCGAGCAGCGCGAGGCGCTCGAGGCAGCCTCGGGCTCCAGTGCGCCTGGCGACGAGTCCTCGAGCCACACAAACGCTGCAGCCTCCACAAAGTCGGTGTCCACGTCGCGTCGCGTGCTGGCGATGGCACGTACGCCACCGAGTCGTCGCTGACGGTGCAGGCGTCCGCCGTGGTGCAGCTCGACTCAAAGCCGCCCCTACGCGCAGTGCTTCTGCACAGCGATTTCTTTACCGGCACCGTGCTGGCCAGCACACTCGCGAAGCTGGTGCTGCGTTTCAGCGCGCTGCCCGAGGTGGCGTCCGAGGAGCAGGGCAGCAGCAGCGGCCAGCTCAACGCCTGCGCGCTGAGGCCGTGTTGATTATGGCCGGCATCATCCGCATTGGCCAGTCGGCCTTTGTGGCCACGCCCATTGACGAGGACTCGTACGATCGCGTGCTGGCCTGCATCCGTGCGCTCGAGCACATGGACGAAGACTCGGAGGTTCTCATTGACGCCTTCATTGGCGACACGCAGAGTGCCTTTGCGCGCCTGGTTAAGGGCGAGGCGACGCGCGCCGCTGAGGAGGCGAAGAAGACTACGCGCGAACGTGCCGTGCAGGTCGACGATGCCATCGGCTTCCGGCTGCTTGCCAAGAAGGGCACCGTGGCCACTGATGATGACAGCCTCGAGCGCGACGCGAGCTGGCCACGGGCGGCGGCGACACGGCCGGTCGCGCGGCCGTGTCTAAGCTGGACAGCGTCGTGCAGCTGACGGGCTTCTCGGACGCCGTGTATGCCGAGGCCTACGTCGAGGTCAACCAGTACGACATCTTGCTAGACATCATGGTGGTCAACCAGACCGGAAACATGCTGCGCAACCTGGCTGTCGAGTTCTCGACGCTGGGCGACCTCAAGCTGGTCGAGAAGCCGACGTCGTACAATGTCGCTGCGTACTCGTTCTCTAGCGTCAAGGCCAGCATTAAGGTGTCGTCGACTGAGACCGGCGTCATCTTCGGCACCATTGTGTATGACGGCCCAGGCACCAGCGACAACCACTGCATCGTGCTCAATGACATTCACGTCGACATCATGGAGTACATCCGCCCGGCTCGCTGCGACGAGTCGCAGTTCCACGCCATGTGGACCGAGTTTGAGTGGGAGAACAAGGTCAACATGGCCACGACACGCGAGGCAGCCGAGAACCTTGACCTGCGCGCCTACCTCAAGCACATCATGAAGGCCACTAACATGGCCTGCTTGACGCCCGACAATGCCCTTGCCGGTGATTGTGGCTTCCTCTCGGCCAACCTCTACGCTCGATCGATCTTTGGCGAAGATGCCCTGGCCAATATTTCTATCGAGAAGCCCACTGAGGACTCGCCCATCACTGGCCATATCCGCATTCGTGCAAAGACACAGGGAATCGCACTGAGCCTTGGCGACAAGATCTCGGCCGCCAAGGTCTCTCTGTCAACCGAATGAATTTTATTTTTGTTTTGCTAACAACAATATTCAAGTTGCTAATTCTTTATTATATTAACTGTTTTATCTACTCACTCTTTCTCTATCAACAACGATTTCTACTTTGCTTCATTCAGCTCATTCATTCCCTGTTTTATTTAGAAAACCCCGAGCCATTTTATCTTTGTCGGACCGTCACACATCTAATACATAATTTCAGGGGTACATAAAGATCGACTGATTGTCAGCAGCCACAATAATTACATAAGTCATTTCAAACACTAATACAAAAAAACATGTAGTTCATATATTTGCAAACCCGTATAATCGGATAATATAAATTGGATCAACTTTAATAGAAGCAACAAAAAAATCCATGAGACATAATAAAATAAATGGTCACATTGCCATATTTAATTGTTCGATTTATTATTTTTGTAGTTTAAAAAAATTACTTGCCAACATAAACCTCTCCTTTCCCCATTCCCTTTTTGATGATGTCTTTGTAGACATTAGTAGAGGGTGTTCTTTACATGAAATATATTTGAATTTATCTCTTCATTCACTTGCAATTCAAATTGGTTACTTTTATTTTTAAATTCACATTCCTTAATTCCTAATTTAAAAACCAGTTGTAAAATTATTTTTCACGTTTATATCGTATTTTTTGAACAGCTGCTAAAATTAACACATCTCTGCGCAATACTCGCTTATTCGGCAACACACTTTCAGCTTTAGTTTTGTAGACAGAGACAGGGGGCAGAAAGACACATACACATACATATATCCACATTAACCAGCAGACATGACCAACATCATTAACCCCGACTTGTTCGAGCAGTTGCGGTCAATGTGAGTACACAGAACTGTGCCTTCAGAATACAATAAAAACATGTCTAATACAACGCCAATTTTTGAACTAACAAACTTGTTTAAAAAATTTTGTATTCTGTTGGCATACATTTTGGTGTAGCGATGCAAGCAAAAGGACAGGCGCGGCGACAACTCTTCTCAAGCTGGTAAATGTCTAAGAATTTTAATTATTCACCAAAGATGTAATACACTTATTGCAAAACATGTTGAAATTTTAGGTTTTGACTTAACCAGTTTCGTTTGAGCTGCTCATAAATACACGTAGATATCCGACGCAGAGGCTGGTGGGAAGGCGGAGAGGAAAACCCCGTTTATATAGAGCTCAACGCGAGACTCATGAGGCTTTCGAGCGCTCAAAATGTTCAGGACCGTTTGGCAGGCACAGCAATTCTCTCGGCGCTGGTCGACATTGACACTCTGGAGACAAAGCAAAAGTTCCGCATTGTAAAGCAAATTGGAGCGCTGCTAAAGAGCTCCGACATGGAGGTGTGCGCCGAGGCAGCAGCACTGTACGGCAAGGTCATAGCAAAGCATTGGCCCGAGGCCACAAACTCAGCCGAAAAGGATGTCGGCATGTGCCTCGAGTGGCTGAGCAACGAGCGCAACGACGTGCGGCGGATGACCGCACTGCTGCTTCTAAAGGCGCTGTGCACAGACACATCCACGTCGTTGTACTCGTACATATCAAAGATCCTGACCTCACTCAGCTTGCCGCTGCGCGACCGCCGGCTTGACATGCGCCTCGCAGCAGCGAAAGCGCTCGGCGCGTGCCTGAGGCTAGTGCAGAAGCAGGACCAGGCGCCGCGGCTCTCGCTTTTAAACTACGTGTTCGAAGACCTGCAGCGCGACCAGCAGATGGGCACTACCGAGGGATACCACGCAATGCTCCTGCGGTACCCTGAGCTCGTAAAGTCTGGCGGCATGTTCATGCAGGCGCACTTTGGCCACGCCAGCGAGCTGGCGCTCAAGCTCAAGGACCACCCCGACGCAGTTGTGCGCAAGGCCGCCATCGAGCTGCTGCCCGTGCTGGCGCAGTACAGCCCGCACGACTTCACAAAGTACGCGGTCGGCGGCGAGTCGCTGCTGACGCGCACGTGCAACTTCCTTATCACCCAGGCGCGCACCAGCGAACGCGACCGCGCGACTGCGTTCCTAGCGCTGGCCGACATTGCCAAGTGCTGCAGCACCGAGTTTAGGCCGTACCTCGAGCCGACAATGCGCGCAATCCGCGACACGCTGGCCCACCGCGCCAAGTTGCGCAGCGTGCCTGCGCAGACCGATGAGACAGCAGCGGCTGTTCTCAAAACCATATCCACCCTGGCGACCGCAATGGGGCCGGCGCTGACGCGGTACATGCGCGACATATTGGACCTGATGTTCACGACCGGGCTGAGCCAAGAGCTGTGCGGCTCGCTGAAGATCCTGGTGTGCGAGGTTGGCCAGCTGCAGCAGGCCATCCACGACCGGCTGCTGGACATGGTGTCGATCATTCTGGCCGGTGTGCCGTTCCGCCCAATGCAGCCCTGCCTGGACAGCCTCGAGAGCCGCATGGGGTCGGTGTCGCTGCACTATGCGTCGTCAACAGTGGCATCGGGGCTGTCGTCGGCATCGTTGGGCGACAGGTCCGGCAGCTTGTCCGGCAGCAGCGTCTTCAGCAGCGAGCAGACGTCTCTGGTCGTTGCAGCAGCCAGCAACATCCCGGTCACCACCGAGGTCATTGTGCTTGCCCTGCGCACGCTGAGCGAGTTTGACTTTAGCAACGAAAACCTGTCCGAGTTTGTGCGCAACAAGGTGCTCGACTACCTGAACGACGCCAGCTCCGATGTGCGCAAGCAGGCAATCTATGCGGCCTCGCACATCATCAGGTCAGATCCGCTGTACAAGGCAATGGCCGGCGCTGGCGTCGAGGTGGCCGGCGACGTGATGCAGCGGCTGATCATGTCTGCAGTCACCGACCCGAGCGCCGAGGTGCGCCTAATGGCCGTCGAGGAGCTCAAGGAGGGGAGCTGCTTTGACTTCCACCTGGGCAAGGCGCAGAACATCCAGAGCCTGTTTCTGCTGCTCAACGACGAGGTGTTCAACGTGCGGCTCGCTGTGCTCGCAGTGCTCGGCAGGCTGGCCAACATGAACCCGGCGCACGTCATGCCCCCGCTCCGGCGCATGGTCGTCCAGCTGCTGACCGAGCTCGAGTTTTCGCGCAGCAGCCGCGAGCGCGAGGACTGCATTCGGCTGCTGATTGAGCTGGTTGGCACGGCCGAGAACTGGGTGCGGCCGTACGTCGGCGACATCTTCCGCACAATTCTGCCGCGCATCAACGACGGCGCGTCGCAGCTCGCGAGCAAGCTGCTGGACATGGTGGCGGCACTGGCACGCGTTGGCGGCAATGACCTGGTACCGCATCTTGACACGCTGCTGGTCAGCATCATGCAGGACCTGGCCGACCAAACAAGCGTGCAGAAGCGCATGTCGGCGCTCAAGGCGATAAGCAGCTGCGCTAGCTTCTGCGGCATGGTCATCTACCCGTACACTGAGTACCCGCAGCTGTTCGGCATGCTGTCTGACATGCTCAAGGCTGAGCCCGATGCCGAGGTCAGGCGCGAGGTTAACCGGGTGCTCGGCGCGCTGGGCGCAATTGATCCGCACGTGTTTAAGAACGCAAAGAACAAGGCGGCAGGCAGAGCCGGCAACAGCAGCAGCGGCGGCGGGGCCTGCGGGAATATTGGCAGCAATGGCTCTGCTGGTGGCGTGGCCGACGCCGACAGCAAGAAGCAGGGCCGCCACGGCAACAGAAAGCACAAGGCAAAGCAGGGCGGCCCGGCGCCCAACGTGATGACCGTGTTCAACAGCGAGAAGCCGCGCGAGATCCTGGTCGGCGACATCCACGTTGAGTCATACGGCACCACGTTCAGCAACGATCCGAACTATTTACATCGGTGTCGGTCAACGCACTTCTGCGCATCCTCAACTCGCCGGCGGACGCCAAGGACCATCTGCTTGCAGTGCAAGAGCTGAACACAATGTTTGCCTCGCTGCAGAAGGTGTGCGGACAGTACCTTGAGAGCGTCGTGCCGGCATTCTGCGCGCAATGGCTGCTGCGCCGCCCGACAGCGCCAACTCGTATATCGAGCGCCTCAGCCGCCTTGTTGGCATTGCGCGCCAGCTGATCCGGCCATACTTGGAGCCGTTGTTTGCGCTGTTTGACGCCGATGCAATCATCAGTGAGCAGCAGCAGAAGGTGCTTATCGGTTTGATCGAGGTGCTTGCAGAGTCGCTGTCCGGCGACTTTGGCCCGCACATCGCCAAGGTGCTGCCGTTCCTGATTGCTGTCATTGATCGCGACATGTCGCAGTCGCACCAGCCGACACTCAACGCGCTGCATGCGCTGCGCATTTTGAGCCCGAGCCTGGAGGGCTACCTGTATCTGATCATGCCGCAGCTGATTGCGCTGCTGGAGCTGGCAATGACCCCGCTCGGCGTGGTCGAGCAGGCGCTCGAGTGCATGGCACCATTGTCGCGGCGGTCAACTGCAACAGCTTTGCGTCGCGGATCGTGCTAAAGCTGGTTCAGCTGCTGCGCAGCGCGCCAACGCCGACGCTGCAGACGGCGGTCATCGACACAATGTGCGTGCTCATGGAGCAGCTGCAGGGCGACTTTGCCTGTTCATGCCAACAATCGCCGCAGCCATGAAGGCGCGCGGCGTGGCCGACCACGCCAAGTACAAGCGGTATTCGCGGCTACTATTCCTTGGACAGCTCATTCCCAGAGACCCGCAGCGCGTGCAGTCGCTCATGCAGGGCGACCTGTCGCAGGTCGATGCGCCCTCGGGCAGGGCGGGGACAGCGCTCCAAAGCTGTTTGTCGATGTCGTGCAGCTGCGGCGCGCCTGGAGCACGACGCAGCGCTTGTCGAAGGGCGACTGGATCACCTGGCTCAACAACTTTGCTGTCGAGCTGCTCAGGCAGTCGCCGTCGCCGGCGCTGCGCGCGTGCACCAAGGTTGCACTAAGCCAGCCGCGGCTCAGCAGCGAGCTGTTTAACGCTGCGTTTGTCTCGTGCTGGACCGAGCTGCCTGGCCAGTACCAGCAGGAGGTCATCTCGTCGCTGCAGGAGGTCGCCTCGCACTCTGATGTGCCTTCGGAGATTTTGCAGACAATCCTCAGCCTGGCCGGGTATATGGAGCGCGACGAGAAGCAGATTCCAATTGACCTCAAGCTTTTGGGTGAGTATGCCGACCGGTGCCACGCGCTTGCCAAGGAGTTGCACTACAAGGAGGCTGAGTGGACGCTGGAGAATGGCTATGGCACGATCGAGAAGCTGATTGAGCTGAACCAGGATCTAGACCTCCATGACTCGGCAGTCGGCATGCTCAACTACGTGCGCAAAGAGCAGCCGGACATTGAGGACTGTGTCGAGTGGCATCTCCGGCTGCAGCGCTGGGACGAGGCCCTGGCCATTTATAGGCAGGAAGAGAGCGAGCTCGGGCCCAGCTATGTGAACACGAACGGGCAGATTCGCTGCCTGTTTGAGATGTCGGACTGGGAGTCCTTGGCGCCAATCTACGACACCATTTGGTCGGGGACTGACCAGCAGATGCAGATGGCGTCGGCCAACATCGGCATGAGCATGGCGTGGGCGATGGGCGACATCGAGCGCATGGAGCAGTATCTGGCTGTGCTGCCAAACAAGAGCCGCGACAAGTCTTTTGTCGCGCGCTGCTGGCCGTGTACCGCAACCAGTTTGAAGAGGCCGAGACGTTTATCTGCGAGGCGCGCAATGAGATGGAGCCGATCTGATCTCGCACGCGGCCGAGTCGTACAGCCGCGGGTACGCGCAGGTGTTCCGCTGCCAGATGCTGACCGAGCTCGAGGAGGTCATTGCGTACAAGACGGTGCATGACGACAACGAGCGGCGCATGGCAATTGTCAACACGTGGCGGCGGCGGCTGGAAGGCATTCAGCAGGACGTTGGACTGTGGCAGAAGCTGCTGCGGCTGCGCAGCATGGTCCTGCGCCCGATTTTGGATTTGGATACGTGGATCAAGTATGCCAACATGTGCCGCAAGTCCGGCCAGATGAAGATTGCGCGCCACGCAATTAGCCAGCTGCTCACTGACGAGGCCCAGTACATGGAAGAGGTCAACCGCGGCGAGGTCGACGTGATGTCGGGCAAACTTGTAATGCAGGCGCAGGAGTTTTCGCGACTTAAGGCGCAGTCGGCTCAGCAGCCACAGCCTCAATCCCGGCGGGGGTCAATTGTGGCAGGCGCCTGGGACAGTCGCGGACGCCGGTTTTCGGTGACCAGCGGCGGCGGTGGCCAGCCGGATACTATGTATCTGGATTCGGCAATTCGCTTGTCGCAGCAGCCGGCGCTTGTGTACATGTATCTCAAGTACAAGTGGGCGGCCAAGGAGCGGCGCGAGGCCTTCCAAATGCTTGAAATGTTTGCAGGCGACTACTCAGCCAAGATCGGCTTTGACCTGCGCAACCCTGACGCCTTTGCTGACAGTCTTGATGCGCGCGCCCTGGAAAACGTCAACAGCGGCCATCTGGACCTTGAGGACGAAGTGCGCACAAACCATCTCTTGGCGCGCTTCTACTTTAAGCGTGCCGAATGGCTGAGCAGCATCCAAGCAAGCGCCACTCTGGCCCAGGAGGCACGCAGCAAGGCTGGTCTGAACGGTCCTGGCGTGGTTGCTGGTGGAGGAGACATTGGTAATACCGCCAACTCTTCTGGGCCGAATTTGCAGCAGCAGCTCCTGTTGCAGCAGCGCAGAGGGTCTCGCCATGGATCGGCCAACATGGGACGCAGCCGTGTCTCTATATCTTTTTCGGCTACTGGAGCGCCTGTGCTTGATAGTGCATTCGGCCGCGGCGCAGACGTCTATGAGGATGAGAACGCGGAGGCCCAGGCAGCCAAAGATGCCGAGTTCCTTTACCGCCTCAAGGATGACCGTATCAACGATTCAATCATTGAGTCGTACCGGGCAGCGACTGTGCTTGACAGCAAGTGGTACAAGGCATGGCATCTGCTAGCTCTGCGGCATTTCCACGAGACGCAGCAGTACAATATGAAAAACGGCACTGTTCCAAAGGATGTTGTTGCCCAACATGTTGTTCCTGCAGTCCACGGTTTCTTCCGTGCCATTCAATTATCAAAGAGTAATACAACACTGCAAGACACACTGCGGCTGCTGACAGCATGGTTTAACTACTCCCAACATGAGAGTGTTGCGCAGGCCGTACAGGATGGCTTTAATACAGTATCACTGCGTACATGGCTGCAGGTCATTCCGCAGATCCTGGCACGCATCCACAACCAGTTTGAGAGCACCAGCAAGCTTATCAAGCAGCTGCTGGTCGAGGTCGGCAAGTTCCATCCAAATGCGGTTATGTTTCCATTGTATGTCGCAGCTCGCAGTGAGCACCCTGAGCGCAGCCAGGCGGCCAAGGATGTGCTGGCCAAGCTTCACGATCTGGTACCGGAGCTGGTTATAGAGACCGAGATTGTAAGCCAGGAACTGATTCGTATTACGCTGCTGTTCCCTGAAATGTGGCATGATGCAATTGAGAGCGCCTATAGAACCTATTACGAACGGCAAGATGTGGACGAAATGATGCATATTTTGCATTCCATGCATGAGCGCATGCGCAATTCCGAGACACTGCATGAGTGCAACTTTGTACAAATATTTGGCAAGGAGTTACATATTGCAGAACAGTATTTGTCCCAGTATTCCCCGACAGCACCAAACCATCACAACGCCGGATTTATCGAGCAGGCGTGGAGGTCATATGGTTCAATCAACCAATACATTAAAAGCACTGCCTCAAGGACAAGATACTGACACTCAAACATACGGCACCAACTTTGTTGCAATGCCGCGACATGCATTTGGCTGTGCCTGGTACCTATGATCCAGACCGCGAACTTGTGCGCATTGATTCGTTTGATCCCAAGTTTGGAATATACAATACTCAGCAGCGCCCGCGCGAAATTTATATACGCGGATCCGATGGAAACGAGTACAAATTTGTTCTCAAAGGCCGAGAGGACCTGCGCCAAGACGAGCGTGTCATGCAGCTATTTGGCCTAATCAACTCACTGCTGGTCCTTGATATTGAGACAGCAAAGAGGTCGCTGGCAATCGAGCGATTCCCGGTTATTCCGCTGTCGTCAAACTCTGGTCTTATTGGCTTCTACAACAACTGCAAAAGCTTTACTGAAATTGTTAGAAGCTACCGCGAGCGTCAAAACATTAATTTCAGCGAGGAACATCACATACTGGCGCATGGGTTTTCGAATTACGAATCTCTCACTGCTCTGCAGCTAATTGAAGCCTTTGAGCACGTTCAGTCGAGTACACCAGGAAATGATTTGCAGCGCGCCATGTGGTTTGAATCACCCAATGCAGAGACATGGTTGGAGAGGCGTACTAACTATACTCGCTCACTGGCGGTGATGTCTATTGCCGGCTACATCCTGGGCCTGGGAGATCGGCACCCGGCCAACATGCTGTACCATTTTTCTACTGGCAAGGTTGTGCACATTGATCTTGGTGATTGCTTTGAGATAGCTGCCCATCGCGAGAAGTATCCCGAGATGGTGCCATTCCGGCTTACACGCATGTTTATCATGCCCATGGAAGTGAGCACGATCGAGGGCCTGTTTAAATTTACTGCCAATCACACCATGCGGGTCCTGCGCGCAAACCACAACCCACTAATGGCTGTTCTCGAGGCGTTTGTGTTTGACCCACTGGTCTCGTGGTCGTACCTCCAGAATAACAATAACTTGGCGCAAACACAAGCTAATACCGGCCGAGCACCTACCATGAAGCAAAACGCCCAGTTCCAACGCGGTCCAAAGGGTGCTCATGCCAGGACTGTGCACGATAATACCAACATAATTGTTGGAAGCTCTCCTGATAACCAATTTTCTAGAAGCCTGAAACTCGGAAAAGACGGCATCGACGACAAGGGCTGGCAGACCGAAAACCCCAGAGCACTTGCAATTGTTAAGCGCATCCACAACAAGCTTGTCGGAACTGACTTTAACCCAAACAAGCAGCTCAATGTGGCCGAGCAGATTGAGATGCTTATTAGTGAAGCAATGCTGCCGGATAATTTGGCCAGAATGTACCAAGGGTGGATGCCTTTATGGTAAATTTGTCATTTATTTTTTTGTATTTTTCTTACCGTCTTTATTAAATCATATCAATATTTTGTACATCAATTCATAAATTGGCAACAAACAATGATGCATATTCCACTATTGCGGAATATTGCAATTATATGGTAAAGGCATTATGACCAATACGCTTCTACAATAAAAATGCATGTGGTTGATCCATTCTGTTTCTTATATAAATAAATACCTATCTATCATTGATTATTTTGAATGGGGGATTTTTTGATTAGCTATAGCAATATAATTTGCATGTACAATAAAATAAAGCACATTGTTAGATTTGTATAAAGCGGCTGGCACACCCACTTTAAACTTTAAAATAAATAGATATTTTTTGTACACACTGCCATCTATCATCAGTTATAATCATTTTTAATTTTGCACAATGCTTTTGCATAAATACAATTCAACCCATCAACCTTTTCGAAACAAAAATGTACAATTTCGGCCTCTCATAATATGCATTGAATGCAATACCATATTCCAGACGCAGGCCGACCTTGACAACCACGATTGCCCGAGGGTAGTCCGATAATTGCCTGACTGGACGTAATTTTTTGAGATAAATACAAACAAAGGAAATAAATACTTCAATATATCAATAAATCAATCATTTATAATTTATTAAAGATATAAATTAAATCATTGAAGCTTTTTTTGTTGGCAAATAACAAATATACATGCTGTTTCAAATAGCGGATTTCAAAATTGTTGATGGGCAATTTATGCACATGCAGAAGTAATGTTCAGTACGCAAATCGCCAAATACCGAAAGCAAATTGAACTCTACGTGAAAATTTTTATTATAATTTTGTTTATCGTTTTTTAAAGAAAACCATTTATTGGATTCATGAGTCGCAGATGCAAATCCTCAATTACCAGAAAATCAAATATGAAAATAGCGCCATTGGGACAAACGATATTAATGAGCAAGTGTCGAAATCCAACAACGCAAGATGGCCACTCGCAATGCGCAAACAGAAATTATTTTGAGCAATTAATATTTTTTTCAGCATAACAGGAAACCTAATTTAGGCCGTGTGCTGCAAACGCGACACAGCGGATATTTACTATTTCATGTCTATATCTGGTTACTTGGGGTTCATAATTTAAATTTTAAAATTATACTTATTTTGCACATCTATGAACTTTGAAAGTTGAAGGACCTTTGATTACAACAACACGCGCTGTAATTTCATTAATTAGCCAGCTTGAAATTTGAAACACGATAGATAATATAAGCCTTCATTGACTATGGCGCAAGGCACATTTTTTCCTATCAGATATCACGTTTACGTATAAGGCACAGCACAGGCCTGCCAATCCCTTGGTCTTATTTTCTTTCAGCTTTTTTCTCCTCCAGTCGATCCCTCCTGAGCATCCTGCATAAATTTTTTACATTTGCAATGTAGCCCAAATTGAAAACATACCCCCAAAATACCGGAATTTTCTGGCATTAAAAAAAGCGTGCTCATTCCACTCAATTCTATTTTATTTTCACCAATTGAATCTAGTGCTGCTTAGTGGCGGATAGTGGTACACACAAATTCACAAAAAAAAGTATGCATTCATGGCTTTGCACGTACAGAATGCCTGCGCCATCGATTGTCGCAATCCGTCGTTCTTTGTTCGGTCTTAGAACCAACTCTGCAGGGGTGAAAAAAGCAAATAGTGCAATCTGCAAACGCAAGGGAGTAAAAAAAGCACCCTGCTCGTTGGTACTTGTTTTTATTTATTGTATTCCATTTTGCTGCTCAACATCCAACTGTCCTTTCTTGTGTTTCTTTGTAACTTTTATTTGATTATTTATTTATTTACTTATGAAAGTGTAGCCTTTTTTGTTTACGTTTTCTTTTATTTTTCATAGCACGCACTACTTTACAGCAATATTTATCTCATCGCTCCTATTATTTTCTATCAATCTGTTGACTTGCTATCTTTATATTTTTCATTTGGTTCAACCCTACTTTCATACCTATTTTTTATATTTATTTATTTTACTTCCGTTGCGGAAAAAGGTATGCCCTCGATTGTGAGCGAAAACACGACTGTCAGCAGCAAAAGTCAGACCTCTTCATCAGACAATTTAAACTCCGCATCGCCAAGCACTACGAATACCACCATGTCAGACACTGATGCTACCGTGGTATCAGGTGCCACTGCACCAGCATTTGGTCAGCAACAGGACCAGCGGCAGCAATCTTACTCGCAGATGATGCTGCCTCAGGCATACGCATATTACCAGCAACAGCAACAGCACGAACAGCAGCCACAGCAGCAGCAACCGCAGAATCCGCCACTGTATAATCCCACGCAGTTGCAGGGCCAACACCAATTTTATCAGCATTACCAGCAGCAGTATGAACAGCAACAGCAACAACAACAGCAGCAGCAGTACTCGTATGCTTACTCGCACATGTCGCCTGTCAGCTCGCCGACCTTGCATCCTGGGTACCTTAGTGCCAGTCCGCCAGCACAGCTGGCGATTCCTGCAGCGCAGACTGCATCACCTTCCAACAACAACAGCAGCGGATATGCCATTGTCGGCGGGCAGATACTTTCAGGAGCGCAGGGCTATGCGTACTACGCAGCCTCGATGGCTGCATCGCCCGGCGGATCGCCGCAAATGGTGCCACTCTCAGTCAGCCCCGGGGCTGCAGCCCACTATATGGCACCAATGCCCATCAGCCAGCTCCAGAGCACCTCGCCAGCCACCCGCGACATTGAGCATTTTATGGTTCGCCAAATGGCCCAAGGCATTCAGCAGCGGACTGGCGCCAGCCCCATGATCCTCGGCATGTCCCCGCCCTACATCAGTGGGCTCTACCAGAAGCCCGCCGACCAAAGTGCCCAAGACACCACGGACTCCCGCAACGTCTACATCCGCAACCTCCCGGAGGACTGCACTGATGACGCACTGGTACGTCTTGCGTCTCCCTATGGCGAAATAGAGTCGTCAAAGTCCATTATCAATGATGTCGATGGGAAATGCAAGGGGTACGGATTCGTCAAATACAAGACGGTGGAGCAGGCAGTGATGGCCATTGCTGCGTTCAAGATTCAAGGACTGCCGTCGAACCTGGCCAAGGACTCGTTCAAGTCCAAGCTGAAGCGCCTGCATGATAAAAAGTCGGCCAACGTCTACATCTCCAACTTGCCGGTGGATTTCGACGACAATGCGCTTATTGAAATTATCAAGCCGTTCCCGGTCATCTCGGTGAAGATTCTGAAGGACGCGCTCACTGGACAGCCCAAGGGTGCTGGCTTTGCGAGGTAAGACATGTAAAAAATACTTAAAATAGGAAAGGTGCTCGGATATAGTGTGGGTTGTTGTGGCGTGATGTGTTTCTATTTGCTTCTCTCTCTCTCTGTACTATGTCCTGAGCTGCGTGCAATTACCTTTTTATTCTTGATTTCCTCCTTTGTCTTGTCTGTTTTTTTGTTTTAAATGTCGCAAAAAACAAAAAAAAGGCGCAACCTTATTAACAGCTTGTTTAATTGCAGAACAATGCATGTACTACTAAAATTGAAAAAACATACAATCGTTTTTTAAAATGATTACTCTTTCTCACATATTAGGATGCGGGACCGCGAAACCGCCATTCAGGTCATCGAAAAACTCAAGCAAACCCGGCTTCCCAACAACTCGGGCCCATTGACGCCACGCATAGCAGATTCAGACGAGCAAAAGCAGCTGAAGAAGCAGGTACATGGCGAAGGATTGGGGTTAGGAGGCGGGCGCTACGACGATTCAGGCATGTTTGTTCGCTCTGAGGCTACCTCGCCAGTAATGTGGAGCCCTGTCCTGGTATATACCGCGGCCTCTCCCCCGCCGGCTTTTGACCACCTGGGGAGTGTAGCGCATGGTGAAATCCAGACGGCCAGTTTGCCGTCCCAGCAACACCATATGCAGCAGGAGTCCTATATGGGCGGCAACAACATTGCCCAGGGGTATCCAATTCCTGGGACTAATATTTATGCTGCGCATCCTGGGTATGTTTCTTCTGGGTATGTTTCTCCCGGGTATATGTCGCCCGGGTACTTGTCTCCTGTTGCCGGGTACGCTTCGCCGGTGCAGATGCCGACGTCACCGCAGATGGTCTATGCCCAGCTTCCTGAACAAGCCCGGATGCCTGTTGGTAATGTGCAGCAGGGTGTATCGGCAGATCACGCAAAAACTCAGGCACTGGCTCAGGCTCAGGTGCAGGGTGGAAGGGACAGGAGCAATTCAAACAGCCAGTATCGGCGGCGACAGCACCGGCAGAGCGGAGCCGATGCTGCCCAGAAAAGACAACCTCAGCAGCAGCAGCAGCAACAACAACAACAACAACAACAACAACATCAACACCATCATCAACATCAACAACATCAGCAACATCAACAACATCAGCAACATCAACATCAACAACATCAACAACATCAACATCAACATCAACAACATCAACAGCCGAGGTCTCCTCGCAACACAGGCGTCCACGATTTAACCAAGGCGATGCAGAACAAACTTGCATTTTAATTTTCGCAAATTAGTTTTTTCCTCTTTTATTTTTTCCCCTTATATTTCTTTCGTTATTCTTTTTTTTCTCTTGCGTGCAGAGTAGTCCAAAAAAACCAATATTTTATTTATAAAAAAATGCAATAAAAATTAACACAAATAACAGAAGAATAAAGAAATAGAGAATTAAAAGGGTAAATGTGTCTTTAGGGCAGGCACATGGCGGTGTATATGACCAGGTTAGAGTTCTTTGCAAAAATAGTGATGGGCGAGTTGGGTGCGACAAAGTAGACAGCGCCAGGAATCAACATGTGGTTCTCGTCCTCATCAACTAAAGTGCCCCTCCCCTCGACAACAAGTAAGATCTGCGGACCGGCCAGACCGCTAACCGTTTCACTCTGCCCTGCATCCAGCAGAGTCCGAACAACCGAAAACTCATCAATCGGCGGATCATAAATAACCGAGTGCCCAGCAGCACCCTTAAAATTCACAGGCTTTAAGAGCTTGGCGTCGGGTGTGCCATAGTCGTACGTCAGCATATCGACAAGCACCGGCACGTCGCGCATCTTGGGCGTCAGGCCGGCGCGAACAACATTGTCCGACGTCGCCATGCACTCAACGCAGTCGCCGAACACATAGGCGTGTGGGTCATTGGGACCCATGAAAAAGGCATCGCCAGGAGCCAGCTTGAGCACGTTCAGCATGAAGACGCAGAAGACACCGACGTCACCGGGGTACTCAGCGCTGACCCGCCGCACAAGGGACTCGGGCGACACATCCAGAAGATCGCCGACCTCAGTGCCAATCCTCTCCAACAGCGCGTCTAACTGCCGCTTGACCTCATTTTCGTCCGCGCCCATCAGTTCGCCAAACAGCGCCTTGAGCCACTTGCGCTTCTCGGTGTCATCACCACTCTTGGCAGCTGCCGAGAAGCCGTCCGCAGACTCTGTGACCAGGGCCTTGAACTCGGGGAAGTTTTCGAGGAAGGCAGCGATCTGCTCCAGGGGGCGGAACCCGCTCATGGCCACAAAGTCTGTCAAGGCAATGGACATCTCGGGTTTGTGATTTGGATCCTTGTACACATTGGGTCTCTCGGTGTGCAGCTTCTGGGCGAGGGCTTTGTCTGGGTGGGCTTGAATGGACAGCGCGCGGTCGATCGAGAGCACCTTAAAGAGAAACGGCAGCTGGTTGTTAAACTTTTTCGCTATATCTTCCCCGAGGGCATCCCTAGGATTTTCGTCGACAATGGCTGACAGGGGTGTCTCTGTGCCGAACACCAATGAAGGGCCGGTCGGATGTGTGCCCATCCACAGCTAACCAAAATCAAACATCAAACATAAAAATCATACGAAAGCGTGTGTTTAGTAAGAATGTCGAGCGGAAAGCGAATGAAGGCTATTGCTATTTTATGGGTTTGTCTGTACCTCTGAGTATGTCTTGGTTTCGTCAATGGTGACGTTGCTGGTGGCAGCAAACTGCGCAGCCTTGCTGTTCAAGCCTTGCTTACCCCAATGGTAGTTGTTGACAGAGCAGGAGAGGCGAATAGCGACCATGGTTGTTCAATAAAACAAATAGATGAAGCTAATAATTATTATATTATAAACTGTGTAAATAAAAATTAATGTTAAAAAAAGTGTCTAAAGGAGGAAAGAAAGAGAAAGAAAGGGAGATAGACAAAAAAATAATCAAAAACAGGGAAAGGGAAACGGAAGGAACCGTTTCTTGCTTTTATAATTTCGATAATGGTCTTTTTTCTTTTGCTTTCGGTACATTTACGGGCATTTTTTATTTTTTATTATTTGGATAGTTGTCCCCAAATTTTATAAGAATCAATCTTTTTAGAAGGGTTTTTTTAAGATCCAATGCCCATTTTTGAACTGCCTCATGGCAGAATGGCGGAATGGCGGAATACAAGTATATCCTCTACTAGCATCCAGTTTTATACCTGTTACACTTCTGCATGGCCTCATTGTTACGACGACGAATGAGGAAAAAGAAAGAGAAAAGCCAGGTTGGCTTGGCCATAGAACTTTCTGTAGTATCTAAATTGACAATTTTTTGATGCTCCGCAAAAAACCCACATAATATAACTTGTCTGCTATTTTTATTTTTATAATATAGGATCTTTGTATTAGCAAATTATTCTTTAACTTTTTGTGTATTGTGCCGCACTTCCTCTTTTTTTAGTAACACAGAACTACATCAAGATCTTCGCTTTGGGGGTAGTGGGTTTTTTTTAGATTGCAACGCATGCGGTACCATGTGGCATGATGTGTTGTGGCAATACATGTGTGGCTGGAGAAGCCCAAAAAGAAAAACACAATCCGACTGCCTGGCGGATGGATGGGCGGGCGGGCGGACCGCGCAATCTCATCCTATCGATCTGGAGATAGTGAAATCATTTGAATTTGAGAATGAAATTCCGAGTTGATTAAATATGAATGTAAAACTTGGATTAATGGCAAGTAATATTTGCCTATAGGCTTGAATGGACAAGTTGCGCACAGACCTGCCATTCAATGCAGCCGATATTGCTTGGAGAGCAGTTGATCTGCCAACAATTTAAACCATATTTCACAGGCAAGAAAAAGGGAAAGGGAAAGGAAAAAAGAATAGAATTGCATGTGTGCTGTAGGCTGACATTCACATGGCAGTAACGGCCGAGCAAATTGGTAAGGCGTATGTGAATTTATGTACAAATTAAAAAATGAGAAAATGCATGATCACGTTGGCTTGTGAAATAAAAAATGTTGAACGGTATAAAAAGGCCGGTGATGCATAAATTTATCGCTGTTTTTTCTTTATTCATTTTTCTTATTTTAAAAACCTATTATTTGTGCACCCACGGTCTTGCATACATAAATTCAAGAATCTGACATTCTTCACCTTATATTCTGAAAAAAGCCCGAGAAAACAAGTCAGTTTAGTTAGTCACGCTGCGTTTGGTTTCTCACACAGCCATTATTATACCTTTTAATTTTTTGTTTTTTGCTTTGCTACTTGTCGAGCCCTCCCTCCCCTTCCCCTGATCCCCCCTTTTTGTTTGGCTATCTTTTTAGAATTGCCGAGTCACCAAAAAAATATTTTTTGCTTCCTTGCCGTGTAGGCTCGCCCCTCTGCCACTTTGTCACTATCGCAAAGCCACACTCTCTCGCACAGAGCAAGCAAAATAAAAGTTCTGATATGGAAGCCAACAGCAGCGTCGCTGCATTGAGGCTTCAAGGTATCTTGACTCATCTCTCTCCTCCCTCTTCCACAATACCACCACCACCACTGCCATTATCATTATCTACACTAAGCAGCCAACAGATTAACATCAATATGTGTAAGTTTCCTACAAAATATAAAATATACAATACTCGAACGCAATTAGTTACAATTTACAATTCGAATTCACAGCAAAAGTAAATAAAGTAAATAAAAAACATTCACACTTCCCACATAGCCTCCTACTTTGCAAACGTTCCGCAGGCGCCAGCCGACGGGATCCTCAAGCTCTCTGTGCTCTCGCGTGCCGACACCAATAGCACCAAGGTTGACCTGGGCGTCGGCGCCTACCGCGACGACAGCGGCAAACCCTGGGTGCTACCGGTGGTGCGCAAGGCCGAGCAGCAGCTGGCGGCGGATCCGCAGGCTAACCACGAGTACCTGGGTGTCGGCGGCCTGCCTGCGCTGACGCAGGGCGCGCAGAAGCTGATCTTTGGCGCGGACAGCGAGGCCATCAAGCAGCAGAGAGTATACTCGATCCAGACTATTTCGGGAACTGGCGCCAATATGGTTGCCGCTGTTTTCCTCAAGCAGTTCAAGCAACCTGCAGACGCCGCCGTGTATATCTCCAAGCCAACTTGGGGTAAGCCAGATGAGAATTAAAAAAACGAACGAGCACTAAGTGAAGCCTCTCTCTGGAGATAATGACAAGTGCCTCTAACAATCTTCCGCAACAACACCTTTTTTTCTACATCTGATGCATAGGCAACCACCGCAGTATCTTCGAGACGGCCGGGCACGTTGTGCGCGAGTACCGTTACTGCAACTACACGACGCTCGGGCTGGACATCCAGGGCATGCTGGACGACCTTCGGGCGGCTCCCCGAGGCCAGATCATCCTCCTCCATGCGTGCGCGCACAACCCCACGGGCATCGACCCCACAACCGAGCAATGGCAGCAGATTGCCGACGTCATGCAGGAGCGCAGCCACTTCCCACTCTTCGACTGCGCCTACCAGGGATTTGCCACTGGAGACGTCACCCGCGACGCCTACGCCATCCGACTCTTCGTCTCGCGCGGCTTCGAGCTCCTTGTCGCACAGTCATTTGCCAAGAACATGGGCCTCTACGGCGAGCGCACCGGCTGCCTGCACGCCGTGACGGCATTGCCCGAAGTGCTGCCGCAGGTCAGCTCGCAGCTCAACCGTTTGTCGCGCGCCACCATATCGACTGCACCCGCGTATGGCGCTAAGATTGCCGGCACCGTGCTGCAGGACGCTGAGCTGTACGAGGAGTGGCTTGGATCGATGGAGATGATGTCCAGGAGGATCAAGAAGATGCGCGACCTGCTGAGAGACAAGCTGGTGGCCCTGGGCACCCCTGGCTCGTGGGACCATGTGTCGCAGCAAATCGGCATGTTCTCGTTCACTGGGCTGAGTAAGAAGAAAGTCGACCGGTTGCGCGAAGAGTACCACCTGTATATGACCGACGACGGCCGCATCTCGGTCGCTGGGCTTAACTCGGGCAACATTGACTACGTGGCCAAGGCCATTGACGTGGTGGTGCGGTCCGATTAAATTGACGTGATTTTTGATTTTTTTGATTTTTTGATTGCAGATTAAATACACAAATTGCATAGAATGTTCTGTGTGGAAAAGGTGGATTGTTTTGTTTGAATTGACAAAAAAGCATGCACGGCTTTGTTGTTGAATCGGGGAGAGCATCTGCAAATCTTTGGTGTCTGCTGCTCTGTTCCTCACCCACTCGCCCACTTGCTCACTCGCTTACATCTCATCAAAGATGGCTGGCTGCTGCAGGAAACAGTGGACGAGCAGATGGACTCGCCAGTCAGCCAGCCAACCAGAAAAAAACAGAAGACCATCTTTCAGTTCCTCCAATCCCAAATAATATCATAATAATACTGCCTTGCTTTTTCTTTCTAATACCACTTTTTACTGGCCTTCACACAAAACTCAATTACCTTATTCTTCCTTCAAAAATGGCCGTTGACACCACCTCCTTTGACTCTGGGCTCGACCTCAGCAACTACGACGACGAGCAGGCGCGGCTGATGGAGGAGATGTGCATAGTCATCGACGAGAATGACAAGGCGATCAGCGCAGCGAGCAAAAAAACATGCCACTTAATGACCAACATCGAGCAAGGGCTTCTGCACCGTGCGTTCTCCGTCTTCCTGTTCAACTCGAAGAACGAGCTTCTGCTGCAGCAGCGGGCGACGGAGAAGATCACTTTCCCTGACCACTACACCAACACGTGCTGCTCACACCCGCTGGCGACTGCGCTGGAGCTGGAGGAGGCCGGACAGATGGGCGTGCGGCGCGCGGCGCAGCGCAAGCTGGAGCATGAGCTGGGAATTCCGGCGGACCAAGTGCCGCTGGATAGCTTCCAGTACTTGACCCGTATCCACTACGTGGCACCGTCCGATGGGCTGTGGGGGGAGCATGAGATTGACTATATTCTGTTTGTCAAGGCTGACGTTGACCTGAACATTAACGAGAACGAGGTTAGGAGCGTTAAGTATGTTAGCTTGGACGAGATGAAGGAAATTATTGCAACTGCAGAGGAGACTGGCACAAAGCTGACGCCGTGGTTTAAGCTGATTGATGAGAACTTTTTGTACAAATGGTGGGCTAAGCTTGACAACCTCGAGGACATGAAGGACCACAAGACCATCCACAGGCTGCTTTGATTTTTAATTATAATTTTTGGTTTTGATATTCAATATTTTAATTTTGAAATGGTGTTGGTGGCGCCCAGCCAACATATATATTATAAATGTTCTTTTTTTGTTATTGCGCCCGAGTTGGCGCGCAGACCCAGGCCTTTTAATTACATTTATTATAGAGAAAGTTTTTGATATTGAATATGATATCATCTGTCGTGTAAGCTTAAAATGAAATTTGGGCTCTTCTCAAAACCACAAGTGATCTTTTTGTTGCTTTATTTTATTCTTGATTGAAGATGAAGTATATTGTGCTCGTCTCTTGGCTCTCAATGAACACACTTCTGCGCCCCGCTCACCGATGCGCGCCGCGGAAGAGGCTGCTGGGCAGCCTGCGAAGAAGCAGCGACAAGAACAGTAGTGGCATCAACGACATCACTGTTAGTGATAATTCCAGCTCCATCGACACACTCGGCTCGCCGGCACCGTGGAAGAGCATGCCCAGCGATGCGCTGCCGCCACTTGGCCAGGCGCACATCCGGCACTGCGTGGACCCGTGCCTGGCCTCCTTGTCGCCCGACTCCGAGCCGTCCTTTTATGCCTGCCACATCGACCGCTACGCGGCCATGGCACTGCAGCCCATCACGCTACACCGGCTGCTGCATACTGGCACACCACCACTGACACGCGAGCGGCTTCTGGCCAACGCGCAGTATCTCCACAAAGAGCGGCCAGTGCGCTACGCCAAGCATGTCAAACTCTTCCAGCAGCTCCCGTTCATCGTCAATCTCAACCCAAACCTGCATGCCCTGTACACGGCCTACTACGCGCACTTTGAAGAACTGCGGCAGCAGCCCGAGGTGCGCACAGAAGAGGATCAGAATGCGTTCGTTGCCATGCTGGTGCGGCAATCCGACGCGCTGTGCGATATTATGCCGGGCGTTGCACGCGGCTTCCATGAGTGCCGCGCGTATCTCGGCGCCGCCGCCCGCGGCCGCTTCCTCAATGAGCTGATCCACACGCGCATTGCACTGCGCCTACTGACCGACCAGCACATCGCGCTGCACCGCCAGCTCACCGCTGCACAGCAGCAGCAGCAGCAAGGCAGCGGCGTTGCAGGGGCCGCAGACCAGCGCCTCCAGGGCATCATTGACACGCGGCTGTCACTGGCCGACGCCGTCCGCGCGAGCGCTCAGGAAGTCCAGGCAGCCTGCGAGCTGACGTACGGCGACGCGCCTGCGTTCACCGTTGACGACCACACCGGGGCATGCTTCTGCTACGTTGCGCCGCACCTCGACTATGTTTTGACCGAGATACTGAAGAACGCGTTCCGCGCTTCCGTGCAGAGCGGCCATGTTGCACACCCGGTTGAGATCACCGTGGCGCAGGGTGCCGGCCGCGTGGCCGTGCGCGTACGCGACTCCGGCGGCGGAATTCCACGCAAGATCCGCAAACGCGTCTTCGACTACGCGTTCACCACTGCAGCCGATCAGGCCGACGTTGGCGTCCCGCCGACAGACGCGGCCTTCAGCAACATTGCGCGCGAGCAGGCGCCCATCGCCGGGCTGGGCTTCGGGTTGCCGATGGCGCGCGTGTATGCCGAGTTCTTCGGCGGGTCTCTTCACGTAATCTCGATCGAGGGCCGCGGCTGCGACGCGTTCCTGGAGCTGCCGTCTATTGAACAGTCAAAGACGCGCAAAATCTAAAGTTGGGCAGTGTTGGAGGCGGCGTCAGCGGCGGCGTCAGCGCCGCCCTCAGTGGCCAGCTCGCGGTGGTAGTGGTCCAGCTGCTGGCGCTTGGCGTCCAGCTCCTGCTGCAGCCGCTGCAGAATGTCCTCGAAGCGGCGGCGGATAATGGGGTTGGGCGCCGAGTCGAGGTCGGCGCCCTTCTTGCGGATCGTGCGCTCCAGCTCGGCAATTTCCTCGCCCAAAAGCTTCATCTGCATCGAGCGCTCGTTGTTCGGCTCATCGTCGTCATCTTCCTCCTCGCTCTCCTCGTCGTCGTCGTCGTCGGCCTCGGGCTCGTCCTCCAGCTCCTCCAGGCCCTGCTCGAGCTCGGCCGCCAGGTGCTCGTCAAACTCCATATCCTCATTGGCCACACTGCTGGCGGCGTCCTCGTCGATGACCAGCGGCGTGCTGAGGTCATCCAGCGTCACCGGCGACATGATGTCGACCGACGGCGTGGCGCCGCGCACGTCATCGTGCTGCTCGTCCAGCATATCAAACTTGACGGCCACCGCCTGCGCGTCGTCCTCCAGCAGCCGCAGCACCTCTCGCTCAATCGCGTCGATGCGCCCGTCGGGGATCCGGCGCCGGAACCGCTCCTTCCGCACGTTCGCCAGCGACGGCGCCAGCCCATCGGCGCAAATCAAATCCATGCCGCGCGCCAGCACCGGCTCCAGCTCCAGCTCCAGCTCAACCTCGGTAACTTCGCGCTCAACCTGCAGCATTTGGCAGATATCCGCGGTCTTGAGCATCTGCTTGCGGTCCACCGTGCGGTACGATTCGGTGATCGTCGGCAGGTCGACCAGCCGCGCCACGTAGCTTTTGCCCATAAACCGCACCCGCGCATTGCGCTCGTCCAAGAACTTTATCTCCACGTGGTCCTGGATCGTCCGCTCCTGCACGAGCTTGTTGAACTGCGCTGCCATTGATGGCAGTACGCGCAGGACGAACTGCTCTTCTAATTGGGTTTCGTTCTCGTCACCGAGCTCGGCCCGCGCTTCAGTGGTGGCTGCCGGGTGGCTGCTGCCGCCGGTAGGGTTGCGCGCTGTGGACGTGGAGCCCGTGCTGAGCTTGATCGTGAGCCGGTTGCGCTGCCGGTCGCCCAGCGGCGGCCGTCCGCGCGGTCTTGGCGGGTGGTAGAGCGAGTCTGCAGGCGACATTAATGCAAAAGATAGTGTGTGTATGAGCGTGTTATTGTTTAGAAGGGAGTTGATAGATTATTATTTGTTAGTAATGTCGCTTTGTCATATGGGAAGCGGGTCTGCCGATCTTTTTTGTGTTTTGCTGCGAAATGGTCTGGTCGGCCGGTTGTGGGTAAATGATCGATTGCCAGCAATTGACCGATTGATTGATTTTTCTTTTTAGCGGATGCACATGTGTCTGTCATGTGTTTGTTCAACTTCCTTTCAATTAAAACATGTTCAAAAAAGAACGCATAGTTGAGAAAAATAGATTTTATAAAGACGTTAGAATAAAATGTGCGGTTACAATGCATGTCACGTCCTCTTTATATTATTAATTTTCCAAGCTTTTTTTGTACATTAACAAAAATGAAAAAATACATGTAAATGAATACAAGAACAGTATAAAGTTTTAATTTTGCGCACATTTACCCCCTTTTCTCTCTCTCACTTTCACATAAATATTTACAATTCTTATACCTGTTTTTTATATTTGTTTGCTAGCTCTATATGTTTTCGTTTTTCAAGCCCAAAGACATTACGGTAAGATGCCAGGGCCTTACCTCCAAATCATTCACCCTTCCAGACTACTCCACCAACACAGAGACCTTCAAGCAGCAAGTATTTGAAAAGTTAGAATACGCCCCAGCCAAGCACACCCTGTACGTCAGCAACCAAAACATTATAATTGAAAACGGCCTCAACACCATCCTGCCCAAGGACAACTATATTGATGTGCGCATTGACCCGCGCGAAATATTCATCTCGCTCACGTATGATAGCCAAAAATTTGAAAACGACTCGGTGAGGACTTTGGAAACAGTGGCTGATGTCGTTGCAAATACTACTGGACTGACGAGGGAGGAGGTCGATAAGTGCACGCTGAGAGATTTGGTTACGGAAACGGCGATTAAAATGCATAAGTCGTTTGCGTATAATGGATTAACCTTTGATAAGGCCGAGCGGTTTAATCTGGAGCTTGTAAAGTGCGATAATATCTCGTTATCAGCCAAGCTCAACAACCTTGTGAACCAAAAAATACACTGGTAGCGTTTTTTATTTTATTTACTTTATATTCACAAAATAAATCAGAAAGCAATACCATGTAACAATTTTTTATTTTATACAAGCGTGCAAGTTCCAGTGACTGCTTCTACGCCCTTGATACTATACGTGTATTCGGCTTTTTTGTTTTTGCGCAAAAACTCTAGAATAGGCAATTTATGACAGACTATTTGTTTGTTGAGCATGAACTGCAGGTTGTTGCTGCCGCTCAGTTTGCCTGTAAGTTCCATTACAACACCCCCGACGGTCTTGTTAGTGACCTTGCTTTTGTTTGCTTCGCATTGCCACACAGCGCTCGTGGTGAATTTGTTCCCCTTTGAATCGGTGCAAGAAAGAGTGGACATTGTCTCAGGTGTATAAATGTGTGTCTATAATTGAGTAAAACAGATTAGCAAATAAAGAGAAATGAGGTTGATAGAAAATATTATAATTGGCTACGATGAAATAAATAAATAAATGTTTTTGTTTTATACTAATCACATTCTGGATCCACTTTTTTATAAACTAAATTTTTTGTTAGGCATCAGAATCATATCCCAATTTTGCGAGGCTGATTGATAAATAGTGGCTGCCGAACAAACAAAAAATATTTGTTCACTGTAAATTGCATGTCTTTAATAAAACTCATCACATCTTTTTTGTATATAAAATGTAATTTATTAATTTAAAAATAAAAATGCTGGCAATTGCAGTCAATACATTAGCTGGCATGTTCCGACAAACGTATACAAGTTCTCAAACCTGGCTTTGCGGCATATGCAGATAGTTTTATTGTCGAGCAGATATTTGCTAATTTTTTCAGACTTGTCAATCTTTACGCACTCACTGTCGAACTTGTATTGTCCGTCATCCAAGCCGTACACATGGTTAAGAGTTGAGCCAATTAGATTGACTATTTGGTGCTTATCAAAATGCGTGTATATTATTTTATCGCTGTTGTTTATGCTGGTTGCCAAAATTGCTTGGTACGACTTTTCCGCTTGAACTGACATTGCTAAATAAAAAATGCGTGTGTAAATGAAAAAACATCGATTTTATTAATTAGTGAACCAAAAAATCAAACACGAATAATAAGCAAAAAATTATATAGCTTTGGAACATTTACAATATCTTTATACCTTTTTGGCCATCATTGATATCCAAATATGTGATGCTCAATTGTAGATCAGCAGCTCGTATTTTGCGGCGCGCATGGTCACTTACAAAACAATGGTATTTTGCACTAAGCTGTGCTCAGGAATCATGCTTTTAAAACACGGTCTCTGATCAATCAAGAATTGGCCCTAATCCCGCAGAAGCGAGGAATGAGCCGCAGAAATATCTGGATAATTGCTGGCTGTAGAGAGTAAATAAAGGTTTTGTTTTCTTTGTTTATAATAAGCAATTAATAAATAATCGCCTCGTTTTTACTCTTCATTTTGTTCTTCTACTTTAACATTCAGGTTTTTATTATATACTCGCTAAAACTTTTGCTTTCGATGCCAACTCAAAAACTCTGCGCACGGTTCAGTCCCTACGACAGCACCACCACCCAGCCTCGAGTGAGCGCCGCGCGCCCTCCCAACCCAGTGTTTAAGCACACCGCCGTCACACACCCTCTCCTCACCGGATTTACGATTTCCCAGACCTTTGCTGCCACCAACAATTCTTTGGACGCCGACCTGGATCTCCCAAGTGTGCAGGTTCAGATATCTGAGCTCCAACGCGTACTCCAGCGCAAAACACGGCTAATCAGCCAGCAAAAGCAAATTATCGACGCTAAGCTGGAGGAAATCGCATTGCTGACGATTAAACTGGAAACCGCTGGTATTAAAATTGCGGCAAGGGATAGGTGGATTGAGGCAAAGGTCCAACAGCTTGCAGCAAAAGACGAGTGGCTTGCGGCAAAGGAGGAGTTGCTCCAGGCGTATTCTGATCGTATTGCAGCAAAGGATGCTGAGATTGGGGTAGTTTCTAGGAATTTTTTGGAAAAGTGCCGAGAGGGGGAGTTAACTAGGGGGAGGGTTGCGGAATTGGAGGCGGCGCTTGGCAGGTTGGATGTGGGAAGATTGAGCATGGCGCCCAGCGTTTATGAGGATTGCGCGGTGGTACAAGAGATGGCAGTTACTGGTGTTGGCAAAGTCAAAGCTTTCGATGCTGACCATGCTGTTTATGTTGCCAGCACTATCAATGCTGGCGCTGCTGTAGATGTTGCTGATACTGCCGATGCTGCCAGTGCTGACGGTGATGTCGATTCTGGTGTTGCTGTGGAAACTGCTGACACTGATAACCCTGCTGATAACAGGACTGTTGCAATGGTGAACTCTAAAGTTGAGGGCGGTGCAGCGTCGCTGGTAAACAATGTTGCAGCCAACATTATTACAGGTAGCTCTGTGAAGATTAATCCATTTTCATCACCTGATGTTAAAAGCCCATCTGTCCCGCTCACATCCATGGCTAGTCAAAAGAGAATCTCTGCTTTTTTTGGCCCACGCTCCACCCCATTTGTTGTTGTTAAGCCACAGGCAAAGAACATTTGTCCTCCAGGCTTTGTGTTTGGCGACCCTGCGCGCTTGCACTCTGCTACTGAGCCATCCTTTTCGGGAATAAAGAGCAGGACTGCTCTTGTTATTTTTGTTGTTTTCAACAAAAACACTGCGCAAGCAGCCGTTGATATGATTTTCAACAAGATGATGCAATCTCAGTGTCCTGATATTGTGGTTGCTGCCAATGTAGATTACAGCACCATACCAGAGCGTGCTGGTTGGGAGTTTAAATTTACGACTAATTTGGTATGGGAAAATGGTGCGGACCAATGCAGCGGACTACTGGTTGGTTGGAACAATCATGCGTGCGATAATCTTGTGAATTCGTCAAGCAAGTCCTCAGGGGTCATATCCCTTGATTTGGGTACTCCAGAAAGTGGCATTATGAAGATCAAATTTGTAAACATCAATTGGGTATGTGGTTTGTCTTTGAAAGATCTACCGCTAAAGCCAATTGTCAAATATGACCATGGAACCCCGCTAATTGATTTTGGCAGTCCTCGTTTTGGCTTATGTTTGGCTGCTGAAAAAAGCAGAGACAAAGCCTATATCAGTGATTTTAAGCACATAAATATAAAACCGATTGGGACAGACGATTACAACGGTCATGACTATGCCAACTCAGTTTATCTGGGTATGCGCTGCATAATCAAAGTCCCAGACAACTTGGCTTAATAAACTTTGGGATATAATTTTGTATTAAATTAATATTTACTTAAATATACGATACCATTCCACGTGTGATAAGAACATCTGAAATAAAACAATGTTGTTTTAAAAGCACACCGCAATGGTGATAGTAATAATGTTGTTAAAAGCACGTTTGGCGCAAAAAAAAACTCAAACTCTTTATTGCTTTAGGTTAAGATGCGCTGCTCGTCAAAACTCAATTCATTTGTACACATTTTAAAAATATTATTTGCGCAGAAAAATGTGCTAAACTAAAATAATTGCAATAAGCACATGCTATGCCGCAGCAGGAATACAAATGTATTTTGTCTATTTTTGTTTATTAACAATACAATACAGAACAATAAACATATCTAAAATGCAGACTACTACTCAACCATGCAAGGAACCTGCAACCACGTGAAATTTTATTCTCACACAACCATTTTTCACATTCAGTAGATTCATTGTTTGACTGCGGCTTTGGATCTATTTGTAAAAAGTATCCTATTTGATTATTGCATCTAGCATGACCTGTTCTCAAACAAAACGGTGTTGCATATGTTTCTGAATGTCAAATTATCATTCTAGTGTAGTGATGTGTGCATACCAACAAAATAGAAAAAACCCAACCACTGGTATGTGTCTTCTGCTTCTTATTCTCCCACCACATTTTTCACATTTATTTTATTTACTTATAGCTTGTTGAAACATCACCCATTAAAAATTTTCATATTATCATCTTTTCAAATTACCAACAAATGGCAGCTAATTTTATTGCGGCAAACGCTAGTGTCGCAATTGATATTGTTGTGTCAATGGCCTGCCTTATGGCAATGTTTAATGCCAAATCAACCAGACGCAAAGCATTGCCCACGCCTGCATTTCCACTGATTGCATTGGGCATTGTCAATGTGGCACTTGTTGTAATCCAGAGCGTATCCATCAGCTCAGTTGTTTTTACTGCTTCTTTGTCTGCTGCAGTCTCGCTGACGGCGTATTCGGCATTTTGCCACTATTTGGGTGCAGCCAGTGGCAGCAATGCGCTTGCCTGCCTTTATGTGGTCAGAATTTACCGGTTGGGCCAATTTCCGCTGATAATGACCCTGCCGGCAATTTCAGCCAGCGCAGCAATTGACCTTTGGCTTGTGTGGTATGCGCTGGATTCGCAGTTGAAAAGCAACATTTTGTTCCATCTTAAGGGCATGTGGGCTCTCGATGGCTTTGTTTTTGCCAGGCTCGCGCGCAGTGGTGGCCTTTCCATTGAAGATTTGCGCAACCGCAAGTTTGAGAGCGAGTTTAGCAAGCACAGCAAAAGAGCAGTGTTTCACCCATTGCAAAGGCAAGTCTTCTAAAATAAAATACATGCTAAATTATATATTTGACCAACTACAATTATTTTGTTCTAAACACGCCAGTATCTTATTACTGTATTTTCTTATGCATATAGGTTTTTTGTCATCCGCGGCCTTATTGTAGCCGAGTGGAAGGGTATTGTCGGTGTGCTTGTCGCCAAAACACTAGTTAAAATGGCTACTCACTTGCGCCGGCTCCTGCTTGTTAGCATTATTGCAACCGTCGGCAGTCCAAGTGCAATCAACTACCCGAACTTGGCCGTGCTGCTCGTTGTCTGGCAGTTACTGTCGCTCACCACTCTTGCTGATAGATATATTATACATTTTCATGAGCTGCTATTTGAAAAAATGCTTATGCTTGTATATTTTAAGATGCAAGAGTTGTACATTACGGCATATTGCAAATTTTTTAGGGGGGGGGACTTTTATAGATCAGCTTATAATATCTCAGCAACAACCAAGACTCTTATAGGCACCGTCAGCTCGACGCTTGCTCAGCTTTTCAATGTTTGGATCATATCTCGACATATCGGCTGGTGTGCTGTCATTCCAGTTACCATCACTCTTGGCCACCAGTTGATTGCCCATCTGGTATCTGCAAATACCGAACGTCTGAAAAGGCTAAACCGAACGGCCAGGATGCCCAAGTTTCAGGAAGACTATTTCACCATAGCTAGAAACATTCGCACAATCAAGCTCTACGCCTGGGAGAGAACATTCATGGGCGCTATGGCGTGGTTGGATTTGCCAGAATACACACCGCCAATATTTTGGTATGTGCTGGAGTATATAATTAAAGTTATTGGGTCCTCAGTTTCGCAGATTTCCGCCGCATCAACAATCATTATTTTCTTCAGCATGTCCAGTGATCCAATGTCATATCCCAATGTTGTGCTGCTAGTGGACTCGATCAACTCGCTTATTGGATTTGCCAAAACAATTGGTACCACTGGACAGGAACTTATCGGCATCAAGAAGGATGTGAATTTTATGCAGACACTTGTTGATGCTCAGCATACAAATTTTATTACACACATGCCAAAGACCTCTAAGGATGGCTTTGCGGTGGAACTTGACAACTGTGCTTTCAGCTGGGGCAAGAGCAAGTTTGGATTGGATCCGATCACGATGTGCGTCAAGGCCGGCGAGTTTGTAACAATAATCGGACGCATTGGCAGTGGCAAGTCATCACTCCTTTCAGGGCTGTGCGGCGAGATGCCCGTGGTCGGTGGACATGGCCGCGTATGTGGAAATATTGGCTATGTCAGCCAGAAACCGTGCATTATAAACGACACCTTCCGCGAGAACGTGCTCATGGGCACTGAGTACGACGAGAAGTGGATGCATCAGGTGCTTGAAGCCTGTGCTCTGTCCGAGGATGTCAAGCAGTTTGCAGCTGGCGATCTGTCAGAGATTGGCCCCAATGGCATTAACCTGTCCGGCGGTCAAAAGGTGCGACTGGCGCTAGCAAGGTAAGCATTGGATATTCACAGCAAACATGTATCATACATCCAACATATGCAGGGTGTAGAATATGTATTTTGTTGCTAATTATTTTGCACAATTATTTTGTAGGGCGCTGTACCTAAAAGCGGACGTTTACATCTTTGACGACTTGCTTGCGGCTGTTGATGCACGAGTCGAGCGCCTTATTATCGAGCGTGTTTTGGCATCTCGTGGCATCCTTGGTGATAAGACGCGGATTCTAGTCACCCACGCTAACCATCTGGTGCCACTAAGCAGCAAGGTTGTCACGCTTGCTGAAGGGCATGCCGAGATTGTTGAGCAGCAGCCGGTTGGTTTTGTGTCTGCTGTCAACACGGATGAGCACATCCCTGATTTGTCGACAGAACCTGCTTCAACTAGCAACGCTGACGCCGAATCTGGAAAGTTTACCATTCACCCCGAGCTGAAGGATCCACCGTTCAAGCTGTGGCAGCTGTGGAGGTTTATCAAGCTCAGTGGGTACGGGACTGTTGCTATTGTGGCCTTGATCCAGCTTTCCAATGCCTATGCAATATACTACGTCGAAAGCCTGCGAATCAGCCTCATGGTCGACAGCAATCCCGACACGATGCGCCAGTCAATGAGCAGGTACTTAATTGCCAACGCGCTGGTAGGAGTTGTTTGCATGCAACTAAATTATTTTGAGGCATGGATCAGGAAAGTTTTATGGACGAAACGTGTTGCAGAGAAAATGCGTCGCCAGCTTATCAGCAGTATTCTCTCACTGCCACTCATACTTGCCGAGAGACTCTCTTCCTTTGACCTGGTAAAAATGTTTATGGCTGATCGGATTTATATATCCAACCACCTTCCAAAGACCCTGTGCAATACTGTTTTGTTTGAGACTTTCTTGGCAGTCTCGTCAATAATCCAGGCTATAAGATTTTCGCCAACACTTCTGCTGCTGTGCTTGCCGCTAGCTGGCCTAACTGCACTGTCCAAAATACTATTCAGAGATATAGATAGGTTCCCGCGGATTCTAAACCAGTATATTGATTTTAGTAGCTTAAGTCACCCAGAAGTGATATCTCAACACAAATTGTTACTTCGGATTCACAGATGCGCCGACGTATACCTGGACCAATTAAGAACTAGTTTTTCCAGCGAAATATATTTTGGCCACATTCGTCGTGTATTGGACAGTTCGCGCAAGATGATGGCTACCGTTTGCGTCGAGATCATCCACAGCGGGATCTTGCTATTCAGTATCCGTCGTCGTCTTTACACTAGCACTCCTGTACTTCCAGGAGAGATCGAAACAATGACTTTGCTGTCCCTAAATGTATTTCATCGTGTGAACGCGCTAAATCACATTTCCGGCAAGTTTGAGAATCAAATACAGGCACTTTTGCGCTACTACATTTATACTGAGCAGCTGGAGCGCGAGGCATCGGTGGTCATTGATGGTGCAACGCTAGAACCTAGTTGGCCGCAGAATGGGGTAATTGAGTTCTGCGATTACAGCATGCGCTACCGCCCAGAGTTGGATCTGGTTCTCAAAGGGCTCAGCTTTTCAGCACGAGGCGGCGAGAAGATTGGCATTGTTGGGCGCACGGGTGCAGGCAAGAGCTCAATCACATACGCGCTGATGCGCTTGGTCGAGCCAGCCAATGGCCAGATTAGAATCGACGGCGTTGACATTTCGACCATCGGCTATCGTGACCTGCGATCACGCATTGCCATCATTCCGCAGGACCCGGCGCTATTCAGGGGTACTATACGTGACAATCTTGATCCAGCCAACGAGTACACTGACGACGAAGTCTGGGCAGCTATTCGTGCGGGTCAAATTAGCAACCTTCTCGATACCCCAACAGAGAAGTACGTCAAGCCTCTGGATGGCAAAAATTCTGACAAGGGGCTGTGGATCGAGGGTGTTGGGCTGAACAAATGGGTGAAACACAATGGTATCAATTTTAGTGTTGGCCAGAAACAGCTCATCAGTCTTTGTAGGGCACTTCTTTGGCGGCGGAAGATTGTCATTTTAGACGAGGCGACAGCCAATGTGGATTCCAAGACCGACCAGATCATGCAAGGAGTGATTCGCCGCGAATTTAAGGAATGCACTGTGCTGACCATTGCGCACCGGCTGGGCACTGTGATGGAGAGCGACCGCATCCTGGTGATGGACCACGGCCAGATGGCAGAGTTCAACACGCCCGAAAAGCTGCTTGCTGACAGAAACAGCCACTTCTCGCAGTTGGTCGAGAGCATGAATTTCAGCCACAGCAATTGACATTATTTTCAACGAATAAATAATTATATTGACATCAACAGCTATTTTGCTCACACACTTTATGCTAGTGACTTACCATGCACAATGTTTGTCGTGCTCTATAAAAATGTGGGTCTAAATCGATATATTCAAGTCTTAAAAATTACTTAACTGAAAAAGGGGGCAGCGCTGTGTGGGCAGCGCTGTAAACATCATGGTGTTCCTTGATGTCAGCCAGCAATAACAGAAATGTGTATAGTGGCCATGATGGCGATCTTGATTCTTGAAAAGGGAAGATAGTGGCTTGAAATGTGTGTTGGGCACCACAATGTTGATACAGGTTTGACTATGTATAGAATATATTTTTTATTTATAGCAATGTATAGAAATTAAAAAAAGGTAAAAAAAATGTTACTTGACCATTGGTGCTTGGTAACCGTTGTCAATAACTTGTCACAATAGCTTTTTATTTTACATTTCTCTTACCATACATGATAATGCAAAAATGGATCCTCATTAATAGCCAATAATTTAATGTAAGGATATGCATCGCTATATTTATCCGAAAATCCAGCCATTTCATCCAATATTCTGACGGGAAGACGGGACGTCTTTAATGAGCCAAGTTGCACAAGCAAAATCCTCAACTCTTTCGCTACATATCTTTATTCAAAGTGCCTGTAATTATAAATAGACAGGCTTTGCAGTTTGTTAGCAAGTGAAGGCACTGGGTTTATCCAATTACTCGTATATGGAAAATGTCACGGGTTTTCTATGTCGATTGCATTTGAAACACTTGATTTCCAATTCAGTAATGTTTGGCAATATTGCCAAAATATTAATTATATTATTAATGCCCATAACCAATGCCAGGTTGAGATTGCTCATAGTAATGCTATCAATTGTGCATGGCTGGAGTGTAAACTATGTTACAAAATGCTTCATAGCTTGCTTATCCACAGCTGGAATGTATTCAATCAATGTATCTGGTTGGTTTTGTATAAACTTGCAATTGTAAACTTTTTTTGCCCATCTGGGACCATACAACTTGCTTACCATATATGTTGTTATTGCACCTATGCATTATGTTTATCCATTGTGAGATATCATCATCTAAATTGTTCATATTTTTTAACGAGTTTGATGAATTGTTTTCAAATATTGTGTTTAGATCGACAGGTAAATCTACTAACATGATATTATCAAGTGCTGGAAGCCGTATTATTTTCTCGCCAAATTTAAACGCAGGATGTGCGTTACAGGGTAGGCTTCAAAGTCATTAACATTTTCCTTGATAAAATGCACTAATGCACTTCCAAGTCAATCAGATTAAAAAACTTCATCATACAATTTACGCTTTGGTCATCACGTTGTGTCCACATAAAATCAGCTAGTACCTTTCTCAGGTGCAGCATTTTCAGCACCTTGGTATCTATGCCCTAAAAGCAAAGATGAAGGAGTCATTATTTATGTCAATACCCAGTACAGTCAATGTGCTCGAAAATCCACAGGCAGGCGCATATATCTATGTTTGAATTGCAACGTAGAACTGAAAGTTGGCTTGCATATTTATTAATCAGAGTTTGGCTTGTGATAGATGACATTGCATTATCGTAACAATTATCAATATTTATTTTAGTAATGTGGGGAATACATTTGACAATTAGAGACATTGCACATTTAATCGCCTTTAGTGTTCTGTCCATCTCATGAATAGTGTTGTCCATGTAACACAAATATTTGACATTTGATCAATCGTATGTCTGGGGTTGCATTATATCTTGTGTGTTTTTAACAAAACAACACAGTGCTGATATTGATGGAAAATTGACTAGCAGTCGACACTGACATGGTTTGCATTGTTTGTCATAAATGCCAGTTTCATGTTGCTGCTTGCAAACGCAATGCTATCTTCACGGTCTTTGGGCTACTTGAGATGCCCGCTTGATTGTTTGTATTCAATATAGACTGTTATATACACAGCTGGTTTAGCAGCTTATCTCCAATTGCGGAAAACAGCCAGTGTTGGCAATAATAGCTTTCAATTAGTAAAGTTAGTTGAATAGTTGGTTGTATACGGAATGAGATTTATAAATACGTCGGTTGGCAGACGAGCGGCAATGGCATTAATAACAGTCACAGTAAACAATAGAATACAAATAATATAGCTGTATGGATAAATATAGGACAATTATGTAAAATAAAAAACAAAAAAATAAAGAGAAAAAAGTATTTGTTGGGGCTTAAAACAATGTCACTAAAAATAAAAATGTGACATTTTTGCAAAAGACAGGCAATACTTGGCATATTTGGTAAGTGGTCGTGGTTCATTTGGACTTAAAAATAAAGATGTTTATAATTTTTTATTATTCTTCATGTATATGGGGTGCTTTCATGGTTGCCGCGCACATTGAAATTGGTTATTTAATTAAATTAGTGATTCCAAGCAAATGTTGTCTAATAATATTATGTATAATTTGCTCTAAATCTAATTTTCAAGCAAAATTGATTTACTATGGTGTTATTGGCTTGAGCTCTCAATGTTTATCGGATAATTGGAAGCAAATATTATTTTATGGCTTGGCAATAACTTCATGCTTGTTTTATTCACTAAAATTTTCGATTAAAAAAACAGGTTTTTTGTTTGTGTTTCGGGCCGTATGAACAATATATACAATTTCTTCTTTTCTTTTCCCCCCCCTTACCCTCAATTTCACTGCGTCAAAAAAATATTTAAAAAATTATGATAAGCGAGTATGGAAACGGCAAATGCGGCAAATAAAAAAGCAACTTGTTCAATTATTTACATGCGTATCGAGCTCCGCTACACATGTGGTATCCTATTGTAGTATATAGGATCACTATTTTCGGGACAAAAGAATAAACACATGAGAATAAGACAATGTTTTTTCTGGTGAATATTTTATTTTATTTCTCAATGTGCTGTGAAATATAAATAATATACAAGGTGGGGGGCAGAATGCATCCTAGGAATTTCACAAATAAAAAATGGTAATTGTGAATTTTTTCTTTCATCTTTCAAACTTTTTTTGCGTACATAAATAATGGCCTTTAACATGTTGTCAGAGCAATGTACACATAATTCACACCCGTACATTGTGGCTAGATGCCCGATGTGCCTAGAAGTGATGAAGTTTTTGGACGAAAGGCATTATCGTTGGCACATAGCTAATTGCAGCGAATAAAAAAAAGAGGTGTTGTTGTTGGGAGGAACAAGAACAAGTACAATGACGGATATAAATTGAGCGGAATATTTTGAGTTGGTTATTGATAACTAAATACGACAATACTGACTCGAACGATCTAGGAGTTTTTTTTTATAAATGACATTTAAAATTTTTTGAATAAATAAAACAATATTTGGGCCGGGTCCAAATAAAAAATAAGCGAGTAATGCTGAGATGAAGTTGAAGTGTTTTTTAATGTTATCTGCTGATCTTGCACAATAAAAAAATACAATCACACAATCAGGAACTTTTGCAATAAACCCCATAAAACAATAATTTGTACAAAAATTGCGCACCAACAAAAAAAAAACCTCTACCAGAATCACCCCTCAGAGTTCATTTTATATTCCATATTCATTTTTTCTCTTTCTTTATATTCAATTAATGTTATCGGCAATCCAATACCTGCGCAAAAACAAATTTCTTGTGATTGGGCTTATCATAACTCCATTGGGTCTATACAGTGGGATAAGGCTCAAGGAGTGGCGGACAGAGAATAAAATCAACACAATCAAGCAGCAGGTCAACATGGTCCAGCAGCAGCAGCAAGAGCAGTTGTTGGATCCTGAGAGGGATTTGCGAATTGAGTTGCAGAATTTGCGTGCAGCTAGGGCTTCACTTTTGCGTCAGGAGCATGGGCTAGGTGTGGAGCTGGATTCGATTGGGATTAAACTACGGAGACTAGATGAGCAGGAGGAGAAGAAAGAGATTGTTGCGTATGCAAAGAAATAGAAGCTTTGGAAAGTGATTTTTTATATTTAAATAAATATAAAAATAAATTGTAATGTATTGTATTGATGCAGCTAATGAAATGAAGGAAGATTATATGGTGGAGATGGAAGAAAGATGTTTTTCTTCTAGTTGTGGTCTTGTGTGTTGAGTGCGGGTGCTCTGCGGCGCAACAACGTCCGGTTATCGTCATCGTCATCAATATTATCCTGAGCCACATTCACATCCTCATTGCGTTGATGATTTGGCTCAGCATAGGCAGGCAGCGGCTCCTCAACAACAGCAGCATCATCATCATCATCAGTCTCGTTCCTGGGCAAATCCTGGCCCAACCAGCGACAAAGAACAGCAGGCGCAGAAATTAAAGTTTTTCCGCCACTCTCTGGCCTCTTCGGCCATTCATCGGCCAAAAACCACAGGCAATGACCCACCCCCATCGCCACACACTCATTAACCGGCCACGCGCCCTCGACAACCAACAAAAAAGCAACCATCGCCCAAGGGAAATATGCGGCAGGTACGGTAATGAGCCCCATGAAGTTAATGAAAATATGGGCATGGTACCTAGACCAAATATAAGTCAATGCGGTGACAAACATATGGCTCAAAAAGTACGCACCAACTATTGGCCCAACGACCAACAGGGTGACTCCCAGGAGCACCATATGGTAGGCAAAGTCCGCCGGCCTTGTAAGGTAGGAGCCTTCTTCGAGGTCGCGGCAGTACTGGATGATAAAGTACATGTTGAGGAACATGTCCAGGGAGAAACGACCTAGGTAGAGGAAGGTGGTGAGAAGTCGCCAGTATTCGCCCCTGCTGAAGGTATATGTGGGTGTATAGAGGAGTTGGTGCGGGGTGAACCAGTCGAGTTGGACAGCGAGAGTGACTGCGACGATGCTGGTTAGGTAGACGCGAGTGCATATGGGGATGCGCAGGTACCAGTCTTCGAGTGGGCTGGGCATGTTTGCAAATAAATAGATTTGAGATTGGAAAAAAAAGAAAAAAAGAATTGGAAATGCAATATTGTACAAGAGAGCGTAAATTAAAATTAGTTGTATAAACGAAAGAAAAAGAAAGAGAAAAAGAGCGGATGATGCGCCGTGTTCTTTACAAAAAGTATAAATCGGTTAAGCCAATAGCAGACCGCAATAGAAAATAATAAATGGATCAACTGGTTATTTGGAAAAAAAAGGAGAGAAAAAAATTAATTCAGTTGATAAGAAGAGAAGCATAAAATAAAAGCCTTGGTTTTTTTTTTCTGTTCCAAATAGTAATCCAATTCGTTTGTTCTTTCTCGCTTGTTAAAAAAAACTCGCTGGCTGATATATATTTACATTCTGTTTTATAAACACGATCTTTGACTAGGGCTTTGAAGCGGGTGTTGACTTTTTAGAATCCACAATTGCCTTTTTAGAACGTTGAATAGAATGCTGGTGTTGAGAAACGCGCTGGCTCGCAGAGGCGGGCTCCGGCGACCTCTCAGTGTCGCAGCACAGATAACACAACGCGCAGGATCAAAGCAGCAGAGTCAAAATATGAGCCAAAGCCAGAGCCAGAGCCAGAGCCAGAGCCGGAGCCAGATCCAGAGCCGGAGCCAGATTCGGATGCAGGCCAGGACCAACACAACGACCACACCCTCAGTTAGAGCACTCAGCACAGACACGCACACACACACACACACGCAGCAGCAGCAGCAGGCGCTCCGCGCACAAGCGCTCTCCGCGCTCGACACAAGCATCTCATCCGGCGATCTCAGCACCACGTACCGGATCGCCAGCGCCATGCGCGCCGAGGGGCTCCTGCAGCAGTCGCCGGGCAACAGGCGGACGACGCACGTGATCCAAGACACCGCGGTGGCGCTGCGGCTCGCGCGTGCAATCGCGCAGCACGGCGTCTGGGAAGAATGCCTGGCGCTGGTCAACCTTCTGACCGAGTTGCAGCTGGACATCCTGGGCGTGCAGCTGACGGACCGGCGGTTCGCGCGGACCGGGCGCGCAGCCAAGCACGTCAGCGGCCACGTTGTGCGCGCGCTTGTTGCAGCTGTGCTGGCGCCGCAGTTTGCCGGCCCGCTGGACCGGCGCTTGGCTGGGCTGACTGCCAAGCAGGTGCTGGCGGACTACGCCGGCGCCGGGTCCGGGGCTGGTGCCGGGTCCGGGTCTGGCTCGGGGCTGAGGCAGCTGCGACTGCGCGCCGAGGGGTTTGTGTCGCGCGGGCGCGCGCTCGCCCGGCTCGCGAAAGCCGACGACATGCGGGCGCTGAGCGCAGCGGAGGCTGGCGAGCTGGCGCTGGCGCACGCGCGGTGCCTTGATCTCGAGTCGGCGCAGGGCCAGATCGCGCAGTGCGGTGACCGGGACGAGGCGCTCGCCGCACTGGCGCTGTGCCTGGCAGAGCACGGGCGGCTGGGCGAGGCGCAGGACGCGATTGCGCAGATGGAGCGCGGCGGCGTGACCGTGTGGTCGGCGCGCGCGCGGCTGTGGGTGGTCCAGGCCAGCGCGCTGGCGGTGACGCCGCGGCTGGCGTTCTCGGCCGCGTACCACTCGCCGGCGTCGGCGCACCTCAGCCGCCCGTACGCGCGCGGCTTCCGCCAGCTGGTGCGCCGGCTGATGGGCGAGTCGGCGGCGCGCATCGAGCAGGCGTTCGCTGCGCCCGCGGAGCGCGAGCGGCTGGGCGTCGACCGGCTGCTCTTCGCCGCCGGCTGCGCCGTGCATGCCATGGGCGGCGCCGATCAGATCCACCCGGGTGCGCTGGTCGCCGGGCTGCACGTGCAGCTGGCCGCGGCCGCGCAGCGGCTCATGCGCAGCGGCACCGACGCCGAGTCGCCGGGGGCGCGCGCGCTGGCGCTGGGCGCGCGCCAGCCCCTGCGGCTGTTCCTCTGGGCGGTGCTCTTCGGCAGCTCGCTGGGCGCCGCGGCCAAGCGGCGGCTGATGCTCGACGCGCTGCGCCACGCATCGGCCAGCGTCCCGGGGTTCGCGCCGGGCGTGGCCGAGCTGGAGCCGGCGCTCGTGTGCGCGCTGCCGCCGGGCGTGTGGGCGCAGGCGCGGCGCGGCAACTTCGCGGACGACGCGGCCTTCGACGTGCCGGACGCGCTGCTGGCGTCGCCAGAGCGCCACGCGGCCGGCCCCGACGCGGACGCGATCCGCGACTGGGCGCTGCGCGCGTCCCTGGCGCCGCTGGCCGATGCGCGGCTCGTGGTGCTGGCCGCGTGGCTGGCGGCGCTGCGCGGCGACGGCGACCAGGCGCTGGCGCTTGCGCAGCGCGCGGCCGTTGCGCCCATCAGCCTTGTGCCCGGGGCGCTGGCGCTGGCCAAGGCGCAGACGCCCGAGACGCGCACCTCGCTGCTCACAGCACTGTCCACCTTCAAGCGTGGCGCCGATGCGGCCGTCGCCCACACGGCGCTGCGCGCCCACATGGGGCCTGCCGAGGCCTGCGCGCTGCTGCGCTGCTGCGCGACGTCGCGCAACGCCGCCGTGGCGCGCGACATCCACCGGATGGTGCCAGGCAGCAGGAAGGCCGATGAGCTGTACCTGCGCGCCTGCGTGAGGGCCGGCCAGGTTGCGCTGGCACTGCCGGTGTTCCGGCGCCTGGCGTATGGCGCGCCAACGTCGTGGCCGGCCGAGCCAACGGTGGCTGTGGTGCTGGCGCACTTGGCCGACGCGCGCGTGTCGGTGGCTGGCGCCGAGCACGTGTTTGGCGTCTGGGTCGAGGCCGCGGACTTCCACGGCCGCGCTAGCCCGGCGCTGCTCGCGCAGGTGGCTGCCGCCGGGTGGACGCGCGAGGCCGGCCACGTGGCGAACGCCTTTGCGCCGGAGCCGCGCGGCACAACGGTGTCGCAGGCGCTCGAGGCCGCCGGCGCCGTGCGCGCGCCGTCCGGGGCCAACGCCAGCGTGCAGTTTCTGCGTGTCTGGGAGCTGCACATGGTTGTACTTCTGGTGTGCGCGTATGTGCAGGCCGGGCTGGGCGACCGCGCGGCACGGTGGGAAACGTGGCTGCTGGCGTGTGTGGCGGATGGGCGTGTGCCGCTGAGTCCCGAGATTGTCGCTCGGCTGGGCTCGGCTCAGCGACGGCATTTGGCGCGCAGGTCGGAGGATGGGCTGCGCGCCTGCCTGCGCTACTTGGTCGCGGCGGATCGCGCGGCTGCGTACCGGCTGTTGGACAACCCGGCGATGCGGCGTAATGCCATGCCGGCGCTTTCGATGCTGAGACAGAGGCTGGTGTGCTCCGGGCGCGAGGCTGAATTGGCACGCAGCTATTTGCGTGATCTTGGCGCCGAGTACTTGTATGGGCGGATAATTGATTTGCAATGATTTGTTTTATTGGTTACAGCGTTAAACAAAACAAAAAGAGAAAAAAAGGCGTGGCAATCGCCAGAAATGACGAGTCCAATAAATCTTTATTAAAACAAAAGCTGAGGAGGCCTCCTAGTGAAGTGAGCCTCCCCTGCTGCCATTTTATAGGCAGAGGAGAGGGGCTACAATGACTGAATGCTATCTCAGCCGCTACTGCATCAATGCTATCTCAGCTGCCACTGCATCGATGCGCGCTCGGCATTGACTAAGCTCGCAAGCGCTCGGCTCAGCTGAGCTTATGGCCTATGTGGTGATGCTTACCACAAAAGTAACCAAAAGGCACATCCATCACAAATCACCCTTGCTCGCTGGATTACGCCGACAGCTAATTGGCAATACGTAAAACAGAGTATGAAGGCAAGATTGAAGATATTACCCTGAGAACGCGCCTAGTTCTTGTGCCAGCCCGCGCAAAGTCCCCCTGTGTTTTTCCAGCACACCATCCTTTAGTCGAATGTCCTGCTGCAGTAGGCGGATTTCATTGTGTAGTTGCTCTTGTGCTGTTGTGGCGAGCTCAGGTGTTTGTTCGATTCGCGTCTTGAGCTCCACCAGCTGCTTGTGCACGTTGCTCACGGAGCTGCTAAAGGCCTGTGCTCGTTGATGCGCCGATTGGCCATGTGTGCTTGTACCGGCCATGTTGTTGGTGGCTTGGGGGAAGAGCTGACGCAGGGATGTGTCGACGGAGGACTCGAGAGTGTCGAATAATGAATTCATAATAGCGAATTCATAAAAGTTGGATTATTGTTTTTTATATATATATATATATTGGAATGAAAGAAGAAAGAAATAGGATATGATTTTCTTTTCTTTTCTTTTCTTTTGCGCCATTTGCACGCGTACCACAAGGAATTAGAAAATTTTCACTATATTTTTTATTCGAACGCGTTTCTTTTCTTCTTTCTTTTTTCTCATTTAAGCAAATCTTTTTCTCAATTCATTTAATTTCAGTATTTTTTTCATTCAGCCAATGTCAAAGGGCAAACAACCAGATACCGGCAGCTCCTCCACCCTGGACTCCGTCATGCCAGTCATCTCTAGCCTCCTAGACCAAGGCACCCGTGCCTTTGCACTCTCCGACTGGCCCCAAGCCATTGATTCCTTTGGAGAAATGTCTCAAATCACCGAGCAGGTCTTTGGTCCCGAGTCCCCACGCTACGCCGATGCCCTTGTCATGTATGGGCGCGCACTGCTTCAAAACGCCATTGAGCAAACTGCCCTGATGGCCCAAAAAACCTTGGCTCAAGCGGTTACTGGACAAACCTTTTCCGACAACGAACAGGAGGAGAGTGAGGATGACAATAGGGAGCTGGGGAGTAGCAGTAAAGGCGGAAGGATTGCGTTTGAGGGTGAGCCGGATTTCCGCCAACTGAATAACCCCGAGGGTCAAGAGGAAGAAGAGCAGGAGGATGGTGATGAGGGAGAAGCAGAAGGAGAGGGGGAGGGGGAGGATGATGATTTTAGTGCTGCTTGGGATGTCCTTGATACTGCGCGACTGATCCAATCAAAACAAACAGACAGGAAATCCCAACTGAAGTACGCCGAAACCCTAATGCTCCTCGGCGACGTCTCTATGGAATCAGAAAACTTTCCTCAAGCTCAACAGGACTTTACCGCAGCACTCCACGTCAAACGGCTTTACCTTGAGGCCGATGATCGCGAATTAGCCGAGCTCCACTACAAGGTTGCTTTGGCCTTGGAGTACAATGAGGATACGGAGGGTGCATTGGTGGAGATGGCTGAGGTGGAGAAGATTTTAGCAAGGAGATTGGACGTTGCAGAGTTGGAGGAGCAGGAGGGGCTGAGGGAGGTTTTGGAGGATGTGAGGGTGAAGATTGAGGAGTGGCGGAACCCGGTAAAGCAGCAGGACGATGTGGTGTTGGATGACGAGATGAAGGAAAAGGCCAGGGCTGCGTTTTTGGTCGCTGTGGAGGGCGGAAAGGTCAATGACTTGACTGCTTTGGTGAAGAAGAAGAAGAATGGTGATAGCAAAAGAAAGTGTCTTGAGGACGACGCCGGCAGCAATGAGGATACCGAGTCTTGTGCCAAAAAATTGAAGGATTGAATTAAAAAAATTTACTCTCTTTTTTAATGAGTAAATGCTGGGTTTAAAATAAAAAGACGTGTATTCTATATAAAAAAGTGAACGCAAAACATATTTTTTGTTTATTAATATATTGTAAGTGGAGTGGAGTAAAAGACATTTAGCTTTGTACATTTTTTTGCTGTTTAAACCGAGTATTTACTTGTTATTTTTTAGTGTATCTATGCAAAATGAAATAAATAGTTAAACAGCGTTTAATCTAAAATAATTTTATACTGAACATTTATATAAATTAATGGTGTGTTATGTAAGAGGGGGTGGGGAGCACTACTGTGACAGTGTAAGAATGGGCGTGAAGTATAAAGGCTTACTAGTGTTTCTAAAGTGCTATTATCGCCGGCCTCGCCTTATATATATCTCCTTGTCTTTGTGGCACCACTGGCAGTCGTGTGCTCCGTTCGCGAAAACTGGTCCTTATGAAAGTAACCAGGTCTCTGATATGGCATAATTGGCATGTCTGTATTCTTGCACCCAGCACATCTATTTAGAGTCAGACAGTATGTCTGGATGTCAACAGTGGCGTCTGATTTAGTCCCCTGTAATTTGGTCAGTATCAGATCCATCAGTAAGCTGACGAGAATCTGTCTCATGATTTTTGCCTCAGCATCTACCCCCATATCCTCGGGCTGCGTAACAGGTGTTTGCTCACTTCTCCGTTTTTTATTTTGTTTTTTACTTTTAATTTTAGGTTTAATTTTAGGCTTAATTGTATTTTCAATTCATACTATATCAACGTATTTGTCCATACTTATACACACCCAGTCAAAAAAGGCTTAAAAACACACCCAGTCAATCAAAACATAAAGCAGCAGCAGCAGTAGTAGAAATGTCCAATAAAGCAAATAAAAATAGCCTTACCTTTAATGACCTTGACTTGATTATTAATTTTACCAAACCGCAGAAAAGGCATATCTCTATCAAAGTCATTGAATTAGATCAGAATTCAAAAATCAAAGATTTAAATAAAATCGTTCTTGGGATAATACAAAAAGTATTAAACATGGATGAAATTGTAAAAGGAAAATTAAATCTGAATTACTATTGTTGCACAGACTGAAGATATGAAGTGGATTTGAGGTCGAGAATCGCGAAACAGGTTTCACCTGCGTGCCGATTGATAGGACGCTAATTGGATAACGCAGGCGTAAATCAGGGAGGCATTACATTGATGCCCAAACATGTCCCCATTCTGTAATGCACACGCATAAGCGTACACGCACGAAAACACAACATTGACTTGCCAAGATACCGGTCTGCTCGCAGAAGATCCAGTTCTCACCAACGGAGCGCACAATTGGCAATGTGCACAACAAAGGCGACGAGGCACATATATAAGACGAGGCGGCCCTAGTAGACTTTAGAAACATAAGTAATAAAACCTTTTATAAAATCACCCCTACTTTTAACACTAGACAACTAGTGCTCCTTACGCCCCCTCTTACTATAACACTGCTTACTATTCGTTAATAAAATTTATTTATAACTTTTTGAATTTATTGATAGTTTAATATTAAATCAACAGATTATAACAAAAACTATAATATAAATCCTGAGTGTGGGTGTACTGAATAGATTGAACTAAAATAACTAAAGTTTTGAAAATGTCTGATAAGGAGCTAAAAGAGGCAGCGCTGTATGGATAGCGCTGTGAATGTCTTGTTAACATTTGATGTTAGACAACAATGTCAGGCATAGGTATCGCAGCGTTGGTGGCAATATTGCCGTGGTAACCCTTGAAGATGGAAAGAGGGAATACCGCATGTGGGTCGACTACCGCATATAAAACATTGACTAAATTTAAAATAACCTGGTAGCAATTTGTATCTTGTATCCCCTACTTGAGTTGGGCTTCATTTGATAATCGGTTAATCAAAATGAATAATAAAATTAATGGATTTATCTATATCTGCTATTTTGATAATTTCACTTATTTTATCTGTTGCTCAAAATGCATTGGAATTCTAGCATCGCCTTTTTCCTTATTAATTCAATTGTAAATGTCCATGTTTTTGCCTTATCATTACTTAGTTTAAGCAAATTTTTGGCCTTTTCAGTCAACATTTTTACCCCATAATCCTTGTTGTTTTTTGGATCACAAACAAACGTTGTTTACCAATATTCTTATATACAAGCTATTTTATTGAAATTAGCAATAACAAAATTGATAGTTATACTTTCAGATGAATCAGACATGTTGTTGTTTTTCTGACCGACGGGTTTAGACATAATGCTATGTTAGTTGTATAAAAATGTTTTTAAATTGTTATTTGTATGGTGAATTTATTGTATTTTTTATGTTTTGGACAAGAAATCGCTTGTCCTTTTATATGAAATAATATGCTCTAGTAATTTCGGTTATTGCGGTTTATTAACTTTAAAAATTACGGAAAATCCGATTTGTCTATTTATAAAGTCTTTGTATTAAATATTTTTCAGGTTTACTCCTTGTGTATTCCATGCTCAATTTTTTGAGGAATAACGTGGTAGGAGTATTCGTTTAAAAAATTTTAGCACAGTGCAGCAAGGCCTATAATATAATTGTTAAAAGTTTTTACAGGATGCATTCAACACGCTATGTTTTATGCAATATTGTAGTCGGAATATCTGTATAATACTTATTAGCACGGTGCAACAATGCCTACAATAATAATGTTATAAAAAAGATTATTTACAGTATATTTTGTTTGTGCAATAATGTGGTCGGAATATCCGCAACAAATAATATTTTGCTTGACATCTTAGGGCATATTTACAATGACTGCGTGTAGAAAATATTTACGAAATACATGTGTGCGCTTGCATTTATTTTCTTTCTGACTTTAATTTTTATTTCTTTTTTGCACATTATTTCATAAGCATATGCACAAGAACAGAGTTGACTGCTGCTGCTTTTCTGTGGATAAATTTAAATGGAAGGAGGAACTCAAAGTAATAAAATTAATGAGGAGGCGGCAGTCATCGACTTTGAGCAGAGCTTGGCCTCATGTTCTCAACATTTGATATTTGCCATGTCTTGGTCTGCTCTTCGAGCCAGCAGAAATCCCAGCAATCATCACGTGCTTATGCGTTAGCAAAATCATGATCCTCTTAAAAAATTAATTTGGTGATCGTGTTGAAAGCTTCTTATTTTTCTCTTGTGTTTATTGCACGCGCGCGCAAGTCAAAGTGTGTATATTATTATTTTCTTTACAATTCCAATTATAAATTTAAAACAAGGTGTGAGCAATCTTTTTTCTTTTCTTTTCTTTTCTTTCCCTTCCTTCAACAGTTATTTTTTCACTTACCCGAAATACCCAAGCACTTTTTCTTTTTACCTTTCATATTATTATAGAAATATGTCCAAAGGCAATCCAATTCTGCCCTCCGAGCCTCTCGCTCTGGAGCCCAACCTAATTACAGCCGCGGCCGCAGCGCAAGCCGAAAGCCTTAGCGACAACGATGGCCAGGCAGGCAGCCCCGGCTTGTCCCCCGGGCGGGCAAACATGGTCAAGCGGCGGATGGACAACCGGCACTATGGCCGCAGCGAGTCTCGCGAGCGCTCACCAAAGCCCGAGCGCAGTGTAGTGGGAAGCCGTGAGGAGCAAGGAGATTAGAGGCGTCGCCGTACCGCAGAAGAAGCAGGGAGGATGATAATTATAAGAGAGGCGGGAGGTCCTTTAGTCCTGTGGATTATCGCAGGTATGCGCCGGATAATGCCGCAGAGTACGGCGAGGGGAGGCGTCATCGGAGTCGTGGTAATGGCAGGTCCCCTCGTGAGGGCGGAGAGAGCGCTGGGTACTATAACGGCGGCAGGGACGGAAGCCGTGGTAGAAGGTAAGAAAATGGTTATGTTGTGCAAAAGAGGAAACTCAACTGGAATAGTTGTCCAATTACTGTTATTTCTGCTTGGTTATTGTCATTAACCGCCTTCTCTTTTCTTTTTCTTAACTTGTGCTTGTTTGCTCTGCATTTAGACCCGATATTGAGAACAAGGTAAGTCGCTTGACAAAGAGGGCATTGCGGCTAACCCGCCCACTGTGCCGGCCATCCAACGCTTACTAACACTTTACTCGTCTACCTCTTTTCTTGTTTCTTGTTTGTTTTTTCTTTGTAGGAGGAGCCAATTCCATCGCGCGTGCTGGGGATATTTGGCATGAGCAAGTTTACCAACGAGCAGAATCTGGAGGAACTGTTTGGCAAATACGGACCCATTGAGAAGATCCAGATTATCCGCGATCCCAATGTAAGGCAATCTGCAACATCAACAATCAGCAAACAGCTTCAGCAAAAAAATAAATAACAAAGCAAATCAGCAGCAATCCATTCATCTCCACAACTATCATCACTATCAGCAACAACAACCACAACCACAACAACAGCAAAGTCACCAACAATTCTTTCTCCCAATCTTTTGTATCTCTGTGCTCGTACGAGGATGATTTGCGATGCTTGTCGTCCACAATTATCGTACATTTAGGATGGCCGCTCCCGAGGATACGCCTTCATCAACATGACCAACGTGGCGGACGCGCAAGAGGCCCGCAACGCCATTACCGGCACGATGCTGCATGACCGCAAGGTGCGCGTTGATTTCTCAATCACCAACAAGCCGCACGCGTCGACGCCCGGCAAATACAAGGGCCAAGACACTGGCGCAGGCGAGGGCGGCAATAGGCCGTACCAGAGGCACGATGGCCGCCGGCCTCCGAGAAACGGCGGCTTTGGTGGTGGATCGTCGTACAGGGACAATGACGATTTCCATGCCCGCCGCCGTGCCAATACCAGAGACAGGCGCAGGAGAGAGTACCCGCGCCGTGACCTGCCCCCTCCCCCGGCGCGTGGCGGGCCCAGGGCGCCGTGGGGTGGGCGCAGCAAGTCGCCTGCGTACCGCCGCGACCCGTCCAGAGGACACGACTCGTACCGTGGATCGTACGAGCATCGGGATGGCGGACCCAAAGACTACGGACACGCAAATAGAAATGGACCCGAAGGCCGCAGAAATGGCCATCGCGAATTCGACAACGGCCCTGCCGATCGCAGGAATGACCAGCGCGACTTCGATCATGGATCCAGAGACCGCAGAAATAGACAGCGTGACTTTGACACCGCCAGACCGTATGCACGCAGCCGCAGCCGCAGCCACAGCAGGGGTGCCCGTGCGGAGTTTTACCCGCCGCCTGCCACTACTAGACCGCCGCCGCCTCCTTACTAATTGCTAATTACTAATTACTTGGATGCAATATAAGCAAAAAGAGCATTTACCTTTTCTATTATTAAAGATTTTACAGATCTCCTTCTCCCTATCTTCCATCTCTATTTATTCTTACGATTCGCTCAGAGCGAAACGCTAATGTTGATCGGGCGGCGGTGGCCAAAAAACTTGCTGCGCGGACGCGCTGATTATCACTGCCGGCGGCGGCGGCGGCGGCGGACGATGCCTTGGCCTGGGAAAAGTACTTGACGAGGCTGGCGTTGTTCGGGGCATCCTCGTCGTCGGCCCACACGACAACGACGGCCTGCTCCAGGAGGATCCTTGCGCAGGTGGACCAGCTAAAGCGAATGATTCCGGGGTACCCAAAAACCTGGTCGAGCGACTCCTTCAGCCACCTAATGGTTTGGGATCACCAGGATACCCTGATCCATACACGCTGGACATACTATTTTGCAACTTCGATTCGGCAAACACCCAGCGAGACAGGTGGGCGTCTCTGGTGACCTTGGCGCAGATACTGGCGGCACTGACGATAGGGTACAGCGAATCAGCCTTTTTAGCGACCGTGATCTGAATGCCCGGAAACAACCCCTCCAGCTTCTTCTGATACGATGCAGGAGGACCCACCGTATCTATAAACACCCTCTTTAAGTTGATTCCTCTGCCCAGAGCATCCCTTATAAGCTGTATTGTGGCGTCATGCGCCAATGAGTTCAAATTGTACTTGGACCTGCGCAGCATGCATTGTGAATATCCTGCGGCGAAATGCACCTTATCGACCAACCACTCGACTCGCGCACATCGTTCTGCTGGATAACAGCAAAAAGGCGGTCGCGCTGGTCTTCGTTCAGCTGCTTAGAATCGGCAAAGCCCAGGGTGCTGAGCTGAGCGTAGTATGATTCTTTGCAGAAACAGGTCGCGTACACCATGGGCCCTAGAACGGGCCCGCGCCCGGCTTCGTCCACGCCCAGGACGTATTCATCTGTCGAGGCCTCCGGGAGCGGGGAGAAGAAGGTGTAGGATTTGGTGAGTGCCTTTTGGATCGGGAGGCCTAGCTTTTCGAATATTGTGCTGTCGGCGGCGGTTCCATGGCTGTGCTTCGTGCGCTTGCTCAGTGTGCGGGCTACGCCATGACTTCGTCATCGCTGATGTCTTCTAGTGGCCTGCAAAGCGAGGCGTCTGTGAGCATGTTTTGAAAGAGAGAGATGAAGATATAGATATAGAGGTTAGTATGATGCAATTTACTTTTGAAAAATATGAATTTCAAGTAAAGAAAACAAGAGCCACAGAAACAGAAACGGAAGAGCAGAAAAATTAACGCGCTAGTTTCATTATTTTTATTTATTTACGCGCCACTTAATTCACAGTAACAAAAATACGAGTGTTGGGATCAAGCAGACCGGTTTGCAAACATGATAAATACACAAGCTCGATCAATCGATTGATTATTTTTTTCAGCTGCATCAATCAAGTAAAATTGGAATATGAGATAGCTTAAATTTACACAAAAAATAGATTAAATGGCAACATTTGGCCAGCAATTAGCGGTCTCCAATGTAGCCGTCGCGCTCGAGCAGAAGGATAATCTCGTGGACGATCTGCGAAATCGACGTCTGGGTGATGTCAGCAACCAAATCGGGGTTCTGGGGCGCCTCATAGACATCATCAATGCCTGTGAATCCCTTGATCTCACCGGCAATGGCGCGCTGGTAAACGCCGGCGCGGTCGTTCTTGATGCACTCCTCCAGGGGAGTGGCCACATGAACAAGGTAGAAGCCACCGGACTTGGACACCTGCTGCTTGACCAGCTGGCGCGCAGCATCGTAGGGCGCAATGGGCGCAGCAATGCAGGCAGCGCCAGAGCGCGTAAGCTCAGCGGCAACAAAGGCGATGCGCGAAACATTGATGTCGCGCTCGCGCTTGGTGTATCCCAACTCGGAGGAGAGCTCGTGGCGGATGGTCTCGCCCAGAAGCAGGGACACGCTGCGGCCACCCTCCTGGTTCAGGGCAACCTGCAGGGCGCGCGCAATGGCCTCCTTGCCCGAGGCGTGGAGACCGGTGAGCAGGACGGTGAAGCCCTGGGTGTCGCGCGGTGGGTTGGCTTCGCGCAGAATGCGGACAACCTCGGGGTAGGAGAACCACTCGGGAATGGGGGCCCCGGTCTTGAGACGGCGACGCAGCTCGGTTCCCGAAATGTTCAGCGTGCGCGTGCCCTCCTTGACCTCGTTAATGGGCTGGTACTCGTCAGTGTCGGGCAGGTAGGTGAGCATTTGGAAGGGGACCATCTCGATGGCCAGCTCGTCCTTGTACTGCAGAACAAGGTCCTGTGCCTCATAGGGGCCATAGAAGTCCTCACCCTTCGAGTTGGAACCGGGACCGGCATGGTCGCGGCCAACAATAAAGTGCGTGGCACCAAAGTTCTTGCGGATAATAGCGTGCCAAACGGCCTCGCGCGGACCACCCATGCGCATAGCCAGCGGCAGCAGCGAAAGCTGCGCCATGCCGTTGGGGTACTTGGCCATGATGGCCTGGTAGACGCGCACGCGGGTGAAATGGTCAATGTCTCCGGGCTTGGTCAGCCCAACGACCGGCTGGATCAGCACATTGGCGTGGCGCATACGTGCTGCACGCACAGTGAGCTCACGGTGCGCGCGATGCATCGGGTTGCGCGTCTGGAACGCGACGACGCGTGTCCAGTTGAGCTTCTTGAAGAGGGCGCGCACCTCGGCGGGCGACCGCCGGATGGCCACGTAGTCGTAGTGCTGGGGCGCGTTGACAGCCTGGACGCGGCCACCAACGTATGTGTCGCGGGTGCTGTTGAACAGATAGTGCACAGCAGGGTGGGCCTGATCGTTGGCGCCGTAGATCTGGACAGCCTCGGCCTCGCGGTCCACTGTATAGAGGTCGGATACTGTGATGATTGCCAGGGCTTGGTCATCGCGCGGGTCACGCAGAGTCACGCGGCTGCCGGCCTCAACGCCCAGGCGCTGCAGCTCAGCAATATCGACGTCAAGGTAGATGGGTATTGTCCAGACCTCACCCGTGGGCAGCGGCTGGTGGTCAGGACACTGGCGTACTCGGCTTGTGTCAGGAATCCCTCGAGCGGACTGAAGCCGCCGTTGAGGATCAGCTCAAGATCGCACAGCTGCCGTCGGTCAGCGTCACCGACGGGAGCGTCTCTGACTCAGCCGAAGCTCGCTGTGGATGGGTTCGTCGCGGACGTAAAGGTCCTTGAGGATACCGCCGTGGGGTGTGTTGGCCATGGCAATGATTTGTATTTAATTAGGGTGATGAGAGTAAAAATAAAATATAATTATTGAAAATGTAAGAGAAATAAAGGGTGTAAATATTTCAAAGTATAGAGTACAGAGTAAGGTCTTCAATGTGACTTGCCTTTCCACATCGAGCCCTTTTATATTGAAGGGAAGGACGCCTGTCACATCATCCCGGTACTCGACAAAAAATATCCTGGCGGAACTAGTGCCTTGTCTGTTCAATTTGTAAATAAAAATTGTGCGCGTCAAGCAGCGCAAATAATTAACAACGAGTGTTAATGGTGATGGTACTGCTCGTGCGCTGCAGTGTAATGCTTATCTTTCTTCTTCCTATTTTTGCCGCACCCTCTCACTCAGTTACAAATACCAACCAGGCAAGAGCGCGAATTGCTTGAATCGCTCGAATTGCCATATTCGAACAAGGCAAATAAAAATGAGAGAACGCGCCCAACAAATTTGGCACCAATGATCACAGCGCGTAAAAAAACGGTCATGGATGGGAGCAATTAAAGGATAATATGGATTTGCAATAAAAATAGTGTATTATTGTCGCTTTTGCGCTTTGACAATTGGCTGCCAAAACCCCTTTAGGCAGGAATTGCAGAAGTGGAGGTCGCGATGGCGCAATCGCCGGAGGACATCACTCGTCCAATTGTTTGTAGCACGCGGATTAATTGCGGTCTACAAAAATAAATGAAGATTCCTTTTTATTTTCCTCCACCGTGTGAGCTATAATGGCCGGCGGACTATTTGGCACCATTGCCTCTTTGGCTGTGTCGATTGCGCGAGACGTGCATTTGAAGAACATGTTCGATTTAAAACAAAAGAAGTCCGATTTCTGACCTTAATTTCACATTTTAATCAATTAATACTACGAATCAAACTAGGTCTCCACCGACAGCGTCTTGAGCCCGACCACCTGGCCGTCCACGAGTATGACGACATAGATCTCGATGTTAGGCAGGACGCCTACGCGATAATACGCGCCCTCGCACCCGGGCTCCTTGGTCAGCTGCGCAAACCCGGCCTCCAGCGACTCTGCCAGCTTGCGCTGCCGCTCGGACACCTGCTGGCCACACAGCCTTTTAAAGAAATCGCCAAGCGGACGCCTTTCGGCCACAAAGCCGTCCTCATTCGGGGTGACGTTGCCGGCGACAAACTCAGCAAAGGCGGGTGCGCTGGGCAGCTGAGCTTGTCGGCGTCGCCCTCAAGCATGTGTAGACCGGCGGCGAGAGCTGGTAGACTCCGACGGGCTCGTCGCTGTCGCTGGTGAAATACAGGTCTGTGCAGTTTGCTTTGATGTACGAGACGACAGAGGCGATGTCGGTGGCCTTGGGCACGGGGATAGGCGAGTGCGCGTATGACTCTGCTGTCGAGCTGGGCGATGTCTTGAGTGCCTCAAAGTAGTCCATAGTGAGTGGATGGATGAATGAGTAGAATTGCTGTTGGTTTTGCTGCTGCTAAAGGTCGAAGTATTTAAAAAAGAAAAGCTGAATTTGAAATTGAATTTAAAGGAAGCTAAAGAACACAGAAAAAGAAATCGTGACGGCCAAGCTTGGATTTTTGATTTATGTTTGCATAAAGAAAAGGGCTGATCCGTACGACGTCACTGCTATTGCCGCCGCCGCCTCCAATCATCATCTCCTGGGGTTCTCGACCGATGACGACTCGGTCACGTTCAGCAGCAGGCTGCTGGCGTCGAGCACCAGGCGGTTACCAGACTTCTGCAGGATGTGGGCAATGTCACGCGCAGTCTCAATCCGGCGCAGCTCAAGGAAGCCAGGCTGGTTCTTGATAGCCTCGCCAATGAGCTCGGCCGACCTGGCCTCACCATCGGCCCGCACAATCGTGCTCTGCTTCTCCTGCTTGGCGCGATCGACAATAAACGCTGCACGCTGGGCATCCTGCTGCGCAATCTGCTTCGCCTCGACGGCAGAGGCAAACTCGGGGCTGAAGGTGATGTGCGTCAGCGACACGTCGTCGAGAACCAGGTCGAACTTGAGCGCGCGCTTAGTCAAGTTCTCCCTAATCATACGGCTGACGCGATCGCGCTGGGTGATCAGCTGCGAGGCATTGAACTGCGCAACGACGCTCTTCAGAACCTCGTTGATGATCGACGGCAGAACACGCTCGTCATAATCAGTGCCCAGCGTGCGGTAGATCCGCGGCAGCGACGCCTGGTCGGGGCGCGAGAGCACACGGCAAACAATGTTGACCATCTGCAAGTCCTTGGTGCCGGTCAGCGACTGGATGCTGGTGGGCTTGGCGCGCACGTCGTAGATGATGGGCATCTCGAGCCAGGGCAGCCGCACGTGTGTGCCCTCACCGTAGATATCCGGCTGCACGCCGCTGACGCGCGAATACTTGATTGCGCGGTGTCCGCCGTCGACGTTGTATAGAGAGGTGTTGGCCACCCAGGCCAAGGCACCCAGGCCAACGAGGAGCCCGGTTGCGCCGATGGCGCCCTTGGGCGCATTGCCGCGACCGCCGCCGCCACTGCCGCCGCCAACATGCGCTGCAGGTTGCGCAGCGCCTGCTTGGCCTGCTGCTGGGGATCGTTGTTCCACTGGTTGCTCATTGCTGCTGCTGTTGCTGTTGCTGTGAAATAATAGTGTTGATTTTAAATCGAATTATTCGAATCTAAATAGAAAAGTAGCGTTTAAAATGGAATTGGAGAAGGCGCAAATGCAGCGGAACAAGAAATATTGCCAAGCCAAGGCTCGAGCCACGCCCCCGCCCCTGCCGAGGCTGATGCAAAGCAAAAAATGCCGCAATTATTGCACTGTGGGCGGCTTCACTATCAAACAAAATCAGCCGCGATCTAATCACTGCCTTGCGCCCGGATCACCAGCCCTACAAGAAAAAAACATAATTTTTCTTTTTTTTTTACCGACGCTCTTCTACATCGTCCAACTCTGCGTCTATTTTTCATTCCCTCCAGCCCGCTCTTCTCAATTCAATTCACCTTTGCACATACAAAAAAACACCCTTACTGTTAAATTTCTCTTTCAACCCCCTTTTTACATGTCTGGTTACAGAAAGTCGTCTTCAAAAAAAGAAAAGACCGCCGGGGCCACCACAGCTCAGCAGCGGATGAGTCGGCGCGACCAGGACGCCAAGGAACTCGAGTCCCTGGGCCAGCGCGTCCTGGAGATGGTCAAGCCAGGCAACACAGTTCCGGAGCACAAGCTGTTTTCAGAAATGCCCATTTCATGGCAGACTCTGCGCGGACTCGAGCGGGCCAACTACGTCGAGATGACAGAGATCCAGCGCAAGGCCCTGCCCTACGCCCTGGCGCGGCGCGATGTGCTTGGAGCGGCCAAGACAGGGTCGGGCAAGACGCTGGCCTTTCTCCTGCCGATCCTCGAGAATCTGAACCGCGCGCGGTGGACGAGCATGGACGGCCTCGGGGCCCTGGTGATTTCGCCGACGCGCGAGCTGGCGATGCAGATTTTTGATGTTTTGTGCAAGATCGGTAAGTTTCACAAATTCTCGGCCGGCCTGGTCATCGGCGGTAAGCGGGTCGAGGAGGAGAAGGAGATTTGGCCAAGATGAACATCCTCGTGTGCACGCCCGGCCGCCTGCTGCAGCATATGGACGAGACTGTTGGATTCGACTGCGACAACCTCCAGGTCCTGGTTCTGGACGAGGCCGATCGGATCCTGGACATGGGATTTAAGAAGAGCATGAATGCAATCATTGCCAACTTGCCCAAGCAGCGGCAGACACTGCTGTTTTCGGCCACGCAGACCAAGTCGGTCAAGGATCTGGCGCGCCTCAGCCTCGAGCGCCCCGAGTACGTCGGCGTCCACGAGTCGGACCGCTTTGCCACGCCATCGCGCCTGTCTCAGTACTACATGGTCGTGGACCTGCCGCAGAAGCTCGACATGCTGTTCTCGTTCATGAAGACGCACATCAACACAAAGACCATTGTGTTCATGTCCAGCGGCAAGCAGGTGCGCTTCATCTACGAGACCTTCTGCAGGATGCAGCCTGGAACACCCCTGCTACACTTGCACGGAAAGCAGAAGCAGATGAAGCGCGTGGAGATTTTCGAGCGCTTTATGCGGATGAACAAGGCCGTGATGTTCTGCACAGATATTGCCGCCCGCGGCCTGGACTTCCCCGCCGTCGACTGGGTCGTGCAGCTGGACTGCCCCGAGGACTGCGACACGTACCTGCACCGCGTCGGCCGCACTGCGCGCTACGACGCTGCGGGCAAGGGGCTGATGTTTCTGCTGCCCAGCGAGGCGCCCGAGATGGCGCGCCAGATGGCCGAGAAGAACATCCCCATCAAGGAGATCAGCGCCAAGAGCAACAAGGTGATGACAGTGGCCAAGCAGCTGCAGAACTTCTGCTTCCAGGACTCCGAGATCAAGTACCTTGGCCAGCGCGCCTTTGTCACCTACGTGCGCTCAGTGTTCCTGCAGAAGAACAAGCGGGTCTTTGATGTCGAAGCCCTGCCGCTCGAGGAGTACGCCGAGGCATTGGGTCTGCCCGGAGCGCCCAATATCAAGTTTGTCAAGAAGACCAAGAAGTCGTACGAGGACGAGAAGTCGCTGTTGCCCGAGGACCGCGACCAGATGCCCGGCGCCGATGCGGCTGAGGCCGAGAGCGACAAGGCCAAGACACGTGTCGAGAAGATGTTTGCACGCAAGAACGCCGGCGTCCTGGCCGACCATTACCAGAAGCTTGTCGACCACTCTGCGGGCGGCGGCAATGATGGCCAGGCCAGCGACAACGACGACGACTTTATCACGCTCAAGCGCGCCGACCACACAATCAGCGACGTAAGCGACTCTGAAGAACAGAGCGATTCCGACGCCGAAGCCGAAGAGGAGCAGCAGCAAGAGGAGGAGGAGGCGTCTGTGGTCAAGACCATTGCCATCAACCCGGACACCGGCCTGCCCGTGGTCATTCCCAACATCCCCGCGGACCAGATGTCCAAGCGGCAGCTGCGCAAGGTCCGCGAGAAGTGATCAAGAACACGCGCAACACCAAGATTGTCTTTGACGACGAAGGCAACGCACGGCCCATGTACGAGCTCAAGGACGAAGAGAGCTTCCGTAAAGAGGGCGCAGTGTCCAAGCTTGTCGACGACTTCCAGCAGCGCAACAAAATCATTATGGCTGAGGCCGATATTGACGATTTGGAGGTTTCGCGCCAGAAGCGCAGGGACAAGATCTTGGCTCGCAAGATTAGAGAGCGCGAGGAGATGGCATGCAGGCTGGCGATCGCGAGGAAGCCGTTGCTGTGCTGGGCACTGGTAGCGATAGCGAGTCGGATGACGGCGTGATGCGGTATGAAAGCGACGGAAGCGATGACGACGACGACGACGACGACGACGAGGAGGTCGAGGTGAAGAGGGCTGGTAAGCGCGGATACGAGCGCCAGCATAGTGAAGAGGATGAGGCCAGCGATAGCGACCGGGTGACCGCAAGAAGAAGCAGAACCGCGGCCGCGTGCTCGAGGTCGACAACTCGACCATGTCGCTCGAGGACCAGGAGCGCCTGGCCCTGCAGCTGCTCGGCGGCAACTAGTCAAATCGTATTTTTTATTCGCAAATAAAGCTGTTGTTAATTTTGATAGAAAATACAGAAATATAAATTGCATTTGTGTGTAAAATGTATTTTTTGTGTTGGTTGTTACACGACCGAATGGGCGCGCCAAAGCATCCCAAAAGCCCGATGCATCAGTCGGTGTGGTCTAGCCATTGTTGCAATGTTGTATATTTTTTTGCGCAGCGCTTCTAGTGCTCGGCAATATCAGCTACATACACATATATTTTTTCTTCAGACTCACCGGAAACTAACGGAAATTGTCATATCGAACAGATAGCTGAAAACACACTCTCTCACAGAACAATTGACACACAATGTCGGATCGGTCGTCGCAGAACCCGGGGGCAGGCAGCACGGACGAGTTCCTCAGCTCGTACATCTCGCAAATGAAGGCCAAGCTAACCCAAAACCCAGTCAACCCTGACGCATCTCCGGACATTTCCCTCGTCAAAAACGACAAAGAAGCACCTCCCAACCGGCGCCGCTTCTACACCACAAAGCAGATCGAGCAAATCGCGCAAGAGGAATGCGCCGAATGCGAGTATACTTGGCGCAAATGCTCCATTGACCCGCCCTCCATCTACGACAAGTTCTTTGGGTGCCGCAAGCTGCGCCGGGAATACTACGACTGCATGGAGCGAGTCAAGGAAGAGGTCAAGAACAAATCCGGGAAAGAGTTTTTGATTCCTTCGGGTAATTAAATTAAAGTCGCTTTGATATTTGATATTTGATATTTGCTGTTTTGGTGTTGATGTCGCGCGTGAAACAATTAGAGAACACACGCATGTGCGTGCTCTCGGTTATTGCAACTTCGCTGGAAAATAAGACTTAATCTTTTTGTTAATATCTCTTTTCCATACGGGTTTCTATCTGGCATACTTTTTGACTTTAAGAGTTATTGGAATGATAACGGCCGTAAAGCTTCGAAAGTTGCGTTTGTTTTATCGAGGGAAATCAAGCGCGGAAAAAGCGCGCGCAGTGATTCTATGGGTGGATGGCAAAAACTGCGCTGGATTCCTTATGGCAGCAATATGCGTGATCCCACGAGCACGTTTTTTGTTTCTTTTTACCTTCCCCTCACGTGGGATTTCTGCTATGTGGGTGACGTAGCAGTAGTAATCGGTCATTGGCGAGAGAGAGAGAGAAAAAAGACGCCTTTTTCCGCTCTCGCTTTTATGCGACGGGGTGCTTAAATTGAAGAAAATATTTCTTCGATGTTTGACCGCTTTAAGCCGGGACACGGAGTCACTTTCATGCTCAGCTTATTTTCCGGCGCCTCCTTGTCCTCATCCCCTATTCCATTTTGTACGTTGCCACTCTGAGCTTGTATCCCACGTGCCCACTTTTGCTGTTTGCACAGTCAACCTCACACACTACGGCCGTCCATTTGGCAGCTGAATGCGTGCGTTCTTGCGACCATTGTTATCCAAACTTCCCCCTCTCTGCATCTTTTTGTTCCTCCTTTCTTCTGTAACCCTCCTACTTTATAATATTATTATTGTACCAATATCCACAACCACTCTATTCATTTTTATCACTCTCGCTACCACTTTGTACCAACAACTACAACGGCAACAAGTCACCCTATCCTTCATAATAACATCTTTTGCTTCGTTAAACAATGTCCAGCCGTCTTTTGTGTCAGCACCGAGCGGCGGCTTTTGTTAGAATGCTGACACGACAAGCCGTACAGCCGCACGGTTACAACTCTCTCTATCCCCGCGCACTGCTCTCGACCTCGACTGTTTTGTACAAGGCCGGGCGCGAGTGGGACTACATTGATGGACCTGGGCCGCAGCAGCAATCAGGCAAGACAATGCAAGAAAAGCTGAAGCACCAGCGCAGCGTTATTAGCAACAACAGCAGTGGTGGTGGCAAGTCGAGAGATTCGATCCCACAGCAGCAGCAGCAGCAGTGGTGATGGCAGCAGAGGCGGCAGCACGCATTCGCCGAAACATACGGGAAGCAGTGCTGACGGCGGACAGAGGGACGTGTTTTTTGGAAATGACGGACCGGCGGACAAGTCATCGCTGCCACAGACGCCCTTGAGCTCTCCTGCAGGTGTCGAGCCAATTAGCCCCAAGATGGTGAGTGTTTTAAGCGTACCCATGTGTCATTTTTTGATTCGTTTTTCTCTGTTGATGCCAAGGCTCTAACTTTTTTACAGGCGATTTCGTACGATTTACTTTGCTTTTAGATTATGCGCTACCTCGACGAATATGTAATTGGCCAGGACCGAGCAAAGAAGACGTTGTCTGTCGCCGTGTACAACCACTACAACCGTGTGCGGGCGAATACGCTCAGGCGGCAGCGTGAGCAGTTGTCGGAGGCATTTGCAGCGGCAACTTCAGCAGCAGCATCAGCTCCGGCGCCGTCAGTCTATTCTACTCCTCAGCCACGCCCATTCACTGACCCCTTTGATCGACAGATTCAGCCTAGTCAAGGTAAGACGATGCAAAAAGTTAACACATGTGAAAGGAAAGAAGCTGCAAGCTTTGTATGGAGCGTAGTGTTTGTTGATGACGGATTTTGCGGCTAAATAGAAGCCTGCTATGGAACAAAAAATATACGTGCCTTTTGTTTGCTTCATTTAGTAGGGCGCAATGGCACTGGCAGCGCGTATCCCAATCAGAACCCGTTTGTCAGCCGCCCGTGGAATGGTGCATTTGACAATAGCAGCGATAACAATGGGATTTTTGCTTCAGAGACGGTAGACTCGGCCGCTCCGTCTCCGACCTCAGCCTCTTCTGCCGCCGGCTCTAATACGGTCAATCCGCCAAAGGATCACCAGGGTGGTGCCAGCAAGAACACCTCTTCTTCTTCAGAGCAGCAGCAGCAGCAGCAGCAGTCAGTCTTTGCAGCACCTGGCGACACCTCGTTGTTCGATACAATGCTGGACAAGAGCAACGTGCTTCTGCTTGGGCCGACAGGGTCAGGAAAGACCCTGCTTGCAAAGACGCTGGCTCAAGTTTTGGACGTGCCCTTCTCGATATCTGATGCGACGCCTCTGACGCAGGCTGGATATGTCGGCGAGGACGTCGAGATTGTCATCCAGCGGCTTCTGCAGAGCTGCGACTATGACGTTGCGCGCGCCGAGCAGGGTATCGTGTTCATAGACGAGATTGACAAGATTGCGCGCAAGCCCGACTCGTTCTCCATGTCCAAAGACGTGTCGGGCGAGGGCGTGCAGCAGGGCCTGCTGCGCATGCTTGAGGGCACCGTGGTCACTGTCACAAGTCGGGCCATGGAAGCGGCAACAACGGGAATGGCAGTGCCAGTGGCTCCTACCCGCCGCCGCCGCCGCCGCAGGGCATGGGCCATCTGCCGCAGGGCCCGCCGCCGGCGACAGCTCCAGGCGGCTCTGGCATCCTCAACAGCCCTGTTCGGCGTGGCAACGGGCTGCCAGGAGCATTTGGCCCGTCGCCAGGCGGTAACGGCAGTGGTGGCGCCAGCGGCGGCAAGGGCGACGTGTACCAGGTCAACACTAACAACATTCTGTTCATCCTCAGCGGTGCGTTCGTCGGGCTCGACCGCATCGTCATGGAGCGCGTTGCCAAGGCGTCAATTGGGTTTGGCAACCCGGTGCGCAAGCTTGGAGACACGTCGTCGCCAATCGACCTGCAAGCAATGAACGTGGCGCCCGTGAGCTTTGTGTCCAGTGCTTCTTCAGCTTTGGCCGAGCCGTTCAACCCGCTGGACTACACAGAGCCCAGTGACCTGATTAGATTTGGGCTGATCCCCGAGTTCATTGGGCGCCTCCCCGTGGTGACCAGCGTGGGTGCGCTGAACAAGGATGCACTGGTGCGCGTGCTCGTGGAGCCCAAGAACGCGCTGGTGCGGCAGTACGAGGCGCTCTTGGCGCTGAGCGGCGCGCACCTGCATATCACGCGCTCGGCGCTGTACAGCATTGCGCAGCAAGCTATCGACAAGCAAACGGGGGCGCGTGGGCTGCGGCGGATTATGGAGAATCTGCTGCTGGATCCGATGTTTGACTGCCCTGGAACGTCGATTCGCCATGTTGTCATTGACTCGCAGGTGGCGGCGTTCAAGAAGCGGCCCATGTACTTTGCCAAAATCCAGGAGGCCGACGTCGAGGCTGCTGTGTGGGCGGACGACCACCAGGGTGAGCCGCTGAGGAGCGCCAGCAGTGCTGAGTCCAGGCATCCGCTGAAGGCGGCGGCAGCATCGGCGTCATCGGCCTAGCTGGTGGTGTTGATTTTAATTATTTGATCCGCATTTAATTAAAATGTTGTTGATTTGCTCTGTCTGCACTATTGCAATCAAGCGAGTTGAAGAATGCGGGATTGGCTTTTTTGAATCGGGCACGATGACGAAAGATCATTTTTCACACTTTTCCCCTCTCGTTTGTTGTTGTTGTTGGCTGTCAAATCATTTTCTCGTTCATTTCATTTTTGTTCTAATCTCGAGCTAGATTCATCTTTATACTTTATTCCACCCCTCCTTTATTTAAATCCACATTAACAATGTCCGCAATCGTCCACGACTACTGCCCGGTGTATGCGCCCATCTTTGGCTCCCTGGCTGCGCTGCCGCGACCATTTTCTGCTGTAAGTTTAATGAAATTTCCAAACGAGAAACAAAGAAATAGCTCTGCAATTTCTTCATTTACCAATCCAATTCAATTCGGTTCAATTTGGCTCAGACCACAAGTACTTAGTTTGTCAGTTTATTTTCCCTATTACTCAAAACCGCATTCAATAAACAACAACAATAGGCTTTGGAGCGGCATATGGCACGGCCAAATCTGGCGTCGGAATCACGGCAATGGGCATTCTGCGCCCTGACCTTGTCGTCCGCTCCATGTTCCGGTGGTCATGGCAGGTATCATCGGTATCTACGGTCTTGTTGTCTCCGTCCTCATCACCGACGGACTGAAGCAGCAGATGGCTCTTTACACTGGGTTCATTCAATTGGGTGCTGGCCTCGCCGTTGGACTCTCTGGTATGGCGGCTGGATTTGCCATTGGCATTGTCGGGGACTCTGGCGTACGTGCAACGGCTCAGCAGCCTCGTTTGTTTGTGGGTATGATTTTGATTTTGATTTTCGCTGAGGTGTTGGCCCTGTACGGTCTTATTGTTGGGCTTATTTTGAACACCAAGGCGACGGGAAGCGATGTTAGCTGCGGAAACTAAAGGAGCTGAAGGAATAGCAGATTTTTGTCTAGTTTTTACTTTCTTTTTTTGGGTGTGTTTAGTTTTTGAGTACATGTCCATTTTCATTTTCATTTTCATTTATTTTCTGACTAAAAAGGGCTGTGCCGACGAGGCGCTGACAGTTTCGGTGTGTGCGTTGAGTGGGTTGTTTTTTTCCCGTAATATGAGATGATCCTTTTATTTTATTTTATCCTGTGCGGACTGACTGTGCTTGGCCACAAAAGGAGACGCCGGTTTGTGACGTTCAAGATGATAGCATGTGAGAGTATTTGTGTTTATCAGTCTGCTGATATCTTTCGATATTTTCAATACTTTTCGATATCTCTCGGTATCTAACGTTGGACACGAGGCCAACTTTATTTTTTTTATCAGACATTTGATATCTAAAGTGCGCGAATTAATACAGCAAAAATCGCGCATTTCGGATGTGATATAAAGCAAAAAGCCCCCGGCCCCAAGCGGGCTGAGAGATGCTTGCGATCCAAACACTTTCCGATTCAATCCTCCCAACCCTTCTTTCTTTCTCTTCTTCTTCATTTCGGGATTATACACTGTTATGCTTGCTCGCTCTGCTCTAAACATACTCAAAAGATCGATACATCTTAAACCCACATCCTTTGCGTTCCCCTTAGCCAAACAGAAACACATTTCACGCACAATGACCAGCAACACCCGCCCTCTCTGCCTGATCCCAGGCCCCGTCGAGATGTCGTCCAGCGTCCTCCAAGCACACAGCACACCAGCGACAGCGCACACCGACCCCAAATTCGTTGAGGTCTTTGGGCAGTCCATTGAGATGCTGCGCCAAGTGGTGGCAACCGAAACCGCGCAGCCCTTCATCATCGCCGGGTCAGGCACATTAGGCTGGGACCAAGCCGCAGCCAACCTGATCGAGGCACAGGACAACGTACTGGTGCTTTCCAACGGGTACTTTGGCGAAGGGCTCGCGGACTGCCTGGAATGCTACGGCGGCCAAGTCACCCGGCTGCGCGCCGAGCCCGGTAACCGCGAGGACCTGTCGCTGGTCCGCAAGGAGCTGCAGACGACCAAGTACAAGGCCATAACGGTGACGCAGGTGGACACATCGACGGGCGTCCTGGGCGACGTCCAGGCCGTTGCAAAGCTCGTCCGGGAGCTTTCCCCAGATACTCTGGTTATAGTCGACGGCGTATGCGCGACTGCCGCCGAGCGGCTGTACTTTGACGCCTGGGGCGTGGATGTCCTGGTGACAGCGTCGCAGAAAGCCCTGGGCTGCCCGGCCGGAATATCCGTTGTCGTAGCGTCGCAGCGCGCCCTGGCCACTATGAGCTCTCGTGCGACGCCTGTGCCGCTTACTATGTTAGCTGGGCGCGGTGGCTGCCGATTATGCGGTCATACGAGGACCGCGCTGTCAAGTACTTTGCCACGCCCTGTGTGCAGACTATCTTTGCGCTTAACACGTCGCTGAAGGAGATTCTGGCCAACGACGGCGGCATGGAGGGAGTGTTTGTTGCGCATGAGCGGACGTCCGAGAGGGTCAAGGGTGCTGTTGAGGCGTGGGGGCTCCGGACCGTGGCGGTTTCCAGGGAAGCAGCTGCCACGGCGATGACTGCCGTGTGGCTGCCTGAGGGGATCCAGGCTGCTGATCTCCTGCCCAAGCTGAAGGCCCGCGGCGTAGTGGCTGCCGGTGGCATCCTGGCTGGGCTGGCGCACAGGTATTTCCGCTTGGGACATATGGGCATTACGGCAACACAGGACAATGGCTATGTTGACGTTATGCTGGCTGCTGTTGCGGGTGCGCTTGAGGAGTGCGGCCACTCTGTTGAGCAGAAGAATGCCCCCCCTCGTCTTTAAAAAAATATATTTTTTTCTTCACACTAACACGTGCTTTTTTGAGAAAAGCTCTTACGCACTTATTGTCCCACATACACTGTTTCTTTCTGAGTCACCATTATTGGTTCGGCTGTTTCTTTTTTTTTTCTCTCTCTCTTGTTGGATGTTAATCTGATACGAGCTGCGGCTCACCTCTGTGTCACAAATACAAAGAAACCTTGAAATTTTTAATTGAAAACGTGAAAATGTGAAAAACAGCAAAAAAAAATAGAAAATAGAAAATTTCTGAAATAGTGCAGAGAAAAAAAAAGTGACTCTAAAAAATAAGCTGCTAATTTTTTATTCCTTCTCTTATTGCTATTTAATTATTTCCTTTTACCATTTTATTAACGAAAAATATAATTATTGCGCTTCTAATAGGTAAGTTTTACTCTTTACATATGGTTTACAAATAAAAAAGAAGGGGGGGGAATAATGGTAAAAAAAAGAACCACTGACTAGAATATTGGCTTTGACGAATGAAAAGTTAAACATTATCTAGACATAAATGGACCTGACTGTTTGTTTCCATTTTTTTCTTGCGTTCAACTCGCTTATTAGTCGATTTGTCGACTATTTATTTTTACCGGGTGCGAGAAAAAAATTCTTGTCCGAGAAGGGACGAAAAAAAATTAGCAAACAGTTGGTCGATTATTTTTTCTCTTTTTTTCTTCTATATTATTATTTTTTTTGTTATTTGAGCGAATTGATTACTACAACCAACACAAACGCATTCCGTATTTTTTCTTTTATTTTTCTATTTATTTACCTTCTATAGGCTTAACACAGCGGAATCCCTTGTATCGTTACATTTCTCCATTCTTTTTTATTTGCGCAGCAACACCAGCTAAAAAAAACCTACATATTATCACAGTAACAAAAAAGATATGAATTCGGCAAACAGCGACGCACCCGGTGCAAACAACAGCAACGCCACTATTAATTCCGACGGGGCCGCAGCAGCCAGCTTGCACGACTACCTCTCAGCAGCCTCGGCCTCAGCAACAGCCGCTGATGAGGCTCAAAACACCCAGCAATGCCAACAGCAACAGCAGCACCAACAACAACAGCAGCAACAGCAGCAGCACCAACAGCAACAGCAGCAACAGCAGCAGCACCAACAATACCAGCAGCAGCCCATGCTCCCTCCAGACTTTTCAGCGTTCTTTCTGGCCAACGATATTTCCGTTCGCTCGACACCAGGGTCGCCAGCAACATTCATCGATAATGGCAGTGGTTTAGGCTTCCACTCCGTGCGAGCCTCCCCAGCTCCCTCTCTCCCCCAGTCTCCAAACCAGGTCGGCATGGACGGTGGCCGCCACAGCTATGCTAATTTGGCTGCTCTGGGTCAACAGATGCAGTATCACTGGGGTTTCGATTCTGCAGTCAATAGTGCGGTTCAGTCGGCGACGGCTTCTCCCATCGTGGGCGCCTTTAATCGGAGGGGATTGCTGAATGGAATGGCCAATTTGAACATGACTCAGCTGCCGCCGACTGCTATTTCTGCCTCTACTTCGTTTATGGGCACACAGGGGACGGTCGGCAACGGGTATATCGATTCGGTAAGTACAACATGAATATTTGTATTGCTTCTTTTGAGAGAACCTGTGCAATGAGACGGTTGGTTTGCGTGGGAAATATTTAACTACTTTTTTTACTCTTCTCTGTTGTAAGTAGAGGGGGAAGAGGTTAATCCTCGACTATCTTTCTTTCTTTCTTTTTTTTTTGCCTGACTCTGCAGCTCACATGCTTTTGCTCTCCATCTCCCTCTTTGTGGAGCTACCGCCTGTTTGAATGAACATGTTTTCTTGCATACACATACACATACACATACATACACATACACATACAATACACATACACATATACATATATATTATACCACGTTTTCCATCTGCTAGCTGATGTTGATTCCAAAAATGCAGCCATTGTTCTTTCGTTAATATCCTACGTGTCTATTTATCACTACGAAACGACCCGCTTTCTTTTTTTTCTAACGCAAATACTCCTCCATGCTCACATGTTGCCTTCTCATTTTGGACAGCGCCTTTTAAGCCAGAATTGGCCGGGAAAATACCTATTCAGCCTTTGCACCTGCTTTTTTTGTTCTACGATGTCCAAACACCATGTCACCACCCCTCTATTCCCTCCGCTTCATTCCATTCCAGTTCATTTATTTTTCCGTACAATTAAGTGGACCTGGCTTTATACAACGCAATTAAGAAAAAGGCATTCCACTTCTTTGCACCCCGTTTGTCGCGTCGAGAGGTGAAGAGGTGCCTACCCTTAAGGACAGCCAGCTGTGTGCTTTACTCCCATTTGCATTCTTCTTTATTTTCAAAGAAACAACCAGCTTGGTTGCCAACATGTACATTGTACATTCCTCACATCCCCTCCCCCACACACATACACAATTCCCAACTTTTATTTATTTTCCCAACCATTTTTGCCACTTATACTAATCGGCATAACCTCTTCTTTTTACATATACCTTGCCTTTTCACATACACACGGGGCCCGACTCTAATAATCATCTGCCTAATTAGAGCCGCATGTTCAGCAATCCAAACTCGCCATTCGCCCATCCGGCAAGCTCGGTCGGCATCAGCACCGGGTCGATACCCAGCATGTCCATCAACAGCGTCTCCAGCATGCCGGCGCAAGCGCACCCGGTAAACATACTCTCGCGGCAAACATACCCGGTGGCCAGCACAGAGTTCCTCCAGCGGGTAGAGGATACCAAGGCCAAGGCCTGACAATGACCATCGACGGCATCCCTCACGAAAACGCCAAATCACGCGTCGAAACGCAGATTAAAATAACCCTGCGACTGACAACCGACGACAACAACGAGCGCGCCACCTGCTGGTCGCACCTGTCGCTTCCGGAGCACCTTGTGTCGCGCGAGAAGTTCCGCCACCGCATGCAGAAGCATACGCCGGGGGATGCCGGGATGCCCTTGACGCCCCAGCACGTCGTGCACCTGGAGGCCAGCGTCATATGCTCGAGCGACCCAACGCGCAAAGTTGAGACGTGTCTCGGGTGCATTCGCCGCGAGTACAAGCGGTCTTTGCGGCGGAAGGACGCGCGCCTGCGCAGCGCCGCGCCCAGCACCTGCACGACACCTGCGCAGAGCCGACCCGGGTCCCCGACCATGGAGCCCCAGGGCCGATTCACCGGCACAATGGAGTCCGACTGGGACGAGGCGCGCATCGCTATGGAGCGGCAGAGGATTGTTATATTCAACTGCAACGATCTGCTGGACTTCTCCAAGGGCGAGGTCGTCCTGCCGACGCGCATCACCTGCTATTGCCGCCATCACAACGAGAAGGTTGGCTTCTGCGTCTGCCTCAAGCTGCGTGATAGCCAAGGCAACGAACTGGCCACGCTCATGTCGGCGCCAATCATGATCACAGACGACCACAAGTCGACCAAGTTCAAGACCGAGCGCAAGACACGCACCAAGGCTGAGTACGAGAGACAGGGTGACGGCAACGCGGCATATGCCAACCATGCGCTGGCTGGCTTGGGGTCCCCCCATGGCAGCAGCCTGCATTTGGGCGAAGCCCCTGGGGTGTTTAAGGGCGGGAGACAAGCCCTTTCGGCACGCAATTCGCCGACACTCCGGCCCTACAGCCACCACCATTTGCTCGACACATACTCGCAGTTTGCGTCGCTCGCAGGCACGCCCAGCCTTGGCAACACCCCGATTGGGTCGCCGCTGCTGTCGGCTGCGCATATTAGCGGGTTTGAATCGCCCTTCCATCTGCCACAGTCGGTCATGGCCGGCGGCAATGGCACGGGAAACTATGGCGCTGGGCCATCGCTTTTCGGTCATATCGGTGGGCCGCAGGGTGCCGGCGGCAATGCGACGGCGGCGGCGGCTGCTGCTGCAGCAGCCATGGTGGCAAACTTCAACCAGCAGCAGGCATTGATGCCCATGAGCCCGGTTTACGGCAACATGCACGGGCACCACGCCTCAATGAATACGCTTAACCTGCAGCAGCAGCAGCCGCTGAGCGCCGCCAGCACCACAGTGTTTGGCGGCGACAATGTGCCATCAATGCTGTCGCATCTGTCTTCTGGTAACTGCAGCGTTAACAACGGCAACGGGGCGGAGCAGATAGTCATTACGCAGTTGGCGCCGGCGCAGGGCCCGCTGGCCGGCGGCACCACGGTGCTGATCAGCGGGCGCGGCTTCCACCCAAAAATGGCAGTGTACGTTGGCGGCTCGCAGGTGGCGCGCATCCAGGTGTTGTCGTCGTCCAACCTCGCATGCGTCCTGCCGCCGTCCAAGGTGCTGGGCCCAGCGGCCGTGCGCATCCGCGACCTGACCACGATGACCGTCTACGAGGGCAACGGCAGCATTTCCAACCTGCAGCAGCTGGGGATGACGCAGCCGACACAGCAATCGGTATTCACGTATATCGAGGACACGGACCAGGCGATGTTGGAGCTGACCCTGCAGATCATCGGGCTCAAATCCGGCGACAAGAGCGCGCAGTCTAGCGGAGGATCCCCCGGGATGGGTCCGGCTGGTGCACAGAGCAAGGGCAGTAGCCCGCAGTCATCGCGCCTGACCAGCCCGATACCTTCGGGCGCACACAGCGCGAGCAAGATAATGCAGGACCCAACAGCAATTAACATCCTGCGGTCTCTGCGCGCCGCCAGCGAGAGCTGCAACCTGATGGAGATCGAAATATGCCTGATCAACCTGCTCATGACCCTGTTCAACCGCGGGCTGGTCGATCCCAGTCGACTGTGCCTGCGCCACGAGGCCACCGGCCGCCTACTGGTGCATTTCGCAGCACTTCTCGGGATGCTCAACCTGCTTTTATTCCTGAAGAACAAGGGAATTCCACTAGACGACACAGACAACAATGGCATGACAGCGATGCACTTTGCTTGCATGTATGGGTCGCAAGGGCGTGCGGATATTGTTGAGTTTCTTTTGAATGCTGGTGCATCGTGTGCGATTAAATCGCTTTTCGGGCAGACCCCCGGTGACGTGGCGCGGTCTCTCGGGCATAGTCAGATTCAGCTGATGATTGAGGAACGCGAGGGTTATATGAGCTTTATCAAGGAGGACCCGGTTGCTGAACTGCCGCTGAGGCCGAGGCTGAGGCTGCTGAGGCAGCGGCGGCGGCGGCTGTTGCGGCTGTGTCGGGAGATATTATGCAGCCGTTGAGCGCAGGTGCTTCCGATGCGTATTCGGATTGGACGTTTCGGCGGCGGCGGCTGCCGCTGCTGCTGCTGTTGCGGCTGTTAATGGTATGCATGGCGGGGGTATGTTTTCGCCTCAGGAGAGTATGTTTGATGGTGGTGGTGGTGGTGTGGTGGTGGTGGATTGTTCGATTCAAGCGTTTTGTTTGGTGGGGCACAGCAAGCCACTTCTGGACAGAATGTATCGTCCTTGTTGTCCCATCAGCAGCAACAGCAGCAACAACAATATCATCGGCAATATGAATAATGGGCGGGAGCGTTTCCAATTTGTTCATTTCTAATTTCTAATTTTTTATTTTTTATTATTTATTGTTTCGTAATTTACATTTTTTTATTTATTTATAGTTGTCGGAGTGTTTTTTTCTATGAATTTCCGAGTTAAGCGTGTCTGTGTCTGTGTTTTATTTGTCTTTTTTTGCGCTGGTCCGTAAAAGGCAAATGCCAATGACCTATTTAGGAACAATAGGAAGGCAAGAAACAGTTGAAAGAAAAAGTGTGGAAAAATATAAATAATTTTGTTGAGCGATTACCTCATGTGACTGAGGCATATTGCGTCGTTCTTTAAATTTTTCTTGGTTTTTACAAAAGAAGGGACGAAAAAGGCAAGCTACAGTGTAGCCGATAGTAGTAGTACGCGAGAATGTTGCATCCCAAAAAAAGAAAAGGAAAGGAAGGAAGGAAAAAAGAAGGTGCAGTAAAGTAAACGAGGGACTGGAAACATAAAGTGGACTACATCCTCCCTTGTTTTTTTTTTTACTCTTGATAAGCCAATTTTTCTTTTCTTTTTTCATCTTGGTGCATCAGTTACACTGTATCGATAGACAAAAAAAGGATCTGTTTTTCTATTCTTGTTTTTTATTCTTGTCTTCACTATAGTTGATTATTTTAAAAAAAAACTTGAATTCTTGATTTTGTCGTTCAAAAATAGAGTGCATGATTGCATAGAATTTCTTCATTTTTAAATTAATACAAGGTAAATGTTTAAAAAAACGTATGAGGCTTAATGCGTACTCTACGTGGTTGGATTTTAGTTTTGTAATTTTTCAGTTCTTTTTAAAATAATGGATGCATTATTCACTCTTGTCCTGCCATCTGCTCCTTTGTCTCTTTTTTTTCTTCTTTTTTTTTGTATTTCACAAAAACTCAAACTAAATAAAAGAAAAAAGGAGAAAGGAGAATGCCAACAACAATGCGGCATTGTGATAAAATAAAAAGATGAAAAGTGGCATTGTTTTCTTTATATTTGAACTTTTCATTGCATTGGAAAATATAATACAAAAGAAAAACTGTAAAAATAAATAAAATAAAATGAAAAGAGTTTGTTTTTTATGTATTTATTTAAATAATTGTTTTACTATTGCACTGTTTTATTTTCTCTTATTTTATTAATAATTTATTTCATCTCTCTCTCTCTCTCTCTCTTTTTTTCCTTTATTTTTCTTGTATTCAACTTTGGCTTTCATTCTCATCCATATCACTTGTACATTTAGCATATCTTATTTGGCGATGATTGGACGGCTCTCGACTTTATTACCGCGGATGTTCCGCAGCAAAGACACAAGCAACACCAGCACCGACCCGGCACCGCCAAGGGCAGAACAAAGCTACAGCGCAAAAGCACGCTCAACAAAACACAGCAACCGCAGCAGGAGCAGCACCAGCACCAGCAGCACCAATTGCAGGACAAGCACAGCCAGCACTCCCCTACGACAGCTCCTCAGTTTCCGCCTCCACAGTGGTCAACGACCTCAGCACGCTGACAAACCCGCCCACAACAAGGCATAAGGGCCAGCGATTGGACGAGCTACAGCAAGAAATAGTGTCAAGGCAGGTGTCCTGGGGGGCACCAGCGACAGCTGCTGCTAAGGGATTGGCACATGACGTAGTGCATGCAACTGCAGAGGATCGCGAGAATAGTGGTGCATCCGGGGCAGCCTTTTGGGGCGCCCACGACCGGCGCATCAGCATGGGCGGCGAGAACAGCAGTGTGGCTGCGCGGGAGATCGTCGACGCCATGGTGGACGATCTGTCGATGCCCGGGTGGGCGGTGGATGAGGGCCGTGGCACGTTCAACGACGTTCTGGGCTCGACAGCCGCCATGCACCCGGTGGTGCTGGCCTTTGCGCGCGCGCACATCGAGGGCGCACGCGCCTGTCTGGGCGTCGAGCACGTGTGGCTCGCCGTGCTGCAGGGCACAGCGGCGATGCTGCGGACGCTACCACAGGCGGCGGAGGCCAAGGGGCAGCCGCAGCCGCAGCCGCAGCCGCAGCCACAGCCACAGCACGTCAGCCTGAGCGACCTATGGCAGGCATTGCGCGATTCGTCGATGTGCCCGGCGCGCTGGTGGATGCGCAGACCGGCCGGCACGTGCGCGTCTTCGGCGATGACGTGTATGACCGCCACGCACTGCATGCGGGGCGTGGCGCGGCGCCCCTGGCAATGGCGGCGGCGGCGGCCGGCCACCGGCAGCCAATGGGCCGGCGCGTGGAGTACGGGCGCATGGGGTCTGCGCGGCCGCTGGCGTCGCAGCGCGCCGGCGGGCGGCAGGCCAGCCCACAATGGATGCAGGCACTACGCAGGGGCCCGGGCTGCTCAGGGCTGACCCTGGCCGGGTCGATCCAGGGCTGGGCTGCACTCTGCGTGCTCGTGCAGCAGCTGAAGCAGCAGCTGGGCGGCCGCGCGCGCAGCTGCGACTGGTGGCTGCACCGCGTGCACCTGCTGTGCCGCGACCTGGCAGACTACTTTGCGGCGCAGGGCGAGTTCAGCGACTCGGGTGTGCCGCCGGCATGGGCGCGCTGGGTCTCCATGGCGCTGTTCGACGGCCATTCTGGCGCGCCGCCTGGCGACCGCCTGGACGGATGGCTGGGCACGCTGTTCTGCGTGGACGCTGCGGGCGAGCCGATCCATGCGGAGGACCGCTGGTGGGTACGCTGGGAGGATGTGCCGTCGGGCATTGATCTGGTGCGCGTGGCTGTTGGCGCCCGCCAGTGGGTTAACCTCTACTCGGGCTTTGTTGGCGTGCAGGCGCTGCGCCGGGATGCGGTGCGCAGCAGGGGCGGCACACGCACACTGCTGGGCGAGGATCTGGAGGCTGCCTTTGGCATCCACCAGCAGCCGGCTGATCTGGAGACCCAACTGAGCCGGGCCTATGAGCAGGCCACGGCGGGCGGTGAGCGCGCCGTTGCGCCGCTTGTTGGGTGGGCGCTGGACAGCTAGCTCCTTTGGGCTTATTCAGGGCAGGGCAGGGCAGCTCTGTTCAGCTCAGCTCAGCTCAGCTCTGTTTTTTTGGGCCGCGAGCCCACTGTGTATTTTGTCTTTTTTTCTGTATATTTCTTGTTTTGTTTTATCAATATTGTACTTTTATTCCCATTTTGTGACCTTGTGTTATTGAGTTGATCACGGCAAGCGAAAAATGGAAAATCAGCCCTGCCATGAGACACATGAAAAAAATTATCATTCAACGCCCCCCCCCCACCCAAAAAAGCAATTAGCGGCAATCGTCCCACACAAATCACGCTTGGAAAATCACTTTTGCATTTTTTTCTACCCCCTTACCCCCCCTCTTCCCTTCCTCTTATCAGTATCAAATCCCAACTATTTAAGCCAGCAACCCCACGAAAAAAACCTTTTTTTCCCAACGTCTCTCTGCTCTTGATACCACCAATTGTCCGCATATACCCCCACACACACTAACACAAACACACAAATAATAACAATGTCCAAGCCTATTGGTAAGCAACAAGCCCCACGCACACATTATTACCTTGTCTTGTCATGTTGATCACCCACTGATACCAACAGCCGATACCACTATTCACATAGCTCTCCTCTCTGTGTACGACAAGACCAACCTTCTGGAGGTCGCCACGCAGCTGCACGAGCTCGGCATCGACCTCGTCGCATCCGGCGGCACCTCCAAGGCTATCCGCAATGCCGGCCTCCCAGTCAAAGACGTCTCAGACATAACGCGTGCGCCAGAGATGCTCGGCGGACGCGTCAAGACCCTTCACCCAGCAGTGCACGGCGGCATTCTCGCGCGCGACCTGGCAAGCGACGACGCCGATCTTCTGGCGCAAGGAATCGACAAGATCACATACGTGTTCTGCAACCTGTACCCGTTCAAGGACACCGTGGCACGCCCCGGTGTGACAATCGCCGAGGCTGTCGAAGAAGTGGACATTGGTGGCGTTACGCTGCTGCGCGCTGCGGCGAAGAACCACGCGCGCGTCAGCATTGTCTGCGACCCTAAGGACTACCCGCAGCTGGTGGAGGAGATCAAGCAGGGCGGCGTGGCTCTGGAGACGCGCCAGCGGCTGGCGCTCAAGGCGTTCAGCCACACAGCCGACTATGACTCGGCCATCTCCGACTACTTCCGCCAGCAGTACGCCCAGGGCTCGGCGCAGCTGCCCCTGCGGTATGGCGCCAACCCGCACCAGAAGCCCGCCCAGGTGTTTATTGCCGACGGTGATCTGCCGATCAAGGTGCTGAGCGGATCGCCCGGGTACATCAACCTTCTGGATGCGCTTAATGCCTGGCCGCTGGTCAAGGAGCTTAAGCAGGCGCTGGGTCTTCCGGCTGCTGCCTCCTTCAAGCATGTGTCGCCCGCCGGCGCTGCCGTCTCCGTCCCCTTGTCTGCTGAGGAGCAGCAGGTGTACATGGTCGAGGGCACGCAGCTCAGCCCGCTGGCCATCGCTTATGCGCGCGCGCGCGGTGCCGACCGCATGTCGTCGTTCGGCGACTGGGCGGCGCTCTCCGAGATCTGCGACGTGGCGACAGCGAAGCTGATCTCGCGCGAAGTCTCCGACGGCGTCATCGCGCCCGGATACGAGCCCGAGGCGCTGGCGATTCTGCAGCAGAAGAAGGGCGGCAAGTACTGCGTCCTGGAGATCGACCCAGAGTACGAGCCGGCCCTTGTTGAGACCCGCCAAGTCTACGGCCTCAGCCTCCAGCAGAAGCGCAATGACGCGGTTATTACGCCAGAGCTTTTCTCGAAGATCGTCAGCCGCAACCAGGAGATGACCGAGGCTGCAAGGAGGGATTTGGTTGTGGCGACGATTGCGCTCAAGTACACGCAGAGCAACTCTGTGTGCTATGCGAAGAACGGCATGGTTGTTGGGCTTGGTGCCGGGCAGCAGTCGCGTATCCACTGTACGCGGTTGGCGGGCGATAAGGCTGATAACTGGTGGCTGCGTCACCACCCCAAGGTACTCGCTATGCGGTTCGCCAAGGGTGCGAAGCGCGCCGATAAGTCCAATGCCATTGACCTTTATGTTACTGGTCAGACCGGTGAGGGCGTTGAGCTGGATGCGTGGAGGGCGAACTTCGCAGAGGTGCCAGAGCTGCTTACTGCAGAAGAGCGCAAGGAGCATATGAGGAAGTTGAGTGGTGTTGTGGTTTCTTCGGATGCCTTCTTCCCGTTCTCGGATAACATCCACAGAGTGCACAGATCGGGCGTTGACTTTGTTGCTGCGCCCTCGGGCAGTATCCAGGACGCGGTCGTTATCGACGCTGTTGACGGGTACAACATGGTGTTTGCCCACACGAACCTGCGTCTGTTCCACCACTAAAATACTGTGGAATAGTTATTTTTTTTTATAAAACCCTTTTCTTATTTTTATTCTTATGGGGCTTCTTTTATATACAAACGCGGAATATTCAGTTTTATTTTTGCTTATTTTTCTTTCGCTTTCAGCCGATTTTACCCGAGAGGAGAGAATGGGGATTATATACACAATAAATGGCTTGCTTAGAAAATAAAATAAGCATGAAAAAAAGATTAGGGAAAGCGAGTGGGAATACGATTCAACACACTGCCCGCCTCCCACCCTCTCATCTCACCCAACACAAAAAAAAGTATCAATTTTAATTCTTTTTTTTGATCCCTCCCTTTTTTTTGTTCTTGTTTCCGTTAAATCATTCAAAAAATATAATTTACACTCTTCAACTCTTTTTTCTTTTCTTTTTCTTTTCTTTTAACCTAATTCCCCATTGCTCGAGGAAGAAGAATAAATAAGAATCATGCTTCGCTCGTTTACTCCCAAGGCCCGCTCCTCTGCTCTTTGGCAGGTTACCCGCGCATACAGCTCCGCCAAGGGTAAGCATGAAACAAATATAAAGAAATTTCATAAAGATTCCACGCTTGTCCACAAGAAAGGAATAGAGAGGAGTAGATAGGAATAGAGTGTGGTGGGGGTTTTTTTTTTTAAATTGCGTTACATTTTTAGCCTTGAATCTAATTCTTTCCGTACACTTTTTATTATTACTGTAGAGTTTGACACTGTCGTTATCGGCGCTGGTCCCGGCGGATACGTCGCTGCTATCAAGGCCGCCCAGCTTGGCCAAAAGGTACAGATACAAAACAAAACAAAGACGAACACATCAAAACTCTTGCAAAAAAATGAAAATGAAAATGGAAATTTTACTAATAAAAGCCTCAAGTATTTTACAAGATAAAAATAGGTCGCCTGTATCGAGAAGCGCGAGACTCTTGGCGGCACCTGCCTGAACGTCGGCTGTATCCCGTCCAAGGCTATGCTGAACAACTCTCACCTGTACCACGAGGCCCAGCACGGTTTCGCCAAGCGTGGTATCGACGTCAGCGATGTCAAGCTGAACCTTCCCCAGCTGCTTTCGGACAAGGACAAGGCTGTCACGGGCCTGACCCGCGGTATCGAAATGCTGTTCAAGAAGAACAACGTCGAGTGGCTCAAGGGCACTGGAACCCTAAAGTCCGCCAACGACATTGACGTTACTCTGAATGCCGGCGGTGTCGAGAGCATCAAGGCGAAGAACATTATCATTGCCACTGGCTCCGAGCCTTCGCCGTTCCCTGGGTTTGAGATTGACGAGAAGCAGATTATCACGTCGACCGGTGCTCTGGCTCTGGAGAAGGTTCCGGAGAAGATGATTGTTATTGGTGGTGGCGTCATTGGGCTTGAGCTCGGATCCGTGTGGAGCCGCCTTGGTGCCGAAGTCACCGTCGTCGAGTACTTGCCGGCTATCGGTGCCGGTATGGATGCCGAGCTGGCCAAGTCCTTCCAGCGGTCGCTGACCAAGCAGGGTCTCAAGTTCAAGGTGAGCACCAAGGTGTTGGACTCGGAGAAGCGCGACGGCAAGGTGTTTGTCAACGTTGAGGGCGCGAAGAACGGCAAGAAGGAGACGCTGGAGGCTGATGTTGTTCTGCTGTCGGTTGGCCGCCGTCCGTATACCGAGGGCCTGGGTCTGGAGAATGTCGGCATTAAGCCGGATGCCAAGGGCCGCGTTGAGCTGGTGGATAACCAGTTCCGCACTTCCGTGCCCAACATCCGCGTCATCGGAGATGTCACCGTGGGCCCGATGCTGGCACACAAGGCTGAGGAGGAAGGAATTGCCGCCGTCGAGTACATCACTCAGGGCCACGGCCACGTCAACTACAACGTTATCCCCAGTGTTATCTACACTCACCCGGAGGTCGCCTGGGTGGGCAAGAATGAGCAGCAGCTGAAGGAGGAGGGTGTTGCGTATAAGATTGGCTCGTTCCCATTTGCTGCTAACTCCAGGGCCAAGACCATTGATGATTTCGAGGGCCTCGTTAAGGTTATCACGGATGCTGAGACTGACCGTATTCTCGGTGCTCATATTATTGGCCCGAATGCCGGTGAGATGATTGCCGAGGCTTGCTTGGCTATGGAGTATGGAGGTTCGGCCGAGGATGTCGCCCGTACTTGCCATGCCCACCCCACTATGTCGGAGGCTTTCAAGGAGGCCTGCATGGCGGCGTACTCCAAGGCCATTCACTTCTGAAAAAAAATAGAAACTATTTCTGTTGTTTTTTTGTGTCAAGTTGGATAAAAAAAATATATATTTCTTAAAATTTAACTAAGAGAATTCTTTCGAGTTTATTATGCGTAGGTTGTTGCTCCGCCAGACTCGATGGCTTCTATTTCAGCTTCGGAAATAGGCAGAGGACGGTACCGAGCAGGTAATTCCCAGAAATTAATAGCTTCCTTTGAGTTGCTGCTAGTTTTCCCTGCCATTTCTGTGGTTGTAGTTGCAGTGGGTTTCCAGAGGTTCTTGCGCGGTCCAAGGAATTTCATCAACGGAACGTGCTTGTGCCACTGGTATTGTGCCTTTTGTGCCTGAACGAAAAGAGTAGATTTCATATTTTTTTATGTGCGTGTGTGTGGATTTATAAAGAATTATGAAGAAAGAAAAATGGAATTGAAGGTAAAAAATGTGAATTGATAAAGTAAAAAATGAAAATGGATTTGAAAGTGGAATTGATTCGAAATAAAAAGGGGGGAGTGGTGGGTTGTGATGATGATAAACACTGGAAAAATCTCCGTATATTTTCCCCCTTTTTTCGGTCCGCAAAAAAAAATAATAATCAAGGGACGGATTTTTTATTTTGAACTAAATTAGCGAGCCACGACTCTATCAAACAAATAGAAAAATTAAGGTTTCCCCAAGCCACCCCCTAGCTCATTCCCGATGATCCCTGATCATCCGTTTGCTTACATGACAATAATTATATATATATATCTCTATTCCCTCATCAACCTCACAGTGGGTGCCATGTTTTAATCCCTTACAAATCCTCAGCAATGTAGCCGCATCGTGCAAGGCTTTCATTATTCGATCTCTCATCTCAAGACCGTCCGCACATTCAAAGACCGCTTGGACAACGGGTGCCGTGCCAGCAGTTCTCCAGTTTAATCCGAGCGAAGAAGAGCTCACTGGAGCGCTTACGTTCCGCAACACTCTGGTCCAGGACACCCGTCCTCAATTACCACGCACAACGCAATCCCCCAAACTCGGACATCAGCACTAATGTCCCCTTAATGGCTACACAAGCAGCTCCACCACCCAATGCAAGGGAATTATTGTGATCAGCTCATATAGGTTTTGTTTTATCGTTTTTGTAATTAGATTCGCACCAGATTATTGTGTCAAAAAAAGTATATTTCTCTCCCCAACATGGAATGAGTTTTCATGTGTGTTTTACCTATTTAATCTTGAATAAAATATATATATATATGTGTGAAAATAAAAAGTATGAGCAACAATAACATTGTGATGCATAATGTGTATGCACCTTTTGCCTAATCTCGTCTGCTGATTGCTGGTTGTTGTTTTCCATAAATTAAGTACAAGTGTGGATATTGAATAATGCACAGTAATCGAGATTCTATTTTTTTTACATTTTTCTTCTCACCCTCTCTCAGACTTGAAAACAATTAAACTTTTTTTACTCCACAAATGGTACACCAAAAAGAAACCTAACGATTTCATCACCTTTTTACAATTATTTAAAATGTTTTTTATCTATATGAAGTGCGCCACCGAGTAAGAAAATCTTGCCTATGCATGTGTAGATTTAACGGAACATGGAATAAGAAAATATTCGCGCTCTGACCAACAATTTTTTCTCACTGTTGTTAGTCATTGTATTGTGAAAATCCTTTATCCTTCCCTTTTGCATTGGCCAGTTTTTTACAGTTAAAACTTTCTATTGGGGATGTTTTCTTTGATTTCTTGCATTCAGAATACGTAAATCTTAGTTTTTTCTTCTAGTTTTTTTGAATGTAGTATTTTCATCATTTTTAAATATAATTGCGTAAAAACAATAAACTTGATAGAAAAATTTTCTATTCAAAATCCCTTCATGTAAAAAAGGGGGTGGGTTTAGAATAGTATAAAAAGTAATTATCCTTTTTTAAAGATACATTTACATATTTATCCTCCATTTATTTGATCCTATTACAAAAACCTCTTTATTTATTATCCTTGCTATTATTCTTACCAACAAAGCAACAACCTCCTCCATTCCAACATATCCTTTCTTTTCGCAATGTCTGTCCATAGCATTAAAGAAAAAAATGACTGTGTCGACCCGCCGACCAAGCCAATTCTCACTTGGAGTAACCTCAACTATGACGTCAAAACTAAGCAACACGGAGTGCGTCGAATCCTGCACAACCTCAGCGGCAGCATCTACCCGGGCGAGCTCGTAGCCATCATGGGATCATCCGGAGCAGGCAAAACCACACTCCTCAACATTCTCTCCGGCCGTGTCCAAGGCGGCCGCCTTCACGGCGACATTAAATTCAACAACACCAAGCGCAACCCGCACACATTTAAGCGGCTTCTAGCCTACGTCGAGCAAGACGACCTTATGTTCCCGCAGCTCACCGTCGATGAAACACTGACTGCATCGGTGGATTTGCGACTCTCCAATGAGAAATACACGCCCGAGATGAAGCGTGATCGCGTGAACACGGTTATGCGCCAATTGCGGCTGACGCATGTCGCAGGATCTAAGATCGGAGGGTCCGGGGAGCGCGGAGTTTCGGGTGGCGAGCGCAAGCGCGTGAGTATTGGCTTAGAGTTGGTCACAGATCCGTCCATTTTGGTCTTGGATGAGCCGTCCTCGGGGCTGGACTCGTCGTCAGCCGAGATGGTTGTTAGTCTGACCAAGGAAATGTCCAGGGAGCGCAACCTCTGCACACTGATGACCATCCATCAGCCGAGCGCCGAGATGGTGGCCAAGTTCGATAAACTCATACTCTTATCCCAGGGCAAACTGGTGTACATGGGCCCGGTTGACAAAGTGCTGTCGTACTTTGAACGCCTTGGGTTCCCGTCAACTAACTCCAACCCGGCTAACTTTTTCATCGATCTGACTACCGTTGATTTTTCATCAGACGAGGCCATGCGCAAGAGCGAGCAGCACATCCAGGCGCTGGCAGACTCCTTTGCAGCGTATCGTGGGAGTGAGGGTGAAGATCAGCTATCCAGTGAGCTGGTTTCTGAGCGATCATCGCTTTCGGCAAGCGCCGAAACAACTTTCAGTAATAGCCACCGGGACATAGACATTACGCACGAAGTAGCTGCCCTGGTTCTCTACGAACCCGCGCCAATGAATAACTGGCTGAGCGAATTATTCGTTCTGCTCCGTCGCGACTGGACACTCTGCGTCCGCAACAGATCCCTAGTAATGGGTCTGGTACTGCAAGCTGTCGCGATGATGATTTTCCTGGGCTTTGTCTTCTTCCAGTTAAAGACCGACCAGGCCTCTGTGCAGAACCGCATTGGCGCCCTGTTCTCCCTCACTGTCTGTTGCACCTTCCAGGTGATCATCCCCGTGATGACAGTCATTATGGCCGGCCGCAACGTCCTTCTGCGTGAGCGTTCCGGGGGAACATACCGGATGACCAGCTTTTTTTTTGCCAAGTCGCTGAGTTTCTTCCCCCTCGTGTACCTGCCGTATATTGTCATGTACACGGGTGTTTACTTTATCGCTCATTTGCAATACGACGCGGCCAAATTCTTTATCGGTATGGCCAATATGTTTTCCATTCTCTTTGCCGCTCTCGGCTTTGCCTTTGCCATGGGTATGGTTGTCAAGAGCATGGAGGTTGCTCATATTATTACGCCCGTGTCGTTGTCCGTGTTAATGTTGTTTGCCGGTAATTTGTCCAACGCCAAGGCAATTACCCCTGTATTGAGGTGGATTAAATACCTGTGTATTTATTACTATGCGTATTCTGGGTTTGTGCAGAATGAGTTTGGCGGGTTGGAGTTTAGCTGCGAGGAGGGGGCAGCTGTTTGTTACAAAAGTGGGAGGGATGTCATTGAGATGTATGGTCTGAATGAATTGCCTATTTGGCTCTGCATTGTGCTTAATTTGATCATTGGCGTTGGGTCTTATGCTGCCGCTTACTGCATGTTGCGCTGGTTGGCTAAACCGCGGTACTTGTGGATATAGACTTTTATTTCATCTATATGTTATAAAGGGCTATAAATCAAAAAGGATATTTATTTCTTCCAAGAACAATTTCTGGCTGCCCGATAGCCACACCTTTTATATGTTCTCCTTGGAATATAAATAAACTATAATAAAACATAATCATTTCTTAATTGCCACGCACGTAATCAATTAACCTCAGTAAGGCAACATGCAACGCCATGTGCTTAAACTGTGACATACTTTTTTCTAATAAACCAAAAAATAATTTTATATTACTATTGTTGTGTGATTAATTTAGTAAAAAAAACACTCGATTTAATTACAATCCGTGTTGGTTATTGGGTAGAAAAAGGTAATAAGGAATAGAGACTTTTAATTGCAAAGAAGAGCTAGACTATTTTTTATTTGACAATCTTAAGACTATTTATTTTTTTAACAAAAAAATATGCTTCTACTACTGTTGTTGTTAAGGTATAAATAAAGCCAAAATTCCACAGAAAACAAACCTTTTTATTTTTCTTATCCTTATACTTACTATTTTAACATTATAACTATTAAAAATGAAACCGCGACTCACTATAGAAATCACAACCCCCCAAAAAGATATAACCGTTGATATCGATAAAACATGGACCATTGGAAAATTAAGAAAGCATCTATTAAATGAGCCAGAAATAAAAGCTCTTAACCCGATAAAAGATTATTATTTGAATAATAATGGATACCTTGTTCAACTTTCATGTAATAAATGTGACAACGTAAACATATTTAATTTAATTAATGAACTCTGTAAGACCTTAATTAGTGGATGTGATTGGGAAATTATTAAACCTAAAATAGACAAAAAGAACTTAAAAAACCATGCTGTATAAGAAAAGTAAAAAACTGTATTGTTGCACAGACTGAAGATATGGAAGTGAATGTTGAGGTTAAGAATCGCGAAACAGGTTTACACCTGCATGCCAATTGATAGGCCACTAATTGAATCATGCAGGCATAAATTAGGGAGGCATCATAATGGTGCCCAAACATGCTCCCCATTTTGCAATGCACACGCATAAGCGTACACGCACGAAAACCACAACATTGACTTGCCAAGATACTGATCTGCTCGCAGAAGATCTAGTTCTCAATAACGGAGCGCACAATTGGCAATGTGCACAACAAAGGCGACGAGGCACATGTATAATATGAGGCTAGCCCTAGTAGTATTTTAGAAACATCAGTAATAAAACCTTTTATAAATTCAACCCCATTTTCTAACACTAGACAACTAGTGCTCCTCACACCCCCTCTTATTATAACAATAGGTTTGGTGAAATAATCTAGCTGCTTTTTATTGCGATTTTGCAGATATATTTTTTACATTGCCACCGAGTAAAAAAATGGTAGAGTACTTTGTTTTAAATGTAAATAAATTAAAAGATATATGGTAAAATAATAGAGAAATAATTCGATCAGTACTGTTATAAGGGGGGAAGTATTATTGTAGTAGTATTAAAGGGGGGTTAGATTTATAATTGAGGTTTAATACTTGTTTCTAAAGTGCTGCCAGTGCTGGGCTCGTCTTATATATGTCTCCTGTCGCCTTTGTTGTACATGCAGCCAGTTGTGCGCTCCGTTGGCGAGAACTAATTTTTTTGCGAGCAGCCCGGGGCCTGACATGTCAATGGTGTGGTCATCGCGTAGGCACGCTTGTGCACGTGCATCATAAAACAGTAAGCCTGTCTGGATGTCATTACTAGTCCCTTGAATTGCTCCCCCATAGTATAGTCTGTGCCCAATCAATCGGCATGCGGACGGAAACCTGTTTCATGACTCTCAACCTAAGCATCTACATTTATATCCTCGGACTGCGTAAAAGTATGCCACATAAGACGCTAACCAATCTGCAGGGGTTTTCCTCAGCATTGGCTTATTTACTATCATCTATTTATAGAAACACCTACCTTTATTGTTGAACTTTTGTCTGGAATGGGTTTAATTTTACGATGGGTTGAGTAAAACTTAGTTCAATTTTTTTGCGCCTGCCTGCACACACATTTGTTAGCTGCATTGCCATGGCAAAATATTTAACAATCTGAATATTTATTTTTCTCAATACTCTTTTTGCTTTTTTATAATGGAAAGTATTTCAAAAGCAAACACAAAGCACCAGAGGAGTAAAAGACAAAGCCAATTTATTGCCATCATAAAAATACTTTTAATAATAAAAAATCACTGGTGTAAAAAGTATCAACAGCAACTTTGGTTGAAGCCCTATCTGGTGACATTTATTCAGATATACAAATAGCCAACTTTTACGCGTTAATGTCGCTGCATCGTTATTATTTTTACTTACTAGCTTGATTATTTATTTTATATACTTATTTTTTACTATTGTCAATGAAATTGAATTTATATGTAACAATTCGTGACCAAAGCGGGAATTATAACCTTCTATTCAATGAACAAGATACCATGGCTACTTTTTACAATAAATTAGAAGACAAAATAATATTGAAGCCGGGAACAGAGTTGAGCAATTATTTTGTTATGATCGGCAAGAAATCTCTTCTTTTTAAAGCACGAGATATGCATGGTACAAACATATTTAAGGCAATTGAAGGTGGATATAGCAAGGTGATAGATGGCTATAAAGTGGAAATCTATTATTTTGAGCCCCCAAAAAAAGTTAGGCGTTAAAGTAAATAATATTTTTGTATATGACTAGGTAATTGCATGTTATAGTTTGCTATTTTAAAAATAAAGTTAATTTAAAAGTATAAAGATAAACGAGCCAATCACTTTAACTATCCTTGTTTAAAAACAAGTTTTTCAAGGACATTGACAGGCATGCAATCAGTGTAAAACTTGATTCTGCGTAAATGTGGGTAGTTTTTCCCGTGGGTACCAACCAAGCTGGTTAGTTCCCTTTCTATTGATGTATGTGTGCCAAAGTTTTGCATTAATTGCATTTGCAGTACCAGCTTTTTGGCATAAGCCAATGTGTCTTCTGTCGACTTTAAAGGATTTACACCACCAATATACATGTTTTTTACTCTTTTTAAAGCAATTATTGCGCTAGTGTCTTTGTTGTTACTGTTGACATGTGAAGAAGTGTATGTCATTTTTTCCACATATAGACGAGCCAAGCTTGGAAGTTCTAGAAGCAGCTGCATGAGATCATCAAAATACATTTGGGCAACCTTTAGAAAAGTTAGTTCTGGCCAGTTTATTATGTGTATGTTTATCTTTAAATTATGATTTGTAAGATGAAGGGTAGCGTTTTTTGTAATACATAGTTGAGAAAACAAATAGTTTACGGTACAGTAAAATTCATCTAGAGTGTGCTCTATTAACATGTGATAGGTCACCACCAAGTTTCCGACAGAATTTTCGAGTCAACAAATGACCCTTGAACAGCCATTTCGTCCTTAAAAATAAATGTTTCAACATGCTTGGGATATATATCAGCAAAAGAGACGTCAGTACCAGGTGGCCTGTAAGCCATATACAAGCTCTTCAAACTAGGAAATCTGACCTTATATTTGGGCCCAAATGTTGTCTGGAATCGCCATGTGTTTGTAATTTTGCGGTCCTTGCTGTATCCCAATTCCGAATCGTACATAATTTGCAGCTTTTCAAGCTTAGCAAAAGAAATATCCCCACGCGCAAACTCGTCTTGGAAATATCCCCACGAAAACAACTGAGGAACATTGAATAGTGACAATTGTCTTAACCTGTTTGCTGCCGATAATTCGCGCTCAAATGCTGAGTTGGCATCGAGTTTAATATATAGATTCGTTAACTTGTTTAAAAGCACAAGCACACTGATACATGTAGACAAACTGTTGTAATAGCTTTGAGTTGCATGGAAAATCTGTCAATCAGTCTGTTATAAAACAGTTTTACCTGTTCATCACCCTCATTTCCTCCAAATTTAACTTAACCACCTTGGACATATGCCTTTTAATAAAGTCAATCATAGGTGCACACCGCTGTGTCGGTAAGTTAAACTCGGTAAACTGTTAGTAATGTCTCTGCTAATAAATTGCGTTACGTTGTCCAACACTATTATTGCATGGATTGTCGTTATATTAGTCCAGCACTGTGGATAATTAGTGTACATTAGGTTCATGCATTCGTGTAGCATGTTGAACTCCCATGTCTGGGTTGTGTAAATATAAAAGCATCTGGCATAGCTCAACGCGCCAATTTGACTGGCCAAATCAATATTGGACGCAAAAAACCTGTCTTCTACTCTTTTGGAGGAAACCAAGTTGTTAGAAACTACCAAGCATCTTTTTTCTACCAGTATGGCTTCCAGATACAGTGGCTGTAGACAAGCCAAGCCAAGACCTCCTCCATTCGCTACAAACTGCGAGTAACTTTAAGTTTGTCCTCTATTCTTTGAGTTTTGTCTACCGGTCGAAAGTTGCGTAGTGTAGTATGCTTTCCGTAATAAAGTGCGGCAGGCTGCTGTAGAGAGACATTTTAAAATTTTATCATAAAAATGTAATGTGCAGAGTTGAACAGATAATAATGAAAAATAAAAAATACACACCGCAATACGCTCAAATATTAGGAAATGCGCGCTTGCTTTTAATAAGATATTTAAAAAACAAAAAGGTTGGAATAAATCATTTCCCTTTCAAATATGTCAAAAACAACATCTTTCAACGTATTTATTTGATGTCTCTTTATTTACAATGCAAAACACAACCTACCAAATCGACCCACACAAATACAATTTGTTGAGCTTGCACGCACGCTAACGCCATAGCTTACTCCTTTTATTTTGGCGAGACCACACACACGCTCGGGGTATACGAATCTTTTACAAACATTGCGCTGTAATTTGATATCGCTTTTAATAAATTAATAAATCTGTATATTTCTTGATCATACAATCTGGGCGCATCCTTTTTATAAAAACGGATCAGGGGGAAAGACGGAAAGGGCCAGCCCTGCAAAAATTCCAACAGGTTCGATGAGACCACCGAAACGCTAATAAAAAGTGGTCCTCTGCTTTTGCTTCAATTTTCTTCCATTTTCCTTTATTTTGTTCGCTTTTTGCAAACTTTTTTATACACTGTGCATTCACCACCAACAACCCGATTTTTTTACCTTTTCGATTTCCAACTCTAAAAATGGCTGACTGGAGAAACGTCGGAAACTGGCACTGGAAGGAGAGAAACTGCCTCGAGTGGGCCAAGAAGTATCTCGAGGACAAGCTCACAGGCATCCAGGTGAGCAAAGACGGACTCCATGGTGAGGTCACCTCTGTTGACTCCATCACGGGCGACGTGGATTTGAACATCCGCAAAGGCCGTCTGATCGCAATCTATGATGTCGAGATCAAGCTCTCGTGGAAGGCCACCAAGGGCGACGACGAGTTGGAGGGCAAAATCACCATCCCAGAGGTAGCACACGACACAGATGATTACGTGTATGATATTACGGCTAGCAGCTCTGCCGTGGCGAAGCTGCCGCTCAAGGACTTTATTCGCAAGCAGCTGACGCCCGAAATCACCGCCAAGCTTGAGGGCTTCACGGAGGATCTGAAGCAGGCCAATGGCTCAGACATGTATATCCCGGATAAGTCTGGAGCAAGCACGCCTGTTGCTGCTGCAAAGGCAACAACTGGGGAAAAGGCTTCAGGCGAGACCAAGCAGGGCAATGCAGTTGCAGTTGCGGCTAATGATGCCGTGAGCGTTGCAGTGACAAAGGATGCCAAGTTCAGCACGGTGAGCATCAGCCAGAATGCCGAATTCATGTGCTCTGCAGAGATCTTTTTGCCACGCTGACTGACCCCAGCGGGTGTCGATCTGGACGCGGGGTCCGGCCGAGATCCAGCCCAAGGAAAACACTTCATTCAAGCTGTTCAATGGCCACATTGAGGGCCAGTTCACGAAGCTTGTGCCCGCGAAGGGTATTGAGATGACGTGGAGGGTGGCGACGTGGCCTCAGGGGCACTTTTCAAAGGTCAAGATCAGCATCGAGCAGCAGTCCACGTCGACACGCCTGACACTGAAGCAGTCTGGCGTGCCGTTTAACGACGAGGATGCGACCAAGGCCAACTGGGACAGATACTATTGGAACAGCATCAAGGGATCGTTCGGGTAAGTTTTTGTAAACTGTGATGACTATTTGTGTGCCACATCTTTTATTTCCTCTGGTAACCATTAAAAAACAATGATTCTGACAATGCGTTGTAGTACTAATCGATTGCCGTTTACCAACCCTCCTTACTCCACCAAAACTGTTGCTTTTGCTACCAACACGGGATCGTATTTGAACGACTTTTCGGACATTGCCAAATCCCTGCAATCCGCGACGCACGACGCCAAACTACCCAAACTCCGCAATGCACGCAAACGCAAACACCACCGCAAATCACTGGCCAAAACGTCGTCTTTGCTGTCAACTGCTATCATAACCTTTGGCGTGCTGTCTGTGGTTGCTGCTGGTGTGGCTACTGTGTATTATAAAATGACAATGTAGAATGGGCATGTAATAAAACACAAGCGTGCTGCATCAAAGTGCTGCTGTCGAGCTGCCGGACATGCTGGGAAATATTTTTAATATAAATCCAATACAAACATTTTTATCATCATTACTTTTTGGCAAGAATTTTGGCCTGCAGGGCTTGGAACTCCTCCTCCGACGGCTCAAGAATTTTGGCGCCTGCTTCTTGCTTCCTCCTTTGCCCTTCTTGGAAGCGGGCTTCTTGGCGTACTTCTCTTCATGCTAGCGATGACCGAGCTCATGCGGCTGTTCGTGCGCTGCCTAATGAGCGCCTTGATTGCGCCTTCGTCACTTCGTCGTCATCACTGGCACCGCCGCGGTTGCGCTTTGAGCCGCCCTTTGCCTTGGAGTTAGCCTTGGCCTTGCGCAGCTGATCGTCCAGCCCGAGCTCTTTCCTCAGGGCTTCTGCCTCCACAGCCTCATCCTCAGCATCAGCCTTGCGCTTGGTCGCCAATTTTTTTGACTTTGTGTACGCCCTCGTGCGCTTAACCTCCTTTGCGCCAATAGCCGCCTCAATAATGTCCACGAACCTCGGCTCGTCCTCACCTCCGCCAACATGACCTCTGTCAGAATCAGCCCAATGTCGCCCTCATGCAGCCTGTATGCGGCCAAAAGATCACTGCGCTCCTCCTCCGATCCCTTATATACTTTAGCGAACTGCGCAATGGTCTGAGCATCAACAACACCGGCCCACAGCTGCCTAAAGTAAGCGTCCCAGTCCTTGCCTTCCTCAAAATAGGCACGGCTAAGCTGCCCGTTTGGTCGTAGATTTTGCGTCTTTGCATGTCTTTGAGAACGGAGTAGGCAAAACCAATTTGCTGAAACTGCTTGGTCTTGGCCTTGGCCTCGCCAGACGAGGCATCGAGGTGTGAGTGTTTGTCTGGGTGCGTGAGAGCGCCAGTTTGCGGTACGCTGTGCGTAGCTCGGCGTCAGTGGCTGTGCGAGTGACCTGGAGCACTGTGTAGAGGTCAGGCATGTCCTCTGAGTTGGGGTCGAAGGGCGTGTCGTTGCTCATTTTGGCACAAAATAAAATAATATGAGAAAGACTGGAGAAAAATAACACGAATAGGATGGAAATGCAAAGGAAGAAAAATATAAAAAAGTGAGAGGAGAGAGACAGAAAGCCAAAGCTGGACAGAATGCAATCGAAAATCGTTTTCGCTTTGCGTATAAGAACGCGTCTCACATTATTTTTTTATTGCGCGTTTGTTTCGCGCCATTCCTAAAATAAAAGCTTCCCGGCGATCGATCACCGCTGTATCAAATCACTGCACAATCTCATACAGCACCATGCACTAAATCACATGCACAGAACATGTAGGGGAATTTTTAGACGCATATGGCAGCGTTGCGTTGCGCTCCGCTTCCGACCGAGAAGAAAAAAGCATGAAATTCGTGACTGCCAAAGCCAAACTTTGCACAGAAACCCTTTCAGAGCGACATTTTGCTACAAAACTTGTTTCAAGCACTATTGCCGGGCGGATTTCCATTCAACGCCGGTTGCACGCAGCCTTCTCAGTGGCCACTGATCTGGAGACCAAACAGGCAGCCGGTAAAAAAAATAAGGAAAAAATCAAGCAAAGCCTGTGATAATAAAAAGCTCGTGATTGGCCAGGGGTGAATTACCGCATTTTATTTGCTGGAAAACCGCATTCCCGAAGCCGCATGCAAAGAGCCTTTTCATTCCCCCCATTCCTTTTTTTCCTTATCTTTGAGATGAAAAATGCGCTCGCTGCCTCCATCGCCGGTCATTATTTTTCACTTGTTCGCTCGCGTGGTCTAGATTGTTGATTTATAAAGCTCGCTCGTTATCTCGCCCACCCTTCACTACTTTTCGCTTTCGCTTTTTCCTTCTCTATATTATTTTTCTCTATATAGTAAACGCAACTCTAATCTCTCATCTATCTTCCTCTTCACTGAGCGTATAGCTGTTGCCTTTTCTCTCTTCGTTTTTTGGAGTTTGTAGTTTTTATTCCCTCACACACACATATATACATACATAGCAATAGCACTGTAAACGACAATGTTTTCGCGCTCTGCTGCTCGCGTTCTGAAGGTACGTTGTGTAACGCATTCAATTTGATATTTGTTATAATCTTGATCGCTGCTGCTGCCGCTGCCATCTTGCGCTCTTGTTTGCCATTATTTGCATGGGTGCTTTTTTCTGATGATTATTTTTTGTCATTGGAGCAGCAAAAGGCAGTGCCGCAGCAGCGTGAGAAATATTAAGGGAGGAGGGATAACGGAAGCGACAAAGGGGAGGTCGGGATAGGGACAAGCTTGCTGCATGGGCCACTCCAAAAGACCTGCATTCTTTTGTTTCTTCCTTTGTGTTCTGTTTTTTACCTCTTTCTTTCTATGATACAACGATGGTTTCCATCTGTATCCGAGTATCTTATCTTTGTGTTGCGACATAATGACGATGGAGACAAGCAAAGTTTGTTATTAAAAGATCCACATACTAATTGTCCGCCCTTTTCAATTTTTCCGAATAGAGCTCGACTATCAGCGCCGCCGGTGCCCGCCGCTCGATGGCCACTGCCCCGCAGAAGATCCCATGTCGCCGCATGAGCCCAACAGGTACATCAACTACCAGCGCATTGAAGACAACATTGACATTGTGCGCAAGCGTCTGGGCCGGCCGCTGACCCTTTCCGAGAAGATTATCTATGGTCATCTCGACAATGCTGCCGAGCAGGACATTCAGCGTGGTGTCTCCTACCTGCAGCTGCGTCCTGACCGCGTTGTGTGCCAGGATGCTACTGCTCAGATGGCTCTGCTGCAGTTCATGTCCGCCGGTATTCCTGATGTTGCCGTCCCCTCGTCGGTCCACTGCGACCATCTTATTCTTGGTGAGAATGGTGCCGACAGCGATCTGGCTCGTGCCAAGGACGTCAACAAGGAGGTCTACGACTTTTTGGCTACCACCTGCGCCAAGTACAACCTTGGTTTCTGGGGCCCTGGCTCGGGTATCATTCATCAGATTGTTATTGAGAACTACGCCTTCCCCGGCGCTCTGATCATCGGTACCGACTCGCACACCCCCAACGGCGGTGGCCTCGGCGCCGCTGCCATTGGTGTCGGTGGTGCTGACGCCGTCGATGTCATGGCCGGTATCCCCTGGGAGCTCAAGTGCCCCAAGGCCATCGGAATCAAGCTCACTGGTCGCCTGAACGGCTGGACCTCGCCCAAGGGTAAGTTTGATAAAAAATCAATTGTGTTGGGAATGTCTGCTTGCTTACTGAAAGCAAGCAGCAAATGCTTGTTGGCTTATCTCGGCGCTATCGATTGCGATAAGATACGGCGGTGATTTGCTACTGCCCCCAATCGCAGCCATTGATCAAAAAAATGCTTTGTGAGATTAGTATTTTGTCGTTTTGGTGCAACGCTGCTGTGTCTGTCTCCTCAGGCGCTATTTCTGAAATTTGCCCTATTTGGGAATTATCATATTGATCGACAGTCGTCGATTAAAATATTAATTTCTCACTTATATCCCCAAAAAACGTTTCAATTGTATCGTATCATGCCCGCTAATCCTAAGCAACTCTTTTTAATTTTTATTTGTGTAGATATTATCCTTGAGGTTGCTGGCATTCTCACTGTCAAGGGTGGAACCGGCGCCATTGTCGAGTACTTTGGCTCGGGCGTTGACTCTGTCTCTGCCACCGGTATGGGCACTGTGTGCAACATGGGTGCCGAGATCGGAGCCACCACCTCGGTATTCCCCTTCACCGAGAGCATGCACCGCTACCTGGTCTCCACTGGCCGTCCCGAGATCGCCGATGCGTCGCGTGCGTTCGCCCACAACCTGCGTGCTGATGAGAACGCCAATACGACGAGGTCGTCGAGATCAACCTTTCCGAGCTCGAGCCCCGCATCAACGGCCCTTTACGCCCGATCTCATGACCCCGCTGGTCAAGTTCAAGGACACCGCCAAGGAGAAGAACTGGCCCGAGAGCATTTCGGCCTGCCTGATTGGCTCCTGCACTAACTCTTCGTACGAGGATATGTCGCGCGCCGCGTCGCTGGCCAAGGAGGCCCTGGATGCTGGTCTTAAGGTCAAGTCTGAATTCATTGTTACTCCCGGATCCGAGCAGATCCGTGCCACCACCGAGCGCGACGGCATGCTCGAGATCTTCCGCCAGGCCGGCGGCAAGATTCTGGCTAACGCCTGCGGCCCTTGCATTGGTCAGTGGGCTCGTCATGACGTCAAGAAGGGCGACCGCAACACCATCCTTACCTCATACAACCGTAACTTCACCGGTCGTAACGACGGTAACCCAGCCACCCACGGTTTTGTTGCCTCCCCCGAGCTGGTCACTGCCATGGCCTTCGGCGGTAGCACCAGCTTCAACCCCATCACCGACACTCTGACCACGCCCGATGGCAAGCCCTTCAAATTTACTCCTCCCAACGGTGCTGAGCTTCCGGCCCGCGGCTTCGACGCTGGCCAGGACACCTACCAGGCTCCCCCCCCTGACCGCTCCCAGATTAGCGTCAAGGTCAGCCCCGAGAGCCAGCGCCTGCAGCTCCTCAAGCCCTTCACTCCCTGGAACGGCAAGGACATCGAGAACGTGCCCGTGCTGATTAAGGTCAAGGGCAAATGCACCACTGACCACATTTCGATGGCCGGCCCGTGGCTCAAGTACCGCGGTCACCTCGACAACATCTCGAACAACATGCTGATCGGCGCCACCAACATCGAAAACGGTGAGGCCAACAAGGTGCGCAACCAGGTCACCGGCGAGTTCGACGCCGTGCCCGCCACCGCCCGCTACTACAAGGCGCACAACATTCCCTGGGTTGTCGTCGGTGACGAGAACTACGGTGAGGGTTCGTCGCGCGAACACGCCGCCATGTCGGTGCGCTTCCTGGGCGGTGCTGCTGTCATTGTCAAGAGCTTTGCTCGTATCCACGAGACCAACTTGAAGAAGCAGGGTCTGCTGCCCCTGACCTTCAACAACCCCAAGGACTACGACCTCATCAACCCGGAGGACAAGCTGTCCATTCTTGGCTTGAAGGACCTCACTCCGGGCAAGCCTCTGACCCTGCGCATCAACAAGCCCTCGGGCGAGCACATCGACATTGTCGTTGACCACACCTTCAACGAGAACCAGATCACTTGGTTCCATGCTGGTTCGGCTCTTAACTACATCGCCAAGAGCAACGGCGTGTAAAGCTCTTCTTTTAGAAGTCTCTTTACTGTATCGATTTTCTTTTTTCTCTTTTACCAAAAAACTATCAATTGAAAAATATTCAAACAAAAAATGCCTTGGCTCATCCGCGCTGTTTTGCGGGACAATGGTCCTTGTCTAATGCGCGCTTGTCAATCCTGTACTGTCTGTACGCTCTTTTGACAGGCGGGCTCGAGTAAAACGTCATAGCAATTAGGGGCACAGCCAGATATTGCAGCACTGGTCAATTATGAAAATTGAGTTCTCCCGTTTACCCAAATGGTACCAAACAATAGAGTAAACGGTGTTGAACCCTAGACAAACGATTGGCGCGATGGGGAACCAGACAATAGAGCGCATGGTGTGCGCAACCACGGAGTTGCTGCTCTGTCTTCGATTGCATCTGTTATCCTTGACCACGTCCGAAACAAGAATGTTGAGTGACCTGGCAGAGCTGCAATCGCTGCAATCGCTGGTTTGGAACGTCATCCCTGTTGACATGCCGCTCTGCACCTCATGGGATCTCTTGATTGTGGCACCCAACAGGGCCAGTATGCTATATATCCCAATGATAGACCCAGGATGACCCAGATATAAAACACGAGCCATTGAAAGATAAACAGTTTTTTACCGGGTGTCTTGTTATAATCGCAGTATGTTTGCATCCCGACCATATGCGGAGGAATAAACAGTGTGAACATTTCCGGCACCAAAGATATAGCCAATGTGCCAATAACCATGGTCACTCGCGGCCACCGCGTGGTCAGCGGGATATTGTGCAGGAGGATGACCTGGAAATAGAGAATGCAAAAGACAGATAGCGCAAGCGGCGACATGGCGAGGATGAGCGAGAGAAAGACAAATATGCGACACCTGGCGTTGCTCATGGGGTTGATATAGATTGATGTGAGGCTGAAGATATTGTCTAGTAGTTTGAGTAGCTGGAGTGCGCAGATCACTCGAAATATCGTCATATGCGAGAGCTCGCGCCGTTTGTAGCCTAGCCATACAGCCAGTAAGAGGGTTGTTAGTGATATTAGGAGGCAGACGCTGGCCAGGGTCGTAAGCAGAATACGGATACCAGGTGTATCGTGGCCGGTAACATCATTCATAGTTGAATTATAAAAATATATAAAGCTTATTGCCCAAATTAATAAAAGAAAACTATTTAAAAATGCTATTTTTCTGGGCGCCGCCTAAAATTGTTAAAATTGTAGATTTTTCATTTTCGAAAATATATTGTAAACATTTATAACGCCACGATCAATGCTGAAAATGGCAATTGTAGAATCACTAACTTTTAGTTTGTTCGTCAGTGGCACATTAATCTCAAATTAAAATAGCCATTTATTCGTTGGAAATCATGTCAACTGCCGTGGTTGAGATTCATGCTCTCGACAAACTGCGAGAAAGGGCTGTTCTTGTCGGTAAGTAGATTTTTTGGGAAGTCAAACTCTGTCATCTTGCCATAGCCCATTACCAGAATGTGTTTGCTGTTCATCAAAGTGTCTAGCCAATGCGCAATGGTCAGCACGGTGCAGCCTTGTATTTTTTGCGGATCACCTCTTGCATGATCTAGTAGGTTTTGGAATCCACATTTGCCGTGCCTCGTCCAGGATGGCAATCTTGCGCCGCCAAAGCAGAACCCTACAAAAACTGATGAGCTGCTGCTCGCCGACACTAAAACTGGTACCATTGTGTTCCACCCATTTGTTCAGCCCAATACCCTCGATTATGGCTCATTGCCGGGGTATTCATTATTTATAGTCTTGACGTGCTGTTTTTTGTTTCTAGGCGACAACGGCTTCTTTCAGCGGCCTTTTTGGGTTGTTTCCCTGGCTATGCGCTTCTGCTCGCGACCAGTAGTATATTTGAAATTATCGCAGCAAATAAAAAATAAACATTATCGCGCAAATCACCGCGATCAAGCCATCAATCACCATTTCCCACCTCTTCTCCCACCCTCCTTTTGGCTTGGGTGACATCGACATCAAAAAAACTAAGGAAATTCCAGCCCACCTTCGTTTCTCATTTCGCGTAGCTTTGCATTTTTTTGACAACACCTAAATTCAATTTACCATACAAAAAGCACATAATTTATTTCATGTTCACTACATTATTCTCGCTCGCACTTTTACACTTGCCGTTTGTTGTTCTGGGCAAAGAGGTGACGAATTTTTGCAAATGCTCGTGCGGGCAAAACTCAACAATAATTGAATTGACGCACTTTGCGCTATCACATTTGCCACACGCCAGCAAGCCCATAGACGTGGGGACACTGATGCCCAACGTGTGTATGAACTGCACACGGCTGCTATGCGGAATTGCAGAGCCCCAGTTGTGTGATGGCGCGGCAGTGGATGATGAGATTGTGCCGCTGTGTTTTCAGCGCGACTCGTTGCAGGATGAGCTTATTGTTACGGGGTTTTTGGTTTTGGTCGTTGGGCTGCTGGTGTGGGCAGCTGTGCGCAACCATGTTAAGCCCGTCCTTGACCGTTTGTGGAACCAGTATAACGGCGTGCCTACTCAACAGCCTGCATTTTGAAGTAGATAAAATTTTTTTTGCCAAATATACATCTTATTTTTATTGTCAGAACAAGAAAACTTGCTTTTTTTTAAGTAAATGAGAACAGTCCGTCTGCTTTGTCTAAACGCATACAAACGCAAATTTACTTCTGCAGGGTAGCACCCCACTTCTTCAGACGGATGCTCTGGATCTTGATGAAGCCATCGGAATCAGTGGGCTCAAAGTCACCCTGGACATCCATGGAGGACTGCTCCATGTCGTACAGAGTCTCAGTCTCGCTCCAGCGGCCCTCCATGGAGACGGTGCCCTTGTAGAGCTTGACGCGGACGGAGCCGTTGACGTTGCCCTGGGTCAGGGGAACCATCTTGGTGATGAGATCACCCTCGGGCGAGAAGTATAAGCCGTTGTACATGATCTTGCCAAACACCGGGGTGATGTGCTCGTCGCGGTAGGCGCGGACCTCGCGGTCAAGGACAAGACCCTCGAGGTCAATGTGGGCGGCGCGCAGGATGGTGCCTCCGGGAGTCTCGTAGCAGCCACGGGACTTGATACCGATGAACCGGTTCTCAACAATGTCAATGCGGCCAACACCGTTGCGGCGAGCGACGGTGTTCAGGTACAGGAAGAGCTCAAGGGCGTCGGTGACGTCGGTTCCGTCAGCCTCGTTGGTGACGCGCACGGGGATACCGGCCTTAAAGGTAATGGTGATGCGCTCGGGCGTGTTGGGCGCCTCCTCGGGATCAACAGTGAGCTTCCACATGTCCTTGGGGGGAGTGACGTTGGGGTCCTCCAGGATACCGGCCTCGTACGAGATGTGGAACATGTTCTCGTCAGTCGACCAGGGCTTGCTGGGGGTCTGTGAAACGGGCACGTTCGTCTGGGCGGCGTACTCAAGAAGAGCGTTACGGCCAGGGAAGCGCTTGTAGAACTCGGGGATACGCCACGGGGCAATGACCTGCAGCTTAGGGTCGAGAGCGTAGTAGGCGAGCTCGAACCGGACCTGGTCGTTACCCTTACCGGTGCAACCGTGGGAGACAAAGGCGCAGCCCTCGCGCTTGGCAATGGCAACCTGCGACCGGGCAATGACGGGGCGGGCGATGGATGTACCGAGGAGGTAGACGGACTCATAGACGGCGTTTGCCTGGATGGTGGGGTAGATCAGCTCCTCGACGAGCTCACGGCGGAGATCCTCGACAAACACCTTGGTGGCGCCGACCTTCAGGGCCTTCTCGCGCGCGGCTTCAAAGTCCTCCTCCTGGCCGACGTCGGCCATGTAGGCGAGCACCTCGTAGCCCTGCTCAATCAGCCAGACGAGAATGCATGATGTGTCGAGACCTCCGGAGTAGGCCAGCAGGACCTTACCCTTGGAGCCGGGAGCAACAGTGGAAGACATTTTTATTTTAGGTTTGTTGTGAATAGAGCAGGCGGAGAGGAAACAAGAGGGTGATAATTAGAAATAATCTTTTGTGTGGGAAACTAAGAAAAGAAAGGTGCTGGTGATAGACGAGACAATTTCGATCCTATTTAAATGCGCGCGTGTGCGTTGGCAATAGCGATCAATGAAAAAATGATTGGTGAGTTTGGTTTCCATTGTGTTCTCGACCGCGCAAACAGGCAGTAAAATTTTTTTGCAGGCGCGCTTTTGCAGGATAAGGGCATACATTTTGGTGGAAATAAACGGGCGGGATGCTGCCGCACTTATGCTCAAACTTTTTTTTTGCTGACAGAATACAAATAATCGAATCACTTATTTTTCTCATTTGGCGCAATAGGTTAGTCATTTTTGTGTTTTTGAGGTGCCTGAGCGGTATCGATTGTCATCGCTTGGGGTGAAAGAAAACGAGATGGTGTACAGTCAAAAGTGCCTGGGAAAATAACAAGTGTTCTAAATTATCCAAAATCTGGAAATGTCTCCGAGAATAAAAAATCAAATCTGATTCGTGTGGGAAAAAAGTGTGACTCACTTTCTGCCATTCACAATTTTTTTGTTGGAAGCATTTTCGCGTCAGATATTATATGCGCGGTGGGGACGATCGCCAACCAAATTGAATCAAACGGGCTGGGTCGATGAGAAGGCCAAGAAACAAAAAAATACAGGACGCAGCTTATCTTGCGTGCTCCACTCACTATTCACCAGTCTTTTTTCGTCTTTTTCAGCTGGACTCCCTTGTCTAACTGCCTGCCTGCCTGCCTGATTGTTTCAGTTAAATGGCAAAAGCAAAAAAAAAGTATTAAAAAAAGCCCTGCGCATACAGCATATTGGCTAGCGAGTTATCCTACGCTTTGCAAGTGGGTTCACTGATTGGCTTATCTGGCCCGAATCGCCCTGGAATCTGGCATTGAGCACCGAGCACTGAGCATCGAGCGTTCAGTGCCTACCACCATACACTCTTTCTCGCTTCTTGCTCTTGCTTCAATTTTTTTGTTTCAAAATTTTTATTTTTCTACATTTTGCACTTGCCAGGCTGGGCTTAGAAAGTACCACTTTTTTACATCTTTTTTTCAACATACAGACTTGAGCCATGCTTCGTGCCAGCCGCTTCCTCAAGAAGGGCTCCAGCAACATTGCTCGGGCAGCAACGATGGTGCCAGCCGCAGTGGCGCAGCGGAGCACACACATACGGATGTACTCGAACAACAACACAGGACCAGACACGTCGAGAAGGAGACAATCGTCAAGCTGCTGTACAACATTGGCTCCAAGAAGGAGGTAGAGCAGTACCTGGGCCATTTTTCCTCAGTTGAGTCGCAAAAGTTTGCAGTCATCAAGGTTGGTGGCGCCGTGATTTCGGACGATCTCGCAACGCTGGCATCAGCGCTGACGTTCTTACGCGCGTCGGACTCTACCCCATTGTAGTCCATGGTGCGGGCCCCCAGCTGAACAAGCGCCTTGAGGCCGCCAACATTGAGGCCCGCTACGAGGACGGTATCCGGATCACCGACGGTCCGACCTGGCCATTGCTCGTGAGGTCTTCGCCAGCGAGAACCGCAAGCTCGTCGAGGCGCTTGAGCGCCTGGGCACGCGCGCGCGGCCCATCACCGGCGGCGTCTTTGTCGCCGACTACCTCAACAAGGATAAGTATGACCGTGTCGGCAAGATCGTGCGTGTCAACCGCGAGGTCGTCGAGAGCTCGATCCGTGCCGGCTGCCTGCCCATCCTGACGTCGCTGGCAGAGACGCCCGAGGGCCAGATCCTCAACGTCAATGCAGACATTGCCGCCGGCGAGCTGGCGCGCGTGCTGGAGCCGCTCAAGATTGTTTACCTCAACGAGAAGAATGGTCTTTACCATGGCACCACAGGCAAGCGCATTGAGAGCATCCACTTGGATGAGGAGTACGAGGATCTGCTGAAGGAGCCCTGGGTGCGCTACGGCACCAAGCTTAAGCTCAGGGAGATCAAGGAGCTGCTGGACACGCTGCCCGCAGCTCATCAGTGGCCATCATCTCGGCGGAGCACCTGCATAAGGAGCTGTTCACGCACTCGGGCGCTGGTACCCTGATTATGCGCGGCCACCGGCTGTTCAGCGAGCAAGACCTGGCCAACGTTGACTCGACCGTCTGCGCGCGCTGCTCATGGCACACGACCCGGAGATCTCGTCGGGAGCGGTTACCGCTGCCTCGTACTGGCAGAAGCTGGCCGAGCTCAAGCGCGAGGGCGGGCAGTACTGGATCTATGGTGACGAGCCCTACCAAGTGGCCGCCATTGTTACGCGCAAGCCCGGCCAGAGTATCTCCCACGTCGACAAGCTTGTTGCGTCCAAGGCCGCGGTCCTGGGCAACATCACCGACAACGCGTGGAAGCTGATCACCCGCGACCACCCGCAGCTCGCCTGGTCCGCGTCGCGCACCAACGATGATCTCTCGTGGCACTTTGAGCGTGCCGATGGGAGCTGGGCCGTTGGCGACGAGATCGTCTTCTGGTACGGTGTCGAGGACTGGAAGCAGATCTCGGACCTCGTGGCCACGAAGGCCAAGTCCGCTGGTGTCGCAGCCGAGACCGCCAAGCCTGCGTCGGGCGTCCGCGCATACTCGACCATGGCACGTCGCCCCGTCGTGCCTATCGTGCCCGGCGGCGCCCGTCGCAGCTACACGACGTCCGCCAGTGCTAACGTGAGCGCTGGCGCGCCCCTGCGCGTAGGCCTGATTGGTGCGCGTGGATACACCGGTCGCGAGCTGATCCGTCTGATCGACACGCACCCACGGTTTGAGCTGGCGTACGTGTCGTCGCGCGAGCTGGCCGGCAAGCCTGTGCCCAACTATAACAAGTCGCAGCTGAACCACGTTAACCTCAGCGCGCAGCAGGTCGGTGAGCTGGCCCGCGGCGGCCGCGATGCCGTTGATGTGTGGATCCTTGCGCTGCCCAACAACGTTGCCGCGCCCTTTGTCGCCGCCATTGACGCGGCCACTGCTGGCGTGTCGATGGCGCAGCAGCCCGTGGTTGTTGATCTCTCGGCCGACTACCGCTTCGACAGTTCCGGCCAGTGGGCCTACGGTCTTCCAGAGCTGCACCGCCCGGCCCTCCTGGCCAGCACCACCGGCCGCATTGCCAACCCCGGATGCTACGCCACGGGCTCACAAATGGGTCTTGCCCCCCTGCTCCCCTACATGGATGCCACCAGACTGCCCTCGATCTTTGGTGTTTCCGGATACTCCGGTGCCGGCACCAACCCGTCGCCCAAGAACGACCCCGCGTTCCTCCGCGACAACTTCATTCCCTACGCGCCCGTCAACCACATCCACGAGCGCGAAATCGGCTATTCCCTGACGCGCGCCTCCAAGCCCACCTTCCCCTTCAACGCATCCAACCCGCTGCGCGTGCAGTTCACCCCCCATGTTGCCTCTTTCTTCCAAGGCATCAGCCTTACACTGCATGTGCCCCTGCGCATGTCCATGACCGCAAAGGACATGCTCGAAGTTTACCGCGAGTTCTACCAGAGCGAGCGCCTCGTGCATGTCACGGAGAGCGCCCCGCTTGTCAGGGATAATGCCGAGAAGCACTACGTGGCTGTCGGTGGTTTTGCTGTGCCTCCTACGGATTCTACTGAGGAAGGATCGGCGAGCCTGGCGGGTCGTCGTGCTGTTCTCAATGTCACCCTGGATAACCTGCTCAAGGGCGCTGCGACCCAGGCTGTGCAGAACATGAATATCGCCATGGGTATTGATGAGTACATGGGAATTCCCGTTCAGGACGCCCCCACTATGTCGCTGAAGTAAGAGAAACCATTTTGGGTTTTATTAATTTTTCTTCCAGAGTTTTGTCAAGTGTCAAAATAAGTATTGTGTATCATTTTTATTGTTAACATTGTCAAATGCTAGTTATCCTGGTTACGTTACCGTTTGATTTACACATGTGATTTCAGGCAAATCCGAGCTAATTTGTATTGTTCAAATAAAGGGATAATTCAAGCAATTATTTAATGCCTATTTGACAATTCGATCATGTGAACGGGTGTGCTTTTTAGCTTCTGTTTTAAACGGCCAAGGTGATGTTTTGGTTACAAGCGGTTCACTTCGCCCCTGGCTTTGGCCAAATAATTTATGACGCTTTTTTCAGCCGAGGACAACTGCCATCAGGTGGTGGATGGAATATAATAAGGAGTGGTATTCTGAGGGGTGTACGCGTGACAACGCTGTAAGCAACCTTTCTAGGTTCATGTTACCAACCGTCATCGCCCATTATGATTTTTTTTAATTTTATGTGGAAAATGTTTGTAATATTTTTATTATGCATTTCCCAAAGAAAAAATTGAAAGCAATAAAACAAGTTTATATTTTGAAACGCACAAAAACAAATCGAGTATGTATCCCTGGCATTCAGGGCTGTCTTTCATGAGAGTTTTGCAAATAATATTATACCCCAATGTCATATGAGGGACGCTTGCATATTTAGTTGCATGCGAGGCATGATCATTACTGAAATTTAACAAAAAATAAAAAATGAAAACTGCATATATGCCCTCACATGCGTGGCTTATCTACGATGCTTTCGCAATTCTGCACGATGCTTCTTGGGAACCTGGTCGATGGTCAGCACGCCTAATCGCATACATGTTCTGTAAAACTCCGCTTTCGGACAATAAAGTCTTTGCCCATTAACAATGGTGTATGTAAAACTCCGGCGCCGCTGGTTAGAAAACCAACTATTAAACTGCGCCCTGCTAATATTATCGTCCACTCGCAGTTTGCCCTGTCTGTCCTCTTCCTTCGGGTATGGGTGCTCAATATTGGCGGCCAAAAACTCCCAGCATGCCACTTTTTGCTTTTCAGATAACGTCGTACGTGGGCGCTTACGATGGTCAGGATGCAACGTTTCGGTGTGCGAATGCCCTCTGTCCAAACATTGTTTGTCTAACGTAGCCCCCTCAACTGTGTCCAACCCTTGTATGCAATGCTCTGCACCATGCTGTGCATTTGCACTATGGATGACCTTGCCCGTGGGTGGCCAGTGATTTCCAAACGCAGGGGAAAAGGTATTTGACGCTGCTGCTTTCATCAAGCTGCCACCATCCACTTTGTTTGCCAAAAACTGTAGCGCTACTGCTTCTGCTTCTGCTTTTGGGTTACATGAAAAAATTGGAATTACAGTGACGCGTTCACTTGCCAAGTCCAGTTGCATGCTGAAAAGGTTGTTATTGCCGCAGAGTTGCAAAAATGGTGGCAAATAATCGCAAGCCACCAGACTACCCATATTTACGAGCATATTTGCTGTTGGCTCGACACTAAATGGAAAAAGCACGTCCTGACCAGCAGCGCTGCCGTAAATCTCCTGCTGGCTGCAGTGAGAGAACGCAGAAACAAGGGCATTTCCATTTGAAGGTGGGAAATCCGCAGTAATTCGGTTCCCACTGACCCTCATAGATTCAGGGATACAGATATTTGACGACATTGCGGATACCTCGCAATTTTGTGAATAGGATTGGGTGGGCGCCCACAGCTGGTTTTCAAAAAAGCTATCTTGCTGAGAGGTTGCTGAGTTCGGAGTGGATGATATGGCAATGGGCATTTTATTAGACACATCTGCGTTCTGACTCCACCCGTAGCTCATAGATATCGCAGGCGAGACAGGAAGCATAGGCGGATACAGAGGCTGTAGCTGTAGGGCTGGATGAAGCTCTGGCTGCGAGCTCTGATGCTGAGTAGATTGTTCAAGTGATAGAAACTCGTAGACCAGTTCGAGCGTGATGTCGCCATTCTGAGTGATGCTGTGGGGGTATTCGCTAAAAATGGCCATATTGGTATTGTCTAACAGAATGGACTGGTTTATGCGCTACGACTAATCTTGCAATTTGTCGACACTTCCGGATGTTGTAGATTGGTTTGTGTATGCTTTAATTGATAAAAAAGGTAATATAGTTTACTTTTCAGATAGGTAAAAGCTAAGATGAAAACATTTTATAACATGGACGTGGTTGAATTTATATCATTCTGAACATATATTATATAAGGCACATCTGCATTGATGAAAAATTTTACGAATAATCTAATGACGTTGCATCGTTTATTTGTTCAACTGTCAAAAAACGCTATATTAAGCAAAACAATTGTTCTAATACAAAGTATACCTCAAAGCGGCATTAAAAAAATGAATTAATAGGCCTAAAGATGGGCTTGGATTTGTTGTTTAGAATTTTGCCTGTTAGCGCAGTTTATCGCGTAATGTTTGGCACAAAATCAATGCACCAAGCATACTACATTAGAATAAAATGAAAATGCAGCAACTTGGGATATATGTACATAATAAGCAGAAACAATAAATACGCTCTGTACAAGAAAATAGGGGTGGGGTGGGAGTGGGGAAGGGTTTTGTACTTGCAGGATATGTACCTTTCTTATTTCATTTGTATGGTATTTTTAATTTACGTTGATTTGTTCAAAATGCAACAAAAGCAATGTGCTGTGTTATTAATCTACACTTAGTAAAACTATCCACGCGTTTTTGACGTGAAAAGTGCTTTTAAAAGGGAAATAGATCAACATGGTTTTCATTTTCGTATATATTTTAGCATTCTTGTTTTGGTTTCATTTGTCAAATGCAATGATTGTATTAATAAAATTCATAATGTAGAAAAGAATAATAGATAAAGTAGAAATGTGTTTACAGTTATATTTAAGGCTACCCCCAGGGATGGTAAACACAGGCCTGCAACAGAGGGGGTGTTGGGTGTTGGCGCCAACCTTTCGTCTATTTTGTGTCATTGTTTTAACGCATGGCCACAAAACATCGGCCACAATAGGACACATGCCAATGTGACTAAAGCTTTTACAAATTTATTGTTGTCACCATGCTGCTTTCTACATAATTTTATAAAATAGGCCGGATAATGTAACAATTGATGCTCTTCTGATGTTCTATAAACAAATTACGTCATATCTGTATCATTTATTATCTCATCTTTCTACGTGTCAATTTGCCTTAGAGAAAAATGTTATTTGGATGGTGCATGCAGACAATAAAAAAACTACCCATATCTCAGAATTCAAAGTATCAACGGTACCAGGGAACATGTGTTTCTGATTGAATATTTGCTGTGGATTGAAAAATAACTTTGTTTCTATTTTTAATTGTTATATTTTCTAACCATGCCTCCAGCAAAACAACATATACAAAGGTTTATGGATGCTCAAAGTTCTGGTAAATTTAAAACAAAAGCTTTACGGAACCAACACACAAGAAAGCATAGGCCACCCATAGTAACTTCTGCCAACGGCAGCAAGCAATATTAAAGTGGAAGGGCAACAGGCTCGGGTGTCTTTGTGACAAAATATTTTATCATACATATATGACATACAGACATGTTCCCATGTGTAGTGTGCTCAACACTAAGCATACAAATACTCAGACTGGTCTAGCAGGAGGTGACGACACAAGTGTTAGTATCTATTCATTGATTCAATGCTAAATTGGGTGAAGTTGAATGCTAAATACTGAGCATACATTGAATTGGAATTCTAGTCTCCTCGTCAGAGTTGGCTTTGGCTGTGTTGAGTTTAATGGTTGAACGCGGCAGCGGTCTATTATTTGTTTGACTTGTTGCTATATGGTAACTCCTGTTGGTATATATTCTCATCTTTCCCATTGCCAGAAGAAACACGGACGTCTGCACGAGGTCAATTTTAATCAAAAGGCTGTTGAAGAAGCGTGTCGTTATCTGCTCTCAGATTATTCGGGCGTCATGACAGAGGATGAGCTTCATAGCTGGTATAAGGGTTGTTTGCTGCGAGTGGACCTGCCTACCCCAGGCATCATAATTACTGATACGCTTATTATTTGGGGATTACAACTTTGCTGCTTGTAATAAAGAATGGATGCGAATACACCATAGAAGAGAGCACAACATACTTGGGATCAACAAATGTGGTTACTGAACCTGTTCAGCAATTGTCTTTGGTGGTCCTCATTTTAATACCTACATTAGGTTATTCTTACAGAGTTCACGGATGCAGAACTTGAAAGCACGTGGTCATACATTATTTCAGATTTCTCTTTCTTCTAATAATTAGTTACCTTTACCTTTTTAAATAAAAGATCTACACTCGGTGGTGTTCTGGTAATTAATAAAGCACACACTTTTCAGAAACATGATTTAGTATTTGTGACAAAAATTTTTTACCCATTTTTGATTAAATCATTACGTACATATTACGCAGCTGCCTGCATCTTATAGGGCGTTTGGTTGCTCATATTACTGTGTCAAAGACTGCTTTACAAACCGTTGAATACAATTTAAAATGCACATCAGTAAATGTATTGCTTCAAGTTAAAATTTTGATTTTATATCTCCCCAACTCTTTGTGGTAAACTTATTGAATTTTTTACAGTGTGTGCTCGGTGCCTTGATATTAAACATGTTCATATAATTATGAACAAGGGTAGAGTGTTATTCGAATTTAAACAATGCAACACTTTCCCATATTTCAATCCCCCAGAAATCAACAGCCACAATGACCAAAGCTATTTTTTTGTTGAATGCAAAATTAATTATAAATTACTACGCATAACATATTATTGATTTATTAAAACATTTATTTAGACATGCCTCCCAGCAGAACTATACACGAGCAAAAAATGTTCAAGTGCTCAAAATGTCCGATGACTTTGATAGAGGCGGTCGACGGGACAAACACTCAATGCAACACAGCCCAGTAACGATCACTTCGGCCAGCGGCATTAGACACGTATTGCAATGGAGTGGCGGCAAGATTGAGTGTCCTTGTGGCAAACAGTTTGCATATACGCACATGAACGACAGGCATGCGCTTGTGTGCAGTGTGCTTAACGCTACAGATACCAACGCTTATCCCGACACCGCCGGCGATTTCAGCATAATTGTGGGTATTGGTTACATTGATGAAATGCTAATGATTGCATATCAGCAATTGAATACTAATCACGTTTTTGTTTTTTGTTTTTGTATAGTCATCTCCGTCAGAGTCGGCATTGGCTGCGTTAAACTTGATGGTTGAACGCGAAAGTGGCCTTATTATTTGTCAGACCTGCTGCTATATGGTAGCCCTGGTGGCATTTACAAGCACCTTTACAAATGCCAGATAAAACATGGACACCTGCATCATGTCGAGTACAGTCAGCGGGCAGTCAGGGAGGCGTGTCGTTATCTGCTGTCAAAAAACTCGGGAGCCATGTCAGATGATGAGCTTCAGTCCTGGTATAAGGATCGTTTGCTACGGTTGGATTTGCCAATTCCAGGAATTAGTGCCATTGACCAGGCGTTTTGGTGCGAGCACTGTAACTATGCTGTTTGCGATAGAAGTAGCATGCGGAAGCATTATAAAAGTGCGCACAATGCAGTGTGGGTGTCGGCAGGAGCGGCCATTGGTCCTGTTCAGCAGTTGTCTGGTAGTGGTAACTCCCAGTTTAGTAGCTACATTCGGGTTTTGCATACATAATTCGCAAGCATGGATGTCTTTATTACTCTACAGATGCTACTCTGGATACAATCACCCCTTTTTAAATATTTGGCTGCATAAATTCTCCAGCATATGGTTTCTATATTTTATTTTTGTTTTGGATATCCAAAACCGCACCGAGCGCAGTTGTGCCAATTCCAGATTGCGCAAGCCTATTCGAAACATGCAGCGGACGTCATTCAAAAAAGTATATATACTTGATGATCAACTGATCCAGTGATCACATTTGTTTATCGGCCTGATGCTCCCCTCCCCCCACAGTATTTTTTCTCACTTTGAGCTGGAGTTGTGATATATACACAGATCGCGCTTAGGAAGCTCTTTTCTTTTTCTATTGTTACTTTATTATTCAATTCACATTTATTTCTTACAATGCTTCATTTGCTCGGTGTCAACCTTCCCGACCAAAAAGTGGTCTCCGTTGCGCTTACATACTTTTATGGCATTGGACCACTAACGGCACGCCAAATCTGCTCCAAGCTCTCCTTCCACAAGGAATGCAAGCTCAGCGAACTAACTGAAGGCCAACTCAATCAGCTCTCCGGTGTCCTGTCCGAGATGACGATCGAGAATGATCTGAAGCGCCAGGTTACGGCCAATGTACAGCATTTGCGTCAAATTGGTACGTACATTGGAAAGCGTCATGCCATGGGGTTGCCTGTGCATGGTCAGAATACTAGGAATAATGCGCGGACGGCAAAGAAACTTAATGGAAAGATGCTGCGCAAGTATTCGACCGCTGCGACGACGGCTTTTGGGATGCTTCAGTCGCCGATTTCGAAGCGCATTTGACTAAAAAGGATATAAGTGAAGAAGAGAGCCGGAGGGATGGGTTTTTGTGTATAGAGCAGAAAATAGACAAGGGGTCTGGTGGACAAAGTGTTGAAGTATGAACAGCTTTTTTATATATATTTTCGAATTAGTTTTTCTTAGTCGTCAATTGCAAATAAAAAAGGTTGAAATAAGCGCACGATTTTCATGTGGAAAATGCCAACATTAAAGGCAGGGAAAAAATCCAAACACTTCACGATCATAATTCTGTATTAATTCTTTTTTTGCCAGTTCTGTTTCAGTTCTTTTTTCTTTTTTCCATCCAATATTTTCTCTCTATTTTTTTATTGCGGGCTATTTGTTGGTTTTCAATTCTACATTTGCATTCAGTAGTGGTATATTATCTTTCCTTTCTTTATTTTTCTCCCTCTCTCTCCCTTTCTCTGTTCAATGTCAAGCACGACCTCAGAAGTGGTACCAACAGTCGACGCCTCGGCGGCCGCACGCGCCGAGCAGCTCAAAATGGAAGCCAACGCGCTTTACGCGCACAAGCACTACCACGAAGCAATCGAAAAGTACACTCAGGCGATTCAGGCCAACCCCTCAGTCGCAGCATTCTACACCAACCGGGCGCAATGCCACCTGTTCACCGAAGCCTACGGCGCAGCCAAGGAAGACGCCGAAAAGGCGATTTCCCTAGACGCGAAATTCACCAAGGGGTACTTCCGCAAGGCCGCAGCATGCATGGCCATGGGCGACCTCAAGGAGGCCCGGGCAAATTTCCGACAAGTTGCGGTTATGGCGCCTGGGGACGCGGTTGCACGCAGGAAATACTCGGAGTGTGATAAGCTGTATCGGCGCATTCTGTTTGAGAGCGCCATTGACTCGGAAGCGGACCGGAAGCGCGTGGCGGAGAGCATTGATCTGAGCAAGTACCCGGTGGCCGAGGACTACGATGGGCCGCGGATGCCTGTGCGCAAGGTTATGGTGTCCAAGGATGCGGAGGAGGAGGAGGGGCGGGGAGCCGCAGATGGTCGAGGTTGACGAGGAGTACGTTGATCTGGAGTTTGTTAAGGGAGTCGCCGAATGGTTCCGTGAACAAAAGTCGCTGCCGCTGCGGTACATGTACGTGATCCTCGTGCAGGCCGAGTCGCTCCTGCGGAAGCTGCCCACGCTGGTGGATGTCGCAGTGCCGTCGGACGCCATTATGACAGTGTGCGGAGATGTCCACGGGCAGTACTACGATGTGTGAATATCTTTGAGCTTAATGGGTTCCCGTCGCCTCAGCTCCAGTACCTGTTTAACGGCGATTTGTCGATCGCGGGTCGTTCTCCGTCGAGGTCATTATGCTGTTCTTCGCGCTCAAGCTGCTTTACCCTGATGCGTTCTTCCTGAACCGCGGCAACCACGAGTCCATCGGCATGAACCAGCTGTATGGGTTTGAGGGCGAGGTCCGGCATAAGTACCCGACGCAGGGCAAGCGCCTGTTTGATTTGTTCCAGGAGACCTTCGAGGCTCTGCCGATTGCGCACTTGATCCAGGGCAAGATCTTTGTTGTTCACGGCGGGCTTTACTCGCGCGAGACGGCCAAGAACTCGGGGCTGCCTGATGGCGACGGTGTTGTTCGGCTGGATGAGTTGCGTGAGCTGCCGAGGTTCCACCAGCCGCAGCACACTAAGCTGCTGAATGAGTCGCTGTGGTCCGATCCTCAGGATCAGGAGGGCAGGGCGCCCAGTCCTAGGGGCACGGCCATCCAGTATGGCCCCGATGTCACAAAGGAGTTCTGTGCGACGAATGGCCTTACGATGGTCATTCGCAGTCACCAGCAGATGGACGAAGGGTACGAGATTGCGCACGATGGCCAGATGGTCACTGTGTTCTCGGCGCCCAACTACTGCGACTCGGGAACCAACAAGGGCGCATACATCCGGATCACCCCCGAGCTCGAGTGTACTTATCACAAATTCTCTGCTGTGCCGCACCCGCCGTCAAGGCCATGGCGTACGCTAATGCCAGAACGCTCATGTACTAGAGGTGGCTCTTTTCGTTATATATCAGATTTCGTGCATTTTCAATGTAACAGCAAATAAATATAAAAATCCCTCAAGTATATATAAAAATTACTTCTTCTTGCCATCCTTCTTGCGGATAGTCTCGTCGTTGATAAAAATACCCTTCTGGTTATACGGCTCGGGCTTCTTCCACTCGCGGACCTTTGCAGCAAACAGCTTGACTTGCTGCAGATCCGACCCGCTGATAAGCACACGCGTAGGCACCGGCACCGTAACCTTGAGTCCCTCGGGAATCTCCATGCTAATTGGGTGACTGTACCCGAGCCTCAACGCCAGCCTCCCGCCCTCCAAAGCAGCCCTATAACCGACACCGACAAACCTCAAAGTAGCGCTAAACCCCTCAGTCACACCTGTAACACAATTGTTAATCAGCGCCCGAGTCGTGCCCCACATCTGCCTCTGCCTCTTCAACTCGCTGTTCTCCACGCTAATAAGCAGCTCGGTGTCGCCACCGACATCTTGGATTTTACGAAATCAAGCTTGACGTAGGGCTCAATGGGCATTGTGCGGGTGCCCAGGGGTCCAGTCACCTGGAGCGTGGTCTTTCGAAGAAGCGCGAGTCAGTGGTGCTGAAGGCTGTGGGGATGTGCTGGATTTTCACTTCGCTTGTGTATTTGATCGGGGAGCTGCCGATGTGGGACTGCACGAGACGCGAGGTGCTGAGCGCGCGCGCGCATGACCGGGCAGACTGCGAAGCGACAAACCGCTGACTGATTGGAATCATTCTTGATTGGAAAAAACAAGTTGGAATTTTGTCTGTAAGATAGAAAAGAGTATATTTCAAACGAATTGAAAAAGAAATAAACTCCAACTGCCATCACAACCATGTAAAGATATTTTTATCAATGATTGCAGATCAACTAATCAGAAAGCGAGTAAAATCTCGACTTGACTTGATTTCTGACTTTTCTTGGCCGCTGATTTTTCCAGGCACATACCACACACACACACGCAATAAAAATCTAAAAAAACATGACGCTTTTTTATTGGTCAAATACCAGTGAATGTTCCCTATTTTCTGTTTAGCAGCCTTTTCTCGAGCTTTTCTTTTTTGGGTGGGGAAAGGAGGGAGAAAAGAAAAACAAAGGCAGAAAATGCAGCTACAAAAGCAAGTACAGCTATTTCTGTCGCCTCTTTTTTTCTTCTTTTCATTGCTTTTTTTTCTATACAGCTTTATATACTAATTTTAATATTTTTACATAGCAATGGACAAGGACTTGCAGGATACCCACCACAGAGCGCCCTCGGACCTGATGGCGAGCGTGGCTTCAACGGTGGCTACCAGCCGCAACAAGGCCAATACGGTGGGCCACCAGGTCACCACTACAGCGGACCTCCGGGTCAACAATACAGCGGACCTCCGGGTCAACAATACAGCGGACAACCTGACCAGTACGGTCCCCCTCACGGACAGCAGGGCCACTATATGCCTCCCCCTCCTCCTCCCAACAACTACAATATCAGGGTGCTCAGCCTTCTCATATCGTCTACGTCAACCAGCCAAAGGAAGAGGGCTGCTGCGATGGATGCTGCGGTGGATGCTGCAAGTCGCTGCTTGCTTGCTGTGCCATCTGCGCCATCTGCGACTGCCTCTGCTAACTAAACTCAGTGCTGAGCGAAAGCTATAAGGAATGGTTGTAACATTTTGTCTGCATTACCCGTGAAAGCCACACTTTTTCCGATCAAAAATCTTTTGCTCGTAATTTTTTGGTTGCTTTTTGGCAGACTTGTTTGGCCTTTCCTCATCTTTTTTCTTGTTTCTTGTCGCTCATTTTTCTTCCACTGTACTGTTCTTTTTTAGTTTCTGTTTTTTTTGCAAAAACAATAACATTGAGATATTTTTATTTCCATTCCGCAAATGCACCCAGGGTGTGCGTCTATTTATAGCGTGATTGGGAATTCCACATCAAATGCGGAGTAATAAAAAAATAAAATACTGGCTCACAGTTACTCAATGGTTACATAAACGACCCTCCCTTGCTCGGCGCATACTTGTCGGTCAAAAAGCCCATGGTATTGAGTAGCTCGCGCTGCTTGCGCTCATCGACCTTGCCGGCGCTCAGGTCGCGAGACCGGTCGAATCTCTGCGCTTCCACGTATCGCCTTCCTCGTCATTCTCCTCGTCCCCGCCCCTATGCCTGTCTCTCTTCTCGCCCCTATGCCGTCCTTCTTCCGATCGCCATCGCGGCCCTTCCCCCTCCTCTTCTTTGGATCCCTTTCCCTGTCTTCATCCTTCGCAAGCAGGTGCATTTCCATGAGGCTCTTGGGCCTCTGTGTCCGATTATACTCCTCCACCCACCTTCCCTTCTCCTCATCCTCTATCCTCTTCTTGCGCATCCCCGGTGTCTCCTCCTCCACCTCCGTCTCCCTGCACTTCCCGCTCCGCCCCTTGCCTTTCTTCCGCGCCCTGCGTTCCTCGGGCGTCTCCGTCCAGCTTTTATCGAACAGTGGTGCCACCATGCTTCCCTTTTTGCCTGCCTTGCTTCCGCGCACCGCAGATGTACTTTCGACGGATGGTGGGAGGAGCATCCACTCTTCGCGCTTGTCTTCCTCGGGGGTTTGGTTGGCTTTGTCTTGCCGGCACATGCGTGATTCAACTGTGTCGAGGGTTTGCTGGGCGGCATCGGATTCGGTGTAGCCGGCGAGGGCGATGGACGGCCCGACGAGATCAGAGTCGCTGCCACTGTCGCTGTCACTGGTAGGATTGGCGGTGGAGGGCGCGGCAGGGCCGATGGCATGTGGTGGCATCCTGGGGCCGATGGCTTCGTGGTCAGAGGCACTGTGTCCTCCTCTTGTAGTTGTGATGCTGGGTTCTGGGTTATGCCCAGCTTCGCCGCAATGTCTGCTGGTATTTGCGGTCCGATTCCTCCGGACATTTTGTGCAGCTTGTTTTATTTTGAGTGTTGCGACGACAATGAATGCTGATATTGATGGATGGATGATAGACTGAAAAAGCCATTGATATTAAAAAATGTTGTAATTTTAATTTATACGTTTGGTGTGGAATGTTCAGCTTGTGGGGACAGCAAATTAACGCCTCACGGACAGCCCACAATTTCGACAATCCACGCCTCATGCAGATGTACTACAAAAGGGCTTTCCAGTACAGATTTGATTAGATACAGATGATGATAATAATTGAAACAATGGAAATTTAAGAAGAAAAAAACTAGTTGGCCTCGGGCACAAACTTCTTCATCTTGTTGATGGCCTGGTCATCATCAACCCTGAACTCAGTGTACGCCGGAAGCTTAGTGAAAGCTGCGGCCCACTTGTGAAACGCAGCAAACTCGTCAGTATCAGGCACAGCAAACCCGCGGTAGTGCTCGACAGCAACCAGCAGATTATAAAAGGACACAGTGTTGACTTCCGCCAACGACACCTTGTCTCCCAGCCACAGCGCGCCATCGCCCCCAATGCGCTCCCACTGCTTCACAAGCTCATCATTGACCTCCTTGAGCCCGGCCAACAACGCCGCCTTCTTCTCCTCAATCTCCTTCGCATTCGTTCCGCGCAGTGAGCCAAAGATATTGGGGATAATCCGGCTGGAGAATATCTCCACGAATAGGCGCAGTTGTGCGCGCTCGGTGGCGTCCGAGGGCAGCAGGTGGGAGTCCGGGAATTGATCGGCGGCGAATTCAGAGAGAACAAGGGACTCAATGAGGATTGTGCCGGAGGGCGTGCGCAGGGCGGGCACCTTGAGCTGCGGGTTGACAAGGTGGTACCAGTCGGGCTTGTTGGTGAGATCGATTTCGATCACTTTGTGCGGCACCTGTGCTATGTAAAAGCACGCAGGGCGCGCTGCGCAAAGGGGCAGTTGGCGTTGGAGTAGAGCGTGTAGATGTTTTCCTCATAGGGGTAGGCGAGCGAAGACATTGTTAATTTGAAAGTTGTAAATGTTGTTAGTTAAAGATGAAAATGTTTTGAAGAAAAAATGGGCCTGGAAAAAATGTCGACGGTTTTCTTGTGCTACTTTTATACTGCTCGTTCTTTGTGGTTAGGGATTTGTCATAATCGGAGTAAAAAATTCCGACATAATTTTTGATGCGAATGATGCAATCAAAGCTGCTTTTTAATCCATACGCGTCATGGACCCCTTGTGTTTTTCTTTTTTATTTCGCTATGGATGACAAATTCAAAATCCAGTGTGATTTTAATCTGAAACTCCTAATAATCTGCCTAATACGTTAATCGAGTAGGCCATGCAAAATAAAAAATATAATTCAACTTCATGGTACAGTTTTTTTTGGGGGAGGGGGGTGTATTGATAACTGCGCGTCATGTGGTAACCAATGTCGCGAAGAATGCATTTGTAAGTGAAAAATTAATCATAAAATATTGTTCGCGTTTTCTTTCTTTTTTTGTTTCTTTGTTTTTTACAACCCTAAATATTTCTTACATCTCTATTTTTTTGCCGTCTGACAAAAACCCATACACAGCAGTGTACTTTAATCATAGATATTCCACCCAGGGGATAATATACACGCAGCTAATATCGACCATGATATTGTCAGCCATACAAATATTCACTCACCTCTCAATTCACCTATATCACACGAAAATGAATTGGATACAAAGGTACGCCTCAGACACAGCCATTTGGCCCAGGTTTTTCCTTCGATGATTCGGCCCTCCTCTCCCCGCATACACGCACGAATATATCAATCTTGTTTAGGATCAGTGCTCCCAATGTGGATTCTGTGCCAATTAGAACAGTCAAACGATGCTCAATTAGGCAACAACTACCTTTTAAATCCATTTTTGGTGCGTCAGTTCGGAGCGTTAATCCCAAACAAATTACCAACACTCTCCACCAATCCTCCTTTTTCCGTTTGGAATTTCTGTTGTAGTCTAAGCAGACGGTCGCACAATTTCGCACCAGTCTCTCAAACTGAGCCTTCATCCCCAAATGTAAAGTGCAGCAAAAAGTCAAAAAAAATATTGGACACATAAAAAACCCGACCTAGTGTTTGTTTATCTCTCTATTTTTATCCCCTTCAATTTAATTAATAACTCTTTTATACCCACCATATTAATACTCTCTAGGACACCCACCAATAACAACCCCAATTGACATGGCAGCGAGACCACCACGGTTTGTATTCTTCGTAGTGTTCTGCATCACCATCGGTGGGCTGCTCTTTGGCTACGACACGGGCGTGATCTCCGGAGCCCTCGTGGTGCTCAAAGACGAGTGGAACCTGAGCAGTACGCAGCAAGAGTTTATTGTCGGCGGCACAACACTCGGCGCCATTGTCGGCGGCCTTTCTCCGGGTTCTTCGCCGACCGCTGGGGTCGCAAAACCATCACCTTTCTCTCCTCTCTCGTGTTATCCTCGGGGCCCTCATCATGGCCTTTTCCAGGAGCTACTCTGTTCTGATCGGCGGCCGCGTTGTCGTCGGGCTCGCTGTCGGCGCCGCCTCCATGGTCGTGCCAATATACATTGGCGAACTAGCCCCGAAGGAGTTCCGCGGCCGCCTAGTCACTCTTAATGTTTTGGCTATTACCGGCGGCCAACTGATAGCGTATCTTCTGGCATGGGCATTGACTGATGTGCATAACGGGTGGCGGTGGATGTTTGGAATTTCGGCATTCCCCGCAGCCGTCCAACTCTGCTGCTTCCATGGCTACCTGAGTCACCCCGTGTACTTATTCGCCGTGGGAAGGAGGACCAGGCGCAAACCATTTTGCAGCGGATTTACGGCAAGAACGTCTCCGAGAGTATAGTCGATGATGAGCTCGAGAGTATGCGGCAGTCGATGCGCACAGAGAACGCCACCCGCTATATCGACCTCCTGCGCGCAACCAACCTGAAACCACTGATAGTCGCATGTGTTCTGCAGTTGATGCAGCAGTTTAGCGGGTTCAATACGGCAATGTACTACTCGGCGACGATCCTGAAAATGGCCGGGTTCGGGAGCACCAAAAGTGCGACGCAGTTCTCTATTGCGATTGCTGCCACCAATATGATCATGACCATTGTGGCGATCACCATTATTGATCGCTTTGGTAGGCGCAAGCTGCTGCTCATATCTTTTGTCGGTATGATTATTGGCTTGATACTCCTGGGTATTGCGTTTATTTTTATCGTCGGGCTGGTCAAGATTACGAAGGATTCATGTATAGAGTATGTTAAGTGCGGCGCCTGCACACTGGACGACAAGTGCGGGTGGTCGCCGGGATCCCTCATGTGTACAACTAAGGGCGATAGTGCGTTTGGGGATTTGACGGACATGTGCGAGTCCATTACGTCTCGGGATAAGGCCGGCACATGGCTGGCGCTTGCCTCTCTGATTTTCTACGTCGCCCTCTACGCCGTCGGTCTCGGCAACGTCCCATGGCTCGTGCAGTCCGAGATTTTTGCTCAGGGAATCCGCAGTAAAGCGGGTAGTTTGGCGACGGCGACTAATTGGGTGAGTAACTTTATTATTTCCGTCACTTTTCTCACTATGACTTTGCACATTACGGCGTCGGGCACCTTTTGGCTCTATGCCGGTATTCTGCTTATTGGCCTGGTGTTTGTCTTCTTGGTCGTGCCAGAGACTAAGGGGCTTAAGCTGGAGGATGTGCAGAAGTTGTTTGCTGGTAATCAGCGCCCGTATCGCAGACAGGGGGGCTGATTCGGCGAATAAAGATGTTGCGGTGGGTGAGGGGGAGGAAGTTGCAGCGAGGAGGATGTTGATGTGGCCAAGGCCATTGTGGGCGGCATGTCATCGAGTGCTGCTGCTGGTAATTCTGAGAGCTCATCAGCTAGTACTGGTTACTTGGCCAATTTGCACAAGACCACCGTGGCAAACAAGACTGATTCTCGCAGGCATTGAAAATTTTAAAAAAAACCTGTTATTTCATTTTTCTAATCTTTTTCAAGAATATATCGTATGATATAATCAAATTACATTGTGAAAGTGTGATTTTTTTTGTGCAATCGATTGCCAATTAAAAATAAAGAGAGAAATATTTTTATTGTATTTTTCCTCCATCCTCTACCCCAACCAAGGTGAGAATATTTTGCGTTATTATTATTGTCTCGCGCTAAATCTTTGCAGTCTTTTTTATCGCTCAGTGAAAGGAAGAGAGGGGGAAATGATTTTGATAACAGTCCTGGGATTTTTAGAGGTCTATACGGTCTAGACAAAATCTACAAAGGCAAATGTGGTATTTCAATAAAGAACAAGAAAAATAGATATATATTTAAAACAATGGGGGAAAAAGAGTATACTCTGTGTTATCTATCATAAACAAAACAAGAGCGACACATTTTACTTGCACGAGTCCTTCAGGTAAGCGATAACATCGTTACGATCCTTCTCCTTCTTGAAGCCGGCAAAGGCCATCTTGGTTCCAGGAATGTACTTCTTGGGGTTCTCCAGGTAATCGAAAAGAGTCTGCTCATCCCAAACAACACCCTTCTTCTGGTTAGCCTCAGTGTACTGGAAACCCTCGACCTGCCCTGACTGACGACCGAAAAGTCCATGAAGCTTGGGTCCAACCTTGTTGGAACCGGCCTCATCAACAGTGTGGCACTGTGCGCAACGTGTCTTGAAGAGCTTGGCTCCGGCCGCAGCGTTTCCTGAAGTATAAGGCATTTTTTTTGAATTTTATAAAGGTAAGAAAAAAAAGGTTTTTTAAAAAATATGTACGTAAGGAAAAGAAGAAAAAAGAGATAAGATGGGTTTGTGTACGGGTTGTTTATAGGGGGGCCAGTGGCGCGATCTCAATGCAATCGTGCATTCTGGGCTTTACAAGCTGATTACGACTCTGCACCCTTGTGCTTACGGCGATACGCATAAAAAAGGCGTGAAAATGACAAGAGCCAATCGTCAATCGGGGTTTCGTCAAGCCGGTGGGGTTGGGTTAACTAATAAAAAAACAGCGACAGCGGTAAATTTCTTGTTTTGTTTCATTCCAACCCGGAATTCCTCTGGCAATGTAAAAGAAAAATAATTTCGATGTGATTTTGTGATGGATATAAAAAAATTGAGATTGAGATTACAATACGAAAAATCATTGGCTCTTCAGTCCACACGGGCCTTGCGGTACTTTGCGGGAGTGTCCGGAAGCAGCTCCCACTCACGCGAGCACTTGCCCCACCCAGCAGCCGTAATAGTCCTGTCCTTGTCATTCGGATCGCACGTGCACCTATTCTTAACCCACGCGTCACCGCTCGGACAATGCTGCCACCCAGGATGCAAGTACCCAATATCATTAAACCAGTGCACCTCCTCCTTCTGCAAGAACAGAGCAGCAGCAATTGAGTGCACCGGCGCATCGCCCCAGCGCTCATAAAAGAAGCCGCCCTCCTTGTCCAAAAAGTCAAAGAACTTGGTATACGCCTCGCTGCGGTAAAACGACAAATCGGCGATTTCAAAGTTGGACCAGAAATGGCACCCGTTGTACGACGTGCCGTTGTCTCGGGACACCCACCAGAGGGAGTTATGCGCAGGAATCAGATCCGGGTTATGCGCTATGAACTTCTTAACAGACTCCCACAGTGTTGGCACAGTGTCCATCAGCTCGTAGATCCCGATAGTCCACCCGTACCGGATCTTGCGCTCCTTCATGTACAGGAACGGGTCATACGTGATATCCACAGGTACTTGATTCCAGGCTCCAGCCGCCAATAGTAGTCAAACTGCTGCATAAGCTCGTGCTTAAAGAACAGCCCGGACTCGAAGCGGCACATATGCCTATAGCTCTCGCTCCCGCCATACATAACCTTATTGGCCACCATCTCCTTGCGCTTCTCCTTCGCCTTGTCCTGGTCAATCCACTCGGGTACGACCAATGCTCCTTGGGAATCTGCCCATAGTGGACGTCTGCATTGGTCATCGACCGGGTCATGTTCTTAAACTCTTCAGAGAACGGCTCGTCATTGAGGAACACGTACGGGTAGTTGAACTGGTGGTTGAACCGGTCCTCCATTTGCTTCATGGACTCGCGCAGGGAGCGCCAGTCCTGGTTGCGAGCGAGCACGGCAAAACACCCGTTGACCGGCTTGGGCGCCCCCGGCTCGTAGCTTACTTGCCGCCGGTATGGCTCGAGCTTCTTGCTGCTGATAAAGTCGCTGGCTGCGTCGTAGTTTACGTGTATCAGCCCGTAAAGTCCGACCAGCGTCAGTGCTAGGAGCAGGAATCGAAAAAGCGGGCTCCGAAAACTAATCATTATTAGGGTGAAAATACAATAATAATAATAAGACGAAAATAATAAAAGAAAAGGTGTGAGGGGTGTCTTGTGGTTAACCGGGGTAGTGCACCCCTTTTCGTCGAGTTTTTTTTCTTTTTCCAAAAATGGAATGCAAAAAAGGGTAATAAGGGTGAATAATCAAAGTGTATTGTGAAGCGACAAGCGAATATGCTTAAACCGCCTCTACTTCCGAATGTATGTGCGTGCCGTGCGTACGCAAGGCGGAAAGCAAGCTTTTCCCCTCTCGAATACAAACAAGAACAAAAATAATAGAAAAACAAAAAAAACAATACCGCTAATAAAAAGAGAGAAAACAATAAATGTTGAGGCTGCACTTGTCCATCTTGTTTTTTTCTACTTGTTTTTTGAAAGACGCCTTTCAGAAAGAAAAATCGAAAGGCACAAAACTCGCTGCAACACGTTCGCAGTTTAATGAAAGCGAATGCAGCCGGAACGCAGAGAATGCGTGCCAAGTTTAGGATTTGGGGACCACAGGAATAATGGACCAAAAAATCAGCTCGCCTTGATGCCCAACACACAAAGCGACAACAGATTGTTTTATTACATTTTATTTTCCGCTGAGCGCGTACCAAAGCCTGCGCCAGCCCACCACTGCCGATACCTCGCCAGCGCCCTTTTGCCTGTACATGCGGATCTTGCGCTGCCTGCGGTGCATGCTCGCAATATTGGCCATGCGCAGAGTCTCAGGCTTGCGCTCAAAGAAGTTCACATAAATGGCATACAGCAGCGTGGCTACTGCAGCCCAGACCAATATCCCCATCACAGTAAACCCAAAGTCCTCATTGTCGTTGAGATCCGGCTGCAGCTTTCCAGGCGTAGTAATGCCATTGAGATTGTCCAGATTGTACCACAGCTCAATAGGCAAGAACACCAGCTCAACCGTGACCAGCGTGCGGAAGTACTTGTGGATATCCTTTTGCGTCGACAGGAGCCGCAGCCGCTGGCGATCCAGAAGAATCGTGTGCAGCCGCGAGAGCCGCTGCTCAGCCTTTTTGTACTGCACGCGCGTCGTATGCGATACAAACAGTTGGTTTTGTAGAACGCCCAGCCGCTGCACTGGGTTGTGCCCTGCGATATCACGCATTGTCATTTTGCGCCCGAACGGCAGCAGCGCCCTGTCGCTTAGGGCGTCGGCCTTGGAATGTGACGGCGAAAAGACTAGGTTGGCAGTGCTGCACAGCTGGCTTAGCACCATTTCGTTGACTTGGCAGCGCCGCAGGAGTGCTAGCGCAGCCTTGCGGCAGCGCGCGATAACCGGCGTCCAGGTGGCTGCTTCGACCGAGGGGTTCTGCACGGGGCGCGTCAGATCGTGGTCCAGTTTGTCAGTGTAGCCCTTGACCACCTGCAGGCACTCTTGCACCTTGTATATCCAGTGGTCGACCAGGCCCTCGACAATGGCCAGCGGGGCGACCTTCAGCAGGCGGGGATCTTGCACCGCCAGCTCACGCATAACCCGGGTCACCGCCACCGACTCTGCCCTGTGGAATGTCAATACAACTGGCCCGCACGTCCACACTTGCACGATCTGGTACCGATCAAGTCGCGTGCCTCTCTGGTGAGCTGCTCAGCAACACAGTTGGCCCTTTGGGTGCACTCTGCCTGCTGTCTGCCGAGTTCAGCACCTCCTGCCACCATGCTCATGCCCTGGCCCCCAGCGCTTCAGCACGGCGTGCGTTCGCTCCTTGTTGACCACCGTCGGTTTCGAAAACATGCCGAGCAGCTGCTTCATGCGCTGCTGTCGCATGGAGTCTATGCCTGCTGGGTTCATGATGGGCTCGCCAGCCTTTGTTTTCTTCGGCCGCTTCCTAAGGTCCAAGCGGCTGAGCACCTGGGTTGCACTGGGCTGGAGCCAAGGAGGTACTGGAAAATACCCACCGGTCCAGCTCTGCTGCTGCTGCTGCTGCCGCTGCCGTCCACTCGCACCTGAAGCCGAAATGTCACCTACTATCGTTGTCGCCGCCGTCGAGCCATCGGCAACCAGCACATCGCCAGCTTCAAAGGAACCATCTGCAGGATTGATAGTCCCGTGTGAGAAATAATGCGCAGCACTTCCCTTGCTGGCCGTCGTCTCGGCCCAGCACAGGTACAACGACATGTCCGCTGCCTTGCACTCCGGATCCACCGCTCGATCGCCAATATTATGCGAAAGACGGAGTGCGCTAGCAGAATCAATGTTGAATATGCTTGCCAGAGCGTCAATGTCACCCTGCGAGGGCGAGTGTATATCCAGCCATATTGTGCCGGGTTGGCGGCCAGGTCCAGCGGATTTCTGCTTGTTAGGTGCGTCCCACCCTGAAATTGCCCTTTCGACGAGCTGCCTGAAACTTGAGTTGTTTATTTGGAGCGATGTGATGGTATCTGCCGTGGCGGCGCCGTACCCAGGAACACACACGGTGTACTTGCTCATGGAGGCTGGGAAAATATAAATATATCTGTCTGGGTTTTTTTGCTGTTGGTAATACTGGTCGTGGCTAATGTTGTGTTATGCTGGCCCCTTCATCGCGAGCGTGGTAGAATGGGGGAGGGAAGAGAAAATGTGCAATTTATAAACAAAAATAATGCAAAATTGTTGGTTGAATGCGCAAAACAGAAAGAGAACAGTGTTACAAAATATTAAAGTGCAGACTGCAAATCATAAAGAAAAATGGCAATAAAAACAGATGCTCGTCACATGTCGTTTTGCTCGTCGATCAGAACAGATCACCAAATCATCATGTTTTGGTTCAAAATTTCAATACATATAATATTGGCAAGAAATATTCCTCATACATGTTATGTTGAGAGCAAAGTGATACATAAATTCAAGCCAAAAATGAAACATTTTAAGGATATTTTTTGGGAAAATGTGGCCCTTGGCTCTGATGACCTTCTTGATGTGATCATACATTGAATGGGCGCACTCTCTGAGTCTCTTTCGAAATGTTATTCCAAAAATTATGCGCCATATTGAGCAGTTTGCCGTTAGTGAGCAAATGATCATTGACAGCATATCTCAACTCACATTTCATCTGTGAGCAAAGGTCATGAATGGGGCTGAAATCCGATGACACAGACGGCCGATCAAATACTTTGGTATTACGATCGTGGAGCCGATATTTGACATCATTTCTGGTGTGTGCAGGGTTATTGGCGTGCTAAAATATCGGCTTGGCCCCGCTCGGAATATGCATACAGTCAGGTGCTGGTTGCAGATGCTCATTCAACAAATCCTTATAGTAGTGTGATTCAATCGCTTCTTCAGACGCACCAGAGGAACCCTGCCGTGAGCGCTGAATGCGGCCCACATAATAACCGAGTGATAATCCTTGTCTGAAAATATCTCCACTCCGGTCAGATCCTGATTAATTCCTGGACCCACCCAAAAATATTGTGGTGTGTTGGGGTTGTTGACCTCAATGATGATCTCGCATGTCCACAGGACGTTGTCCCAGTCTGATTCTGTCCAATCTTTGTGTGCCTTTGCTCAGTTCAAACGGTTCTTCTTGTTGAGCCGCTTGCGCTTTTGAACCGGTTTTCTGACCTTGCTATGCAAAGCGGTTTTGCCACGACAACCTTCACGAGGCACTAAGATGTAATTTCCGTATCTGTGCTCCGAGGGAGATGTCCCACTAGCACTAGCAGTATCTTTCAATCTGTGAGTGCTAATCATAATGTAGAAAATTTTAGATATATTGTTTTGAGAAAAAAACATTGGAAAATAAAAAATAAAAAAAACATTTGTAATGTAATAATATTTTAGAAAAAAAGCGTCGCACAATGGAGGTTATATGCACAAATTATACACATAGCTTCATAAAATCATAGTCAATTTTTACCTTGTGTTGGCTCGGTATACTCGCTCAGCTAAAGAAAACCCGTGCAATTACATGTGTATCTTTACCCTACCATGCTAATTAAAGCCGTGTATAATCTTGTAAAATCTAAATTTAGTTATGAGAAATTCATGCAACCAATAACCCACATGGCGACTGGTATGCATCTGTCGCAAAGCAAATCTGTCCGTTAATTCGCTAAAAATATGAGCCATTAAATCGATTATAACGGAGCCCAGGAAGTGTGGGGAAAATGCATATATCCCTGAAATTATCTTGTCGATTAGTGGATAAATAATAAAGGCGGGCCAGAAGTGCGCTGGAGAATAGATGTCACTAATAAAAATATAATGTTTATATTTTTTATATTTTTGGTCTTTGTTTTTATTCTGTAGAGTTATTTTCCACCCCTGCACGCATTCCCAGCTTATCTTCTTTTTCTTCTGCGCAACTTTGAGAATTTGATATTTGTTACTTATAATTCTTAAAATGACTGCCTAAACATAATGCAAATATTGGATATCATTTTTTGATTAGATCTTTTTATTTGGAGGGAAAGAAGCCACTGGAAATTCCTCAAATTTTACATTGGCATTACGGCACAGACGCACCTTCTATATCAACTGTTAGAAAGTGGATTAACGGGTTTAGTCGCGGACACATGGATATTAAATATGGGCCTCAAAGCGGCTGTTCAAAATCCAAAATCGCACGCCTTCATGGCGCCGCTATTCGCAAAACAATCAAAAAACACTCACACAGAAGAGCTCAAGATTTAGCTGACAAGTACAAATGCTTGGTGACAACAATAAGAAGGGTTTTGCGTCAACTGAGCCGTAAAAATAATTTTAGGGGAAATACATACAAAAAATTGTTTTTTATTAATATAATAAACCAGCCCACGCATCAATGTATACATTGGTTGATAAAAAAAATTAAAAATCAATATTTTTACCACATGTACATTCGCCAAATTTTGCTTCTTGTGACTTTTGACTTTTCCTGTGAGTCAAGAAAAGTTTTGAATGTGGCGATTTAAAGAACATTCGAGCTGTAAAAAGTAAATAGAGGCTTGAACTCGATTCCCTAAAACGCAAAAATATATTTAATTGTTGTTTTCTCCTATATTTTCAAAAGTCCACTTGATTGATAATGCCAAAAATGGACAACCGCCACCAAATCAACAAATAATAATGTGAAAATTGTATGATATACGCCAGCTAATCGTATCACAATTATTTAAAAATATTTGTTTAGTACAAACTATTATTTGGACATATTTTTATTGTCATATATATTCAAGCATCATGAGGCTCAGGCAGTTGTCAATGGATTTTGTCAATGTAATGTGTCACCAGTACCATAATTAGCAAGCCATGTTTTAAAAGCCGGATTTGGGGTTAAGACCCAATTATAGCAATGCCAAGGTCCTTCAGGATCCTGTCTTTTTATTCCAACCATTTTTAGTTACATTTGCAACAATTTTAATTATAAATTACATAGTAGTATTCCTTTGTATTACAACACTTAACATTCCACAATATTTTTTGCATGGGCGAAATAACAGTTTTTACAAAACAGGTACAGGTTCTGCCGGCCTTGGTAGGGGTTTCATTTTTGCACTCGGAATTTGCTCATTGCTTGTCAAAGAGCGGCTATACATTTCCGCGACGCTATTGGCTATGCTCTATGGAATTGCTATAGGCCCATTAGCTCTCAACTGGATTGACCCTCAAATTGGTCTTCAAACCAGATGCAGTTCATCCAAGAATACAGCCGTTACTGCCTGGCCATCGAGCTCATGATTGCTGGTATTACCCTACCCAAGAAATACCTGTCAGGAGTGGCAATCTATGGTTATGCTTTTGTTCCGGTAATGACCTTGATGTGGCTGGTATCTGCGGCTATCATTAAATTCACTTTCGGCCTGCCCTTTCTCCAGGCGCTGGCAATTGGCGCATGTGTGGCGCCCACAGATCCGGTGCTTGCCAATGCCATTCTCAAGGGAATGTTTGCCGAGACTCATGTCCCACTGCGCCTGCGCAATATTCTGACTGCTGAGAGTGGTGCAAACGACGGGCTCGGCTATCCGTTCTTGTTTCTTGCGCTGTTCCTGATGCGTCTCGGTGGCGGCAATGCCATTGGAGCATGGTTCTACGTGACCTGGGTGTACCAAGTTGTGCTGTCTGTTGTGATAGGCGGGTTGCTGGGTATGTAGGGCGAAAGGTACTTAAATACGCAAAAAATACTGGCTGGATCGAGCACGAATTGTTTCTGCTGTCAGCTATATCATTGGCCCTGATGCTTGTTGGATTGTGCACCATCCTCGGCACCGACGATATTCTGTGTTGCTTTGTGGCTGGCAACTCATTTACTTGGGATGACTGGTATCGTATTGAGAGTGAGGATACCTTGCTGCAACAGACAATCAACGATATCCTGTCCATGACCTTTTTCATGTATTTTGGTGCTACCATTCCATGGGCTGAATATATAGCGCTAATTTCCTGAGCCCATGGAGGATATCCATTGCCGTTGTACTCATCATTATCCTTCGCCGTCTTCCAGCTATCGTGGCACTGTACAGGCTGGTTCCCGCAATAAACAACTGGAAAGAGGCGCTGTTTGCCGGCTGGTTTGGGCCCATCGGTGTGTCTGCCATATTTTACGCCACCGAGACAATCAAACAGATCAATGAGCACGACGATAGCAATGCCGGAATTGTCGCCAAAATAGTCTACCCGATTGTGTGTGCTGTGTGTTCGGGTCGGTATTGTCCACGGTATCACCATTCCAATTGTTCTGATGGGGAACCACATCAAGACCACTATCAGCTTGAACTGTTTCTATCCAAGCAGCTCATCTATATGGAACATACCTAACTGGACCAAAAGCAAATCATCGCCAGATTCAAAAAAATTAGGCGCAAACCACAGCCAAGATAAACCTGAAATGCCATCGGCCACCTACTTGGCACCGATTCACGACACTGCAGGAACTAGACGCACCAGCGGATGCCTACGCACACGCGTTGTCTGAAGCACATTCTGCCACATACAGAGCCTCAGAGAATCATGATCACTAGCAACAGAAGCGTTGACTTTGGTTGTTTGGAGCAACACATTAATTACGTATTCATATGCATATTTTTGTCACACCATATTCAAACTAATTTGAAATATGAAGCATATTATTTAAGAAAAAAGTTTAGTCCTCCAAGAGCTCAGTGAGGACAGAAGGTCGAACCCAACAAATAAAGTCCCATTGGTTCTGGGGGTATGTTAGCTATTTTAGTTTTTGTGGTTCTGCATGTGATTGGTGTCAGACTTTGGCCTGGACTGAGCTTCCCCAGGTGGTAGACAGCCTCACCTATATTTACGTTGTCCTGATAAAGGGGTTAATAAAGCAACTTGAAAATAAACAACTAGCAAATTCTATATTAATGCGCCTCGAAATTGCATCAATATCTGCTGTTGTCATTCTCTGCAAAAACAAGCTCAATCATAAACACCAACGTGGTTCACAATTGATATGGTTGGATCGGGCTTCGGCTGACGTCCCACATTGTCCTGATGCATCTGTGCGCGCTGACAGGTCTCACCCCGGGTCATTGGCCAAAGTTGCGAGTCCCCCGTGGGGTGCTCAACAGTATTTGTTTTACTCCGGCTATCTCGAGAGTCTTAGTGTGAGGATACGCATTGCCATATTCCTTCATGACTGCAGTAAATCACGGAAAATATGGAGTGGCACACAGCACGACTTTATCGATGTAATTTGGACAATCAATATGCTCAGCTCTCTTGCACGTACTTATTTTCAAAATGCCTGTATCTATGAATCGAAAGAACCTGAAGATTTGACTCAATTGGTGGCGCTGGACTTTTCAATAATTTTTAATGACCAATCATCTGGCTCTATGTAGTGCTGACACTCAAATTTGCGGATTTGCAAGACTTTGAGGTTAGGAAACTGCAAAAGTCCAGTCAAGTTTCCAATACCGACCACTAACTTTAATTGAAGCTTTGACAAACTGGATGCATCGATTCTGTTTGGATGCAAAAAAAGATGGCCACCAATATTTTGGATCAATATTTTGCTTAGCGTTGGTCTAATGTCAAACATAGTGAGGGTATTGAAAATAAAAGAATTATCTAGTATTTGTTTGTCCACTTGGGTCCAAACGCTTGGGTGACATATTTTTATATTCGTTAGTCACCATTTTCTAATACAACTTGGGTATCATGTGATGGCGGAGATCCAAATTTGTTGCGTGTCCAATCCATGTTGTTTCCAAAAAACGTTTTCAATGTTACAGGACGTGCTGCTAACAACAAGTTTTAAGCATGGGAAATTTCAAAAAAGCATCACCATCTGTGAAAAATAAAATATTATCAGCATATTTGTTGTATATTATCGGTAGCAGATTTAAACAGGTCAAAGTGTAGCTCTAAATCCGCCAGATTTGGAAACTTTGCCATGTATTTCACATTTTACTGTCAGTATTTAGCCAGATAAAGTAAACGGAACGTCCTTAAGATGCAATTTCCTGAGCGCTTCAGTATTTACGCTTGAAAGTGAAGTCGACGTATGCTTCTTAAACTAACAGACAACGTGGTCAGTGCATTCGGAAACTATGTTCAGAAACCTTAACAATATTATTGCATTTGAAGGATGAAAGCTGATACAAATATTTATCAAATAAACAATGATGGGCTGTGGTTCCCGCGCTTGTTCTGGATTTTGAATCAAGAACAGTTTAGCAATATTGGGACTTTTTCTGCAATTAGCTCTATTATTTGTTTGATTATCCCGGCTTGGCGATAATTATAATCGTTAACCATATCTTTACAATACAACGCCGTAATGTGTGACCAAGCCAAATACTGGGTTGGCAATATCTCTTGCACGCTGTTAATAAAACTAGTCATTGAAAACAATGAATCCAAGTCGATAAGGAATATCCTTGTAAACTTGAAGTTGTTTGTGATATGGGCCAGTTTAATGTTACTATATACATGAATGGGCTTTTATTGAGTTTAGGGCTTCCGGTTTGACCAACAGTAATGTATTTGAAACCAATATAGGCGGTGCGATACACAACTGACCTTGTTGCTTCTCTCCAACCGTGACAGACCGCCAAAATGGAAAGAAGTGCCTTCCAATCATCGAAACTATCCAAAAACTTGACAACGTAGGGAAGAATTATGGAAAATATATTGGACGGCAGGCGACTGGCGGCGGTGTTGGCGTTGGCGTTGGACATGGTAAACGAAAAAACATTTTTAGCTGGCAATTGATGAGTTGAGAAATATATGTATATAAATTATAAAAGGTGATGAAAATAGAATAAAAGAAAATATATATGCCAACTTTTAAATTTATCCCCTTAAAAAGAAAAAGAAGCGCATTTGATGTGCACGCCCTTTATACAATATGACCGCAGCGTGTCCTTTAAAAAATTACCTCGCCTTGATTATATAGATTTGCCTTGGCGTCAACCACCAATCTTAATACTCATAATTGAAATTTCATATTAATGTTAATCCATCCATTTTGCACACAATAAATCAAGTTTTATTGTGTTGTAACAATTCGGAATTTGGAAAGACAAGAAAAAATTTAAGAATAAAATTTTAATCTAGCAATAGGTCAACTATTAGAGTTGGTGGCAGGCTCTAGAAATATAATAGCTATATAACTAGGTGAGTTGTTCGTCTCTGCTGCCCACCCAAGCTACGTTCTCGCCCCCTATCTGGATTTTGATAAAGATTTTCTAATGCAGATTACGCTCACCAAGCGAATCATTTTATGCAGTGATTAGCCAGGGAAAAAGTTAATTTTAGTTAATTTTCTCTTGAATATTTTTGCTTCAATCTGCTACGTAACAGATGATACACTTTTCTTTGATCATTGGCGTCACTGATCCCTATCAAACGTGATTGACATCAAAGAACGTTTCAATTTTACGTCGCCTTTGTACGTTGATGTCCACAACTAGCAACACGGTCGCGTTCACTTGTCTTGAAATGGTATAAATACCAAGCTGGCAGACCAGATTCATAAAGAAAAGGTATCCAGTAGAAATTTTAATCATCTAATTAATAAACATTCAATATCATCATTTACAACAATATCAACCCTACTCCGTTTTATCAGCAACAGAGGCGGACAGCTTGCCTAATCCCCTCCAGGTCTTCCTAGTTTCGACTAGGTAGATGAACAGTAACCAATGAAGATTATCAGTCACATCTGAATCGTATTAATAGTATCCGATTGTACTAGCTGCGAACCTCATCCAAAAAACAAGCATAGCGGAAGGCTAGGCCAGGAAGTGCATATCTCTATTATTGACATATTTTGTTCTTTTTTAAAAAATTATATTTTTCTTATCCTCCCATCCCAGGCTAGCTAAAAAGAAGAATAACAATATAAAAATGTATTCTACCACTCTCCCCAAGCGTGCTCTTCTAGCATCACTAGCTACAGCGGTCCTTTTTACCCGAACGGTGATCCTACTGGCTCTTCTATACTGAAGCGCTCCACCCATATACGGTACTCACTGAAGCGGGCTTCACCGTCGATTTGGCCTCTGAGACCGGCCATTACGGTATGGACCCGCACTCCATTTCCAAGGACTTTATGAATGACTCTGACTTTGCCACTTACAATGACCCCAACAACGAGTTCTCAAAGAAACTCGCACACCTCTACAAGGCCTCTGAACTCAACCCTGAGGACTATGGTTTATTTTTCGCTTCTGCCGGCCACGCAACCCTGTTCGACTACCCGACGGCAAAGGCACTGATTGGAATTGCGGAGTCTGTTTGGGCTCGCGGCGGGGTTGTTAGCGCGGTCTGCCATGGCCCGGCTATTTTGCCTTCAATTAAGGACCGGAAAACGGGAAAGTCGGTTGTTTCTGGCAAAAGGTGACTGGGTTTACGGATGAGGGCGAGGAGATGATGGATCTAATGGGCACGATCAGGGAGTTCAAGCTTGTGCCAATCAGCCAGAGCGCGAAGGACGCCGGAGCCACTTATGTCAAGCCTAAAACCCCGTTCGAGGACTTCGCCGTCACCGATGGCGCTTGGTCACTGGCACCAACCCCGCCAGCGCGCACTCCACGGCTGTCGAGGCCGTCAAGGCATTCGCTGCTTTATAAATCATGGAAATTTTGTTGTATAATACATTTTTTACGCTCGAATAAAAATTAAAAAAGGGATTTCAGAAAATCTTGTAACGCCGAGCCCAGGCCACCGCAATGACGACGTACAGCATGCAGAGCCCAAGAATATAGAAAAAATAATCCAAATCGTCATACTCCTGCCCGGGCACCTTGACGTTGGCACCCCACATTCCCGTGACAAAGTTCAACGGCACAACAATCGCGGCCAAGGCCGACAGCTTAGCCACGACGTCGTTGGTTCTGTTCGATGACTCTGTCACTCGATCGAGATCTGCGCCAAGTAGTTAGCATGCGCGCGCCCAGAATATTATCATAATGCGCGGCATTCTGCGTCATCGTCACGATATGGTCGAGCACGTCGCCCAAGTACAGCAGCGTCTCCTGGCCCTTCCGCTGGTCCAGCGCCATCTCAATAGCAGTGCCCTCGGGCACCGCAATTATTGGTCGTTGGCTGCGGGGCTGCGTCTGCGGGGACTTTCGCTCAGATACAAGGGTCTGTCGGCTAAACTGGCAATGGCTTGGAACTGGTTAGTGCTCATTGCTGTTGCAGTCTCGAAGCGCTTGATTAGAGCTCGCACGACGTCCGCCTTGCCCTGCAGCAGACGCAGGGCCATCATTATGCGCTTGCGCGCCGTGCTGATCCTCAGCAACATGTCGGACTGCTCCGTGGACGATATCACCAGGACAAGCTCGTCAATTGCGTCTACGTCAAATTCGATGAGCTGCAGAATGGGTGCCACCAGATCAGTGATGTCGTCGATGATCGCGTAGTTGAGCCAGTCGGGAGTGACCACAATGTGGTCAATCTGGCGGCGGATCCGGCGCAACACATGGTACTGATGCACCGACGGATCCATGTGGAAGGTGATGATGCCCTCGCGCAGCACAATGTTGTAGACGCACTTTGGCGCCAAGTACGACTCGCTGTGCGGGTCATTGTCGAAAGACCGGAAGCACACAAAGTAGTAGTTGGCATGGGTCTCGCACTTCTCCCGCATGTCCTGCGTCATGATGTCCTCTACCGTCAGCGTGTGGATGCCAAAGATCTTGCTGATCAGGTGCATCTCCTGGAACGACGGCCGCAGAACGTCGATCCAGAAGCACCCGCCGACCTGCAGCAGCGCCGACAGGTCCATTGCGGGTGTGCGCATGTCGGCAAACTCCTGCGCCCGGATTGTGCCGACTGCCGGGTTAAAGAACGTGAACCGGTACGACTCGTCGATGAAACCATCCTGGTCCAGGAACAGCTCCTCGTGGTGCCGCCGCCGCTGCTTGCCGCGCGTGTAGCTCTTTTTCCTGTGCGTCGGTGTCTTCTGCGCTGGGTGGGCGTGGGAGCCAAGCTGGGGAGCGCTGCGGTTGGGCACGTTGGCCGGCATCGCAAAGTTGCCCGCCTCGCTGACAAGCTGCAGGGTTGAAATATTAATTGCTGTGTGCTCGAGCAAAGGCGCCCGCTCGTCCGCCACGGACGATGGGGAGAGGCAGATGCTGCGCACCCGCGGGGAAAACGGGCGTTGCCGTTGCCAAGCACGGGCGAGCCCCGGCTTCCGCCCAGGCCATATTGGGGGCAGAGACGCGCCAGCAGCGCCAGCGCGCGCTGCGGCGGCGACTTGCTCCTGCTGCTCGGGAAAGTGCTCTGGTCGCTGCACGACTGCGTCGACGGCGAGCCAGTTGTGGCTGAGGAGTCCGCGGCCCAGCCAAAGCCGTCGTCGCTGCTCTCGTCTTCGGACGTCGAGTCGGGGATCTCGCCCTCGTCCAGAAACTGCTCCAAGGCCTCAATATTGATCGACCCATACGCCCTGGTTCTTGGCGCCCTGGCGGGCTCGGTGTCGCTCTGGTGCTCGCCCGCAGCCTGGCTTGCGCCCGGCGTCTCCGCCATGGCCGACTCAGTTATGTCTGCGAGATGCGTGGGCACGACCTTCTGCGACGGAGTGTGCGGCGACGTGTTGATGCCCGCGACGCTGGACGGGCGGCTCGAGCCGAGGCTCGGCGAAAACATGTACGAAATGCCGGGCGCGCCGCGAGCCAGCGCAGCCTTCTTGGTGGCTGCGGCCGGTGTGTACTGCGTGGCGCCCATGTTCGGCGGCCGCCGCGTGCGGACCTGCGACGCCGGGCGCTCGTCCAGCTGCATGCCAAGCCCGAGGCTCGTGTCGCCAGCATCGATCGCCGCGAGGCTGCTTACTGACTCGCGCCGCTGCGGCGTGTGTGCCGCGCGGTTGTGGCTGCAGACGGCGCCTTGCTCGCAGAGCCGCCCGCCCGGCCGCCCGCCCCGTCTGCGTCGCTGGCCTCAGCCACGGCATTGCACGGGAGCTCGGGGAAGTTGGCATCGTGCAGCTCAGCAGCGCTCTGCACGGGCTGCGCTGGAGCCAAAGGGCGCATGGCGGGCTCCTCGTCTATCGGCTGGGCGTGGCCACGGCGGCGTTTCTTGGGCGCATCGTCGGCGGCATTGCAGCGCCAGTGCCAGCGCCACCCTCTGACTCTCTGTGCTGCGCAAGGCCGCGCGGCGTCTTATCAGATCCTCCTCGCTGCCATAGGACGACCGCGCGCGAGCCAGCCGCGGCCATTGACTACGCTCGGCGAAAACAGCGGCAGTGTGCTGTTCATCGGCCTCGGCAGCCTATCGGCAGTTCCCATATGGTCCATATTGCCGTAGTACCTGGACGCCAGCAAGTCTGTCGTGCTGTCAGAGTCCATGCCGCCCATATAGTGCGAGATGACGCTCGCCAGGTTGTGCTCGTTGCTGCCCTTGGACCGGCTGCCCTGGCTGCCGCTGGACTTTTGCCGCTGCGAGTTATTGTCGCCCTCGGACGCCCCGTGGGTGCACAGCAGATCGTAGAGCCTCTGGTCGGAGCCCCGTGGCCGGCTCATGCTGTTGCGCTGCTGCGCCCATTGCTCGGCTGACGGACTCGCTGGCGCCGCAAGGTACATCTGAGATTGCGCCGAAGCAACGTCGGAGGGCGGGATGGCGCAGCCGCATTCGGCCGTGCCTAGTTCGGAAAAGTCCTGGTGCTGGTGCTCGCGGTGGCTGCGTTTGGCTGAGGTAGGCTGCCCATTCTTGCGCCTGCCAGAGCTACGGCCGCTCTTTCCCATGGGTAAGGGATTGACGGCTTAAGAGGGTGGGGTGTATAAAAGCCAAAGTCTATGTAAGTGTGAATTAGAAATATGAAGCAAGTGTAAAAAATTAAATATTAATAGCCTAGAAATTCCAGTAGAAAAGTGAAAGAAGAAACGAGGCTCAATCCCAAAAAGCATAAAATCCCTATGATTAAAGGCCCGACCGCGTGGTCTCGGCGACATACGTGAGATGAATGAGAAGCAAAAAAATAGGCATTATGTGGCCATGCAGCTGAATGCTCGATGCCCGATTCCTTTTTTCTCTTGGCATTGGTTTTTCCGAAAGTAAAAAAACGCACGTGCTGGCAAATGCGCGTTATTTCGACTTAAGTGGATTAAGAAGTCAAGTGAATGCCGTTTCGGTAGCCCACATCGGCTCCGAGTCGGTCCATGAAGAAGCCAGCGGAGTACTGGCCGGCTCGGACGTAGCGGTGTCGGGTGTGACAGCAGAGCCTGAGCTAGTTGGGAAGTGGGTGTCGATGAAATGGCTTTTGTTGCTGGTGACGATGATAACGATGTCGTCGTGGTGGCAGTAGTAGCAATTGACGTTGGTGTTATTGCCTTCTGCCCGAAAATCTGGCCGACAATAGCCTTGGCCAGCCAATTGGGCCGCCGCCACACGAAATCCTCATCACACAGACGATTATCCTCCTCCACAGCCTTGGAGCACACCAGCAGCGCAGCATTCTGGCTGAGCGTCTGCTGGTACTCGACTTGCTGGCGATAATAGAACCAGGCAAACGCCTGCCACTTTGTGCACAACTCCGAGTCACTAATGCCCTGCAAAGAGCAATCCGAGTTGAGCTGCTTGGCCGAAGCAATAATAACCACAGGCAGGTTAGAACTGCTAGCGGCAGCAACCGCGGCGGTGTCGCGTTTGGCCAAAATGGACGATGAAAACTGGGAGCCGGACTCCTTGCGGAAAGACGGCCAGCGCAGAGGCCAGTGGTGGTACACCAGGACAGCATCTGTGGTGGAGGCCACATAGCCGAGAAGGCTCTGGTACAGCTTGGCGCCGGTACCACCGTACTCAAAGTACTTTGCCTGGTAGTACAGGTTGTTGCGGAACAGCGACCGGTGCATGCCCAGGGCCTCCTGTGGCTGGAACCCTGGCCACGCATTGTTGCGTGCCCGGTGCAGCGCAATCGGACTGACCGCGCGCCAGTCCGAGAACATCCTCGACGCCGCCCTCTCCAAGCCCTGGTCAAAGTGCACGGCAGGAATCTCATCCCCATTCGCGTCCTCTTGGATCTTGGCCGAGCGCAACTGCCGCAGGTTCTGCAGCGTGGTCGTGCGGTTGAGTGCAAAGGTCTGGAGGATCTCGTGGTTCGGGTAGGTGTCCAGGAGCACGACGCCGATGACGCGCGAGTAGTCGGCCACCTGCATATACAGCTGGGTCCAGACGCCGCCCTCGCCCCAGCCGACGAGCACCAGCGGGTTGGTGATCGGGTACTTGGCCAGTGCCTGGCCAATGGATTTGACCACCTCGAGAGGGTCCTGGTTCCAGTACCCAGGCTCGCTCCACCCGTACCCTGGCCGGTCCACAATGCACGCTGGGTGCCCATTGGCGGCTAGCCCTTTGGCCAGCCCCATCATGCTCGTCGACGGCATTCCGAAATCGGTCAACAGCACAAACACCGGCCTGCTCGCATCGCCCTGCTCCGCCTCGCCGTACCCATGGCACCACACGTGCATCTTATACCAGAGCTCGCCGCCACTGGTCTGCACTGGAACCAGCACCCCAGGCACCTTATACGCGCGGTGGTCATTGGCCAGGCATAGCGCCTGGATGACAAGCAGCAGCCCAAAGAACACGCCCATCAGCCACGTCACCCACGGAAACACATTATCCAAAGCCACGTAGAACACCGCCGCGCCCCTGGTTTCGGCCAACCGCGGCTGGTACTCGGGAATCCCCATTATGCGGTCTACCGCGTAACCCCTGCGCGCCTTGCCCGCGTAAACCACAATGCCGACGGCCGCAAAAAGCCAGAATATCGCCCATGTGGCGGCGCTGCCCCCGCCCACTGTGCCGTAGCCGCCGCAGACGCAAAGCGCGAATACGCTCATTACGCTGCCGTAGGCCATCCAGGGCAGCGGCCAATGAAGGTAGCGGTTAGGCGAGCGGTAGCTGAAATGACAAAGAGCGCCTGCAGGCTAACGTGAGCCCGAGCAGGGTTATCCACATGTTGGTAAACTCGTTTGTCCTAACTAGACGGTTGCGCTGCATGGACACGCCAATGTATGCCAGGAAGGAGACCCCGTAGGCTATTGCTAGCAGCACCAGCGTGATGCCTGGTATGGAGACTATCGTATGTTTGCGCAGGTGCAGCATCGGGTTTAATATGAAATGAATTTATATATATATACAAAATAAACAAAATAATAATAAAAATGAAAATGAAAATAAACAAAATAAATAAAAAATAAAATGACGGGATGAGAAAGAGAAACCACAACATATTTCATCTGCGCTACTGCTGTTGCCCGTTGCCGTTGCTTGTTAAAGTACCAATAAAGAAATAAAATTGTTTTATAAATTTTTGTTCTTGCTGAGCAGCTCTCAACAGAAAGACGCACAAAGACATCAAGGAACCTGTCGATTACACTATTGCTGAGATCTACAATACATTGCGGCATAAATATAAAGAATGTATGAGATTTTGACTTGTCCACATACTCGTCACTGTCTCCACCATTTATTAAAACATTGCGCCTTGTCTAAATTATTCTATTACATTATTTAAAATAAACATTGTTTTTGAGCTAATAGTTAATATGTAAACCCCCCAAGACTATCAAATTATCCCTTACAATCCAGTTTATGCTAATCGCTTTGAACCAAGTTAGATGATTCTGCGCCACCGACACACGATCAGTGCAATGACAATAAAGGCCCCATGGATCCAAGGATAATCCCGAAATCGCGCAAGTCCTCGCGGTCCCTCCCAGGAACCTTGACATTCATTCCAAATATACCAGCGACCAGGTTGAGCGGCAGAAAGATACCTGCCAGCACAGTCATCTGCGTCGCCAACTGATTCGTCGTATTCGAAGCATGCGTCAGCTCGAGATTAATCCTGCTAGGTAATTACCATGAGCCCTCGCCAGGATCCTCTCGCAATGGTGCACAGACGCTGTCAATGCAATCAAATGGTCATGGACGGATGCCAGATACTTTGTGACATCGGGCTGTGTAGACCCGGGCGTCCGCGACACCCCCTGTTTGGTCCGAGGAGTGCGCCGCGACCACCCATAAAGGTCGCCCTCTTCTTCGTCGCTGGTCAGCAGCTGGCTGTCGAACATCTCCAAGGACCATTCCTGTTGCTGCGCCGCGACTCGTCCGACGAGAAAGTGTCCAGAGACTCTCGCCGCCGCCCCGAGCCACCACCGCCGAGTGCTCTGGATTTCGCGTGTGTACGTCGCTCGACCGACCGCAGGACCTCTGCCTTGCCATGCAGCAGTCTAACAAGCCACAAGGCATGCCTACGCTCGATTCCGATTCGCTTAAGCACGTCGTCGTGCTCCGCACGGGTCAGTATAAGCACCAGCTCATCAATGGCGTCAACCTCGAGTTCCAGCAGCCTGGTGGTCGGCACCAGTGTATCCGTGATGTCGTCTAGGAGCAAATACGCAATGTAGTCGGGCGTCAGACTGAGCATTTGCTCGTCCAGCATCAACCGCGCTACTGTATTGCGCACATGCGGACGTTGCCGCAGTGCAGGGTGACGATGCCGGTTTCGAGCACTATTATGTAAAAGGGGACGGGCTCGTCTAGGTCGTCCTCTGGTAAGCTCTCGGTGATGCGCGCAGGGAAGAGGGATGCGGGAGTGTTGCATCGGTGATTTCTGCGTGCCCGGTTTGTGGTCGCAAGATCAGGGCGCTGAGCCGTTTGCGGAGCGAGTCTGAGGACTGGTGGACTTTTTCATCGAAGGATTTAACCTCTAGGTGATCGTCCTGGTCCCACGATGTCAAGGGGCCCTCCGCTCCGCCTCCTCTGCTGCTGCTGCTATGTGGCTCATAGCGCCAAAGTTCTCGGACGGGGGTTGTAAAAACGATCGACGCCGGCGCATACTCGCCACCTTAATGCTGCGGCTCTCTCCCAGCACAGGCCCGAGCGCCGTAGGTATTAGCGCTTCTGGCAATGGCTCTGTGTCATATACGGCGGATGTGCGGTAGCAGGCAATATCGTAGTGGCGGAAGGACTTGTATGTATCCTGGGCCAGACCCTTCTCCTTCACCAACATCAGTTCCTCGCAGGTCAACGGGTGCAGATCAAAGATCTGCGCCAGCGCGGTTATCTCGTCGTCTGTCGGATCCATTATGTCCATCCAGAACAGCCTGGGCACCGATTTGGTCGGCTCCAGCTGCGCGCTGGTGTTTATCCGCGGCGGACGCGGGAGCTCTCTTCTGGGGTGCTGTTTGGGAGCGCCGCGCGCATAATTTGGATGCAGTAGTTCGGCATCCGGCATTCCGGACACTGCTGCTGCTGCTGCTGCTGCTGTTTCTTCCACTGTCTGTTCGACGCCTGCAACCGAGTCGGCAGAGGTCACTGAGAGCTGAGGCGCAAGCTTATTTGTTGTCCTTGGACCGCGGTCCGACTGCAGCTTTTCATTTGCTGCCGCCACGGTGGAATCCTTGGCTGACTCCAACTCTGTCTCGCCTGATTCTGTTTGTGATGCTGCAGTTGTATCTGCAGTCGCTTGGCGCATCAGCGCCTCCAGCCCGTCTGCCGCGTCCGTGCGCAAATTGCAAACATCCTTGGCGCGCACGGTTCCGGTCGCTGGCGAGTAAAAAGTGAAGCGGTACCGGGGATTATTCCAAATCTCATCATTTTCCCTCAGCAGCATCTGCGCCAACGGGCCATTGCCCCCATGGGCTGAGTCTTCCCCGGCGGTATTGGGCATCGGCCATACGGAGTTTGAGCTGATGATCGAGGAGCTGCGACGGGACTCGCTGGGTTTATGGCTGATGTCGATGGAGAGCGGGCGCATGGGTTGTTCGGGGGTTTGTGGGTGGTTGCTGGTTGGCGGGTTCCAGGAGCAGCTGGTGGTTCGGGAGTGCCAGCGGCCTAGGCGGTAGCGCCGGTGGCTGGTGGATGCATGGTTGACTTTGCCTGAGTCCGACCATTGGCGGAGGGCGTCAAAGTTGAGGCGCGGCAGAGATGGCTTTGGTTCAACTGTTGGATGTGGCGGCGGTAATGGTGGACGTGATGTTGGCTCGGCGTGTCCTGGCCTGCGAGCCATTTTTTGCTGTATATATGCGTTGGCTTGGTTGGCTGGTGAGCGAGTGAGGAAAATCTGTGATTAATGTTAGAATGAGAGAAGAAGAGAAGAAGAAAGAAAGTTCTCTCGCTGGACAAAGGAATAATATTTTTTTCTTTGTTAGCTGCTGGAATTGTATGTGCTTGACGCGCCAAAAGTAAATAAAATCGGACCCACAGGCATGGTCATCAGTTGTCCCTTTCTTTTGTGTTGTTGATGCTTGGCATGCGCGTTTTATGTTTCCCCTTGGGTTGGCACAGTAGAGACTTATTTTTGTTCGCCCGTTTCCATTTCTGGCTGGGGGATGCCTTTTGAAAACTTTGAAATCGAAGTGGGATTTACAACTGCATAAATTTGTTTTATTATTTGTACTTGTTATTTGTTGAGCGTGCCGCTCTCGTTCTGGGCTCGTCATGCGGGCCAAAGCCGATGACTGTGGCCTCGTATGAGGTTTTTATCCACACTCTTTTATTTAGCTTTGTTGTTGTTTTTGTTGTTGGTCGGCAAAACAAACAAAACAAGAAAGTTTCAATCTCCTTTTTCCTTCCCTTTCATTTCATCCCGCTTTGGTGGAAAAAAAATATCCTACTACCTTTTTTATATTACTATTAAATATCCGCGAAATTCCTAAAGATGCTTGGGTCTCGGCGAGCCATTTCAATCTTCAAATTCCTCGGGGTCATCGTTTCCTTTGTGCTCCTCGTGCATATCGGAGTCCTCCTCATCACCGGGCGCAACAACACGTCAGGGCAAAGCATCTTTGATGCATGGACAAACGCGCTATCGCAGCAAAAAAAGTACGGTGGGAACTCTGAGGGTGCACCTCAGTACTCGCCGAGGGGATCAAGCCTGTACGCGGCGCTCTCGTAGCGCTTGTGCGCAACCAGGAGCTCTACGGGATGCGCAAGACCGTGCGGGAACTGGAGGACCGGTGGAACCACAAGTACAACTACCCGTATATTTTCCTCAACAACAAGCCGTTTACTGAAAAGTTCAAGCAGGGGATCCGCGATCTGACAAAGGCTAAGGTTGAGTTTGGGGTGTTGGACAAGAACACTTGGGGCTATCCCGAGTGGGTGGACCAGATTAAGGCGAAGGAGGAGCGGGACTCGGCGAAGTACATTAAGGGACACAGCGAGTCGTACCGCTTTATGTGCCGGTTCCAGTCGGGCTTTGTGCATAAGCACCCACTGCTGGCGGATCTTGAGTTTTACTGGCGCATCGAGCCCGATGTCAACTACTACTGCGACATTGACTATGATCCGTTCCTGTTTATGAAGACTAATGGGCTGAAGTACGGGTGGAATATCGCACCGACAGAGTACGAGCCGACAGTGCGCACGTTGTGGAACACCACGCAGGAGTTCATGAAGAAGAACCCGCAGCTGGTCCCGGATAAGAATATGATCGATTGGGTGCGCAACTCGGACGGGTCATATACGCGGTGCCATTTCTGGTCCAACTTTGAAATCGTCGATTTGTCTTCTACCGCAGTACAGAGTATCAGGCGTACTTTGATCATTTGGACAAGTCCGGTGGGTTCTTTTATGAGCGATGGGGCGATGCGCCGGTGCACTCGCTGGCGGTGGCTATGTTTTTGAAGAAGAGCCAGGTGCATTACTTTGATGATATCGGGTACAGGCACCCGGCGATGGCGCACTGTCCTGATGGGTCCAAGGAGCGCGGCAAGTGCATTTGCGATCCTGAAGATGGGTGGGCCCATGGGTTCAGCTGCGCGAAGCGCTTCAGGAGTATTTTCTGAAATGATAAATAAAACAAGCAATAGAATTTACAGCGATTAACCTTGATTTTTTTGTTTTGGCTCTGTTTTGAGGAAAAGGTGTGCTTGTGTGTGACGCAATCTGGCATGCACTGTGTGTATGCATGTGGAGGAATCAGGGTTGTGAACTTACAAAAAGAAAAAGGGATCTTTCCTTTCCTTTCCTTTCTTTTCTTTTTTTGTTACATTATTTTTATCCACCTTTTGCGACGTAAATAACACACACCCACACACGCATTCATTCATTAGTTTGTTCATTTCACCCTTTCATTTTTTTTTGCTTTCGCGTTACAAACGGCCATGAATGTAAGTGGAACTTTACTAAACCCCTTTCTTAAAATTTTAGACACAGCACTTGAATTCACTAAACAAAAAAGCAACTTTTACTCTTTATTTAGAATTACAACACGCAGTACAGCAACACAGGCTCACTCAACAACAACAACAACAACAACAACAATGTCAATAATGACATGGTCGAGGACGAAACAGGGGGCATCACGGAGGGCAGCAAACACTCTGAGCAGCTGGCGGCACGGCGAGTACTCTTCATGGGGCTTCCGCGCAGCGGCAAAAGCAGCATTCTCAGCGTGATATTCGAGAACGCGCTAGCGTACGACACAATCGGCATGCCACCGACGCAGGAGCGCGTGGCGTACCAAATGGCGGTGACGGGCATAACTGCGTACGACTTTCCGGGGATTGACGAGTACTCGGAGACGCAATACAGCAGCGCGGTGGATCCAGCGGTGTACGCAGGCGACATGACATCCTTGGTGTACGTGGTGGACTCGCAGGGAGACTTCCAGAACTCGCTGGCCACGCTTTTCTCGATCATCCGCAACGCGCAGGCTGTGAATCCGCGGATTCCGATCAATATATTCTTGAACAAGATTGACGGGCTATCGGAGGAGCTCAAGGACGACATCCAGCAGGACATCCAGCAGAAGGTGTTCAAAACCATGGGCTACGAGAACATGGACTATACGTTTGTGCGGTTTTTCCTAACGACAATCTTCACGGAGAGCGTTCGCGAGGCCATGAGCAACGTTGTCCGGCAGCTGGTGCCCAAGCACGCGACGCTGGAGACCATACTAAACTCGTTCTGCACAAAGTCGGGGCTGGACAAGGTGTTTCTGTTTGACGTCGCCACCAAGGTGTACCTTTCGATGGACTCGTCGCCGACGGACTCGCACCAGTAATGTTCTCATGCCAGACGATCGACGCCATGGAGACTTGACGTTGCATTGTAACGATGCAATAGTGAGCAATGAGGAGGCGTCGCTGCTGATGCACAAGATCATTGTCGGGCTGAGCAATGAGACAAAAATGTTAATCTGCCACGTCAACCCGTTTCTGTCGCTGCTATGCATCGGGCAGTCCCGGGTGTTCCGTCACCGGAGCTCGCTCGAGTTCAACGTGGCCAAAGTGGCCAAGGCGATCCACCAGATCCTGATGTCGTGAAGAGTTTAATTAATACAGTTTAATTTTTTAATATGCTTGTGTCAAGTCGGCACTGGTGAGCATGCAACGCCGTGTACAGCGGCCATGTGCACGTCCAGCTCGATGGTGCGCTTGAAGCGGAAGGCGCAGCCCGGCTGTGAGCACGGCAGGGCGCGGCCCGAGACCTGTGGATCGGCATACGCCATGCCCGAGGCAACCTCCAATGGCGTCGGCAGCTTCAGCGGCCGTGGCTTCGACTTTTGCATCTGCATCTGCTCTGCTTCTGCTTCTGCTTCTGCTGCTTTCCCAAGTGCGCCCTTGCAACATGCCTCCGCAGCGAATGCGCATAGGCATACGCTTTGCCACATCCCTCGCGCTCACACATGTACCGGCGCGGCTCCTCGCAGTGCACGGCGGCGATGTGCGCCCGAAGCGAGTTCGCATCAAGATAGAATCGCGCACACTCATCGCGCGGACAGGCAAACACAGGCCGGTCCGGCTCATGGGTGAGTATATGTCTGTTGAACGCGTGCGTGCGTGCGAACTCCGCCTGGCACACAAGGCACCGGTGGGTGCGGCGGTGGGAGCGGCGGTGCGCTTGCAGCTCCGACCATTTGGCAAACACCTCGGTGCACCCGTCCTCGATGCACCGGTATTGGATCGCCTCTGTGTGCGTGATGCGGTGGCGCCGCAGCTGCGACGGGTAGCGGAATGCCGCCGTGCACCCAGGCTCTGCGCACCGGTGCGGGTCTGCGCCATTGTGCGCCACGCATATGTGCGCGTGCAGCTTGTTGCGCTTCGCAAACGACTCTGCGCAGCCCTCCTCCGGGCACCCATAAGCCTGCCCACCCCCCGGCCCCCCGGCCCCTGCCGAGTGCATGGCGGAGATATGCCGCTTGAGGTGCTGGCTGGTGGTGAACCGGCTCGTACACCCGGCATGCGGGCACCCGTGTTTGCGCTGCTCCTCTGCCAAATGCGTCTGTGCGTGTACGGCTAGGTGCGTATCGCGCATGTATGTTTTGGTGCAGCCGGGAAGAGACAGCGGAAGGGACGCGCCCCTGTATGCGTGCGCTCGTGCTCGGCCAGCCGGCATGGCCGTGTGAATGCCTTGGGGCAGCTCATGCAGGTGTAGTTTTTGGCCCGAGAGGAGGTTGTCGACCGAGCACGGCTGGGTGTGCTGGGCTGGGTGCGTGTTGACTCGACGTATTGCCGCAGGCTTTGCGGCTGAGCCGCCGGGCTGGCCTGTGCCGCTTGGGCGCGCGCGGAGCTGCGCCAGTATCTGGGTCCAGCTCAGTGTCCGTGTCTGTGCGGCACGCCAGGGCGTCGAGCATTGCTGAATTAAAGGCGTTTAATTTGAATTTGTATGTGAATTCGTATGTGTTAAGTAAAAAAAATATAATAAAAGCAAAAATAAAATATCGTTGAGAATAAGGAATAGACGTTTTTATGCCGCCTGTGACGGCGACAGAGCAATGAAAATCAGACAAAAAAATAAAATAAAATAAATCAAAATCAATTTTAAAAGATCTATCAATCATTGTTTGGTGGGGGCGGCTGCGGGGGGGCCGCCCAGCGAATGCCTGGCACCCCCGCCGGTAGATTTCCTGGCTCGCTGCACAATGCGGGCCTGGTCGGCGGCGGAGGCTTCGAGTACTTTGGGGCGTTCTCCTCCCTCGCGCTAACGCCAGGCTTCTGCATCGACCCCACCGACACATCCCCCGCCGCACCACTCTCCACCACATCCGCAATTCCCTGTGACTCCGCTTCGCACCGACATTACTCCGCTTCGCATTCGGCGGCGGCGGCTTCACCCCAGCCACAGCTACAGCCAGAGCCACGCCAGCCCTGCCGCGCGCCCCTCTCAGCTGCTTATTCATCTGCACGCGCTTCGCCACTGCAATCTGATCCTCCTCCTGCAACGCCCCAGCACGGTCTCCGAAACGTCCTTCTTTGCTCTCGATGGGTTTGCCACTAGGGCTTTGGGTTTTCGCGCCGGACTGCGGGTGGCTGTTGCCAGGGGGGTTGCTGCTGCTGCTGCCGCCGCTGTTGCTGCTGTTAGTGGGAGGAGAAATGGGTGGTTTGGCGATTTGATCACGAAACTGCGCCAGTATGTTGCCAGGCATTGCGCGCAGTCTTGGAGGTTCGATGAGGGCTCCCAAGTTTTTGCTTGGTCGCTGGACCATTGGACCAGATATTCGCAGTGCTGTGTGGCTTTGAACCGGTGAGAAAGTATTAGGTCGAGTTCTTTGGGAAGCTCTGCATTGCTCATGATTATACTTGAATGGAATTAAATGAAATGAAGAAATATAAATATGAAAAATTAGAAATTAGAAATTAAATTGAGACGAGGAAATGCAAAATAAAAAAGGTTTAGAAAATATAATAAAAAAGGCTAAAAGTGCACTTTTGCTTTGCTTGCTTGGCTTGGCTTTGGTTTGTTTGTTTATATGCGCGCCACGCCCACAAGGATCACGGGCCTTTCTGACCATATTTGGACTCTTTCCAAATAACTGTAATGCGTCTGTGAAGGGAGATGGTAGGTCCCGGAAGAGAGGGGGAGCATTGCACTTTGAAAAAAAACCACCCGAGCCACATCCCTTTTTCTTATTGCCATCTTTTTGCTTCTATTTCCACAATCCCAGTTGATGTCCTCCTCTACCTTTACCGCTTCTTCAATCCCAAACAACCCCCAGCCAGCAGCAGCAGCAGCACCAGCAGCACTAGCAGCGGCAGCCACGGCTCCTAGCAACAATACAGATGACGACGACGACGCCTGGGACAAGCGCATCAAAAGGACGGGCTGCTTTAAGCAAAACGAATCTCTCCTGATCTGTCATGCCGATACTGGCGATTGGCGCAAATGTCTCGCTGAAATTGCCGCCTTCAAGGCCTGTATGAAAAATCATGGCCAGTTTGAAGAACATTAAAAATTAAATCTCAGATTACCCGGTTAGATCAACTCTGCAATGATAAAAAAATTTTCTCTTGCAGAGAATTTTTTTTCATTCCCACCCCTGACAGATTTTTTTTTCAAATTTAGATTGGAAAAAATACATAAGCCTCGATTTTGGGCCCGCTTTGCATTTTTCTTCTTTTTTCTCCTTAGGAATACTTTTTGGAAGAACCGCTATTTTTTGTATATAATTTCACCGCTATATATCATAAACCATTTTTCAAAGCTCTACACACAAAATAGCAAGAAAAATAAACACTTGGTGTATATTTTTTTTGTCCATTTACTTCAAAGGCTTTGGGGAAAGTCCCCGGACACAGGGCAGAAAGTGCCGCCTGTAATTAGGTATTGGTTATCTCTATTTATTATGTGCATTGTTTCTTGAGTTGTTTTTAAATCTTACACCGCTTTTCTTTTCTGAGATTTTGCGAGGAGCAAAGATATCATTTTTTGAAGGAGCTTCTGCGAGGATTTTGTTAAACTTTATCTATTTTTTTTTTAAAAAAATAGATACTTTCAACTTTTTTGCTTGCTTTCAATTTATTTGAAAGTTGGGCTTGAGGTTGAGAGGGGAAATATGCACTTTATGAGTGAACTTTTTCGTCATAGCACAGTTATGCGGTTGGCTCTTGTTCTTTTTTGGCCTTTCACAAGGTTGAAGAAGTTTAGGAGTTACCTCAACGGGGCTCACTTCTCCAGGTATTCCTCACCCCACCACCAAATATTAATCTATTTTTTTATTTGCCACAGTTCCCGCCTGCCTGTATTTTTTGTTCCAGTTTGGCTCTTATCGTTATGTTTTTATACCTTGTTGCTTGATGGGCTCTTTATCACCCTTTTATTATGTTGAGGCAGAGAAAATAAAGTTTTTTTTGTTTGCAAATGATGTTTCCGAATCTCTTCACCGGATCAAAATAATGACCGATAGAAACGGGTTTTCACAATGACTCTGACTGATGCTTAAACACAAAAAAAACTTTTTTTTCAATTACATTCTAAAAGTGCAGAAAAAACAGTTTATCTAAAATATAAACAATTTTTGCAATAGTTTTTCCCCTAATTTTTTATATTGATATAATAAAAATAAAAAGCATTTTTATTTATTTGTTTCTCCGATAAGAAATTAAAAGAAAAATGACAGAATTAAACTTTAATGCCTATCAACGTTCTTATTTACAGACTGGTATGGGGGAGGCTGCTCAGCCCATTCTGCTGCTGCAGGGGTGCATTCGAAGACGAACCCGCCACAGCCGGCACCGGCGAATGTCCGATAACAATCACATGGTGGTGCTGATGCTGCTGCCGAGGATACTCATCGTCATCCACAAGCATCTCATACTCATCCGAGGGGTACTTGCAAATAAGATACCACGAGTGAATTAGCCCCGGAAGGTACCCGAGCGCGGTCAGTCCACAGTTGATTAAAAAGTCCGCGCCGCATCCACGTCTAATCAAGGCGCCAAACGGCGGGAATATGATACTGAGGAGTATTAGGAGAAGGTCTGGACAGCTGCAGCACATTTTTCAAAGTGAAATAAATGTAATTTATAAAGTTTATGGAATTCAAAAAAAGTGAAATTGGCAGTGTAGTATTGGTAAATTCAAAAACAACAGGAAAAAATATTGAGGGATAATAAAAAGAAAGGGATGAGAGATGAGGGGAGAGTAAAGTTCGGTTCTCTGTGAAGAACAAGAAAAAAAACGCATAAACATATGGCAACCCACCATTTTATTTATTTTTTGGCTAGAGGCATTGTCTTGGCGCAAATGATATTTTTACTATTAAATTTCGTGTCACAGCTCACCTGACCTTGTTGGCTGTCTGGCTGGCCTCTGACTTGCGCAATGCGCAGCAGAATTCCCCCTTTTCTCCCTCACTTATTTACTTTGCTCTGCTAATCCAGCAGGTGGGGGGCGCCTCTTCAAAATAAGCCACTGCGACATGAATATACGCTTTGCCTCTTCTTTTTTTTTGCTCATTCTTTTATCTTTTTTCTTACCAGTTTTGAAAAAAATAACATAAGAAAAAAGGGTCCTCCCAGTTATTTGCCACGAAAACCAACATTTTAACAAAGCATCTAGTTCCCAAGAACGCTCAGGGCTGCTCTGAGGTCAGGACAGGAAAGATGTCTATTTTAATTTTATAGATCTTTTTAGTCTCATTCCTTTTTTCAGTGCAAGGTTTGTCATGATTTTGTGATCCGAGACAAAAATAGGAGCCGTCTTTAATATACATCTCTGTGTACATGAATCGCAAAAGAACACCAAAACTTGGATATAGCGCGAAAAATACAATAAAATTAAGCAGCTTGGCAGAAGCGGGGGTTTTCTTTTTACACCCTTTACAGCGATTTTTTACCTCCTTTTTCTTCTCTCATTTGGACTTTGGGAATTCAAACACCTTTTTTTTTGGACTTTATGGTACAAAAGACTCCTCTCCCTCTGCTTTGTAAAAAAAAAACTTATAATGCCAACTCGCAAACGAAGCAGAATAATTTATTTTTTCACGTATCATTCTTTTTCTATATCTTATTCCCTTTTTCACTTATTCACCTACACTCACTCCTTTCGGCAGCTCAGTTTATTTTAGCCACATTAACGCATAGTATATTACAACATGGGCCCGTCCGACCAACAACACCAGCAGCACCACAGCACCAACAACAACTTCAACACCAGCTATACCAACAGCAGCGACGCTTACATGCCAGTGACCTACGGCGGCGAGCTGGATACCTCAGCACTGGAAGTAACAGCAACATCGCCGGCAACGCAGACGGGAACTCGCTATGCCCGGATTAGACCAAGGATCCTACAGCGGCTTCAACGGCATTGTCTTTGGGTCCGGCGGCCAGACCGATCTCAGCAACATAATGGGTCCCGATTGGGCTACGACAATGGCGCATCTGCAGGGAACGACGGGCTGGGGATTTACTCTGGCCAGGGGCTAGGAAGGTTTTCAGAACCATCAGGCCATGCGGCTAGCTCTCGCCAGAACCACAATGTGGCCATGGAGCATGTATTGCGATACAGCGCGAGAACCAGGCACTGCGGCGCCAGAACGAAGCCCTGCAGGCTGTCAGCGATGCAAGGCAGCGGACTGCGCTTAAATTGCTGCATGGGACTTTGGGCCACAACGCTGAAGACGCACAGGAGCCACAGCAAGGTGCAGATAATCCGTGCAACGCAACCAGCTGTCGCGCCTGCTGCTGGCGCTGCTGGACACACCTGCCGGGCAGGACAACGTGGATGACTCTGAATCCATCCAGGAGCAGCTGCCGGCTTTAGCCCAGCCGTTACATCCTCTCTCCCTCCATTATCTCCTCCTGCAGCAGCAGCAGCAGCATCAGTAGTGGCATCCGGGACATCGCTGTCTTCTGCTCCTACTGGTACTGCCGCGCGCCCGCTGTCTAATTTTTTCAGCAGCAAATCGCCACTTATGTTGCCAACACCATCTGAAACAAGTTTCGGCGGAGAAACAGCCAGTCAAGTGTGCGGCCACTTTCTATCGCCAGGGGCGCTGCAGGCAGCGTTCACATCGACTGGGACTCCAGCGCGCTACTTGAGATAGCAACCACGGCAAGATCTCAGACGAGGAGCCGCGCATCGACAGGTACGCGAGCGAGTCACGCAAGGCTATTGGAGCCTACTCGTCTACCGCGATAACCCGCCGCAACATGTCGCTCAGCCGGCAGCACTCTTCATCGAAATCTAACAATTCTGCGCTCTCTCCGTCCGCCCAACACCACGAGGGTGCTATTCCAGGCGCATTCCCAGGCGATCCCACGTCACCTGTATCCTCCAGCAAGGATGAATTCCAACCAGCCCAAGCAGCTTTGGATGCAATTCGCCGAAAGAGGGCGCGTATCTCTATCAAGACGAGCCGCTGGAGTGCGCAGCAAACAAGATGGGCAGTCTGGCCGCATCGCTATTGGCTCCCAGTGAATCGCGCTTTGACCCGAATCCAAAATCGCGCTTTGTGCTGTATTCGCCGTCCGCAGGGATATTCGAGTCTAGGAATCTCGACGGCCTGCGCAGCGGCGACTTGACCCTGGCCGACATCATCGAGGCGTCGTCAAAGTCGATCACGCTCGATCAGCTGCAGAGCAACCGCACTTCCACACAAGGTGACTCCCACTCGTCGCAAGGCGGACCCATCTCGAGCTGCCCGGCATCCGGGTGCTTCTGGATGGACGTGACCAACCCGACGCCCGAAGAAATGGCGTCGCTAGCTCGCGTCTTCGGCATCCACCCGCTGACCGTCGAGGACATCATGGCCGACGACGACAGCAGAGACAAGTTCGAGACATTCAGCGGGTACAACTTCCTCATGTACCGCACGATTGACTACGGGGATGATGCAAAGTCCACTTACGAGTTCAACCGAGGAACTGAGGGTATTGCCACGGCCAGCTTCTCCATTATCCTCAAGCACAGCTGTGTACTGACGTTCCACAGTGCGCGTGAGCTGGACCACGTGGGGAACGTAATATCCCGCTTGCGCGACTTGGCGCCGCTCAGCACAACCAGCCTGACTGCGATCCAGCCCGTGGTGACGCCCGCATACATTGCCTACGCGCTGGTCGACGACATCACCGACACGCTAGCACCAGAGATGCGCTCGATCGAGCTGGAGATCGATGCTGTGGACGAGCTCGTTCTGATTCTCTCGACCAATGAGCAGGCGGACATGCTGAAGCGCATCGGCGCCGCCCGCCGCAAGATCCTGACCGTCTGGCGCCTGCTGCAAGGAAAACCCGATGTCATTCGGTCCTTTTCAAAGCTCATGGAGCGCCAGGCGGTCGCCGACGATATGCTCAGGGTCGAGCTCGAGGACGCCGAGTACATGCGTCGGATGATGGACACCTCTGCGCCTCAGGCCCCCGCATATCCAGAGGGCGCATCCGCGGCGCCGCCCGCAAACACCGGGCTGCACATGTCCTTGTCCTCCAGCGCCCTGGCGTTGCCACAAACCACGCTGCGCCGAAACACGCACTCGTCGACAGCCATTCCGCTGCTGGCAGCTGGCTCTGCAACTGGCTCTGGAGCCGCCAGACGGAAGGACCCGCCGCTGTGGCAGACCTACATCACTGGCAACCTGAATGTCAAAGACTCTCAGCCATTGTCGACTCAGCCAAGCACTGTCGACCTGCCAGCCGGCGCAATGCGCGGAGATACGATGGGCCCGGTGACTGCCGACGAGGTTGCACATTATCTGTCCGACGTTTACGACCATCTGGTATCACTGGTTGGGTCATCGTCGCACTGTGACATGGTTTTGTCGCGCGCGCACTCGAATTACTTGGCGCGCATTTCTTTGGAACTCGGAGAGTCCACTGTCGAAACTAATCTGTTTGCCAGTCGGTGGACTGTCATTGGTGCCATCCTCGTGCCGCTGAATGTCGTCACTGGTTTGTGGGGAATGAACGTCAAGGTGCCTGGCAGGGACCGCGACGACGTGCTCGATTTCTTTATGATCCTGACAGGGTGCTTGGTGTTTATCGCTGTGGTCATCGTATGGGCACGGTACAAGAAGATTTTCTGAGGCATTGTACAAAATATATATATATACCAATACATATCTTGCATTTTAAAACTTATATTACATATTTATTGTATTTGCCACATGTCAAAAAATTATACTGGTGTAAATGGATTTTGAAATTTCCAGGCATCTATAGCGTAATTCCAGATTTTTAAGCGGGGCGTTTTCAAAAACCGTTTTTTTCTCCCAGTTTTAGCCTAAAATATCAGAAAGCCCAGATTATTGAAGATGCAAGGAAGTGTTTAATGCTTGCGTCTGACTGGTGCTTTGGCTATTGGTTAAGCGTGACGATTGACGATGTAATATATTCATACAATTCCGTCGCAGCCACAACAAACTACCGCTGCTGATTCCGTTGCGGCAACAGCCACTGCCGTTTCTGTTGCAACCACAACTGCCGCCGACACCGCATCTTTTACAGAAAGTGCACAGCAGAGTCGCAACCAGTGCGTGTCTACTCGTCCACAGTCTGATGATACCATCCGGTAGATGGGGGAGGAAAAGAGCTGGTCTAAGCGAAAGATTTCCCGCAAGGTGAAACAGCAGCTGTGGGATGAGCTAGCTGAGCAAAATCGGGAGCAAGTACATCAATACCCAGCCTGCGATAATCTCAAGCACATTGTCAGGCTGAGCGGCTGGTCGCGAGGCAAGATCGAGCGCAAAATCGGACAGAGGATACGCGATGGTTGGTCGCGCAGCAGCAGCAGCAGCAGGAGCAGGTGGCCGCAACATGCGTAAATACAATTCTGGCGGTAGAAAAACCTCGCCAAATATTATGCCATGGCTTGCTCCAGTGCATAGTGGAAGACTGCCTGTAAACCTTCAGGGCCGACAGAACCAAGATCAAGAATGGCGAAAAAGTATCATCAGCCAGATGAAAGTGGAATCGTGATACGACTGCAGTGCTAAACTTTCGCATAATCCTCAATGCCCTGCTTACAGGCAATCGTCCTCCCCGTTTCTTGCGCAATAATGCATCGCCAGAGTCAGCCGAAGCCGAGTCTACAGCGACACCCGAGACTTTGCTCAAGCCAAAGCCCAAGCCCAAGCGTGTGCACACGAGCCCATCTGCCCCAGCTTCTTCTCTTCAAAAGAAGCAGCAAGCTGGATAATATCGTCAACCATAGTGGTCTATTGCCACTAGTTTCTAAACACTTTATATGGGGGAAGGATGTCGGTTTGCAGAATATTTGTAGCCTCATTCTTTTCTTATAGTATAATATGGAAGTAAATAAATAATTATGTGCAAAAAATTGAAACTACTGGTCATCGGCATGTCAACCCACGGTGATACAAATGAGAATCCCTGGAATGCGTCGCCACCGGCAGCCTCAGGAGGACCATACGAGTTGCGCAGTGAGGGCGGCAGTGAGTTCAGGGGATGCGACGGGTTGGTACCCATCCGTGCCTGCTGGTGCTGGAAGTAACCGCTGGCGTTAGCAGCCGTCGCGGGAGTGCTCATTGGCGACGGGAACGCCGACAACTGCGCCTGCATGGCGAGCTCAGCCTGGCGCTCAGCCTCAGCGGCCTCAGCAATGATATCCACCTGGCCCTCGGCAAGGATGGACTCGGGGATAGGCTCGTTGCGGAACTCGGGGTCAATGTTGCTGAGATCAAATATTGAGCTGACCTTGGGCACAAATGGCGGCGCGTACTCTTGGCGGTGAATCTTGGGCCACTCAATGCCGTGGAAGAAGGGATGACGTTTAACGTTTTCAGTACCAAACACGCCGTTGCCCAGGCGCTTCTGCGGGTCGCGCTCAAGAATGCGCGTGATAAAGTCCTGTGCCAGCTTTCCGACGCCTGCGCCGGGCACAATGCCGCAGCTATCGTTGTAGGTACCATTGCCGCGTAGGGGGTTTGGAAGCGACATTGGGAAGCGCAGTGGCTCGTGCAGGATCCGACGGTACATTATGTTGTTGTCCTGATCGTAAAACGGCGGTAGACCTGTTAGCATCTCAAAGAGAACAGCACCCAGGCAGTACCAGTCAACTTCCTTGCCGTAGCGCTGGCGCAGAAGCACCTCGGGTGCAAGATACTCGGGAGTGCCACAGAAGGTACCAGTCTTGCCGCCCTCCTCGACTGAGTACAGCGCAGAGCCCTCGGTGCGCCAGACCACCGGTCCGACTTCCTTTGCCAGACCAAAGTCAACAATCTTCACGTGGCCATCGGCATCGAGGAGACAGTTCTCGGGCTTGAGGTCGCGGTAGACGACACCCATGCCGTGCAAGTACTCGATCGCGCAAGTAATTTCGGCGGCGTAAAAACGGGAGCGGTTCTCAGAGAAACGGCGCTCGCGCTGCAGGTGGAAGAACAGCTCGCCGCCGTTGACATAGTCCAGACAGAAGAACAGCTTTTCCTTGGTCTGGAACGCACACTGCAGGCCAACAAGGAACGGGTGCTCGACAGTGCGCTCGAGGACCTTGCGCTCCGACATGACGCGACGGATCTCGTTGGGGCGGCCACGGAGCTTGGACTTTGAAATAACCTTGATCGCCATGACCTTGCCCGTGTCCTTGTAGCGCGCAAGCATGACCTTGCCGTAACTACCCTTGCCAATAATGCTGAGCAGGTGGAAGTCGTCGAGACCAACGCGCTTCATGCCAGGCGCCAGCACCTCACCGCCAGTGTCGGCCTGTGGGTCGCTGCCGAACTGCTGTATGTGGGCCGGGGCTGTGCGCGGTGGCTCCGTGGCCAGCGTGCTCATCAGCGTGTTTACCGTGCCTTTGACCACCGCGGGCCCCATCTGGCGCTGCTGGTGGAACAGTTGCGCCTGCTGGATTGGGCGGCCGTTGGCAGCGGTAGCCGACGCATCGCGGGCCCCGGTATCGACATCCATCGCATCCGAAGCCGATCCGCGACTCGGCTGCTGCTTGTGCTGTGACTTTGACTGCTTATTTTTCAGCTGCAACTGTTGCTGCGACTGCTTAACCTGGAGCGCACCCCAAGTCTTAGACTTTAGCATCGACGGCGGCTGGTTGGCCATTGGTGTAATGTCGCGGTAAGCCGCGGTGTTGCTGCTGACGTTGCTCTCCGTGTGCTCCTCGTAAACGTCTTCCTCATAGTCAGAGGAAATGGATTCGCGTGGCTCTGGGCCTTGCTCGTTCAGGTTTGCGTGTGAGTCGTTGACGTACTGGAGGTTGCCGCGGAGGCCGTACTTTTTGCGCATTGTCAGAGGCTCCATGTTGGGGCGCTTTTCGGCGCTCAGGTAGAGCAAAGAGTCCGATGCCTTGCGCAGCATGGCCTGCGAGTCAGCATCCGAGTTAGACACGGTCAAGTAGGACGCCTGCTTGGAGTTATCCATACCCATGCTCTGGTGCTTGTTGGGCCGCGGCGGCACCATGGGTAGCTGACTATAGTGCTGCTGGCGAGCAAACGGCGCCTGCTCATATACTGGCGCAAACGTGTGAAGCTGCGTTGGGCTGCCGATCGGCGTGACCCGCCTCGGTGTGATCGTGGGTGGAGTGATAGTCTGGCTGATAAACATGCCCTGGTGCTTGAGCACGGGCATCGAAATGCGCTCCATGGCCGCGTTGGCACGTGCGGGCTGCGATGACCAGTTTCCTGGAAGCGGCATGCGGCTGGACGAAACTCTGGGGCTGGCACCGGGGCTGGCGATGGCGTCAGCAGCCGGCGAGAGGCAGCCGAGGCTCCGGGCGTCTCGCGCAAGAACTTCTGCACATCGTCGCACGGGCACACGTCGGTGTCGCCAGTGACGGTGCGCAAGAAAGCGTTGAGGTGTGTGGCCCACTGCGCCGCCATCTCGGCTGTCGGCGTCATGCCCCAGTGGCTCACGGGAACAGCTCGGCCCACCGGCTGGCCAGCTGCGGGGACCGCCGTCTGAGCGCCGCGTATAGGTCGTAGAACTCGCTGTACTGCCGGATCGCCCACCACTGTCCTTCGCGCCCAGACACTAGGATGCGGTATGCGACATACTGCTTTTGCCCACGCGCGAGCCGACCTGTGGGATGTTGGGCTCTCAGGAACCTGCTGCTCGTGGTCTCAATGCCCGTGATAAGCGCCGCAAAGGCCTGGGTGCCCAGATTTAACGCGGCCAGTGTGCTGTCGATGGAGTGGCGCGCGTACTCGGAGCTCGTCGTGCCGACCGTGTTGATTGTCGACGTGGTGCCCGTGCTTGCAGTGGATGTGGCGGCGGGCCGACTGCCGCGCAGGCTGTATTTGGAGAACCATGACCCTATTCCGCCACCCGTGCTGCTGCCGCTGCCCTGGCGCACAGACGCCCGACCGCTGTTGGGGCCGCTGTTATCTCCAGCGGTAGCATGGAAGCGCGTGCCAAACTCCAAAGAAGGCCGCGAAGCAGGCATAACAGGATTCCCGCCGATCAGCGTCCGCTGGCCGTTGCTGATTATGGAGGGGGCCGGCTGACTATGCTGAGGGTAGTGCTGGAGATTGGCATGCATAGGGGAAGAAGATGCGGGCTTTGAAAGTGACTGCACTATACCATCGATCTGCGCTGCATGCTGCTTGCCCCCTTTTGTAAGCAGATGGCGGAGGGCTGTGGGGATTCCAACAGAACTTGCGTTGCTAGTAGTGGTATCCATTGAGAGATCGCTTACTTTTAGTTGTTGTTCACCACCAAGTATAGTGGCAATATTGGAGATGAGGGAGTGCGCGCGCGTATATAATAAAATAAGTGTAAAAATAAAAAGTAAAAATACTGCAGCTGTTAATTGGGCCCCTTACCCTCGTGTAGGATCAAAATAGAAAAGAAAAATGCCGGTGATAATGTGAATACCAGGACAAATTGGCAGGGAGATCTCAGAAAAAAGTTAAAAATAAAAACAAGGGAGCGGTGTGGTGCAGTTATATAAAAACAGAATATGGACAAAAACGCGAGCACTTTACTAATGATGTCCGGTTTGTATTAGATATGAGCTGAAATATGTGTTTGTGGATAGGTGTGTTGAGAAGCTGCTTGGCAGTGTAGTGTGCAAGCGTGGGTATGTGCAAATGGCGAAATATAAGAAATTAATAACAAGAATGAGACTGATGGAACAGAAAAGTATGTGCGCGGACACAATGTAAAAAAATAAAAATACGGCGAAAAAATATATAATATATAAAAAATATGATAATACGAGATGCAGCCTTTTCGCAACTGTTCCTCGGCGAGTAGACTATATGTAAAAAAACAAAGAAAATTGATATTTTAAAAGTTAGCAAAACGAAAAACGAAAAATCCTCAAGTGCAGAGATTGAAATTGTATGCAAATCTGTAGACAAGGTATTTGGGAATAGTGAATAGTGATAAAAGAAAACATTGGAGCTCGACAGAAAACCAGCCGTCGTTATTATAGTTTTTTGTTTGGCCAGCAAACATGATTATTTCTGTCCATTGTGTTTTTCAGAGTTCACTCTTATTTTGAACCATTGACAAAAATAAAAATAAAACAAGGTTTGCGCGTGTCAGGCATAGTGGATTTGAACAAAACAAGAAGGCTGTTTCCAAAAAAAGCAATTGTAAAAGAGCCACTGCCTTTTTTCTCACAAAAACTGAACATATTCAAACAAGCACAAACACAATCGCAAATGACTGATTCCCTAGCACAAAAAGAGAACATTTAACGGAGTAAGCGGGAATGTCAAGGCAGTTTGCACAAGCCGACATGCAGACGGAAGAGTAAATAAACATCCAACAGCAATTGCAGCGACACAGCGAAAAAAAACATTGAGATGAAAATGCACCTGCCTCAAACTATAAATGCCAACAAAACGAGGTGCCCTGAGCAAGAGAAAGCAGACCAAAAACACAACAAAATGAAGCAAAATATATCCTAACACGGCATTGTTGTGCACAAGAGCATTCTTGTACGCATGAGTACGCACATGTCAGACGAACCAACAGATCCTAATATGCAACAACGGCAATAGGTGTGCAATTGCAACCGCATTCGTATTCGCTTGTCGCATTGTTCACGGCCTCAATAATTAAGACACTTTACCACCCAGCACGAGCTATGTTCGTATTATGATGCCGGTGGCTTAGTCAACTTTGCAGTTCGGATTATGCAATGGAACGCACTCTTCCTTAATTGCAAGTTGCCAACGTTGGGTGAACAGCGCGGATATGTGTTGTGTCTGGTATGTTCAAGCCACATATGCGGGAGGGAGAGATAATGCAGCTCGGCGTGTAGTATGCTGACTCGTACCTTTTTGGTGGCTAGCCAATTGTGAATAACGCTAGCAATGTTTGCCCTTTTATCAACGGTAATCCGTGTAGTAGGGGAGCCCCGAATGTGCCGCTTTACGACCGACAAGTGTTTTCGAAATCAACAAAAGATGGTTGATGTTAATGCTGATAAAAAATAATGACGATGGTTTAAATGACAAAAAAGATGGCAGTAAACTGTGGCGGTGTCAAGAGATTGTATACGAGTCTGTATGTATGAATAAAATAGAAGACACAAATAAACATGGGGACAGAAGAAGCGGGAGAGAAAATGAAAGCAAAAGTTTGACAAGCCAAATAAAATAAGGGTCTACTTTTTTTAGGGAAAGGGGATCATAAAAAATTAATGAAATATAAAATATCTGCTATAAAAAACAAAGTACTTGAAAAATTTTCAAGCTATTCCCAATTGCGGATACCCCCCATTTGCAGCGCCTAGTCCTATACTCTTTCAGAGGAAAGCCAGCAAGAGTATAGATGGGAGTATAATTTGGCACAATCGATTAGAATGCCAGTCGTGTAAATTGTTCCGCCGCTCGAGCGAGAAAGGCGCCAAAACAGTCAGCTCACTATTTGTTCATACTCTCACTGTCAACCAAGGAGAAAATAAGTGAATCGAGGTAGTACGTGCTTGGAAATAGTGCTAGTTATTAATTTACACTGGATTTGACTCCCTCCCCTTCCCCCAGCCAACATTTTTAAAAAATATTGGATGCTAGGGAGGGAACAAAGCACTGGGGAGGAAAACGGGGGACGCGCTAAGACTCGGCGACAACATTGGGTCCCAGCGCAAGAGGGGAAATAATAAAGCGGATCCACAAGCCCAAAAATCCACTACGCTGCAGGCGCGGCACTTGGTATTATTATTTTTCCTTTGCGTATTTATTTTACACTAGGCAGGAGGAGCGCGATCCTCGCTTTAAAGCACGTCGTCGATCTCGGACAACTTAAAAAGGGTTTTACGCGCCTAAAGAAAGCAGCACAGAAATAACGCGTCAGGCAAAATTTTTATCAATTGAAAATGCTGCATACGAAAATCGCCGGGAAACCTGTAGAAACATATTTTTAAAACAAGGCGCTTTGACGCCTTTGTGAAAAACTATCGTTTGTTGAGAATGACAAACAGCACTTTCATTATTTTTTTACATACACTTTCAGATCATATTGTCGTGTGTTCGAGCTATCTCCATTTTTGAGACCAATTTGCAACTTTAAAAAGCGTACTATACCGCCCGCTTTGCGGGCAAACATTGATGGCAAATTCGTTTTGCCCATTTGGGAGCCTTTGAGGACCAATTCCCACGGCCCAACACTATTTTGCATGCGAATAATGGCAGCAGGGCGCCAATGTTCAGATTTCAATAACAAATATTATTTACAGACACGAGTTTTTTTTGTTTGCTCCGTCATTTACCCTATTCCTTATTTATTGGAACATGATCTGCCTACCAAACTCTCGTGGCCTGATTCCCAAAAAGGATTACTTGCCATGCCCAATATCCGCGCGCAGATCCTCAATGGCACCCTTGGCTCCGAACACGCAGGTGTATACGCCCAACGCGATGACAGCGGCGCTGAGGACCCGCATGTGCCATTTCACATATCCCAGCCTTTCAGCTTCAGGTAGCAAACGATAGGGATCACGCACACCATCAGCGACGTGCTGAACGCGCCAACAAGTGCCATTACGCTACCAAAATACGGAATTCCTAGCGCAACGCCAGTCATCGCTGCAAAGAACATGGTGCGGAAGAGCACGCGATAAACGAGCTCCTTGACGCGGCCCAGCTGCTCACACGTGATTCCCAGCGCGTTTTCCAATTCAAAGGCGAATGATGCGGCGATGATCGGCGCTGCGAGAATTACGTGCAGCGAGATCAACACCTTGGCGGCCTTTGTTGCAGCGTTCTGGGGCAGGTTGTCGAGAAATGGGGACAGAACCTGGTCGCCAAAGGCCCAGTACCCAACTATGCCGACAAGCAGATATGTGCCGGTGACTGTGCCCATTGCGGAACCCAGAACAGCATTCCACTGCTTTGGCCGCCGCATGCTCGACTCAATCGAGGGCATCACTGATACGCCGCAGAATGCAAATGTTATTGTTGCCATTGCAATTGCAACACCAGGGCCATCGGCCACCCGGTGCACTGCCGGGCGGTGCTCCACTGGCACAGCGCCATTGGATCTGTATGGGTACATAAACGACAGGGTCACCGCTATGAGGATCGTGATGATGCTTGTGAGAAAACCAAATAACGACAGCAAAAAGGCCTCAGACATCTGCTTGAGGCTAATGCAGGCCAGCCACATGATTGTGGCGCAAATTACCTTCCACGCAGCCTCGCCGATGTCGTGGCCGCTGTCGCGCGTCAGCTGGTGGAAGTTTTGCCCGGACAATATAATGTAGTCGCCGACCACCCCGACAACGTATATGAGGAGAAATATGTAGATGACTGTGCGCCCGGGCGTGCCGAATGCAGCGTACCCGATCTGATTGAAGTTGCGCAGCTGCCCATTGTTAATCAAGTTGAGCGCCCGGATGACCAGCACGCTGGACAATGTTCCAACAAAGCTTCCAATGCCTATTAGGAGCAGGCCAATCCATCCCGACTGCTGAAGGGTTTTGGGGAGGTTCAGTGCCCCGACGCCGATTATCACGCAGATTATATTGAGATACGCTCCAACTGATGACCCAGTGCGCTTGGGCTGCCCTATCACAGCGATCTGCCCTGATCCATCCCCTCAGTCTTTGCCCTGGTATCTGTATGTAGTTCCTTGTCTGTGATTTTTGATGGCGTACATGACTCGGTGCTGAAAGATCGTGTAATTAGGTGCGACATGCTGGTATGCAGTGTGTGTGTTTATGGCCAAATGATTTAAAAAATAAAGTTGGTTATGTGTATAGAGAATAGTATGCAAATATCAAAAAGTAAAATTAACCTGTCAATTTGACTTTGTCTTTTCTATTTGTACAAATGCGCAAAGCTGGCGCAAATACTAGGGTTCAGCTAACGGCAATGACGAAAGAGGAATTGAAAGAACACGGGGGCGTTTGCTCTACTGGGCAGAAGCGCCTCGACTAAGGCCAATGACGGCAGCAAGACATGTGTGCGTAAAAAGTCACCTTGAAATAAAAAAGCCTCGCGTAGTAATCATGTTTCAGGCGTGGAAGTGTTCATAATTGAATGACGCGCCAACATAGTTCTAGGTCACCTCAACATTAGCGTGGGGAAAATAATACACGGTAGATGTGCATGTGGATTCCTTGAGCAAATTAAGTACACTAGCCGCTACCCCAGAATGCGCGCAAACAATGCCTAGTGTTCATGAATTGAGCAAGCATTGATAACTTGCGTTTACAAGGTGGGTTTCAGAACTTTCAAACAAACCTCGCCCAATGAATTTTACAGGGCACCTGTACCTGTATACCTGTACCTGTGAGATAAATGTGACGTACATTGTCCCTTTTGTGGCGTGGCAGCGGTGACGACAGCGGCTTTTAAAAGTCAAAATAATCATCTGAGCTCTAATTATCTTACCTGTAGCGTGATTCGCCGGAGACCACAGAGTGGCGATTTCGAAGGCATTTTCCATACTATTCGATTTTGATTTCGATCTGCAGGCTGCTGTCCCTTTCTTTTTGGGCCTTGGAAAGGCAGGCTGAGACCGCGTCCGTCTGGGGCGGCAGGCCTGCGCATCACCGCTTGGCAGGATTTCCCTGGCGCACTGTCTTGGCGCTGCTACTGCCATCAAAAGTTTTTTGTGGATGTTTGCGTTTGCGCTTGCGTTTGCGTTTGCAGCCCGACTCAGCCCGGTTTTGACTGCTTTCGCTAAACTGCTGGATTTTAAATTCTAGCCAACGCCGGCGGCATGCGCGCGAGCAGTAAAAAAGGAAACTGCAGCGATTTTCTGTCAAGCTTTGAAGAGTGTGTAAAGTCACATGCATAGCTATCGTGCTAATTTGGCTGTGCTTTATTTTTATTGTTTATTAATCGGAGCGGCCGCCCCCTTTAACATTGAGCTGTGATGCGCGTTTGAGTTTATTCTTGCAATAATTCCGCCATGCCTGTTCGGTTTGGCTTTGCCATTTTCCACCTTTGATTGCTTTGCATCTCGTTCCTCGTCGGTATATTTATCAATCATTGCCTCCCAACACACACCAGACCCTCTAGCCTGCTTGCTTTTTCGCTCTCACTCGTTTTCTTTTATTTATTCATTCGTATTCTATATTTATTTTGCTGCATTATTTTATTACACTTTATATTTGTCCATATCAACTCGCACACGCACACACCCTCTCTCTCTCCGTTCCATTCTCTCCATTTATCCTTCGCACACACACTCACGCGCGCACCCGCTTGTTATTCCCGCCTACGCTGAAGCTCACGCCCCTACCCAACCCCCACACAGTCACTCACACTCACACACTCACAGAATCACCAGCGTACTTGGTCCGAGTTTAGGCGCACTACAACCCCTCGCTTCAGCTTAAAAACACAATTGCCCAGTAGGTAAGATATACCATAATACAGCTCCCAAGAAAGGAACCGGCTCACATATGAGCATAATAAAATAACCAAGTAAAAATAAACACTGCTGGCCCTGGCCCTCCCTCCTCATGTTCCGCAAGTGGTTTGCGCACATATCCAGGCACTACTTTTAATTTTGGTGAATTTGCCTACTGCGCTCACTGCTGGCATATCCAGCTGCATTGTTGTTATTGTTTTAAAAATAAGCAAATGCCCATTGTGCTGGCTGCGCAAAGGGGGATGACTTGCGAATTTAGAGTGTGTTTTAGCTATTGGCCTCGCCGTTCTCTATTTTATCCAGCGCATATACTCAACCGCGGACCCAGCACTCTCGCAAATGTGTTATATGCGGGCTAGTGAAGAGATACTGGTAAATATAAGTAAAACCTCTTTTCAAATGCGTACATCCAGACAAGCCCAGCCCAGCCAAGCCAAGCAGAATACAATGGCATATGCACATATACTATTTCTCCATTTCCTAATTTGGGTGTCCCGCATATGCTCCGAGTACAATTCTTGCGCAAGCATATCGTATTTTGAACAATTCAATTGTCCGAATCACTCTTGTTATTCCTATTTGGCCTTCTTTTTTGCGTTGTTCCAGAAATCTGCTTACACCTCATATCTTCCTTTCTCTAAGCGGTCCCCGGTCCATACAACAAGCCTGTTCTACTACTTTTATGGGCGATAATTGCAGCTAGTGTACATTCATGATCGAGAGGGTGGGCGCCCAAGTTCGCTTGTCTTCCTTTTTCCGCATGTCTTATTTTTTGTTTACGCATTGGCTTTTGCTTTGTGCAGAGATAATACGCTGTCCCTACTTTTTTGAGTTACTTTTCTTTGGTGTCTGCCATCTTTGGCTGTTGTTTCTCTGAGTTCTTTTTTGCCTCTTTGTCTTTGCGAAACAATAGGCGTCGGGTCAGACACTCTTTCACTTTGATAGAGTCGCTTGGCGACACATCTTTATGCATTTACCAAGCGAAGAATCCCATTGATGGGTGTCTCAATACCCGCTCACCCGATCGCTCTACTCATATATTTTTGTTGTTTAATTTACTTTGGTATTTGCATAGCAATCGCGCCCACCAATGGACACCAACATAACCATACCATCAGCTCTGAGACAACTGTTAGCACGCGGAACACAGCAGCAGCAGCAGCAATACAACCCTACCGATAGCATCAGTCATTCTGATGCCATGTATAACACTCACAACCAGCATGTCATGCCCAACAAGCTCACCTCAACAAAAAGCACGAGCAACCTCAAATCTAGCAGCTCGTTGGGCGCGTGGCTGTCCAAATATAGTCTCCGGCCCGGCGGCCGCCAGTCAGCCAAAACGCCAACTGACTCCTCCGCAGCATCGAAGCCAACAGCAATGTTTCTGAAACACTAATGCCAGCGGGCCAACACTCTCGAAGCATCAGCGGCAGTGACCTCGCGTCCGCAGCCTACATCACCAGTGTTGAGACAAGGGAAGCAAACGGCAATGGCGGCTCGGGTGAGTTGCGAGTCGGTGGGCTGCGCATGGGCCGCAAGCGGTTCCTTGTATACCGTATCCAAGTGACCGGGCAAAGAGGCCAGTGGTGGGTTGCACGGCGGTACAGCGAGTTTCATGATCTGTTCCAGACCTTGCGGCGGCTTTTCCCGCAGCAGGCTCACCAGTGGAACGAGCTGTTTCCCAGCAAAAGGCTTATTTTGGGGCTCAGTAGCTCCGCAGACTCGGTCATGCAGCGGCGCGAGCGACTCAACCTCTTTTTGCGCACTCTGACCCAGGAGGGAGTGGTATGCCGGTGCTCGGTCATGCAGCAATTCCTGCACGACGACTCAATTGACGTGGATACGGTCCCACTGGCTGAGCGTGTGATAGCTGAGCGCGAGACACAAAAGCCAGGATTCGTGGGCTTGCAACCGTTGTTCCACACAACCCAGCAACAGCAACAACAAGCGACCAAACGGTCGATCAGCAGTGGCAGCGCACTGCCCGGCATAGACCACTCGGCGCTGTACTCCCAGTGGCATTTGCCGGTTCCTGAGAAGTGGCAAAGCGCAGCTCCAGTATCAGGAAAACGGGCGCGCGAGTCCATTGATCGCATGGTGTCGATGCCTTCATTTAAAGGCGTGACTGCGAGCCAGCCGCGCTTTGACTATTCAATACCAATGCCAACTCAGCCGATCCAGCCGCTCATGGGAAATCATGGCTACTATTCGCTGGGCGCAGCCACAGGTCGCGGAGTCCAACAGCAGAATCCGCCAGCCGCAGATCATATCCACATGCAACGCAAGGTATCCAACCCTCTTGAGTACGCTAGTGCCGAGAAGCGGCCAAATGACAACATGCCCCAGTCCATGCGCAAAAAATATGGTCTGCGCCGCAACCTTCAGTATCGCAGCGACCGAATCGTCACAGCAAATACTTCTGTCAGTGCCGACAGCTCTCACACGCAGTTCACACGCACTCCCAATACGGCGGCAACCTGATTCCCGGTGACAGCGACTATGTGATGGTTGACGACATTGATATTCAAACTGACGCTGAGCGCACCCTACGTGGCGGGAGCGTTGACAGTGACATTGACATGTCAGTTAGCAGGGGTGGCGGTCCAGGAAACGTGCGTGGACGCAGCATGGCGCCCCCCGTAGAGCGCCGCTCGGCGGCATTGGGAAGAATCGCAGAATGCCCAAAGAAGATCTGGCTGTCATTTCTATAAAAAACCAGGCGCGCAGTGGCAAGCGACATAACGCTGCAGCATACAGCCACCCTCAGAAGGACATCACTACCAATGGCACTGCTGATGACGACGACACCATCGACGCCGATGCCGACAGCATTAATCGTTCTTCGCCCGCCAATGGGTCGCATAAGGTCTCTCTTGATGACTTCCAGTTGCTCAGCATTATTGGCAAGGGCAGCTACGGCAAGGTCATGCTTGCCGCTACAAGGACACGGGCAAGGTCATGGCGATCAAGGTTATTTCAAAGTCCAAGCTCCGTGGCCGCCCCAACGAGATCCGTCGCGTCATGTCGGAGCGCAAGGTCCTCGAGCGCACTGTCGAGCACCCTTCCTTGTTGGCCTGCAGTGTGCGTTCCAGACCAAGGAAAAGCTGTTCTTCTGTCTGGACTATGTCAACGGTGGCGAGCTGTTCTTCCACCTGCAGCGCGAGCGCAGATTTGGCGAGAATCGCTCGCGGTTTTATGCAGCTGAGATTGCATCTGCTCTGTCCTATCTCCACAGTATGGACGTTGTCTACCGCGATCTAAAGCCCGAAAACTGTCTTTTGGACGCGCGTGGACATGTCCGCATAGTTGACTTTGGCCTGGCAAAGGAAGTCGGACCGGTGGTCTGGCGCACCGAGGGCTCTGCGTTGTACTCAGTCGAGGAGGGCGGCAAGACCGGTACCTTCTGTGGCACTCCTGAGTATCTTGCACCCGAGGTGCTGCTGCGCCAGCGCTATGGCAAGGAAGTTGACTGGTACTGCCTAGGCGCCGTTATTTACGAGATGCTGACAGGTTTGCCGCCGTTCTATCATCAGGATAATAACACCATGTATCAGCGTGTGCTCAGCGAAAACTTGCGCTTCCCAACATCGCTTCCACCTCCAGCGCCGTGCAACGGTGAAATGCATCCTGGAAGCGGAAATATTGCGAGCAATTCTATTGGCCGGTATGCGCAAGACTTCGTCTTCCAGATAATGAAGCGCGATCCGCAAGACCGACTTGGCCACGGCGTGTTTGGTACTGAAAACGTTAAACGTCATCCCTTCTTCCACGGAATAGACTGGGGCAAGATCTATCGCCAGGAGTACGCGCCGCCATTTGTGCCCAAGGTCAGCTCAATATTTGATCTCAGCAACATTGACCCCGAGTTCCGAAATGAGCCTATCCCCGAGTCCATCCTTGCCGAGGGCCAGATCGACCTTCTCGCTGAAACTGCCGAGGCCGAGCGCCAGACTGAGCTCGCCATGCAGGCAAAGCTAATGGCATTCCCTTCGCCAATGTCTAACCATGCGTCTAACCGCACGCTTGTTGACAACAGGGCCCAGGCCAGCTTGCTGCTAAATAATGAAAACATTATGGCGGCTATGTCTGCCGCTAGGCGCAACGCTGAGATGGACTCGACTATCGATGCCTTCCGAGGATTCTCCTTTGTATCGCCGTGGGTCGATGCTCCAGAGAACGATTAGTCGGAAAAACGTTACCATTTATCATTTTATCCTTTCCATTTTTATTATAAATATTCACATTACAAAGTTTAGTCTTCAACTCAAGTGGTTATAAAAAAGTTGTTCAAGTTGCTTTATTAATCACTTTATGAGGACAATGTAAATGTGGGCGAGGCTGTCTACCACCTAGGCGAAGCTCAGTCTGGACCGAAGTCTGACTCCAACCACATGCAGGAACTACAAAAACTAAAACAGCTAACGTAGCCCCCAGAACCAATAGGCTTTATTGTGTTGGGTTCGACCCTCTATCCTCACTGAACTCTGCCCTCTTCATCTTGCAGCGGTTCCAATTCTGACCAGGTTGTGATACGACTTTCTGAACTCCACAGTCTGTCCATGCATGGTCTGTGGCCACTTGGAGGTTTGTTATGCTAGTTGTTTTCATGTTAGCGGCGCTGGAGATGCCGCTCACTTGCCATAGCTTGTTATGATAATACAATGTATTATTTGATTACGAATAAATTATGTTTAAGGAATGGAAGTATATAGAAAATATATTTTGTTAAATGTGTATGTTCTATGAACAGATAAAAAGAATATAATGCTATGTATTTAATAAGGTGTATACTATGAGTGCTATGCACTGGAGAGGTAAAAAAATAATAACCATATAATGTGTCACTGTGTGACTAAAAGGATAAGCAGTATGGTGCAATTATACCTGGCTGCGCCCAGCTCCAGCAGAGCAACAACATCAATGAAGGCTGGTTGAACAGTTGATCCCAATCAACTAATACATTTCAAGCAAAAGCTAATGCTTGATTTAAGTATGCGCTTAATAATGAATAAACTTTTATTTTTGACATGGAGACAATAATGTTAGTTTGAAAAGACAAGTTCACATAGAAAGGGGTATTTAACCTTTTAAACATGCTGCATCCACTTATTGTAAAGAAAGTTTCACTCCAATTATAAAAGAAAAACAGCTTGGCTTCCTAGTTAAAAATAATAACTATGTATTGCTCATTTATTATAGTGACATAGATTCATTGAACCGATACAATCATTTGTTGCGCAGCCCAGGATATGGAAGTGGATGTTGAGCTTGAGAATCGCGAAACAGGTTTCCATCTGCATGCCGATTGATAGGGTATTGATTGGATTATGCAGGCGTAAATCAGGGAGGCATAATAATGACACCCGAATATGCTCCCATTTCGCGATGAATACGCGCGAGCGCACACATACGAAAGCCACAACATTGACTTGCCAAGATGCCGGTCTGCTCGCAGAAGAACCAGTTTTCGCCAACAGAGTGCACAACTGGCGAAGTGCACAACAAAGGCAACGAGATACATATATAAGATGAGGCCATCCCTAGTTCTACTTTTGATTCCCTTGATAATAAAAACTATAACAAAACCCAACCATACTTTTAATACTAGACAGTTGGTGCCCCCCCTCAAATCACAACAGTCCCAACTTCATTTGGACAAAGTAGTCAATGTTTATGCCATAGCTGATATTTTGAAGCATCTGCCCAATCTCAGACGTTTGGAAATAAAAATTTCAAGTGCCAGCGCCGCAGGAAATCAGAAACGTTTGCGATATACAAACACTGGAAAGCCCAGTCCAGCTCTAGCCACTAATCTTCAGACTCTTGTAATTAATAATTACAGACACTTTGAAGAAGGATATGTGGAAAGAGAATTGAGCATATTGCTTGTCCAGATTAGATCATTGCAATTACTTTGTGTTCCAGTCAATTTTATTGACCAAATGCTCGAACTTACAAAGTACTATGGCCAGGTTTATCCCCATGTAAAATCACTACAGGTTACCGAAACTAAAAATTCAAGCGGACATATTTGCAGACAATATTATGAATCAGATTCTGATGTGCCTTTATATTCCAATTTTAGTGATGATGGTGGTTTTTGATTCTTCTGACAATGATAATTCTAGTTATTAGGACTATGCATCTGTTTTAGGTAGAAAATAATTTAGTTTTTTAGATCGCGTGTATTAATAAATGCGTGTTTTAGACAATTAAAATATTAAAGATATACTTAACTTGTAGGCAAATATTCAGTGCTGGGGAGTTTACGGAATAATATGTGTGAGTTATTCTCATGTGGATGCACTGGGTACTGCTAAAGTTGATTCTGCGTTCTATTATGATTCCGAGACTGGTTTTAATTAGTACCAACACTGTTGGTATTCGTTGTTAAAAATATAATTCAATAAAAAAACCCAACAATTCACATAAATATATTTGCATACAGATTTCCAACGTGAATATAGACAATAAACACCACTACCCTTAAATTTTAATTTGTTCATGCAGCGCACAAAGCCCAGTGTGTATAAATATTTTATATCGTTCAAAAAAAGCTCAATTATTATGTTTCATCTTTTTTTAACTTTGCAAACTTTTGTATTATTCTATTGAATACCAAAAAAGGCGGAGCTGAGTGATGAGCTGAGCAAGTTTATTCCAAAAGATTTTGACAAAAAGAAAAGGCAACCAGCCAGGGTAGCATCAGCAGCGACGACACCAACAAAAAAAGAGACGACAAAATACGTTCAGGTTCACCGGCCCGAGATGAACCAACAATGGGCGCATCATTATCACTAGCAGAAACAGCAGCAGGAGCAGGTGGCCGCAACATGCGTGAATACAATTCTGGCGGTAGAAAAACCTCGCCAAATATTATGCCATGGCTTGCTCCAGTGCATAATGGAAGACTGCCTGCAAACCTTCAGGGCGACGGAACCAAGGTCAAGAATGGCGAAAAAGTATCATCAGCCAGATGAAAGTGGAATCGTGATACGACTGCAGTGCTAAACTTTCGCATAATCCTCAATGCCCTGCTTACAGGCAATCGTCCTCCCCGTTTCTTGCGCAATAATGCATCGCCAGAGTCGGCTGAAGCCGAGTCTACAGCGACACCCGAGACTTTGCTCAAGCCAAAGCCTAAGCCCAAGCGTGTGCACACGAGCCCATCTGCCCCAGCTTCTTCTCTTCAAAAGAAGCAGCGAGCTGGATAATATCGTCAACCATAGTGGTCTATTGCCACTAGTTTCTAAACACCTGTCAGTTGCTATGCAATGATGGCAAGGATGTCGATTTGCAGTATACTTGAAGTCTTATTCTTTTCTTATAGTGTAAATGGACCAGACATCGTCATTTATAGCGCAAGAAAGTGACGCGCATACTACTATCAATTAAGCGTGGTATTTTAATCGGCATGAGTGTGCAATCGCACTAAATTATAGCCTGATCGCGAATCAAGCACGTGTATTATTTTCAACGACGGAATCGGCGTAACCTGAGGCAAACACACATTTGCTTTTGTTTATACGCGCATCGTTTTACAGTGTTCAAGTACGCTTGTATTTTTTTGTGTTTTTCTTTGAAATTTCAACCAATTTATTCACTTTTTTAATACTCTTTTTTTTTTTTTTTTTTTTTTCTCGTTTAAAAAATTTAGAATTACTGAAAGAGTGGCGAGTCTGCCTTTTTTTATAACAAGGTAAGAACGGGCACGACGTACTGAACAAACAAGCCACAAACACTTACCACCCACTTTTTCATTTGTTGGCAAAACTAATTTTTTATTTATTAAATTTGCACTTTGAAGAAACAATTAGAAAATGTCAGACCTTGACGACTTTGAGGCAGACGCGGACGCAAGGCACAGTCCTACTCGGATAGCGACGAGGAGGGGTCCGACACGTTTGACACGCGCAGAAAGCACTACTCGGACGACGAAGAATCTGAAGATTCCGAGGACGACAATGACGACGAGCTGCGCCGCGACGGGTTTCTAGTCGATGACGACGAAGTCGAAGAAAACGTATCCGACGGGGAGGAGCGGCGGCAGCGGAGAAAGAAAAAGAAGCGCAGACACGTCGAGCACCCGGACAGTGACGATTTGCTGGACGACGAGGATCTGGCGCTGGTGGCCGAGAACACCAACCAGAGATACGAGAGTACAAGCCAGGCGCGCGAGAAGGGATCAAAGTTCAAAAGGCTCAAGCGTGGGCGCGGCAGACAGTCCGGTGGCGATGCCGAGGATGAGGATCTGAAGGCCGAGCTCGATGACCTAATTGACAATGGTAGCGACAATGGTGGCGGGTTCGACGAAGACGACGATGTCGATGATCTGGGGCTGTTTGGCAACGACGACAGCAGGCCAGGCAGGCGCAACGAGCGCGGCGGCGGCGGCGGTGGCGGCAGAAATGAAGGCCGCGGCAGAGCTGCGCGCGATATGTCGGACGAGGACGAGGACGACGACAACAACGACGACGCGAGAGGAAGGTCCGGCGGGCGGCGCTACGACGACGTGGTCGATGTGCCGCGGCGGTCGCGCGCAGAGGGCAGCGGCAAACGGCCCGCAACGGCAGCGGCGGGTGCGGCGGGTGCGGCTGGGCGCAGCGACTTTTTTGTCGACAACATCGAGAACATTGACGAGGACACGTGGATGGAGCTGCAGGACATCTTCGGCGATGGCGAAGAGTACGCGTTTGCCATGGACGCGCACCGGCAGCACGAGGAGGACGGGTACCGGGAGAAGACGCTGGCGGAGGTGTTCGAGCCAGCCGAGCTCGAGGCCAAGCTGATGACGCAGAGCGACGAGGACATCCGCACGCTGGACATTCCTGAGCGCATCCAGATGCGGCTGGGGGTCGGGCGCGAGGCGCTGCGGCCGCTGAGCGATGACGAGATTGAGGAGGAGACGCGTGGGTGGTGCGGCGGCTGCACGCGTGGATGTCGCAGCGCAACAGCAGCAGCAGCAGCGCCGACAACGAGGACGACCCGCAGCTGTTCCAGCAGGTCGACTTTGTCAGGGAGGAGTTCCTGGCGTCGGTGCTGTCGGTGCTGCGCCTGATGTCGCAGAACTTCTTCGAGGTGCCGTACATCGCGCGCCACATGCGCGACGCGTTCGTGACGCCCGTCGGGCGCTCGGACGGCTCCGGCGGCGAGGACGAGCGGCGCGAGTGGCTGGCGACCAACGACCTGTGGCGGCTGTCCGACTACGACCAGCAGTTCCGCGGGCTGCTGGCGTCGCGCCGCGCGGCTGAGCGGCTGATCGACCGCCTGGCGCGCGCGGGCCTGCTTGTGCCCGCCGACGAGCAGTACGCGCGCGAGACGCTCGAGGCGCCGGCCAGCGTCGAGGAGGTCAACGACGTCAGCGAGTGGCTGCAGGCGCGCTACGCCGGCGCGATCAGCACGCAGCAGCGGCGGACGCAGGAGGGCGGGCGCGCGCGCAAGCGCGACGGCGCGTGGGAGCAGATCCAGCGCGCGGGGCTCGACGCGTTCGTGGCGGCCAGCGGGCTGAGCGCGCGCCAGGTCGGCGACAACACCGTGCAGCCCGGCAGGCACACGCCGGCGCGCAGCAGCCGGGCGCCGCTGGACGTTGCGCGCTCGCTTGTCGGGCAGCACTTTGCGTCGGCCGAGTCGGCGCTGCGGGCGGGCCGCGCGGCCCTGGCGCAGGCGCTGGCGCTGGACCCGCAGGTGCGGCGCTTCGTGCGCGCATACTGCAGCGAGCACGCGTGCGTCGTGGCGCGCGCGACCGAGCGTGGGCGGCGCGAGATCAGCGACGAGGAGCACCCGGCGTTCGCCGTCAAGTTCCTCAAGCAGAAGCCCGTCGCGGCCTTCAGCGGCTCGGTGCAGTGGCTGGCGCTTGACAAGGCTGTGCGCGGCGGGCTGGTGCGCCGCGAGTTCTCGCTCACCGGCGAGAGCCGCTTCGACGCCCGCGACCCGACGCGCGACGCCGACGTGTTTGCTGCCGACGCCGAGCGCTCGGCGCGCGTGGTCGCCGGGCTGCTGGAGCAGTTTGCCAGCTCGGCCGCCGGCGACGACGCATGGGACGCCGAGCGTCGCGACGCGCTGTTTGCCGCAGTGCGCGACCACGTGCTGCCGCTCATCTGGCGCGAGACTGCGCAGCGGCTGGCGACGCAGGCCTTCGACGTTGTCGCCGACGCGTGCCGCCGCGCGCTGGAGCGCCGCATCGACATGCAGCCGCCGCGCACGCCGGGCATGGCCGAGGGCGCAGGCCCGCGCGTGGCCGTCGTTGCCGGCGGCGGCTTTGACGCGAGCTCGCGCGGCGCGCTGCGCGTCGCGGTGGTCGACGAGAACGGCTGCGTGCGCGCCGAGTTCAGCGCCGACTCGATGCGCGTCGACGGCGCCGGCATTGGCGGCGGGGGCAACGGCGTTGCGGCGCTGATGGACGCCATTTCCACGCACGCGGTCAACGTCGTCGCCGTCGCCGGCATGAGCCTGCAGACCCGCCGCCTGTTCGACGACGTCAACGCCGCCGTCACGGCGCACGGCGCCAATGTGCTTGTGACGTACGCCAGCGACGAGGTCGCGCGGCTGTGGTGCGACACCGCTGCGGCGCGCGAGGAGCTGCCGGCGCTGCGGCGCGAGGAGCGCTACTGCGTGGCTGTTGCGCGCACGCTGCAGGACGCGCCCGCCGCGTACGCGTCTCTGGGCGCGCGTGTGCTCAGCCTGCCGCTGCATTCTGCGCAGCGCGACGTGGACCAGGGCGCGCTGCTCGCCGTGGTCGAGCGCGCGTTCGTCAACGTTGTCAACCGCGTGGGCGTCGACGTCAACCGCGCAGCAGCCCATGCGCACCTGCAGCCGGCACTGGCCTTTGTCGCCGGCCTGGGCCCGCGCAAGGCGCAGGGCATCGTGGCGCGCATTGGCGGCGTCGACCGCGCGCTGGAGTCGCGCAACGATCTGATCATCCGCAACCTTATCACGCGCGACGTCTTTGTCAACTGCGTCGCTTTCCTGCGCGTGCGCCCGGCCACTGAGCCGCTCGATGCGACGCTCATCCACCCGGAGGACTACGACTTGGCCCGCAAGATGGCGCTCGACGCACTGGACATCGAGGATGACGCCGACGACGGCCGCTCCCGCCGCCGCTCCGACGCACCGTCGCGCTACGTCGCCGAGGTGATGCGCCGCGCGCCCGAGAAGCTCGATGAGCTTGAGCTGTCCAAGTACGCCGACGAGATCAACCGCCTGACGAAGACCCAGAAGCTCGAGACCCTCAAGTTCATCCGCAACGAGCTGCAGTCAAAGAACTCCGACCCGCGCCCCGAGTATGTGCAGCCGTCGGACGCCGATGTGCTGCACATGATGACGGGCGAGACCATCGGCGAGACGCTCAAGGAGGACGGCTCCTGCGTTGTGGCTGCCACGGTCATTCGCGTGCAGCCGCGCTTCGCCATTGCGCGCCTGGACTCGGGCCTTGAAGGCTTCATTGGCATCGCCAACGTGTCCGACCAGCGCATCGACGAGGTGTCGAGCGAGCTGGCGCCCGGCCAGGCCGTCGTTGCGCTGGTTAAGCGCATCGATCTTGAGAAGATGTCGCTGGACCTCTCCATTCGGCCGTCGGACGTGTCACAGGCCGTCGGGCGCCTGCGCCAGCCGCTGCCCGACGCCCATGCTGTCGACGTGTACTTTGACATGGATGCCGAGGCCGCCCTGCGCGAGCGCGCCAAGGCGCAGCAGAACAAGGCTTCGGCGCGCACCCGCAACATCCCTCATCCGCTCTTCAAGCCGCTGAATGCCCGCGAGGCCGAGCACTATTTGGCAGCACGTCCGCGCGGCGACTGCGTCATCCGGCCGTCGTCGCGCGGCGTCGACCACATTGCAGTGACGTGGAAGGTTGCCGAGGGGCTTTTCCAGCACATTGATGTGCGCGAGGAGGGCAAGCCCAGCGACGCAGCGCTCGGCCACACTTTTATTGTCGGCGACTCTGCGTACACCGATCTGGACGAGCTTGTAGCGCTGCATGTTGACCCCATTGCGCGCAAGCTGGACGAGGTTAAGCGGAGCCCCAAGTTCTACGACCCCGAGAACGACCCACTCTATGCTGCGGAGCCCGCCGACCATGTCTTGGGCCCCAACGATTTCACCGAGGACTACCGCAACCGCCGCCTGGCACTCTGGGACGCCCGTATCACTCGCCACCTTGACACCCTTGCTCAGAGCACTGGCCGCGGCGCCTACTGCATTTGCCTCAGCCTGTCCAAGCCCGGCGCCCTGCTGCTGGCCTTCAAGCCCACGCCGGCGTATCGCGGCATCACAAAGTGGACTGCGCGCGTTGAGCCTAACGAATACCGCCTGGGCGATCGTGGCCGGTACCCGGATATCAACGGTCTTATCATTGGCTTCAAGACCATGCAGATGAACCCACGGCGTTGCAGAAGAATAGCGCTTCGGCCAATGCGCGCGGTGAGTCATCGTCGCGTCGCGAGTCATCTTACCGCTCTTCTCACAATGCTGGCCCATCTTCGTCTAGTCGCTGGGGAGATAGGGAACAGCGGGATGCAGATGCAGATCGGTACAGAGACCGCGACAGCAGAGACAGAGGTCGTGATTATGACAGGGACCGTGATAGAGACAGGGACAGAGGCAGAGGCAGAGATGGTGATAGGGACAGAGCGAGAGACAGAGGCAGAGACCATGGCAGCAGGGATTACGACAGAGACCGGGACAGGACAGAGACAGAGACAGAGACAGGAACAGAGACAGGGATAGGTCGTCGCGCCACAACCACAATTCTGCTGCCAGTGGAGGTGGTGGAGGCAGTACCGGATGGGACGCTGCCCCTGCTGCGTCATCCTCATCTCACCGCCACTCTTCAAACACAGCATCCGCCAGTGGATGGAACATTTAAATTCATTTCCATATTTTATATTTATACTTTATACTTTATATTGAGTATCAGGCTTTTTTTCATTATATTTTTCATCTTGTTTACATTGAAAAAATTGATACTACTGCTACGATAACACCCAATCCCATCCATGCGTTGGCTTTAGCATTAGCGGATCCGTACATTTCCGGGTCCATTGTTGGAAGCATCGCCTGACCTTTGAGCTCTTTCTCCTCCTTCGATTTGAAGCTGTTTCTCTTCTCTCCCTTTGCCACACTGCTACGGCTTCCCTTATTTTTTGGTTCCACTGACTCCTCATCCGTCTCCACACGCCTTGCGCTCACAGTGTTTGATGCCTTGGGCTTGGCTTCCTTGGCCACTACAGTTGAACTCGCGGCCTCCTTGCCCTTTGGCGAAGACTTTGGCGGCAAAGGCTTTCCTGTGTTGCCACAGCTTTCTTATGTACAACTTCTTCCCTCTGCTCCTGCTTTTCACGTTGGCCGCCTTGCCATCGGATCCGTCCATATCAGCCTCATCCTCTTTTTCAGCCAACCTCTCGTCGATGTAACTGGCACAAACCAGGCGATATCTCTTGAGAGAGTTTCTGTAGGCTACTTTCCATGTGACGGTATTGCCGCAAAGTCCGAGGCATTTGATTTCGGCCTCATGGTAGGCGCAGGCGCGGTTGCCGCTGCTTTTACCAATGTCTTCAGGGATTCGGTTGATGCACATGTTGGTTACGTCGTCTTGGCTGCTGTCGCAGGCCTTGACATATTCGATGCCGTTATTGGAGGAGCCACCACTCTTGCCTTGGATAAAACTAAAGTTCAGAATAAAGATAAACAGAAAAAGTGGGGTTGATAATTGCCAGTACATATTTAAAAAAAAAAAAATTTAGTGCGGTTTATTCTTTGTTGTAGAAAAGAAAGTGTTAGTAAAGCTGTAAAAAATTGTGCTTAGTTATTTGAAAAATGCGTTAATTAAAGAGAAAGAAACTTTTTAAGCGTATGCATTATTTTTTCGTTGAAAATAAAAGTGTTTATGTTTCTAAATGAAAAGATAAACTTGAATGACTTTTTTTAATAATTGAAATTGATTGTACACGTTGAACATTTAGCATGGATTCGTTCCCCCACACATACCCCTTTTAACTTTATTTTAACCACCACCACCACCCTCCCCCCACACACTCTCGTTGTTTAAGTTAATTAGTTATGTTAGCTGGTCCATGCTTGTTTTGGTTTCACAAAGGTGCGTGGGCTAAAATAAGATTAATAAAATATATCATGAAAAGCGTGGCTTTTTTTGACGCACACGCTTTGAGAGAATTCAATATACAATGATGATGTATAATGTATAATTGATTTGATTTAATTTAATTGTTCATAAACATACTAAAGTCGTTACAAATACTTAAAATAACGCGCCAAATGGGTAGATTGCAAAGGCTAAAAAATTAAATTTAAAATAAAAAGTCGGTGTGGTCTTCAAGAAAAACAAGTTGCTGCTTCGTATTATAATAAAACTTTTAGTGTCATAATAAGAGGGTGGTGTGATGAGCACTAGTTGTCTAGTGTTAAAAATGTAGGTGTGATTTTATAAAAGGTTTTATTACTGATGTTTCTAAAATACTACTAGGGCCGGTCTCATCTTATATATTGCCTCGTCGCCTTTGTTGTGCACATTGTCAATTGTCGCTCCGTTGGTGAGAACTGGATCTTCTGCGAGCAGACCGGTATCTTGGCAAGTCAATGTTGTTTTCGTGCGTGTACGCTCATGCGTGTGCATTGCAAAATGGGGAGCATGTTTGAGCATCAATGTAATGCCTCCCTAATTTACGCCTGCATGATCCAATTAGTGTCCTATGATCAGCACGCAGGTGGAAACCTGTTTCGCGATTCTTGGCCTCAACATCCACTTCCATATCTTTAGTCTGTGTAACAATAGATACTGTAAAATAAAACTTGGTGCTTAAGCACAAAACTACACGTTAACTACACTAATTACTTGTATGTTTTAAAAAGGCATGCCTAGCAAATTGGTATGCACATTTATTTATCGTGTTATTGTGATAACATTATAATCCAGCTTGCCCTTAGCAATTGATCAATGGATCAATCATTGGTTGTTTTCTTAGCTGGACATGTGGGCATCACACTGGAATATAAATAGCAGAGTAATACGAGTAATTGGTGCTGTCATTCATTAGCATTGTTTTGGTTAAATAAATACTTCTTTGGTATACCAAACTCATTGCCGAACAAAGAGAGTATGCTACACTTTGAAAATAATTTTGAATTGCAACCAACCTACATTGATGGACTAGCCTGTCCAAGTTTTAATTGAACGTAGTGGTTGGAGTTAGCGGCTTGACTGGGCTTTTTCAGTTTTTCCTAATCTCAAAAACTTGAAAATCAAATGTTTCAAGTGCTAAAGTCGCAAAAAAATAGAGCTGTTTGCTATTAATAAGAAGTTGGATAAGCCAGCGGCACCACTTGCAGCAAACATTTAAACTATTTTAGTTGATAGTTACATACATTTTGAAGAAAATATATGGTGAAAAATTAACCATATTGACTGTCTAGATAAGATCGTTAAAGTTGTGATGCATTCCAATTGATATTGGCCATAACTTGAATAAAACAACAAAACAGTATGTAGGTGCGTTTACTCACAAAATTTTTTGAATAACAACGTCTTACTTTTAAGTGTAATAAAATATAAAATATATTTTATGCTGTTTTCCAATGCATATACATGTTTTTGTCAAAACTTATTTGTGACGTATAAACCATGTTTAGGCAAACAAATATCATTTGCATTATTTAATTAAGTAATTTGCAAACCGACAACGGTGAATGTTATTTTTTTGCATTGAATAAAATATTGATTTGGAAGGTTCATAATAGCAACTTATATACATACAAAGATGTCAAATCACCATGCATGCAATAGACGGATTGTAATTAAATCAACGATTTTTGATTTTTGATTTAATTAAATAGAATGTAAAAGTATTAAATGCGTGCAAAGAAAGTGGAAAAGCTTTTACAGAAAGTCAAGCTGCGGTCACTTAATATAAACAAGTCCTTTTGGTTATTGTAAAATAAAACCTTGGTTTTACATACAAAAAATTGCACATCAACTGCAGTACTCGTTGGTTTTCAAAAAAGCCTAGTAAATTGGTATGTACATTTCTTTTCTCCAGTCATCTTTATTATTCAATATATACTGTACGACTTTTAAAATATATCTACGCTTATTATGTCTATTGCCAACGCCAACGTCATTGCCAGTCGTTTGCTGTCCGATATCTTTGCCTGAGTTATTGCCTACGTTGTCGAGGAGCCTGCTTACTTGAAAATTGGAAATCACTTATTCCAATTTTGGCGGTCTGTCACAATTGGAGAGAAGCAGCAAAATCATTCGTGTATCGCACAGTCTATATTGAATACAAATATACAGCTCGGTATATTTTTAGTACCAATAAACAAAATACAAGCTGCTTTAATGTGTATAGTAACATTAAAGTGGCACATACCACGGGCAACATCAATTTGCAAAATAATTGCGTATCGACTTGGAGGATTTGTCGACAATGAATAACTTTATTAAAAAAGTGAAAACCATATTGCCAGAGAATTGCTTAAATGGTTCAAACATTACATCTCTGTATTACAAAGATAGGGAGCATTTTTTGATATCAAGAAGCATACCAGAATATCAGAAGCAGTCAAACAAGCTATCGCGCTTGTCATAAAAGACCTACCCAATATAACAAAGGTAAACATAGTTTCTAATTCAAAATCAACCTCAAGAACCAATGCCCATCAGTGTTTACATGATAATTATGTGAATCAGCTTGTATCATTCAAATGCAACTCAGGTGTTGACCTTTCTGAATATAGGCTTTCAAATATACTTTCAACTTTGTCTATCAGTTTCAAAAGCATGTCAAATTTGCTTTCAAGCATAAATACCGAAGCTCTCAGGAGATTGCATCTAACTAATATTAAAACCACATATACTTGGTTATACACTGACAGCCAAAATAAAACATACATGCCAAAGTTTCCCAATCTGACGGACTTGTAATTGGATTTTGATAAACGCGATCTTGCCCTAATCTACAATGGTGATGATAATTTCAAGAATTTTATGAATAAAATGTTCTTTTTTACGGATGGGAATGATTTTATCCAGTTACCAATACTTAAAAATTTGTTAGTTAATATTCCTCTAACCCTTCAAAGGATATTTGAAGACAACTTGACTTACCTATTTAAGATAGATAAAGATAAACCATCACGGATAAACATCGGCTGGATTACTCAATTGGCGGCCCAAAATAAAATAATTTATGTTACCAAAGCGTATGGGCCCGGGTGGGTAGACAAAAAATATCGATTTTGGAAAGATACCAAATTATATACCAGATAACAATTTGGTTGATATTAATCCGTATTTTAACAAATATATACTGCAGAATATTGGTGAAAATCTTTTGTTATATCCCAGCAGTATAGATACCTTCAGGTTGTGTGAACTCCAATTAAGTATGGTTGCTAATATTATCGAGATATCCAACATTATACAACATCTGCCAACTCTCACACATCTGGAAATAAGATGTTTCAAGTGCCAACGCCACAGAAAGCCAGAAACATTTGCCATATATGAATCATTAGAAAACCAGTCACATTTCTAGTTACGAAACTTCAACGCTTGACAATTAATTGTTACAGACATTTTGAAGAAAAATATGTGGTGAGATAATTAGGAATATTGGTTATCCAAATTAGATCACTGCAGTCGCTTTGTATTCCTAAAGAATTTATTAGTGGCGTATCTGAATGTGTAGAGCACTATGGTCAGCTTTATCCTTATATCAAGTCCTTAGAGATTACTAAAGTTGATTATAGGTTTGGTTTTGAGCCCGATTTTGAATCCAGATTTGATTCCGATTTGCATTCTGATTTTGAAACCGATAATGAATTCGTTTTTGAATCATATTAAAATTTTAATTTTGATACATTATACATTATACACTATTGGATTTAATATTGGTATTGGTTTTGATGTTGATATCGCTTAATTGACAATTTTAATTGCACGAAAGTGCTGTATTGTGTCAAGCAATGGGTGTTAGTGCAAACCGAGATTTTATTAGTACAGCTATTGCAATGAATTATTCTGTAAGCGCTACCCAGGTCTGGATAATTCCCAAACCCGCCACCCCTGGAATAAATTTTGTTATAGTGGCATGTAGCCAGGTATGAAATAGAGCCCATGACGAGCAAGGTGGCATAGTAGATAATGAGTCTCATTCATAATCTTTAGTATTTGTAATTTACTTGTTTTATATCTTGCAATCTGGGCAAACGAAATAAAAATCGTATTTTGCGCGCATTTCCCTTCACGTCCTCACCACCATCCCTCCCCCCCCCCAAAAAAAAAGTGATGTACCCAACTGCATAACATTTTTTAAAGTGTAAGCAACCGGAGGAGACCCGGCGGAGCAAGGATGCAGGCATTGTTTTTGGGCTTCATCATTATCGCCTTTATTACTTTCGGAATTCTATTTTCAGTAACTTTTCAATCTTTTAGGCTAATTCAGTTTGCACGTAAAATAAAAGTCACACATTTTCAGATACACTATAAGAAAAGAATGAGGCTACAAATATCCTGCAAACCGACATCCTTCCCCCATATAAAGTGTTTAGAACTAGTGGCAATAGACCACTATGGTTGACGATATTATCCAGCTCGCTGCTTCTTTTGAAGAGAAGAAGCTGGGGCAGATGGGCTCGTGTGCACACGCTTGGGCTTGGGCTTTGGCTTGAGCAAAGTCTCGGGTGTCGCTGTAGACTCGGCTCGGCTGACTCTGGCGATGCATTATTGCGCAAGAAACGGGGAGGACGATTGCCTGTAAGCAGGGCATTGAGGATTATGCAAAGTTTAGCACTGCAGTCGTATCACGATTCCACTTTCATCTGGCTGATGATACTTTTTCGCCATTCTTGATCTTGGTTCTGTCGGCCCTGAAGGTTTGCAGGCAGTCTTCCACTATGCACTGGAGCAAGCCATGTCATAATATTTGGCGAGGTTTTTCTACCGCCAGATTGTATTCACGCATGTTGCGGCCACCTGCTCCTGCTGCTGCTGCTGCGCAACCAACCATCGCGTATCCTCTGTCCGATTTTGCGCTCGATCTTGCCTCGCGACCAGCCGCTCAGCCTGACAATGTGCTTGAGATTATCGCAGGCTGGGTATTGATGTACTTGCTCCCGATTTTGCTCAGCTAGCTCATCCCACAGCTGCTGTTTCACCTTGCGGGAAATATTTCGCTTAGACCAGCTCTTTTCCTCCCCCATCACCGGATGGTATCATCAGACTGTGGACGATAGACACGCACTGGTTGCGACTCTGCTGTGCACTTTCTGTAAAAGATGCGGTGTCGGCGCAGTTGTGGTTGCAACAGGATCAGCAGCAGCGGTAGTTTGTTGTGGCTGCGACGGAATTGTATGAATATATTACATCGTCAATCGTCACGCTTAACCAATAGCCAAAGCACCAGTCAGACGCAAGCATTAAACACTTCCTTGCATCTTCAATAAGCTGGGCTTTCTGATATTTTAGGCTAAAACTGGGAGAAAAAAACGGTTTTTGAAAACGCCCCGCTTAAAAATCTGGAATTACGCTATAGATGCCTGGAAATTTCAAAATCCATTTTCAATAGTGCATCTCAAAAGAAGGAACAATTTCCCCCAATAAAAATTTTTAGGCTTGTTTTTTTCTTCATTTTTTTTGCTTCAGTGTACATGCAAGCATCGCCACACGTTTACTGGACTCACCTTTTTTCTTTTGACAACGCATTCAAAAATTTTATTATTTCTCTCTTAGTATCAGCACGTAAAAAAGGCTTAGCTAAAGTTGCAGCCTTCGAATTCAACTAAAATATATCTGCGCCACGTGTTTTAATTCTCCACACGACCTTTTTGAATCCACAAGCTTCTCATTCTGAATTCATAAAACGCAACACGCCCATTGGAATTTCTCATTTGCTTTTCTCTGCTTTTATTTCACATTTTTACTTTCATTTAAGTTATCCACACCACACATCACACACAACACACACAACTCTAAGATGAGCAGTTCTGAATCTGAAGATTGGGAATGTCCCCTCTGCATGGAAGAGATGGACATTGACGATCGCGGTTTCTTCCCTTGCGAATGTGGATATCAAGTAAGTTTTTACAGACTAGCCCGCGTGTAGGATTTACTTTAACAAGCGTTTTGCATTGCTTACGGTTTATTAAATTTGTTTAATGTTTATTTTGTAGATTTGTCGTTTCTGCCACAATCGAATCTCTGAGGACTACGGCGGGCGCTGTCCTGCCTGCCGCCGACTATACGCCGAGCAGACGCCGCGATGGAAACCAATATCACCAGCACAGTAAGTTCCAGCCCCTACAAACCTTGCCACGCGATCCATCAGTTTATTTTGTCAAACTTGTTAGAGGCAAAAAATTTATTTTGTGCTGCCGACTAATGACTTTTTTTACCCTTCTGCAATTCCAAATTCTTGCTGAAAACTTTTGCCTCTCCGTTAACGAAAGTAGGGTTGCCAAAATCAAAAATGAAAAGAAGGCAAAGGAGCGAGAAAAGCGAGAGATTGAGAGCAACAACCGAAGGCATCTGGCCAACGTCCGGGTGGTCCAAAAGAACCTGGTTTATGTCATTGGCCTCCCCACAAGCCTCTCGACCGAGGAGCATCTACGCAGTCAAGACTACTTTGGCCAGTTTGGTCGCATCAACAAGATTGTGATCAATCGCCGACAGACCGGAAGCAACTCGCATCACCCGACTGTCGGCGTGTACGTCACCTATGCTACTAAGGAGGACGCGACAAAGGCTATAAACGCCGTCGATGGGAGCATACTCGAAGGCCGGGTCCTCAGGGCCACCTTTGGGACCACCAAGTACTGCTCGTACTACCTGAGGAGCATACCGTGTCAGAATCCCGGCTGTATGTATTTGCACGAGCCAGGTGAGGAGGCTGACAGTTTTACCAAGGAGGATCTGGCAGCAAAGTAAGTCAACAACCAATTGTAATGCGAAAAAAGCGATCAAAATTTGCACGAAGCATATTTTATTATGGAAGCTCGCGATACCATTTATTAAAATTTTCGACTATTTCTATCCTTTGTCCTCTATTTGTAGCCGCGCCGGATTGCGCGAGGGTCACGAAGACGAGTTTGACCAAGAAGAGGAGCTTCATCAGCCCGTAGTCTGGTTGCCAACCACTCGCCCAACGCGCACCTGAGCACCGGGCGCGTGCAGGCTGTGCCTGCCGGCTCATTCCCAGGCTTCCAAAACAACCGCATACAGGCCACAACCCAACCATCATCATCTGCAGTGTCGTCAACGGCAGCTCCGCCCCTCAACCACCGGCGGCCGCGGCCTCTCGTGTGCGCAAGGCCTCCGAGATCAACGGATTGCGTCCCCGAAGTGTGGAGCCCCACAGCGCCGACAATGAGGCACACACTGGGTCGGCTCTTCCGGCCACGGCGTCCTGGGCTCGCGCGCCATGGCCAAAAAGCCGTCTGCCGAGTCTGCTGCAGACGCCAAGACTCGCAAGAGCGAGTCGAGCGGAGGCACAATGACATTGCGGATGATCCCCGCCTCTCGAGGAAAGTCAGCAAGCTTGTATCCACCTCCAAGCCTACCCCGACCTCAGCACCACCGCTGCTCGCTTCCACTGCCAGTGTATCGGCATCGTCGCTAGTGTCGCCTGTTTCCGGATCAACCGCAGGCCGTGACCGCTTAAAAGCTGGTGCCGCAGCGTCAGAATTGTTGACCTCCGCGTCTAGTACTGCACCGCCTGTGTCGCAGCAGCAGCAGCAGGCCCGCGAGAAGAAGCAGCAGACACGTAACCAACCCGCGCACAGCAGAAAGCAGCAGCAGCAGCAGCAGCTGCTGCTGCAGAGCTCACTGATCCGAGACAACCAGCGAGGAGAAGCCAGAACCGCGGCAAAGCAACCTACTAAGGGTGGCAGTAGCGGCGCAACAACCAGAAAGGCAGCAGCGGCCAATAAAGAGGCTACCAACGAGAAACGCGCGGCATCATCAACCTCTGAACCAAAGTCCAAGTCTGCACAAAAGGCAAGCGAGGCTGCCATGGTCGTGGCTACAACATCAGAGCCATGGCTGAGCAGCTTGAGGCGGAGGCGGAAGTGGCATCGTTAGCGGTAGCAACAGGGGTGCTTCACGAATCGAGGCAGCGGCATCACAGCAGTCAGATAATATCGACGAGCGAGGCCTGCCAACGGCTTAGCAGCAGAACAAGGCGAGAGCGCGCAGGGGGATGTCGTATCTGTGGCTCAAGACGACAACAACGGTGCGACAACGTCGGATTCTCTCAACGCGTTGGACAACGATTCGTCTCAGCTCAGCCACACGAGCAGCGCTCTTTCATTCCAGACCATCACCGACTCCCTATTTGCACAGCTTAATGCCAAGGTTTCAACACCTACAGGCACAACACTGCCGGGGTTTGCTAACGTCAGTAGCAGTGCCTACGATGTGAGCTATACTGGAGCAAGGATCGCCGCTGGGTTCCCCATCTCTGGCACTGATCCACTGCTTTTCCCGCCTTCTGCCGGTGCCGAGTCTGCGTCGTTGGCTGCATATGGGCGGATGAGCGGCAGCGGCGGCCCTCTGGACGCAGCGACGTCGCCCTTCAACTTGTTTGCCAGCAGCCAGTACTCGCAGTCACCACTCTCTGCACTGTTGACAGACCCTGCGTCTCTAGTTGGCGGTTCATCCCGGGACACTCCTATATCGGCGAACATTGGGGCCTCGTCGCGCCAGCGGTCTCGCTGGGACTTTGTTCAGGCTGACGAAGCAAGTGCTCAGGCTGAGCTTCAGTCCGTGCTTGGTCGCGGTGGCAGCAATAGCAACATTGGCCATCCCCAGGCTCAGGCCCCTGGAATGCCGGTCTTTACCTCATCGCGTGACCTGGGCATGTTTTCGACGCCTATCCAGGGCGACTACATGGGTGGACCCTGGGGTGGTCAGCACGCCGACTCTGCCACTGCCAACACAGCGCCGTTCCCGCCGCCGGGCTTTGGCGGAAGGAAGCTTACCGAGAGCAGCTTCCAGGCCGAGTTGCGGGCTCGGTCGCCGTTAATTCCCGGGGCGACGCCTGTTAGCAACGGCATTATTGGGGGGAGTACTGCTTCCAACATGCTGCTGTCGAGGCTGATAGGGTCGGCGGCTCCTGACTCGGGTGGCATGAGTAGCTCTGGAAATGACGATTCTGCGTCACCGTCAACCTTGCTTGGCGGGTACCTGTCTCAGCAGCAGCAGTCTCAGTCACAACAAGATCCTGCTATTCTGTCCTCTTATATGGCGGCTGCTGTCGCGGCTGCAGGGCCTCAGCAACAGCAGCAGCAGCAGCATGGCCAGGTTGGGCGCACCAGGACCGATCCCAATGTGCTCAACAGCCTTCTGGCCCGCTTGCATCTGGGCCAAGGTGATGGCGGCTTGCACTGTCGTCCATGGGCACACCGCAAGGCTCTGCTCTTTCTCACCAGGCATTTGGGTCTCGCGCGGGCCCTGCTCTTGGTGCAGGCTACCAGCAGCAGCAGCAACAACACCAACAGTACCAGCAACATCAGAACCATAATCATCAGCAGGGTGGCTCCATTCTTCCTCCAGGACTTATGCCCATGGGAGCACCTGGACTGGCGACATCGCCAGTGTACGGAGGGGCCAGTTTGGCGGCGGTTCCGGAATGGGTATTGGAATGAACATGAACATGGGCATGTCTATGGGGATGGGAATGGGAGCATCTGAAAGTCATATGATGAATCCGGAAACAACGGCAGTGTCGGCAACCGGTCCCAGCAGCATCAGCAACTACATCATATGCAGCAGCTCCAACAGCTCCAACAGTTGCAGCAACAGCAGCAGCAGTCGCTGATGATGCAGCGGATGTCACAGACGCCCATACTCAACGCAGGTCATCAGCCGAGCAGCAGCACCAGTGGCAACGGGTTTGTCGACCCGGCATCATGAACTTTGGGCGCATGAACGCGCTTAACAACCCTCCCTCGATGAGCAGCGCTATGCCAGGGTCGCCCGTGGGTCCTCCTCCGGGCATTGCTTCGCCGCCGTCTGGCGAGCTTTCTGTTGCAGCACAGCAGCAGATGCACTCGATGATGCTTTCGCGCAGCGCAAATAGCAGCGGGCGCTCGCGGTTCCTCAACCACTTTTCGGCCGAGACTGCCGGGGCCAAGGGTGCCACGGCCAACGCCGAGCAGGAGGCCGATGGCGGTAGCCAGCTCGCGCAAGATGCAGATCGGAAGAGCCAGTGGCTAGCAATGGGCCTGGTATGGCAAACGGCGTGCCACCCGGCCTGCCCACGACCGGTCTGTTCGGCGAGCTGCTTCGGCGGTCCAAGCATGATCTTGTTACAGGTGTTGGCACCACTGAAGCCCGATTCCATACCCGGTGAGCGAGGCGACAGGAGCAGCAAATTTGTCAGTGGGCGGATGATGCTCAGCGACATTGAGCACAGGCTGGATGTGGCCAGACGCGAGGCTCGCGAGCTGCAAGCTCAGCTGAGCACAGTCATTGGGCAGAACCAGTCGGTGATGTGGGCGCTAGCCAACAATGGCAATGCGGGGAGCAATACATCTGCGGGAGATGCAGCCCCATCCCACCATGCCCCTCACCCCTCGCATGGTGTCAGTTATACTGCAGGCAACATGTAGTCCTCCATCAGAGTGCGGGGGGTGAGTGTGGTAGTGGTTTTAGTGTGGGATTGGGATTATGTCTTGCAATGTTTTTGTTTTTCATTGCTGTGTGGGCCAAATAAATATTTTTAGGAATTTTAATTTTTCTTCCCATGTCTTTCTGCGACAATGCAGTGGTTGCTACGCTGGTCAAAAGCACACAAACAATGAAATGATAACGAAAACCAGAATGGAGCCGGAAACGCGCCAAAGGAAATTACTGCAGGTTTTTCTTGTTTACATATTCTCTTGTCAAGTGGTGGCTTTGCTTTTGACCTTGGCCTTTTGGCGCTTCCGATGATGTATCGAGATTAAGGCAACTTGATGCACACAAGCCATTCACTGATGCCAGCGCGGACATTGATAGCAAGCAGATGCAACATTTAAAAGAAAATTTTATAACAATTGTGCACACGTGGTTGTCATCTTTTTTTTGCAGTGGGCAATGTCGTTATTTTATCGTCATTAATGGATGTTGTTATCATCAATTCAGGACAAGGCAAGTGGCAATTCCGCAAATAATCCGAAGAGTGAAAGTTTGTTGGTTTTATTGTTTTTTGTCGCCATTGGTGGCTGATGAATATTTGGATATTTTTGTTTTGATGTTTGGCTATAACATCTGAGAGACCCAAGATGCAAATGCAAATGCGGTCACGAATAACAGTTGCTGCGCTACGGTAACAGCGGCGACGAGAGCAAACGACTGACAGGAATTAAAAAGAAATTAAAACCATGGCTTTCAGCGTACTGCGCGATAATTTTTTTATCTCGCTAAACTCTGGGAGTGGGTAGCTTTATTTTTTTCACACTTGATCATTCATGTGAGCGATGCAGCCAATCGGCAGCCGCAATGTAATTTTTTTTGCATTACATGCGACTCAGATGATACAAGCTGTGATTGGTTGAGCGGTTGGGGGGGGGGGGGGCTGGGCCATTTTTTCTTCTCTAGGACGGGGGCAGCGAATGGCATGGGTGGTGGGGGGGGAGCGACACAGAAAATTGAGTGATAAAAATGTCGACATTTTTTTTATCGAGAGCAAAATTCAACAGAGCTTGTATTAAAACACTCTTTTGCTTCACTTTTGAAATTTCACACTGCTTTTTTTTAACACTTTGAATTTCTCGCATTTTTGACCTCTTTTTCTCAAGTATCACCTTGTGATAATAAAAATTTTCTTTTTTCTATCCCTTCTCGAGATAGACAATAGTTTTAAAGCTTTTTTGTCCTTTCATTTTTCCTATCAAGTATCTCTATCCTCTGCCCTTTTTGAATACGCGTACTTGTGCCTTTTCTTTCTATTCTTACTTTTTAGCTCTTTTATTCTTATTTCTTTTTACCTTCCTCTCTTCTTTTCTTTTGCCTTGCTGCTTTTTGGCGGCAGAAATCTACCCAAGCTTATTAAGCACGGCTCTTTTTTTGGGTCTCCAAATGATCACAGGATCCTTTTTGCACCACCTTACATCCACAAAGCCGCCGTCTTTCACGACGTTATAAAGTCTTTTTTTCTACACTATTTTTCTTTGCCTTGGCACTATAGAAAGCTGCTCTATTTTTGTATTCTTTTTTATTTTATTCTACGTTTCATCCCCCTCCCCCCCTCTTCTCACCCTCCCCCTCTTTGTCTTTCCATCACCAGTCAGCAGCAGCAGCATTTCGTATAAGACATAAAGCAGAGTGCAAAGACGCTTCCTTTTTATTCTTTCTCTTTATATTTCACTATTTTTATATTTTTATTTCTTGTAACACTAGTGTCTACTTTATTACTTTTGACGCTTTCCCCCTCTACTTCTACTTTTCACCTTTTCACAAACCTTTTTTACGCTGCATGATAGATTGCGAGTTTAGCATGTCTCATTCACACCCAGTTCATGCGCCCAGGCGTTCAAATTCGATAGTCTCCATTCCAAAGACAGACTCGGTTGCATCATTCTCTTCACGGGCACCAAACAACAACCATCATCATAACAACGCGAACATTGCACCGCGCAAGGACAATGGCCGCCGGAACCAGCCTCAGAAACAGCATAAGCAAGGCAACCGCGGCAAGCAAAACAACTCCGACCAACGCACCAACACCGAAGACATCAAGTCCGAAGACGAAAGCCAGGTTGTGAGCAAGAGGCCCGGAAAAGGCAACGCTGCTCGCAACAACAACAACAAGCAGCAGGCTAAAGTTGTGATTCTGAACAGGAATGCTCCGCTTAGCGAGCAGCAGGCGTTGTTGGACAAGCTGGCTATGCCTACCCCACCAAGCTCAGCACCGCCGGTTGTGCAGAATGTGCGTACGCCCAGTAAGCGCGGCAATCGTCGTCGTAATAATAGTCCGCCGCATGAGGACGAGGCGATTATTTCGTCTTACTCGATGCCCTCGATGCCGGCTCCGGCTTTGGCTGCGGCGCAGCGCACGCCCCCTCGTCGCCCGAACAACAATAACAACAACAACCGCCAGCAGCAGCAGATGCTTGCGGGCATCAACCTCAACCTGTCGACTATCTATAGCCCGACGCCCCGTGGCGGAGCCAACCAAGGAATGCCTACGGGGGGACCCATGGCCAGCACGCCCACTCGCGGCGGCGGCAGCCCGTCCACCAAGTCCAACCACTACGCCGGCGCTTCCTTCAACAACTCGCCCGCGCCCAACACGCTGCCCCTACCGTCGTCATTCCGCTCTCCCACCAGCGGGCTCAACCCGGTATCCCCCAGCAGCCCATCCGCGGTAGTCGGCGGTACCCGCGACGAGGACGTTTTTGGCATGGGCTCTCCCATGTTTATCAACAGCGGGCCCATGAGTCCCGACCAGCTGCTTGCTCAGCAGCACCGGTATGCTCACTACCAGAGGCAGCAGCAACAGGCCGTTTCCATGTTCCCTGTGCACGGCAATGTCAATGTGGCGCTTAGCGAGCGCTCGCGGCAGCTGGAGAGCATGCTGCTCGGGGGCGATGCCTTTGGCCATGGCGGGGGTATGCAGCAGATGGGTGCGTTCTACGAGAGCCACTCGGCTGTGGACTTGACGCAGCCGGAGACTGATATGGCCAGTATGTTTCAGAAACTGCGCCTGATTAAGGAGATGTCTCAGAACAGGTCTTCGACCGTGTCGCCGCTGCCTAGCAATAGGGCACCGGCGTTCGCGCAGCAGCAGCAGCAACAGCTCACTGCTGTGCACTACGCTTAATTTTTAGTGTCTGCACTTTTTTCTTCCCTTGTTTAGGATGCGTGTGCACTGACTCCAATGACCTTTTATCTGCTTTCAGGGTACATTTCGGAGCTTTTTCTCTCTTTCTCTCTTTCTCTTTCTCTTTCTCTTTCTCTTTCTCTTCTTATTTTTGTTCTACACGCTCTCCTCTTGTGTGTGTAAGTGACGCACCTTGGAGAGCAAAAGGACGGGCGGATTTATTTTTTATTTTTGGCTGGATGTGTTTATTTTCTTTTATATGTTGTCTATGGGTGTATTTTTTGTATTTCTTTATTTTTTGGTTCACTTGACGGTGGAGGAAAAAAAATCAAATAGTGAGTGCGTTTTTTTTGTTGAAGGCTTTCCTTGTATTTTTACTCTGTATTCCTTTACTTCTTCTCTACACTTTTATCTCTCTATCTATCACTTTTTTTCCTCTTTTTTCTATCGTTCTTTAAACCATTATTCTTTTTTTCGACCTTGAAAAATCCACCCTCTTGCCCATTTTACTATTACAAACATTCCTCTCTGGCTCTTTTAAAAATACTTTTCTTTGGCTCTTCCCTCCTTTTCTCTATTTCTTCTTATTTCTTTAGTTCTCAACGCACACGACGCAAATACTTTTCAAAGTCTTTTTGTTTCCAAAGCAAAAGGGGGATTCCCTCCTCCTTTTTTATTGTTCTCTTGACAGGCTGCCATTTTTGTTGTTGTTTTTGGCAGCTTTTTTATCATCATTTTATTTTGCAATGGTTTGAACAAAATAAAAAACTATATGGCAGTGAAATTTTTGTAGTTTCTCGTTATTGTCATTTTAATTTGTTGTTATTATTGTTGTTGTGCGCGCATGCATTACAAAACACCAAAACACGCTATTATATCTAGCTTATATATATATATATATATATTTTAAAAGTAGTAATGTCTTTTTTTCACATTTACTCTTTTCAGTTCTATATTAGTATATCTTTTCAAAAAGTTTTTAAAATAAAATATTTGGGTTTTGACGTGTCTAATTAATGTTTATTGATACATTTAGAGAGATATACATTTGATACAATACATGTAAAAGCCCTTGTTTTTATTAATTCTACTCTGCGGGAACAGCGACTTTTTGAATACCCTGTTTGCTCTCTTCGTTCTCCGCGTCACCGTTGTCGTCTGATAAAGCAGCTCCATGGTTATTCGATTCCACATGCACTTTGGTTCCTTTCGCAGGACTCTTTCTCGTAGACGACGATATGGAGACTGCGCCAAGGGCATCAGCCAGCTCATCAGTCTCCCTCTCGCTCGCCATCAATGCCTCCAGCTCATTCTCCAGCTCATCATCATCCACAGCACCAGCACCAGCAGCATCCGCATCCGCATCCGCATCCATACCCAAGCGGCCATCAGCCAGTGCATCCTCAACCTCCTTAGCGTGCAACGACTCCTGCGCCCACTCAGCAAACACTTCCTCCACGTCCCCCACGTGCATCTCCTGATTCAACCCCCTCAAAGCCCTGGTTCCAGCCTCAAAAGCGGTCAAAATCTGTGCATCCGAATGAGTCTGCTCCAACTGCAGCAGCACGCGCTCCACATTATGCAATGAATCCAGACGTTTCGGCAGAATATCTCCAACAATGTGTCGCCGCAGGCGCAAGTTGGATAAGGCCAGGTTGCGGTGGTTGCGGGCGAGCGATTGGCGCACCTGTAGGTCCAGCTGGTCTACGCGCTCCTGCAGTTGATCAACCTGCTGGGAGAGCATCCGCTGGGTACTCGATACCTGGTAGACGCCACGGTCAGCTTCACTCACGGCAACGGCTTGGGCATGCCGGTGTGCGGCGAATTTTATAAGTATATTCGGCGACCCTCCTCCATGTATAGTGGCGGTGGTAATGTAGTGGAGGTCACGCAGCCGCTTGATCAGAATATCGGCGTCCAGCGCGGTCATTGGCGCAAAGCGAAGGCGGAACTCTTCTAGGCTCATCAGGTTGTCCGCTAGCGAGCCACCGGTGGGCCGCGCATACTGGATGTCCATAACGCGGCGCATAGCGGCCTCGACCAGCTGCGGCACCACCATCCACTGCGGCAGCCGGCCACTGCTGCTGCTGCTGCTGCTGGTGGTGGTGGTGGTGGTGCTGCTGCTGCTGCCAGCCACTGCCTGGTAGATTCTGGGGCCCAGCACCCGGCGCAAGGCCCACGCGGCGATCCTGCGCAAACCCGCCGGCGGCTCAAAAAACTCCGACATCGACACCAGGTCTCCGCGCCGCTGCATCTCGGCGACTATCGTGTCCAGCCCCGACGGGGTGTCCCCGCAGAAGCTGAGGCGCTGCGCCAGCGCACCGGTGTCCAGGCTGAGCGCCGAGGCGCCCGGCGGCGTCGAGAGGAGGCCGGCGCAGTTGGGCGAAAGTTGGGCGCTGCAGGCGAGCGGGAGGAGCGTCGACCAGAAGGCGTAGGCCTCGGCGTAGCTTTCGGGCTGATGCGGGTCGAGGTCCGAGTAGAGGAAGGCGCGGCGGTCGGGCGAATTGAGGTCGGCGAACGAGGCGAGAAACGACTGCATTGCGCAAAAAAGAATGAATGAATGAATGAATGAATGAATGAAACAAATAAATTAAAGAACGAGAAGGGGCGAATATGAAATTCAAAAGAGGAGAGGGGGAAGTTGATTAATTCTAGATTCTGGTGGGGGTTTGCGTTTAGATTTTGAAGGAGGGCGCCCCAGGCGCATGGCCGTCCGGCTGCTGCGTCACCGCTGTGGGCTCGGCAGCCTCGCGATCTGCCTTGCGCGGCGCTGCCGGCGTGTACCGTGCGCTGCGGCCGTGCAGGGCAACGAAGCTGCGCAGGGCGTCCGTGACGGGGTACCCGAGCGCCTGCATTTCCCGCAGGGCAGTCTGTGCGCGGGGGTCGCGGACACGCGCGCAGCGGCGCACCACAGCGGCGTACGTGCGCCAGGCAGGCACCATGGAGTGGGCCTTCATGGACTCCAAGTACACAAAGGCGTCCTCGTAGTTGAACTGGCCGAGGGACACCAGCACCATGGTCTCCAGCACACGCGCCGTCGGCTGCACGCCGGCGTCCAGCATCTGCGCCATGACGGCCTCGGCCACGGTCTTGTTGCTGGGGTGCACGCAGCCGCGCAGCACAGCAACGTACGACGCCGCCGACCGCTCAATGCCGAGCTCCGCATACCACGCGCCCAGCCGCGCCGCGGCCTCGGCCGCATGGCCGCCGAGCGCCAGCGCCAGCACCAGGGCATCCACCGTGACGGCGTCTGCGGCCAGCGGAGCGTCGGCCTCGCGCGCCTCGCGCACCAGCGCAAACACCGCGTCGACGGCGGCCACCGGCTGCGCAGCGAGCGCGCGCGCCAGGCTCCGCAGCGTCGCCGGCGTGCGGCCGACGCCCGACGAGCGCATGGCATGCAGGACGCGCAGCGCCGGCGCCCAGCGCGCGGCAGCCACCAGGGCATCGAGCAGCGGCTCCAGGTGGAACTCGGCCAGCGACAGGCCGCGCGCCTGCATGGCGCGCAGGATGTCCTCGGCCAGCGCCGCGTCGCCAGCACGCGCAGCCACGCGCAGCCCGGCCTCGCAGTCGCCCTCGGGCACCTGCGCGCCCAGGGCCTGCAGCGCGCGCCAGCAGGTGCTGAACGCCTCCAGGTGCAGGCCGCGGCCGGCGGCGTGCAGCAGCGCCAGCAGCGGCAGCGCGCCCAGGGACCCGCCGCGCTGCTGCGCGTCGCGCACGGTTTGGAGCGCCAGCGCGGGCTCGTCAATGTCCGCCAGGGCCTGCACCAGCGCGTCGGTGGCGGCGCGCGACGGCGCCGTGCCGCGGTGCTGCATTTCGCCCAGCACCGCGTATGCGTGCTCGGCCTGGCCGCCGCGCGCCAGCGCACTCACAAGCTGCTCGAAGAACACGTGGAACCGCGCGTCGTCGGCCGCCACGCCGGCACGCCGCATTTCCTCGCCGATGCCGTAGATGGCCGCCGGCTGCCGCGCGCCACCGGCCGCGCGCAGCGCCGTTGTGTATTGCGCCGCGAGCACCGGCGCCCCGGCCTCGCGCATCTGCCGCAGTACGCGGACGCAGGCGCTGCCGTCGTTCAGCTCGCTGAAGCCGGCGAGCAGCGCGCCAAAGTCGTCCGGCGACAGTGTTGCCGCTGCCGTGCCGGCGGTGCTTTCGCTGTGGAGCTGCCGCAGCTGCGCGCGCTGTGTCTCGTGGTGTTCCGTGAGTCAGCGGCCAGCCGCGCGCCGACGTCTTGGCCCTGCATGCGCGCATCCTGCGCCAGGTCTTTGGTGTGCTGGATCCGGTCGTGTGTGCTCGGGTGGATGATGCGGCGGACGCGGGCTGCGATACTGATTTCTCGCTGGCGCCACTGATCCCATCGTCCGTGAGCGTCAGTGGCGCCGCGTAGTGCCGCTGCGCTGTGGCGAGCACTGTGGGAATGCGCCGCGGAAGCCGCTGTGAGAGCCTGGCGAGCATCGGGAGTTTTCAGGGCCCTCGTGTGTTTTTTGTCTTTGGGGGCGTGCGAAAGCGATAGCAGGCGAGCGAGTAGAGAGAGAGATAGCAGGCGAGCGAGAAAGAGAGGCAAAGAGAGGCAAAAGAAAGAGATAACAGGCGAAAGGGGGAGGGAGAGAGAAAAAGAAGGAAAAGAGATCGCAGGCGAGGAGAGAGAGATCGCAGGCGAGAGAGAGAGAGATCGCAGGCAAGAGAGAGAGAGGGACGGAGCCAATCCAAATAAAAATGGGTGGGCAGCTTTTTCTTCTCATTTCCCCCTCCCAAACACACTCCTCCACATCCAAATTCACGCCTCATGCTCACGCTCGTTGTCGCCGCCGCAGCGCTCAACAACGGCATCGGCGTCAACAACGACCTGCCGTGGCGCCTGCCGACGGACCTGGCCTACTTCAACAACGTTACGCGCACAACCACCAGCACCACTGCCATCAACGCCTGCATCATGGGCCGGCGCACCTGGCTCTCGGTCCCGCGGCGCTTCCGGCCACTGGACAACCGCTACAACATCGTCATAACCCGCGACACGCACCTTCTGGACAAGGAGCTGCCGCCGAACTCCATTGCTCTGCCGTCCATTGCCAGCGCCCTCGCCCATATTGAGCAGATCAACAGCGGCCAAGTGCCCCTTGACGGGGGACTGCTGCGCATTGACAAGGTGTTTGTCTGCGGTGGCCGCGCTATCTACGAGGAGGCTATGGGGATGCCCGGGGTGTGCGCGTTTTGCTCACCAGCGTGCACTATGATGGCGCTGGTCGCTGCGATACCTTCTTCCCACCGATTGACCAGGCTGTGTTTGTGCCACAGACACATGCCAGCCTGGAGAAGCTCGTTGGATTCCCAGTGCCTGCTGGGGTGCAGACTGAGAATGGCATTAGCTTTGAGTTTCTGCTGTTCGAGAAGCAAGCCTAATACCAGCTTGATTATAGTAATCCGTAAATTTGCCTGCTCAGTGCAATCAACTATTTTTTCCAATATGATCCGCTGATTTCCCGCTTTAATCCTTTTTTTTACTGGTTGCGCTTGGATCACTGCTGCAAAAAAAAAAATCAAAATCAAAAATTTTTTCTGCCTTGTTGATTCAACATTCTAAATACACTGCTTAAAAAAACTAGCAGAAATAAAAAAAGCCTGGAAAAAATTGAAAAAAAAATTGCCTTGCCTAAAAAAAATACCACTATTTTTCTTTTTTTCTTCTTCTTTCAGTTCACGTTTTTTTTGTTGTTGTTGCTTTTTGTCTTTTTATTCTATTAAACACACCTTTATTAAATTCGATTTTTAAAAAAAAATGTCTGACGTTCTCACACACGTCCTCTACGAGTCGGCCTCGGGCTACGGTCTCTTCGAGGTCCAGCACGCCGAGAAGATCGGTTCCAAGCTGGCCGAGGTCCAGGCGACAATCAAGGATCTGGCAAAGTTTGGCAAGTACATCAAGCCCAAATCCTTTGTACCCTTCAAGAACGCCGCCGACGCACTGGAGAACATCAACGACGTCTCCGAGGGTATCTGCCACAGCAGCCTCGCCGCCTTCCTTCAGCTTAACCTCCCATCGGCTGACCAATCCCTTCTGGGTGTCAGTGACAAGAACCTTGCGGGTGCCATCAAGGCTGCTTCGGGGGTAAAGTGCTCGACGGAGGAGCTTGCGCAGGAGCTGATCCGCGGTGTGCGTCTGCATGCTGAGAAGATGATCACGCAGCTGAAGGTTGGCGATCTGGCGCGGGCGCAGCTCGGTTTGGGCCACGCGTACTCTCGCGCAAAGGTCAAGTTCAACGTTAACCGTTCGGACAACATGATCATCCAGGCTATTTCACTCCTGGATCAGCTCGATAAGGATCTGAACACCTTTGCGATGCGCGTGCGTGAATGGTACGGATGGCATTTCCCAGAGCTGGCCAAGATTGTTAGCGACCATTGCAAGTACGCACGTCTGGCCAAGGCAATCAAGAACAAGGCTACTTTGGGCGATGACTCTATTGATATGCTGACGGCGATTACCGAGGATGAGGTTGTTTCGCGCCAGATCGTCGATGCCGCACGCGCGTCGATGGGAACGGATATCTCGGATATTGATCTGCTCAACATTGAGTCGTTTGCATCCCGCGTTATCTCCCTCCAGGACTACCGCAAGAACCTGCACGAGTACTTGCTCAGCAAGATGAGCGCTGTCGCACCTAACCTTGCCGCTCTCATTGGTGATATTGTCGGTGCTCGTCTGATGCCCATGCTGGTTCCCTGACTAACCTTAGCAAGTACCCGGCGTCAACCGTGCAGATTCTCGGAGCTGAGAAGGCCCTGTTCCGCGCCCTCAAGACTAAGGGTAATACGCCCAAGTATGGTCTTATCTACAACTCTACTTTTATTGGCCGTGCCGGTACGAAGAACAAGGGTCGTATTTCGCGCTTCCTTGCAAACAAGGCGACTATTGCTTCCCGCATTGATTGCTTCTCGGATGCCCCGACGAACAAGTTCGGTGAGGCCTTGAGACTTCAGGTTGAGGATCGTCTGAACTTTTACGAGACTGGCGCCCAGCCGACGAAGAACAGCGACACTATGGAGAAGGTTCTGAAGGCTCTGGCGGATGCTGGTATTAATGATGACGAGATGGAGGTTGACAAGCCCAAGGCGTCCAAGAAGCGGGCAACCGCTGAGGAGACTGCTGAGACCCCCAAGAAGTCCAAGAAGGACAAGAAGGACAAGAAGTCTGACAAGACTGAGAAGAAGGAGAAGAAGGACAAGAAGAAGAAGTAAATTAAATCTTTACTTTCTGGCTTTTTTTTTAGTTTTATATGTTTCAATTTATTTTTATAAAATAACCTCCACCTTTTACACACACAAAAAATTATATATATATATATATCTACGTTTTTTTTACTTTCTACGCTTCATCTCAGGAACAGCCCCAGTGTCGCTTTGGTCTGATCCCGGCTCGCCGCCCTGGGTATCCTTGTTGTACGCAGTTGCAATAAACACTGGCTCCGCTTCCGCCACCCCAGCATATCTCAAGAGAACCTCCCTAGGATCCTCGTCCCTCAGAGTATCCTTCATGATTGACTTCATAAGATGCTGGGTCTCATTCACACCAATACTGCCACCATGACCATGACCATAGACCGGTTCTCCAGGCTTCAGCTTCGCCCTCTGCGCCTCCCGCCGCCGCTTCGCTCCCGCCGCAGACACTGGCGCATCTTCTCTGAAAAGGGGCAAAGCATGCGGTGTGATAATCTGCCCAGCGGCTACCTCGGCGTTATTGCGCCGAGATGAATTAGCCGACGGCCGTTTATTCGCGCACAAAGTCGCTCCGCCCTTAATCCCACCACATTCATCAATGTTGTTGTAGAAAATATGCGTTGATCCGGTGGAGGAGCTGGCGGCAATCTGGTTGAGCCGCGGGTGCCACAGGACATTAATAATGCTGCCCGAGTCTGGCACCGAAACCGTCCTTATAAGATCCAAAGTGCCTGTATCCAACACCGCCAACTTCGCCTCCATCTCCGCCTTCACTGCTCCCTGGCTGCTGCCAGCACTACTGGGCGGCGACCCTAGGCCGACGAGCAGGTGTCGGGCACTGGGGCTCAGTGCCATATCGGAGTCTTCGCCAGCCGCATACATTCCCGGGGCACATGCCAGAGGCTTAACGAGCATCCGCGTGTCCCAGAGTTTCACCATATGGTCGCTCCCACTGCGCGTCAACACACGCCTGGAGTCTGGCAAGAACCTGACCACTGTGGAGTCACCCGGCATATGCGCGGCATCCACCTGCTGCAATGGCCTCGTAGCCGAACCACCCCCTGCGGACCAAAGTGCCAAAGTACCATTAAACGCGGTTCCTAGGATGGCTCCATCCACAGAGTATACGCAGGAACTGACCACCAATCGACCACCAGCGGTGGTGCTTCCGGTTTTGCTCCGGCACACTATAACTTGCTCCTGGCCAGCTGCCACTTCGCTGTTCCACAGGCGCACGGTGGAGTCCGCAGCCGCCGATATGAATTTTGTCGAATCTCTTGGGTTCCAATCCACACAGGTCACGGGCGCCACATGCCCGGTGGTTCTTCGCATATCCCGGACGTACATATCGCCGCGCTTGAACTCCCGCACTTGCCGGCCGCCGCGGTCCAGTAATTTGGCCCTTGCATCTCCGCTGGAACACACCAAAAGGTGGGTGCCTGGGCGGCTGAACCGTGCCATGCGGATCTGCTGCCGCTGGCCTTCCTCATAGGGGTGTACGGTGCCGGTGGGATGCAGGGTGGAGTCCATCGAGGCAAAGTCCCAGAGGTGCAGCTGGCCCTGGTGCGTACCGCTGTAGAGGAGGTCTCCGGTGGAGTCCCAGGCGAGCGTAGAGACTGAGTGCTTGGATGTGGTGCTTGGGGTGAGCTGAATGTGGTGGCGGAGTGGAAGCAGGAGTGATGTGGATGCGTCACGGTCGCCATCAATATCACCGTCCGAGTGGGAGCGGATTGCACGGTGGGGGCGGATAATGCTGGGTTGCTTGCTGCTCCTTCTGTTGCTGCTTCTGCTGTTGGTTCATCTCGGGCTGGTGAACCTGAACGTATTTTGTCGACTCTTTCTTTTGTTGGTATCGCCGCTGCTGATGCTGCCCCGGTTGGTTGCTTTTTCTTTTTGCCAAAATCTTTTGGAATAAACTTGCTCAGTTCATCGCTCAGCCCCATCTTTCTTTTTGGTATTCAAAAGAATAATATAAAGGTTTGTAAAGTTAAAAAAAACAAAGATGAATATAATAATTGGATTGTTTTTAAACACTGAATAAAATATTTATACACACTGGTCTTTGCGCGCTGCATGAACAAATCAAACTTAAAGAGTAATGGGGCTTATAATGTTATATTCACGTGAGGAAAGCATATGCAAACTGAATAACATTTTAATTTCACTTTATTAAACATGTAGCCCAAGAAAAAATCAACACTTTACATAAACATGTAACATAGTAGAAAATCAATACTGACAGCGTTGGTACTAATTAAAACCAGTCTCGGAATCATAATAGAATGCAGAATCAACTTTAGTAGTATCCAGTGCATTCACATGAGAATAACACACCATATTATTCCGTAAACTCCCCAGCACTGAATATTTGCCTACAAATTAAGTATATCTTTAATATTTTAATTGTCTAAAACACGCATTTATTAATACCACGCGATCTAAAAAACTAAATTATTTTCTACCTAAAACCAGATGCATAGTCCTAATAACTAGAATTATCATTGTCAGAAGAATCAAAAACCACCATCATCACTAAAATTGGAATATAAAGGCACATCAGAATCTGATTCATAATATTGTCTGCAAATATGTCCGCTTGGATTTTTAGTTTCGGTAACCTGTAGTGATTTTACATGGGGATAAACCTGGCCATAGTACTTTGTAAGTTCGAGCATTTGGTCAATAAAATTGACTGGAACACAAAGTAATTGCAATGATCTAATCTGGACAAGCAATATGCTCAATTCTCTTTCCACATATCCTTCTTCAAAGTGTCTGTAATTATTAATTACAAGAGTCTGAAGATTAGTGGCTAGAGCTGGTACTGGGCTTTCCAGTGTTTCGTATATCGCAAACGTTTCTGATTTCCTGCGGCGCTGGCACTTGAAAATTTTTATTTCCAAACGTCTGAGATTGGGCAGATGCTTCAAAATATCAGTTATGGCATAAACATTGACTACTTTGTCCAAATAAAGCTCGGACAGACTGCTCCCGCTAATATTGGTTGGATACAATGAGAGGCATTTACCAATATTCCCCATTATTTCTCTGCTTAAGTATGGATTGCTAACAACCAGATGGTTCCCCTCTTTGTAGATAATATTATGTATTATTATTTTGTTTAACCGCCTGAATCCATACGCTATGGTGACAAAAATTATGTCATTCCAAACTTCATGATGGATTGAACCTGTATTTTCTTGTGGTAACACAAATCTAGTTTTGTGAGGTGGATGCAATGAGCTGTCTGCAAATAACTTTTCTAGGGTTACAGGAATATTAACCAGCAACACGTTTTCAAGCATTGGAAGCTGCATAAAATCCTCGCCATCCGTGAAAAAAAATGCTTTGTTTAAATAATTATTGCTAACATCATTCTTAAAATACAGCTTTAAATCTACCAGATTAGGAAATCTTGTTGTTTGTGTCTTATTTTCATTGTTGAAGTATGGCCAAGTAAATGTGTATGAAACGTTTTTTAATTGCAATATCCTGAGCGTATCAGTATTGATGCTTGAAATTACAGTTAATGGTATTTCATTTAAACAAACAGACAGTGTGGTCAGTGCACTTGAGAACTTACATTTGGGCACTTTGACACCAGAATTGCATTTGAATGACACAAGCTGGTTTGAAAATTTGTTAATTAGACATTGATGTACAATGGTTCCCGCTATCGAAGCAATGTTTGAAAATATATTAAGTTTTGTAACATTGGGCACACTTTTAGCAATCAAATCCATTGCTGGTTCAAGCAACTCGTACGTAAATAGCTCAAAAGTATACAAGCTGTCCTTGTAATATAAAGCCGTAATGTTTGACCAAGCATTGTTCTGAGCTGATAGTATTCCCTGCATTTTTTCGACAAAATTTCTCATCGATGACAAACACTCCATCTCGATATGTAATAGTTTTGCATATTTAAAGTTGCCCGTCATGTGTGCCAGTTTAATGTTACTATTCATACCACATACACTTGGTTTGTGTATACCTCCTACCCACATTCCAATTTCAGCGGGGCATTTAGAACTGATATATACAGTGCGATACACGAATGGTCTTGCAGCCTCTCTCCAGTTGTGACAGACCGCCAGATGAGGGAGAAGGGTTTTCCAACTGCTACTTATATCTGAAATTTTGACAAGGTATGGAAAAACTTGGGCAAATATATCTGACGGCAAACGACTAGCAATAATGTTGGCGTTAGCTTTGGTGCTAGACATAATAAGCGTAGGTGTATTTTAAAAGGTGTAAAATATATATTGAATAATAAAGATGACTGGAGAAAAGAAATGTACATACCAATTTGTTAGCCTTTTTTGAAAACCAACGAGTAATGCAATTGCTGTGCAATTTTTTGTATATAAATGCCAAGGTTTTATTTTACAATATCCATAAGGGTTTTATATTAAGTGGCCGTAGCTCGTTTTTTGCAAAGACAGCTCCGCTTTCTTTATATGTATTCATTGCTCTCCTCTCCCTTTTTTGTTGATTTAAATTATTTAATTTTAATGATTTAATTTTAAACTACATTTTTAAAGGTTTATTTTAGTATAGTCGAGGAATTATTTGAAAGGCTTTGTATGCCAGCATGTGCGGATAAGCCTTGCTATAGCGCTCTATAGATTTACTAACAGCATTATGTATGGTTTTTGGAACACTAATTGATTGAAAGCTTCCAATTTGGACAAGCAATATACCCAATTCTCTTGCCACATATCCTTCTTCAAAGTGTCTGTAATAATTAATTTGCAAGCTTTGCATTTTTGTGGGAATAGATGGCACTGGTTTGTCCAATTCTTTATAAATGGCAAATGTCTCAGGCTTTCTGCGGCGCTGGCACTTGAAGCACTTAATTTCAAAGTTGATGAGATTGGGCAGATGTTGCAAAATCTCAATAATTCCAGTGATACCAACTGTGACATCCAAATGAAGTTGGGACATACATCTTTCAAAATATATTTTTGTTATCTGGGATCCAAAGAACATCCCCAAATGCTGCACATTTTTTTTGTTTCGTCTGTGTTTCATATTAAGAAAACTAGGGCTTTTTTGTGGTCGTGGCCTCCCATTTAAACAGTAGTCTCTCCACTTGGGTCCATAGAGAATAGTGACATAAATTTCTATATTCTGAATTTCACGTTGGCCAACCCAGCTTGTGCTTTCATGCGGAAGCTTGAGTTTAACACCTTTGGTTATATATGGTGAATTGTTTTTGAGAACCTTTTCTAGTGTTACAGGATAATTTAGCAATAGTAAATTTTCAAGCTTTGGGAACTGAGGAAATTGAGGGAATCGCCCACTGGATGCAAATATATCATGGCTATATATATTGCTTTTGCCACTGGTATTGTTGTCATCCTCGCCAATTAATAAAGCAAATTTGGTATAATTCAACTCCATGTCAATCAAATTGTTAAAGTTGGTGATAAGTGGTGTGCCTTGGCTGTCAGTGAGGGGCCAAGTAAAATCATGTCGAATGTTCTTCAAATACAGTTTTTTCAAGGCCTCTGTATTTATACCCGAAATTAGAGAAGGGGTCATAATATTAGTATCGATATTCACCACTGTCAGTGAATCAGAAAACCCGCAGTCGGGAGCTTTGACAATAACATTGCACTTGAGCATTTTAAGCTGCTTTGCATATCCGTCGACTAAGCTTTGGTGCGCAAAAGTCGTTTCTGGGGAATTTTGCCGAGAATTTATTGTCAGCTTGGTAATACTGGGTGCACACGTTGTGACCAACAGCATTGCCCGCTTCATTAACCAATATTTAATGCACAGAGGATTGTCCAATTTGTCTTTGTAATACAACGATGTAACGTTTGACCAGTCTAAATGGCGAGTCTGAAATACCTCTTGCGCGTTCATAATTAGGCATCCCATTGATGATACCGTTTCCAAGTCTACGTTAAATTTTCTCACAAATTTAAAGTTATTTGTACTCCGTGCTAATTTAATGTTGCTGCGCATGAACACGATATTGCGATCAGTTTTTAGGTTCCATTCAACATATCGACTTGTTTGTTTGTATCCAATAAATGCTGTGCGATACACGACCGACCTTGCAGCTTCTCTCCATTGGTGACAGACCGCCAAAATTGGAAGGGTGAGCTTCCAACTATAAAAGTGTTTTGAGCAGTCGGCAATGTACGGAAGAATTCTGTCAAATATATCGGACGACACACGGCTGGTATATGAGTTGGCGTTGGCATCAGAGTTGGCATCAGACATAGCAACTATATAAGGATGTTATATAATAAATAAATAAATTGAAGTAGTGAAAAGAAAAATGGTAAGATAAAAAAGGGCTGACTGCAGTATGCTGAAAGAATGCGTGTCACTACAATAAACGAGCAGTGCATAATTATTATTTTATAATTGGAGTAAAACTTTCTTTACAATAAGGGGATGCGGCATGTTTAAAAGGTCACATCCCCCTTTCTATGTGAATTTGTATTGTCTTCTGCCAACTAATAATGTATTGTCCCCATGAAAAATTAAAAAAACGGCTATCAGTGTGCGCATGCTTATATTCTAACTAGTTTTTGCTTACTATTTATTAAATACATGTTCTAATTTCGTATATTTACAGACGTTAACTGGATTGTATACTTTTAAACACATTGTTCTTTGTATTAACCAAGTATTTAAGAATATTATAAATTAGAATTAAAATTAAAAACATGCAATTTTTGCATTAGTATAATTGACAATCTACTTTAGCCACCTCGATAATTTTAATGTGAGGAGACACATCACCATATTGTTTCATGATTATGTTTAAGCCATTAACAATATTGAACGGAACGCAGCACGACTTTAACGATTTTATCCGAACAATCAATGCGCTCAGCTTCTTCGCCACATATTCTTCTTCAAAGTACCTGTAATTATCAATTGAAAGAGTTTGAAGGTTCGATGCAAGTGGTGCCGCTGGTTTATCCAAAGTTTCATTAATAGCAAACAGCTCTGGCTTTTTGCGACTTTGGCACTTGAAACATTTGATTTTCAAGTTTTTGAGATTAGGCAAAAGCTGCAAAAGCTCGGTCAAGCCGCTAACTCCAACCACTACATTCAAGTAAAGCTTGGACAGGCTAGTCTCATCAATGTAGGTCGGTTGCAATCCAAAATTATTTCTAAAGTGCAGCATACTCTCTTTGTTCGGCAATGCGTTGGTTTCGACCATGCAGCTTTCTACATTATCAAGCGCTTCACCAAAGAGAGACCAATCTTTATTCACCCATCTGGGGCCGTACGCCTTGGTGACGCGAATGGGAATACCGCGCACATTAGTTTGGTGAGTCCATAGTGATTGCTCGTGAGGCAACAGATCTTTGATTTTCTTGAACTTTTTGGGAGAGTTGTTTTCGAGTAAAATACCCATGGTCGCAAACATATTTTTCAGCAGTAGGTTTTCAAGCTTTGGCAATCGCACATAGTACTCGCCACTCTTAAACACCGCGTATTTGTTCATATTGTTGATCTCATCGTCGCCATCGTCGTAGAAATGCCCGTTGCTAATAAAGTGAATATTCAGGTCTGTCACATTAGGTAGGTGAATCATTTGGGAGTCACTTTGGTTGTTCATGTTTGTCCACGTAAAGTCGTGCGGGACATCTGTAAAGCATAGTCTTTTGAGCGTTTCAGTGTTTATGCGCGAAATAATGGATGCCGAAGAATCGTTTATTTTAATGGATAGCGCAGTCAGTGCGTTTGAAAAGCCGCATTCGGGCGCCTGGACAACTGAATTACACTTGAAGTGATAAAGCCGACTCGCATACTTGTCGACCAAATGCTGATGAACTATCGTCTCTGCGATAGAATACGGGTTGGAAATTATTGTCAAGTTGGCGATTTGCGGCAAATTGTGTGAAATCCGCATCATTGCTTTTTCCATCGACATAAGCGTAGGGTACGAGCTATTGTTCAGATTGTCCTCGTAATGCAAGGTCGTGACGTTTGACCAGTCATATTTTTCAAACTGCATTATTTCTTGCAGATTATTAACAAAGCAATCCATTGCGTCGGTCGTGCACAGGTTGATTTGCAGCCTTTTGAAGTGTTTGAAGTTGTCCGTCATGTGTGCCAATTTGATGTTGTGAAACGTGTTTTTGATGTCATTTTCGAGCTCCTGGTGCAGTAGGTATGGGGCTTTCAAGGGCGTGTGCCCGATGTATGCAGTGTGGTACGCGGCTGGTATTGCAGCCTCTCTCCAGTTGTGGCAAACTCCCAAAATGGGCACAAGTAGCTTCCAATTTCTGATGTCCTTTGAGCACTCGGTGACATGCCACAAAATCATTTCTATCGCGACGGAAGGTAAACAGCTGATGTTGGCGTTGCTGATGGGTCGGTCTAGTGTAAGCATTTGTGTGGTTTTTGGTTGTTCCTCAAGACACCAATAGTCGTTTTTGATAGCTGAGTGAATAAAAGCAAATGGGTGCCAAAATAAGTGTAAAAAAATATATAGGACGAAAGAAAGAGGAATAGCAATACACCCACCACCACCCCTCATTCCCTCGTGAAAACAAAGCGGCTTTTTGCTTTGCAGGTGCCAAAGGTGAGTACTTCTTCATACTTGTCTGATCAGCAGACAGTTGTAAATATTTATTTTCATAGTATATAATGTCGCATAACCTGCGTAAATTATAAAACAAATAAAGGTGGAAAAATTATGAAAGTGTGTCGGCACCAAAAAAGAGCTTAAAGCTTGGAAGGAGAGCCGTCAACCTTGACGATGGAGTCGTAGCACAGCGTCGTCAAAAAATCATCGTAGCGGGTGCCGGTCATTTGGGAGCCCATGAACTTGACGGCCAGATCAAGTGTGGGATGGGTCTTGGCATCGAGCTTGGCGGCCTCCTCGTGCAGGACCTTGGCGGCATACTCGGGAGTAATAACCGTGCCGTCGGCGGTGCGAGCAGCATGGCGGACCCACTGGTAAAGCTGACTCCGGGAAATCTCCGCAGTGGCGGCATCCTCCATGAGGTTGTGGATGGGCACACAGCCGCTGCCGTTCAGCCAGTTGGCCATGTAGATGAGGCCGACCGAGATGTTGCCGCGGACGCCAGCCTCAGTGATCTTGCCGCCCTCGATGTTGGTGTTGAGCAGATCAGCGGCCTGAACCTGCACCTCCTCGCGGCGGATGTGGAACTGGTTGGACGACGCCATATTCTGGTCAAACTCCTCCAGGGCAATGGTCACCAGCGCCGGGTGCGCAACCCAAGTGCCGTCGTGGCCGGCCAGAACCTCACGGCGCTTGTCCGCACGCACCTTGTCCATGGCAGCCTGATTGGCCACGGCGTCGTTCTTGATCGGAATCTGGGCTGCCATGCCGCCCATGGCGTGGACGCCGCGCAGGTGGCAGGTTTTGATCAAAAGTCGCACGTAGGCATCCATGAAGGGCGACTTCATGGTCACATCCGCGCGGTCGGGCAGGATGAAGCGCGGGTCGTGGCGGAACTTCTTGATGACCGAAAAGATGTAGTCCCATCTGCCGCAGTTGAGGCCCGACGAGTGGTCGCGCAGCTCATAGATAATCTCGTCCATCTGGAATGCGGCGACGATAGTCTCAATGAGCACCGTGGCGCGGATGGTGCCGCGCGGGACGGCCAGCTCGTCCTGGGCGACGTTGAAGATGTCGTTCCATAGGCGCGCCTCAAGGTAGTGCTCCATCTTCGGCAGATAAAAGTACGGCCCGAAGCCAGCGGCGACCGAGGCCTTGGCGTTGTGGAAGAAGTACAGCGCAAAGTCAAAGATCGAGGCCGAGCAGCGCTCGCCGTCGACGAGCAAGTGCGCCTCCTCCATGTGCCAGCCGCGAGGACTAAATCAAGCAGCGTAAAACGCACAGAAAGATGCAAGCTTATCAATCAATAACCAAAAAGCTTATTTGTTCCCAGGATCGGGAGATAAAGGGTTGATGGCGTCACATGCGGTCAGACGTGAGTTTTTTTTATAAAAAGGCCTGTGACAGCGCAGTGGGCGCTGCGGGCGCAGATAAAAGCAAGCTCAACAGCGAAAAGCGTCGCGCACATGTGAAACAGCACACAAAACAATAGACTTACCGGACGATCAAAGTGGCGAGCTTGCCATCCGTGCGCAGCTTATACTCCTTGCCCTGGGCATTCGTGAAGGCAATGGTGCGGCGCACAGCATCGCGCATGTTGATCTGGCCGTCAACGAGATTGAACCAAGTCGGCGAGCTCGAGTCCTCGAAATCAGCCATGAACGTGCGGGCGGCCGAGTTCAGCGCATTGATAACCATCTTGCGGTCAACCGGGCCGGTGATCTCGACACGGCGGTCGACCAGGCCGGGAGCAGGGGCGGCCGCGCGCCATGTCAGGTTGTTGCGGATATGCGCGGTCTCGGGCAAAAAGTCCAGCGAGTCGCCGGCTTGGATGCCGCGGTACCGGTCCTCGCGCGCCTGGAGCAGTTGCTTGCGCGTGGGGTTGAACAGCCGGTGCAGCTTGGCCACGAATGTCAGCGCTTCGGGTGTCAGAATGTCGGCTTGGTCACCGACAACTTTGCCGAGCACCTGCACTCCGGAGACCTTTGACTGGAACATGGCTGAGTTGATTTGGCTGATGGATATGCTGGCTTGTGTTGGGAATAGAGATTTATGGAGAGGCGAATTGAAAAATACAGTGGCTTTTTTATTAGCGTGTGAGAATAAAAATCGATAAAGTGGAGAGAGGAGAGAAAGAAAAAACACCCGCATTCCTTTGGCTTTTTATATACGCGCGCTTCATCGTGGGTTTTCTTTTTCGGCGAACTCGGATTCAGCGGCGGTCGAGATAGCATCAGAAGGGAAAATAAATAACAGTTGACGCTTCTTTTTTTGCTTGACTTGGGCTTCGAGGCCTTCTATCGCTTCGTCTTCGTCTTCCTCACCATATCTATTTTTTCTGTTGCATCACGAGGATCGGGGAAAAAAAACACAGGCATATCAGCAACTGCCAAAAGAAAAAAGCGCATGTGGAAAATGCAATTGCACATGCTTGTTTGATGGTGACGATACTATATTTGTGCAGGCACAATCATATTGTGACTTGTTTTTTTCATTCCCATTTCCACACTTTAAAGGACACGCCAGAGATCGTAAAATCAGGGGGTGTGTGAATTAAAGAAAAAACCAATACTTTGCGGATCCCGCAGAAAAAGACCAATTCCATACACTTTATCGTACATTTCAAGTGCGAAAAAGGTATTATCTTCCTAGGTAGAAAACACTCGAGGTGCCATGTGTTATCTTCTTTTGTTTACCGTTTTTGGAGCTATTAGCGCAACTTTAAAGAAGGGAGGAGGTCTGTGCATTTGACCCGGTGGAACGGAGTTATCACTTGATCTGAGGCGGGGCCCCTTTCCACCGGGCAATGCATGTGATAATATTTCAAAAAATATAGTTGTTTCTAATTTGTATGTCCCTTTCAAAGAGGGTTATATTAGTTTATAATTTTCCTCCTGTACTATTCTGAATATCTACTATGCATTGTTGAATTGGCATAACGCAGATGCTTGCTAGTCTGATCTAAACTTTGGGATGATGTTAATAATACAGATACCATTTTTATAATAAGATAACCAAAATAAAGTTAGCCGCAACCATGGTTACTATATGTTACAAATAAAGTATAATAATCAACGAAGGATATTTATTTCTTCCAAGGAGAACAATAAAACCTTTTCATCGTTACTCTAATTGCCATGCACACAGTCCATTAATGCCAGCAAGGCGACATGTTTGTTTACACAACCTTAATGTGCCTTAACTGTGACATAATAAACATTAAAAATAAATAGAAATAGAAATATGAGAAAAGAGAAAAGAGAGAAAAGAGAGAAAGGGAGAAAAATTAACAACATAAAGTGCTTTTACACACACATGTACATTTATATACTAAAGGCCAGCAAATTCCTCACGCCCGTGATCTCGGCGTAACAGAGTTAGTCGCGCTGGCAGCAGACACTGGCTGCTCCGCGTCCGTAGACAGCGGTACCGGTGATGATGCCAAAGACGACGCCGACACAGGGCTGTTCCCACCAGCATTGCCCTCCTTCGAAGCCAGGTACTTCTCCACCTTGGTAATAAGGTGCTTTCCATACGTGAACTTGCGCAGCATCGCCATATGGTCCTGGATCTTGTCCAAGATTTGGTCACGCTGCTGGCCATCAACGACATCAAGCATCTTTTGCACAACGTAGTTCGCATACTGGTCCTTCATCATATTGACCAGGTTGCTCGTCCCGTCGCGCCGCACTGACATGACCTCCTCGATCAGCGCCTTGCGATCCTTGGGCTCGCCATAAGCGATGCACTTTTCGACGACATTGGAGGCAAACTTGTGCTTGCTCAGGTGCAGGACGTGGCCGCGCACGCGCGAGCACACGAGAATGCGGTCAACCGCCTTGCCGCGCTCCATGACGTGCTGGATAACATAGTTGCCGTACTGGTCCTGCACTAGGTTCGTCGTGAAGCGGTGCAGCTCCTCGAGCAGAGGGCGCGTCTGGCTCTCGCTGCAGTGCTCGAACATCCGCTGGATCACGCGGCAGCCATATGGGTGCGTCGCCAGTGTGTACACTTGTCCATGGAACGAGTCAATGATGAACCGGATTTTGTCGGCCGAGATGCGCTCAATGGCCTTTTGGATGACATGGTTGCCGTTTTGGTCCTTGACGCACTGGAGCACGTGGCCGTGCAGCTCGCGCACGATGCTGAGCTGTTGCTCCACCAAAACGTGCTCGAGGGCCTTTTGCACCACGCGGCACCCGTACATCTGCAGAGACAGCGTCAGAATATGGCCTTCCATCTGGTTCGCCAGCATGTGTCTTTGCGGCTGGCTGCCATGCTCAAACAGCTTTTGGATCACATAGTTTCCAAACACGTCCGTCATGAGCTGCCGCGCGCTCGGCAGTATCTCGCTGAATACCATCTGCGTGTCCTCTGGCGCCGCTGTTTCGAGCTTCAGCTGGATAAACCGCGACCCGTGCTGGTCGCAGCTGAATTCGACGATGTAATCACAGAAGTCCTTGAGTTCGTACTTGCGCGCCTTGTCGACACGGAACTCGTCAAGAATCGTGGTGCGCATGCCGGGCTCCGGCGAGGTGGCCGCCGCTGCAGCCGCAGTGCTATTGGATCCACCGCGGGCTTTCGGCGCGCTTGTTACCGGTTGAGCGCTCATAGTAGACGGAGGGGGCGTATTGTACATCGCTGCATCACGCCCGGCCAGCATATTCTGCTGCTGCTGCTGTTGTTGCTGCTGCTGCTGCTTCTGAGGCAGCGGCTGCTGATGCTGCTGTTGTCTATGTTGGTTAGCATGCGCATGATGGTGCTGCTTCGGATGTTGCTGATGTTGCTGCGGGGTGTGCGTCTGTGATTGGATGCGGTAGCTCGAGTGGTGCTGCTGCTGTTGTCCAGGTGTGTTCTGCCCAGTTCCACCTTGCGATCTATGCGCATTGGCAACTCCAGCGCCAACCAGTCCATTGGCAGTGGGTCTCTGCGCAATAGGCTGAGGCAGCGAATACGCGCTCATGGGGCCAACGCCTCCGCCGCCACCACGCACGTATCTCCCGTTGTCATTGTAAGACTGCGCACGAGCAAACCCATGGGGGGACGCCCCATGGGCCAGCCCAACATTGTGCATCTGCGCTCCAGCCGTGCTGACTGGGCCGCCGCTATACAGCGCGTTGCGGTCCGTGGCAATGTTGTCGACAAAGGGCGAGCCACCAACCGCAGGGCCCATATGCTGGCCATTGTGCAGGCGCAGCTGGGACTGCAGCGGCATGTTACTGTTGTACAGTCTATGCTGCTGTTGCTGAGCCTGTTGCTGCAGCTGTTGAGCCTGCTGCTGGTGATGATGGTACTGAAAATGTTGTTGGTGTTGTTGTTGGTGCTGGTTTGTAAACTCCCAGTGGTCACTGACACTGCTCATCGGACCAGAAGCACGCGCCGAAACAGAGCCATCTGTGTCGCCAAATATATCATGGGTCCCACGAAGCTCAGCGCTGCGGATCCCACGGCTGCTGTCGTCTCCAAGCCGCAGGCTGCGGAGACGGTAGTTGAGATCGTCGGCAGCGCCCATCTGAGCGCCCGACACGCCCAGCGGACCCGCGTTCAAAGACCCAGCGTGGTTATAGGCCATAAAACCATTATCATGAAGGAGTGCCCCAGATGCCTGCTGCTGGTTAGCACCAATATCCATGCCTCCCCATATACCCGAGGCGCCAGTCGCGCCAACGTGGGGGCCAGAGACAGTGGCAGCGGCCGTGGCGGCGTTTCGCGGCGGAGTGGACGAGGCGCGCTGAAGACCGTCCAAACGTGCAGCATGGCGAGCAGCCCAAAGCGACTGGCCTGGCGCACCTGACGGCTGCCCAGGCGGAGAGCCAACTGACATACCAAATATGTCGATCTGCGAGCGGTGACGGCCAAAATCGTCGTCTTCCTCTTGGTCCAACAGTGAGTTGAGAATCATGCCGACATTGTGCAACTGCGTGTTGCTCGAGGGCAGTACAGTACTATGCGAGCGGCTGGGAGGCACTACCGAGGGCAAGCGCACAGGCATCCCAAGAATGCCGGTGTCCGACAGAAGCCCCGAGGGGGAGATGAGCGAGGGGTTTCTGTTGGGCGCAGATGCAGATAGCGTCGAAAAGGCAGAGGCAGAGGCCGGGGTGAGTTGGCCGCTGCCCAAAATGCCGCCCTCGAACGAGTGCGGGGCGCCCACAGTGTTGCTGTCGGTCGACACTTGGCGCTGGAGCGGCGTGTTGGGTGGCCGCACGCGCATGCCCGAGGGGTCGAGAATGGCTGGCGAGGGAGTGCGTGGAAAGTCAGTTTGGATAATGTCAACAAGCTGGCGGCGGGAAAGAGGAATTCCGCCTGAGGTTTCTCCAAAAGACGACGCGCCACCATTGGCATTGCTGCTGCTGTGACCGCCGTTGTCAAGACCCAGCCTTCCCAGAGCCATTGGCTGGTAACCAGCGGGCCTGCCATTGCCAACTGCACTTAAAGATGAGTCGGTCTATAAGGAGGAGAGAAAATAGAAGGTTGTGATAATAGTTAGTACAGATTATGCTGACCATGAGCGCTGTGGCGCATGTGCTGCGCTAGAGCAAAATAACTTAATGGCTGGGCTGCAGCCACGCAATCGTGCATCAGGAAGTGCATCGTCAATCAGGTTGGCCAGATATTAATTAAAAACTGGCATTTTACTATAGCAGTGTCAGCTGCGTCAGCTGTGGCAACAGTGGCACAATTACAATTGAAAGCACCTGTTGGTCGATTTTTTTGTTGACATACCTGCTCCAACAAATTCGACCAGTCGTCGTCAATAGAACTGGCGAAGGTCTGCAGGCCCATGGCCGTGGCGGGCGTTGTCGGCTTGTTACCCGAGACCAGCAAGTCCCAGCTGTAGTCGTAAGATTCGGTGTTTGCAGAGACAGCGGCCGCGGACTGAGAGACGTTGGGCTGATAATGCAGGGCTTGATTCGATAGCCGGATAGGAGCGGCGTCCCAGTGACCTTGGAATCTGCTTTGGCGCTTGTTGCTTCCGCTGCTATTGTCGTTACGCGCCTGATCATTGCTGCCTGTGCTGGCTGTCCCGGAACTCTCGTTTAAACGGGACATCGTGTACTGATATTAAGGATATACCAGGTGAGATACTGATGCGTTGTGTCTTGGATTGTAGAGAAACACGGGCGGGGAGGAGAAAGAAAAAGGCAAAACAACAGAATGTAAACGGACAGAGTAACTAAACGTTTATCGAAGAAAAGAAAAATGAGCTAGGCCAACCTCACGAAATACGTGCGATATAGTTGTGTATAAAAAAAGGCTGCTGCTAAAACAAGTAGAATACAGAGAGTAAAGCCAAATAAAATCTAAAAGAGAATATCACTACAAAGTAGAACGCAGTAGAGAGAAGAGTAGAAAATATTGCGAGATTAGCAAACTTGCAGCTGAACACGAAATTGGGTTAACAATAAAATGAAAATTCCAGTACAAAAATAGGCAAGTAAAGGAGTGTCCACGCAGACAGTATTTCCAGAAGCACATTCGACTTGGGCTGGCGGGAATGTCGAAAGAAGCGCGTAATTTGAACAGATGGGTCTTTGCTATGCAAGTGGGGTGTATGTGTGTATGTGTGATTGTGTGTTTATGTGTTTGTATGCGTAAAAATGGGGCAGTCCAAGATCCTGAATCGTCTGAATTTAAAGTTGTGCAGGTGTGCCGATGCTGCGTGTTTAACTCATAAATTCAAAATGCCGCAGCTGCTGGGCCTGAATGTCCAAGCCAGAGGGCGGGAAGTACCGCAGTAATAGGCAGAGCTGCCCCCGCACTCGAGCCAGCATATTCGTGTCCTTGTCCCTTGCCCTGAAGGCAGGCGCATTTGTGTGTGACGAGTGTCTTACCTTGGGCTTGGTCTTTGAGGAGGTATGTGCTTTGAGTAAGGCTTTTGCTTCTTCAAGAAGCTAAAGTGAAAAAGATATAAAGAAAGTGAAAGGTGCGTAGCTGTGAATCTGCTAAATGCGTCTATGTACAAAAAGAAGAAAATAAAGTGCAAATAAAGATAAAAAACCAATGTCGCAGGAAACGAAGAAGACAATAAAACAAAACCCTAAACTGTCGGTGATGGTCGTTTCAAAACAGAGAATAAATTGAGAGGATGCTTTAGTGTATTATTCAGCGCTCCTAGATTTTAGTCTTTTTGAGAGGGAAAAAAACAGGACATGCAAATGCGTACGCATGCACTCGTGTATTTTAATGGCCAAAAAACGGCTGGGGATTTTTTATGAAAACACAGGTCTCTAGCAAAATTCAGCCGAGCTTGGAAAAGCAGCACTAGATTCAATGCCAACGCTGGGCAAGCAGCACGCCTGCAAGGAGATGGAGTGCAGCGGTGCGCACATTCGTCTTGTTCGCCAGAATCCGGAACGCAAGTGTGGATTTGCAACACCCCCAATCCGAAAGACACATCTGAGCTGAGCTGAGCTGAGCTGAGCCGAGCTTAACTATACTGAGCTAAACTGAGCTAAACTGAGCTAAACTGGACTGAGCTGAGCTGGAAATGTACTTTGAAAAAGGAGAAACATCACAGGCCGATTCTTTGTCCAAAAAATAGCTCTAGAAACAAAGGGGCCGTGATTTTTTGCCATCTCTTTTTGCTACTCAAGCCAAAAGACGTACAAAGCGTGGACAAGAGCCACGCATGATAGTTTTGTAACAAGCTCTTTTGTTTTCAGCTGTGCTCGCTCTTTTTGAACTCATTCCGCGCTTTTGTATTCTTAGTATCATTTCCTCTTTCTTCTGTACATAGACCGCCATTATGCTTCTAGCCCCCTGTATTCTATATCTATAGCTAGCCCAGACAGCAAAATACACGTTCATACTTCACCTCCACACAAACACACCAACACCAACACGGACACCAACACAGACACAGACGCAGACGCAGACACAAACACAAACACAAACACAAATACAAATGTCCAAAAAAATAGAGTGCTACTTTTCCGCTATCGAAACAGCAACGGCAACAGCAGCAGCAACCACAACCGCAACCGCAACGGCAGCTGGAACCGCTTTGCCGTGGGATGTCAGCCTGGCGCACAACATCCTGCGGTCGTGCCATACATTATTCAGGGAGCTCGAGCGGATACAGCTCGGCGTCATGGACGGAACTACGGCAGTATCGGTCTGCGGCACCGAGTGGACTGCTACTGAGGCGCATGTCGACGACATGCTTGCAGTGCTGCAGAGCACGCAGGAGAAACGCGAGGCCCGGCGCCTGGTTCGCGCAAGCCGCCAGACCATCGGGTCGATGCGCGTCTGCGTGCAGACACTGGCGGCCAGCACAGAGCTGCAGGCGGCCAGCGCAAGCGCAGTGCAGGCGACGGTTATGGCACTGAGCGCGGCGGCGGCGCAGATCCACATGAACGAGGCCAGGGAGGAGAAGGGCGAGGCGCAGGCCCAGCCCAACCCGTCTGTTGCCGATGCTGTGCGGGCTGCGGGCTCGCTGGCCGAGCAGCTGCGGATATTCACCCGCGTGTCGCAGCAATCGTGGGCGGCCACGCGTTCGCAGCTGGCGCATGCGCCCTCGATACCGTCGCCGCTGGCCTTGGGCAGTGCGCCGCAGCACCGGCGCTGGGTCTCGGAGGACATCGAGACCGAGACGGACTCGACCCCCAACACATTCGCCGGGACACCCGAGCCGCTGCACTCGCGCAACCGCTCGGACAGCCGCCTGCAAATCGGGAATGCTGTGTTGCCGAGGACCAAGCAGGTGCGCTTCCTGGCGCGCACGCCGCCGAGTGCTGAGCCCGCGCCGGCAATTGACCAGGCGCACTTGGCTGACTTTGCGCTGGCGCTGTCTGCCTTTGAAAAGGCCGTCGCGGCGCTGGCCGAAGAGCGTGGCGACATCGGGCCACATACGCCGGCTGTGCGCGCCCTAGTCACAGCGTTTGTGCAGCTGTCGCGCCTTGCCTCGTCGACCGGCATGGTCCGCCACTTTGACCGTCCAGCGCTGGCGCTGTTCAAGACCACCACTCAGGCTGTCAAGCTGCTCATGCCACAGAAATCATAGTTGATCGCGTGTTTGATTCCTGCTTAATCTGATCCTGGCGCCCTTCCACTTTTGTGTGCTAAAAAAATTTTGTTTATCCCCTCTGCCACCAGTCTGGCGAACAAAAGCGTGGAATTCATGCAGTCACTGCTTGCTCAGTGTATTTTCTCTCCATGCGTGAGCTTGAAGCAAGCGAGCAGGCTGCTGTTTCTGCCACCACCAACAAAAAAATTCAAAGTCTTCAAGCCCTTTTGTCGCAAAAAAAGAGCGAATTTGAGATTTATTGCAAAGCCCAACCATTCGCTTAACCAATTCCTTTCTCTTTTTTTTTCGTACAGCCAGTTGTCTTTTTCTTTTTCTTTTTTTGTCTGCCGATTCTTTAATTTCACTTTTTTATTTATCTGCATCCCTTTTTGTTCATTTCAGAGCACCTATTTGTAATTACGAGGATTTATTAGACGGCTTTTTCACAACGCTCGCCTCTCTCTTTTTCCTAGCCACCCATCTCGCCCCTTTGGATTAAAGCAACAAATAACAAAATGGTAAGGGACAAGCCAATTCGAGCCCATATGGATTCAGCAGATACAAAATTCATCATGCTCGAGTAAGATATATTATTTGACAGCTACCGGACGCTAAATTCAACCTTTCTTTCACTTTTTTCAACCGTTTTATATTGCTTTCTGTAGAGACCTATTCTTCTTCAGGGCCATACACGTGCGCTGACGCAGGTCAAGTACAACCCCGACGGCGACCTGCTCATGACAGTGTCAAAGGACAACGTAGCCAATCTGTGGTACTCGCACAACGGTGAGCTCGTTGGCACCTACGAGGGCCACCAGGGTAGCATCTGGAGCATCGACTGCAACAACGCCACCACGCTGATTGTCACCGGTGCGGCCGACAACACTGCACGGCTGTGGCATGCTGAGACCGGCAAGGAGCTGCACAAATGGGACTTGCCCACGGCCATCAAGCGCATCGAGTTCTCGCACGACGACCGCTACGTGCTGATGGTCACTGAGGAGCGCATGGGTTACAAGAGCGGAATCTATGTGTTTGCCATTGACAATAGCATGCCGGAGCAGAGCAACGAGCCCGTGGTTATCCTCAGGCCATCACCGTCCAAGGCTACTGTGGCCGCATGGAGCTACCTGGACAAGTACATTGTTGCTGGCCACGAGGACGGCTCTCTGACGCTGTACGACTGGGCGAACGAGGAGATTGTGCGCCGTGCATCCGATGCCCACACCGAGCGGGTCACCGATATGCAGATGTGGAAGGACGGCTCGTACTTTATTACCAGCAGCAAGGACAAGACCGCTCGTCTGTTCGAGACCACCACGCTGACCCCCACGAAGGTGTACAAGGCCGATACTGGAATCAACAGCGCTGCCATGACCCCTACCCAGGACCTGGTTGTTCTTGGTGGTGGCCAGGACTCCAGCCAGGTCACAACTACGTCGTCGCGCCAGGGCAAGTTCGAGTCGCGCTTCTACCACAAGATCTTCGAGGACGAGGTCGGTCGCGTCAAGGGTCACTTCGGTCCCATCAACAGTCTGGCTGTCCAGCCTGACGGAAAGGCCTTTGCCTCCGGTGGTGAGGATGGTTATGTGCGCGTGCACCACTTTGATGTCGACTACTTCAAGTTCAAGTACGATTACTGATCTTGTCTTGGTTTCATTTTCTTTACCCCTCCCTGATCCTTCAATCGCCTCGATAGCGGCTTGTAGTAGCATAAGTTGGGCTTTTATTTTATAAAAAAAGAAAGCCAATAAGTAGTCTAACCCAAACTTTCGGACTTGATACAAGAATAAAAAATATTTATTTTCCCCAAAACTTCTCATCTCGATACTCTAGCGAGATGAGAAACAAGTGTTTGTCTTTGTGTATGTGTGGTTATAATTTTGTTATGCTCTCAAGGGCGTGGGGCAAGATACAACGCCGCCACCTGCACTCTTTCTCTTCACATTTTTTATTTTTATTTTCTCTTTTAATATTGTTTTATTCTTTTTTTGCCAAATGACGAACACTAGCGAATTCACCAACGCGAGCCAGGACACCGCCGCTCTGGTTGATGCTATCCCCCACTTTGCCTTCGATGTCAAGCACGACTCGTTGTTCGACGACTCCAAGCTGCTCCTGACAAAAGTATTCCCTGAATGGTCCGCCGACGAGCTGACCTTTAACCAATGCAAGGATGGAATTACCAACAAACGTAAGTTCCAAACAAGAGTGATCAAAACGCAAGTTTTTCCCTCCGTGGCCCTTCTCGATGAAGAAACATTAATCCCCGAAACAATAGCTCTCTTGGCGCAATATGTTGTCACTAACACTGCGGATATAAGCCCGATGCTTTTTTCTTTTTTTCTTTTTCGTTCTACGCCTCCATATAGTGATTCAGTGCACAAACAAGAGCAAGGATATCACTGTACTTATTCGCGCCTACGGCAAACACACTGAAGTCATCATTGACCGCAGCCAGGAGCTCATTGTAAGTGTCTTGAACTGTCCTAAAGTCCATTTGCCATGTTTTGTTATTGTGGCAGTGGTGGGCAGCACACAACTACAAAAAACCCTGGCTTTCACCTTTTTTATTCACACGCCTCTGGGGCACGCTGATTTGAAAGGATGTTTGATTTGTCGTACGTGACACACATGTACAGTCTTTTAATGCCAATTGATACTCAATTTATAACAGCCATATGTTCATTTCCTTTGTTTGCCATATGGCTTGCTGCTCTCCTGATAGAACATGGCTGGGTTGACCCGTCTTGGCATGTGCCCGCCATTGTACGCCCGGTTTAACAACGGCCTGGTCTACGGCTTCATCCCAGGAACTGTCGCGAAGCCCGAGGAAATGGGCAATGATCTGTGGGCGCCGCTTATTGCCAGAAAGCTCGCCGAATGGGGCCAGGTGCAGCTCCCAGGCGACCACTCCCCACAGCTCTTCCCCATCATCCGCCGGTGGATGAATGACATCCCGGCCAATTACGCCAGCGAGCGCGACAATGCAATTTTCCACAAGCATTTCAAAATCCAAGACCTCATTGCCGAATGCGATCAGCTCGACGCTATTCTGACCAAGCTCGATTCCCCAGTGGTGTTCTCCCACAACGATCTCTTGTCTGGAAACGTCATCATGGCCGAGTCTAAAGACGAGGTGTTCTTTATTGACTATGAGTACGCTATGTACAATTACCGCGGCTTTGATATTGCCAATCATTTCAACGAGTATGCTGGTTTTGAGTGCGACTATGGCAGGTATCCGGGGAAGGAGGCACAGCTTGCGTGGTTCAAGACGTATTTGGACCATATTGCGTTGGATTCAGGTTCTGGTGCGCTGGAGGCGATGTACACGGAGGTCAGTCTTTTCCAGCTGGCGTCGCACTTTTATTGGGGTATTTGGGCGCTGGTTCAGGCCGATATCTCGGACATTGACTTTGACTACATGGATTACGCCAGGCTGAGGTTTGAGCAGTACTACAGGGTCAAGACGCGGGTGCTGGTATGATATTATTTTACTTGCACTTTATATTTGTTAGATTTTTTCAATTGCATATTATATTACAAACACGAGATATGCGCAATTGTCATAATTATAACTTTTTAATCGCACATGTGGCTGGATTGTTGTATCACAATGATCAATCATTTTTATTTTGCACATTTAGCATTTCATAGCTATCAATCACTTTCCACAAACAAACAAACAAAAAATACATACCCTCAACATATTTTGTTATTTTATTTTGTATATTGATACAAGATAGCCCAGCTCCATCTCCAAAGCTGAAAACCTCCCACCATCTTTCTTTATATCCTCTCTATGTACCTGTTTTATTGACAAATGGTCGCCATAACAAACTTTGCAGACTTTAACATCTGGGTCAGGATTATGCGGAACTCTTCGAACGCACCCAGCCACAGTTTCGAGCTAGGATCCGGTGCAGTCTACTCGTGGAGTTTTGGCACCAACGACATATGTCTTATTTCATTGTTCATGCGGCACGGCATGTGTGCCCTCGAAGTGGTTGAAACCACCGATGGGGTTGAGGTGTATGGCAAGCACAAAGTGTTGCACAAGAGAAAGAGCAAAATGGGCGCGTACGAGGTGATCAGAAAGCACGTTTTCTCTTTGTGTATGGAGAAGAAACTGCTTTCGTGCTGGAGGCTTGATCCACGCGTGGTTTGGGAATTCGCAATGGACAAGGGCGTTGTGTTATGCATGAAGTGAAATCCAAAGTAAAATAAAAAATACATTATATTTCCTTTTTTACAAAGCCCAAGTTTCAAGTGTCGCGTTAAATTTCCATGGAAAAAAGATACGTAAATAAATGTTTATATACACGAGTAACATGCCAAATATATTTTTTTTAAAAAAATTAATTGAAACTACTCATTAAAACACTCGATGGGCGCCAGATCTGCACATAGCCGATGCCATTGCCCTCGCCAGTCTCCGAAGATCCGATTGTATACCTGTACTCCCACTCCGGATGCCATTCAAAACCCGACACAGTCGTCTGGTGCGCCTGGTGGGTGAACAGAGGGATTTTTTGCGACTCTGGCCTAATTTGGTAAATATGTACATTGCTCCCACTCGAGCAGGAAAACACTTTGGGGTCATGGGGGCACACCCTGATGCGATTAGCAATGGAGCTGGCTGGGACCTTGAACCGATTGATGAAATTCACGGCTTTGTTGCCACCCACAAAGCGGGTATCCATCTGCTCAATATACCCGTCGCTGGTGCCGACCAGGATTCCATGACTGTCCATGGTCTCGATGCTGTGGATTATGCCGCGGTGGGGGGTTGACAGCCGATTGATGAAAGGCAGGCGGAAATCAATCATCGAGAGGCCCTTTGAGGAGTCGCCGACATACACACAGGCATCATTGGGGGCTATTTTCAGCGCCGTAATCGACATATTCATGGTTCCATCCTTTTGCGCATTGTGAAACCTCCGCGTGTCATTATATCGCCACATATAATTGGACGAGCCGGCCTTCCACACCCCGACTTCGCCGTGCATTGAGTTCGCCACAACATAGTCGCGGCCGATGTCAAAAATGCTGTCAATATCGTCGAGCAAAACGAGTGTTGCCTTTTGCTTGTATGAGGCTGCGTCGATCACTATGATATTGTTCATCGAGCACGCAAACAGGATGCGGCCGTGGTCGTGGAGTTTCAGCGAAACTACAGGGCATGCTTGGTCGTCCTTGTTTGCAACAACCAGGACCTTGTTGACCTCGCTGGACTTGAATATGTCGACTGGGGTCTGCATGCATTCCGTGGGCGAGCGTGCTGGAAAATCAATGGGGCACTGGACAATCAGCGATTTCGAAGAGTCCGAGAGCTGTCGTTGGAACTTCCAGTTGTTGATTACGTCCACGGAGCTTCCATTGCCCTGCACCATGTGTAAGTCCAGCCGGCTGCGTTTCTTGCTGGGACACCAGGTCATCGAGAGACAATGTGATCCAAACACTTCTTCAGTAGGGGGTTTCTGTGAGTAAAAGAACTGGTAGCCGAAGGGCGTTTTGGCGCGCCACTCGGGCATAGCCGTAAAGTCCACCACAGGCTCACCTCGGTGCTGTTTCTCTGGGCTGCGTACGGGCACTTTGGGCTTGAATGTCATTTTGCTGCTGTCGCCGCTCTTGCGCAGCGCTGCCAATCTAAAGTCGGTGGGCTGCGGCTTTGGGCGCCCCAGCCCTGCTGATTTGCGCGCCACGCATGTGGTCTTGCGCCGGTCAACCCTGTGATGCGTTGGGCTCAGATCCTGCACAGGGCTTGCGCTGCCAATCGGTCGGCCGTGCTTGCTGTCCGCCCACCGGTTTTCTGACGGCTGCTGCTGCCGCTGCTGCTGCAACGGCGGCGACGCGGATGACCGTGGCATGGGCGATGGCTCCGGCGATATCAACGACGACATCATCGAGGACATCAATGGAGACGAATGCTCCTTCGAGGACAGCGCGTCGAGATACGAATAGGACAAGCCAAGTTTGGTCAACGGCGAGGAGGAGGAGGAGGAGAAGGAGGAGCAGCATCCGGACCATGTGTCTGGGATTACTATTTTGCTCGGTGTAAAGTAAGGTAGCCCTGGGATAAGGCGTTCAGCTGCCACTGCCGCTGCTTCTGCAATTGTTTCTTCTGATGTTAATATTTGCTGCGGAGCAAATAAAGGCGCGCTTGCCAGTTGGTTGTCTGTCTGTGCCGGCAGTAATGTGCACGATTGACCTGTATTTGTCGTACTCAGCACGTATTGTGGCAAGGAAGGCATTGGCTCGGCCGGCGCCCGCGGCTTCGAAACGGGTAATAAAAGTGAAGAGGTTGGTGAAGCCAATAAAGGAGACAGCGGCGGCGACGGTGACGACAAAGTAGCCGGGGCATTATTGACTAACGAAGTGTGTGAATATGTTTGCAACGCCAATTGCACAGGTGCCTGTAACCTGTTGCTGTCAAATACGTTTTCGTTATCATCGCTGTCGCTATCCAAAACAATGATCTCAGTATCTTTGCGCGTGGGATCATTCAGCGCGCGCGTTTCGCGAGCATGCGTTCTTGTTCCAAGTTTTTTACTGCTGCTGTTGTTGTTACTAATTTTGTCGACGGAGTCCTCTGTGTCGCTGTCCAAAACAATAATTTCAATGTTTTCGCTAGTGACGACTGCCGGCAGGCCATTCCTTAGGATGCGGGGTTTGGTCCCTGTTGTGTTGATAGTTTTGTTTGTCATTTGCCGTTTTGTCCGGTTTCGTGACAAGTCGATCGCGTGGAGCTCGGTCGCTTCAGGCGGGAAGCGGCTCCCGTGTAGCAGAATGAAGGAAATTTAAAATAAAAGTTGAGGTTGAAAGAGTAAATAAGGTTAAATTTAACAGAACAAAAAAATAATATAAAGAAATGCAGTAAGAGAAAAATACAAGCGAAATAAGAAGAAAAAGATCAAGTGTATTATAATTTATTTATTCTTTGGTGTCCTGCCATCCGAATTTTGATCAAACGCTGTTTCGGCCCAAATATTGGGATATAAAAATAGGGTTTCTTCCAACCCACCAAGCTGCCTTCTCGGGTAATGTAAACACACGTTTATGTCCCGAAAAGAGAAAAATAAAGAGAGAGAACTTTATATTGCATTTTGAAGACATTAAACCATTTCCTAATATTGCAGCTTTTTGAAGCGAATATTAACACATTAAAGCAGATACTTCCTCTTGCCACTTTTTCCAAGCCAAATGTTTTTTTTTTTAAAAAAAAAAAAGAAACTACTTTGAAAATGTATTTGGACCTGTGGAACACTTAACATAAAGAATAAGAAATAATAAAAGAAGAGAGGAGAAGAGAGAAGGCCTGAGATAATTACAGATCCACTCAAAGCTCCATGCACAAGAAAAAACCCAATATACTTCGTCTTTACTCAGTTTCCATTGCCTCTCCTTCCTCCATCAAGTCCAAATACGCGCGAGTATCCTCACCATCCAAAATAGTCATCTTTGTATCCTTTCCAACAAACCCGATCGACGTATTCATAGTATCCAGCAACTTCCCCTGCTGCAACGTATCCCTAAGGGCCTTCAACCCCTGGACCACCAGTTCCTTCAAGGACATATCCTGGAAGCTCTCAAAATTTCTCTCCAAAATAGTCCTTGCTGACTGCGACCTCGACCCAATGCTATAGGCAAAGTACTCAGAAACAATACCCGAAGGATTAAACTCATACAGGTGAGGTCCGGTATCATCGTGGCCGATTACAAGGAGTCCAACGCCGTATGGCCGCCGTCCATAGTCTTGCGTGTTGGTTTGCGCTTTGTCGCCGATTAAATGCACAGCACGACCGATGGCCAACGGCCGGTTGTACACCATCTTGGACCGCATAGCCTCCGTGCGAAGATGGTTGCTGAGAACACGCGCATCGGATGTCAGTCCCGCCAAAGCTATGCCCATGTGGTCATCAATGCAAATGAGCTTCTTCTGATATGACGCCAGCTCATTGGGAGACCGCTACAAAAAAAAGAACAAAAGAAGTGGAGGGGGTGTAAAAAATAAAAATAATAAGGACAGGCTTGTTAAAAGCTGTAGTTTCACGCGGTAACAATTGAAATCTCTGAAATATTCACACTCTTCTCTCATCCTCCAAATTTCAAATGAAAATAAAACCAAGTATATCTTACCTTAGCTGCCACAATGACAACATGGTCCTTCGACCTTAGCCCGACAACAGCCGAGCCCTGCTTGACGGCTTCCGACGCATACTCCACCTGGAAAATGCGGCCCTGAGGACTCCACGTCGACGAGTCATTATCGTACTGATTGCGGAACATTGTGTGTTTAGTTTAATTGAAATTGGTTTTTTTTTTTTGCTGAAAGTGGATTTGAAACAACAAGAAATAAAAAGGTGAGAAAAAGGAGCTTGCAAGAGAGCTAAGCTCCAAATTGACAAATGGCTTTTTGCACGGGCGTAAAAAAATGCAATTATTTTCACAATGATTACGTTTCATTTTGGCATGACGCGCGTCCTCTTGGCCCCCCCCCCTCCCTTGGCCTAAATCACAAAACTATTTTTTTTGGCCGATTAACGCACGTGATTTAGGCCAAGGGAGGCGGCTATTTTCGAATACAAAAAACGAACATGTTAAATTAAAATTATGGACTCAAGAAAAAAACAAAAGACCCACTGGTAAATAAAGAAAAAGCATAGATGATGAAAAAAGGAAAAGGAAAGGAAAGCTCGCCTTTGGCCACTGGCAAAAAAACGAAAGAAAAAAGAAATGAAGGGGGGGGGAGCAGTTTACTGAATGGACACGAATATGTTCAAAGTACCGATTGAGCTGTCATCCATTTTGGCGGCATTGGCAGACTCAAAGGCCATTTGCACATCTTCGTCTGAGCCAATCATGACCATATCGCCGTCCTCGTCTTGGTACCGCATGCGGATGTTCAGTAGCGGTGCGGACAAAATATCAGTTTCCAGGCCACTGGTGATGCCCACATGCGGGCCAGCGCAGATCTTGATCTTCCTGTCGACGCGGTCGACCAGCTCCTTGTACAGCATTTCATGCCGGGCAATGACCACGTAGATATCGTTGTGGAAGTGCACCTTGACCTTGACGACCTTTGCCGGTGATGTCGGCTGCTGGTTGATGTTCAGCGTGCTGGAAACCGAGGGCACGGGCGTGCCGACGTTAGACATTGCTGATATTGCGCTCTGCGGGTAGGCAGATCCGCCGGGAGACACGGGCGAGATCGACGATGAGAAGGCCGTTGGCATTGGCGAGCTGATGTGGATTGTGCCTGGCGCCTTGTGCGAGTGCATCTTGCCTAGGGTGTCCCCGTCGGCGCGGTGGAACGGCGGTACGGGCATGGGCGGCACATCGCCGTTGATGTTGTTGCTGTAGTAGCCGCCGTTGCTGGGCATCGGGCTTGTCCGGCTGCGGCTGATGGCGTCGGGGACGTCGCCAAAGCTGCTGCCGCTATTGGGCGGGCGCTTGTTGAACGTAGAGATTGTTGCCGAGCGCTCAACCCCTTCTGTCAGCTCGTCCTGGTAGTCGCCTGCAAGCTTCTTGGCGTTGTTGCGGTTGCGCGCGACGCTGCCGTCGTAGGTCTTGCGGTACGCCAGCGCGCTCTGCGCTTTTTCGTGCTGCATGGCCGCTGTCAGGCTCGAGCCCTCCGAGTACCTGCCGCGGCGAGCCGGGCTGACCTCGTCCTCGCTGTCGTAGTCGTTGGCGGCAGCGCCTGTCGAGCGCAGTGCTTGGGCAGCGTTGGCGTTGGACAGCTGCTCAGCTACCGACGCTCTCTCCTTTGTGCGTGCAATGAGCTTCTCCATCGTGGTCTTCCACAGCCTCAGCTGGTCCTCGGACCGGCACGACAGGCTAAAGTTCTCCATAACAACGTCGCGCCAGTAGATTGTCAGGCCTAGCTGGCCCTCCCGACAAGTGTGGACGACGCTGTGGATGCTGAAGAGGAAGATGCGGCCCTTGAGCTGCAGCGCGTTGGACTTGTGCTTTTGGCTGCGCTTCTTCTCCTTCTCGGTCACCTCCTTGCAGCAGATCAGGATGTTCTCAAACAGGTATATGAGGAGCTCGCGCTCGACGCCCGTGGTTGACATAACAAAGCTGTCGTGCAGGTAGAGCTCGCCAAAGGTCGAGATTGAGTAGCCCTTCCAGTCCTCGACGCGGTCCTCGAGGTCACTGACCATAGACATGTTGCCCTCCTTGCGCGAGGCCTCGTTGACCTGCTCGACAATGCTGTTTACGGCTGCGATTCCCTCGCGTAGCTCTATGTGGATGGGTGTGCCCTTTTCGTAGAACTTTGCCAGCTCTTCCAGGATCATCGGGTATTTGCAGAGGCGCTGGACGGGCTTGATCAGCATCGATGGCAGCTCGTAGTGCGGATCGATTATGTGAGAGAGAGCCTATTGAACGAACAAACAGTATAATTGCAAGCATTTAGTCGATGTGCATTTGAACAGATGAATGGATGAATGGATGAATGGATGAATGGACAATAGACATGTGCGTTCTCGCAGTAAACAATAGGGAGTGTTTTCTTTGCAGACCAGTCTTTGAGTGGCAATACGTGGTACGTGCAAAGGCATCTGTCAAAACGCATGTCCCACCTACTAGCATTGCTGAAATAACAAAACAAATCCTTTTTTTCAAAACATACCTTTAGAGCTTCTTGCTCGGTTATGCACAACTTGGTTGCGCGCGTGTAGTTAGCGCAGTACGGCTCGTAGACCATAAAACCCTCCTTCATCGACACAAAGAGCTCGCCGAAATGCTGCTCTTCGGGTGACTTTGGCACATAGGGCTCTATGCCGACCAGGAAGCGCCGCTGAAAGTCGACTATCGAGTTGAGGTTGGCGAATATGTACCGGATTGTGTCGCTGGATATGATGTTCTTTCTCTGTAGCTCGTCCATGTATCCCTACAGGTATTTCATAGCAAAAAGTATATGAGCATACGTGCGCGGCGCCATTAGCAGAATTGCGACTTGCACAAAGCGAGCAAGGCAAGGCGGACGATGCTAGCCATCGGCATATGTGTGTGGAAAAAACAATGCGGAATCTGTAATAGGCGTTTTTCTTTCTCTCTCTCTCTCTCTCTCTATCGAGAAAGAGGTGGAATTCTTGAAATGCAAGCACGGCAAAGGGATTAACTTGGGTCTCATTAACAATGAGCAAATCCCTCTCCCTCCCCACTTCCCAGAAGCCAAAAGCTGAGGGGCTGGGCACGCTTGCGCCGAACAAAACAGAACAGCTCCATTTCGCCAGGCACTCTGCCCAGGCGTCCAAAAAATAGCTGGCCCGCAAATTGCGTGCAAGGCAAGCAGAATGGAATGGCGCTGGCCGGGCCCAATTTGCTCTTGACGCCCAGGCGCAACAGAAAAAAGGCTCTAAGCAGCAGGGCATCAGATGCAATGCAGCGGCAAACCTGGGCTTTTTGCGGGAATCGAAAGGGGGTAAGGTAGTAGTAGGTGGACGGACGATGCAAGGACGGACGATGCAAGAGACATGCATATTATGGTCAACCGCCCCACGTGAATCCATGTCTGTGCATACTGCACAGCAATTGGCAGACACACAGACATTGGTAGGCACAGAATAAAACAGCAAGGCTTCTAAAAGCATCCGCACGCATTTTCCAGAATAAAAAAGCGAATAAGCGATAGTGCAACTTACCTGCAATAATTCCAAGTCCTGCACGTATTTGCGCTCAGTCTCGACAAACTCCTTGACGACTCTTTCGCGGTTATCCTGCGGCGGGCCGAGCTGGGCCTCAGCAAACTTTGCGGACGGCTTTTCCGCAATACGGTCGGTGTCCAGCAGCCCACGGCTCTGCACGGCATCGACCACGATTTCAATTGTCTTTAGCACCTTGACGAATGAATTTGTGTCATCCTTGAACAATTCCGAAATTGTAAACAGGTCCTCGTCCCGCACAGCCTGGGTCTCCTTGCAGGCCTTGACAAAGCGGTATACGCGTTCTTTGCGCTGCCTCAAAATATTCTTTGTCTCGTCCAGGCTGGTGTCCAGGAGCTCGGACGGATGCAAGGCGTTGTAGATGACACACAGGCTAGTGCCCTGGCGGAACGTGTCCCAGAGTAGCTGAATGGGGTTGAGATAGGGGGCGCCCTCCTTCATGTCGCGAGCGCCGTCGTCGAACATGGCTGTCATATATGGCTCGAACCCATCGATGCATGCCAGTTTGTCCAAAAGGTTGATGCTTTTTTGGTATATAGAGGTCGCCGGCGTGTTGCGATTTAGAATTGACTCGAGGTTCTGGGAGGGATTGCTGGTCTCCATTACTGGGATGCCCATTCCAGGCGCAGTGCGGCGCGAAAGCTCCATTTGTATAAGGCGCTAACTCTGTCTAATAAAAATAACGAGCTGGTAGCTGCACTACTCGTGCCTTTGGTACTGCTTATTAATGACAATGACGTCTTTTTAATGCTGCTTCTGTTGATGCTGTTGATGCTGTTGTTGGACCAAGCGGGCGGACAACTAAATAAAAAATTAAGCAGCTTTTTGGGATGAAATAAGAAAAAAAATAGTGGGAAAATGTCTACGCTATCAGACAGGAGGAGTGAGAAAAATAAGAGAAAAGCAAGTATGAAATTCAAGAACAAATGATATTAAAGAGAAAAAAAGAAAGCGAGAAAGCGGTACACTTTTATGTTTTTACAAACCCGGCTGGCCAATAAAACAAAAAAGCGTGAAAATGAAGCTGATGACAAAGTGACAAAAAAATTGAAAAGACAAAAAGGGGGGGAGAATTTCCAATTTATCAGCCTCCGCTTGTTTGGGCACAGAAATAAGCACAACTCTTTAATTTTGCTCGAAGCTAGAAATGGAGCCACGTGAGTGGTTTTTGCTTGTGCCCATTTTGGTTCATTTTGCTATTGTCCTGTCCAAAGGCAAAAAAATAAAAAAAATAAAAAATCATTTTTCTTGTATATTTTATTCTCGCACTCTTTCCATGGCCAAACAAATAAAGTGAAAATCTCTTGCTTGTGTCGGATGTGGTATTCACAAGCATCCATTCCATTTCCGCACACCCATGGCATGGCCTGCCCCCGCAGCTCCGCCAAACAATCATGATTGTGCCCAAGCGGACGGAACCAATGAGCCAGATGCGCCAATGCGCCAATGCGCTAAAGTCAGTGGGGCCACAGTGGACCAATGAAGATTGAATAGTAAATCAGTCAGCCAGGCCAGCCAACACCAAACCGCCTTTATTTTTCTCATGCCTCTTGGCCCAGGTCGATCAGCCGCTGCGCAATGAGCTCGATAGCAACAGCATTGCAGTCGCCCTTAGGGATGATCACATCTGCCCAGCGCTTAGTCGGCCACACAAACTCCTCGAACGACGGCTTAGCCACGTACAAATAGTGGTCTAAAAACGCCTTCAGCTCTGCAGCCTGCGGCCCCCGCATGACCTCGCGCACCTGCCTGCCAAGCCGAGTATCGCTGTCAACATCCAAAAACACCATCATATCCATGAACGCGCGCACCTCGCGCACAAACAGCACGAGGATGCCCTCGACCAGGACAACTCTCGGCCGCGGCTCAACCGCCTGCCACCCGGTGCGCCGCTTCTCTGTCCTGTCCCACACCGGCAGCTGCACAGCATTGCCGCGCGCAAGCCGCGCCATTACGCTCTGCAGCAGGTCCCAGTCGAAGGACTCTGGGTGGTCAAAGTTGATCTGCTCGCGGCCCTCCGCCTGCAGAGCTTGGTCAGCCGCAGACAGCTCGTGGTGGAAGTCGTCTAGGTGCAGGTGCACGACGCGCGATGCCAGGTCTGTGTGCCCGCGCTGCTGTACCCTGTCGATGATGTTTCGGCACGTGTGCTCTTTGCCGGAACCACGCCCGCCGCCAATGCCAATGAACATGGGCTGCTGCAACGCCCGTGTATCGGCGTCGGCGTCGGCGTCGGTGCTGGTGCCCTGTGCAATGGCGCTTCGCGGCGGGGTGGCCGTGCCTGTGCCTGCGAATATGACAGGCACCCGAAAGGGCACTGCTGCCGGCGAGTTTATCACGCAGTCAGAGTGCACTTTGGCGAACTTCTTTACTGGTTGCTGTGCCATGGGGGAGATATATAACTACAGGCGTCCAATTTCGAAATGGGGTGTGGCTGCGTGTGTGGAAAAATAAATATTAGAAAAGAAACAAAACAAGCAAACCCGATCCTCGGCGTTGGCTGCTTTTTTATACCTGGGCCAGCTCGCACGCATGCACTGCCCGCACGCATGCATGTGAGATGAAGGCTCTGTGAAGGGAAAAGTGACAGAACAATCACACGGCCTCGCTGCTGCGCTCCTGATCACCAGCAAGTAGCAGGCAGCAATAACATATTTAATAAACGTGCCAGCCTCACGTGTGGCCAAGCGTGTAACCGGGCCAAAACACGGCGTTCTCGCAATCGATAGCGCAGTTAATCCTTGTCTGCTGACGCGCAGCGGTGTCGCTTGCCGCCATCGCTGGCCGCCGCCGCCGCCACCGCCACGGTCCTCGGAGCGACGCTCTTCTTGTGCTTCTTGTCGCTCTTTCCGCGCTTCTCCTCTTTATCTTTTTTTTGTATTTGGCCAAGTAGTATGCGGCCATCGGGTCTTCGGGATCGATCCCGCCGCCCGCATCATCTCCTCGTCCTCCTCATTCTCCTCCCTTTCTTCAAGCGCCAGTTTCTCCGGCGCAGCATTCATGATGCGCTCCGCAGGCACCTCCTCGTCCTTTCCAGCCCCAGGCTGCCTGTAATTCTGACATGATCGACGCGCAAGACCCTGTCCAGCACCTTGGCGCCATTGAGGTTGTCCACGGCAAGAACAGTCGACCTTGGTCCTCGTACTGGAGGAACCCGTATCCTTTGGATTTCCCGTATCCTTGTCGCGCACAAGGTTGATGTTAATGACTTCACCGAACTGCGAGAAAACGCAGATGACGTCGCCCTCGGTTAGCCCGAACGGGAGCCCGCCGATGAAGATGTATGCGCTGTCTTTGTACTCGTCATGCCAGGACGCTGTGGTCCCGAGACGCGACTCTGTTTCGTTGATTCGCCGGATTTCCTGCACGACATTCATGAGAGGCGAGTGCAGATAAAAATGTGGACGCGAAAAAAAAGTTGGAGAGGAAGGTGTGTTGAGCCTATTGAAAGCCTCCCCCATTCAAACAATGCCACCCAAGTGAGGTTGCCAGGGCGGCTGTGCAAACATTTGCAGACTTGTGGGAGAACTGTAAAGGTCACTTGACGTTATTCTTATTTATTCAATTACCAAGAGAGAACCCCCCCTCCCCCACAGAACTAATAGATAAAAATACGAGTGATGTACTGTAATGCAATATAAAGCACCAGCAGCAAAGTGGTTTTCTAAACTATGAAAAAACCAACATTGTGTTTGAAAGGTACTTGTACAATACCTTTCAAAGATTTTATTAGTTCTTTTCTGTTACCCACGTCAATTAATGAATCTGAATTGAGCTCAAACTCCTTCACATACGACCCTATTGTCCGAAAATTGTTAAAAAATCACATCTTTGCTGCCTGCTTTGCATCCAAAAAGAGAATGGTAATCGGCCAGCAGTCCAATGTTTAACGTTATGCTTTCAAAAATGACTCCAACAATCCGATCATCCTCAATGTATCCGGACAATTGGCACGACATGCCCAATTCGCGCTGTAAAAATTTGAGATACATCATTTTATTGTCTAGTAAATAATATATATATATATATAAGTGAAGAAAATACTAGGAGAAGAAAAAGCTATCAATAAGCAAAGAAGCAAAATAAGTAAAGCTCCAACATTTGCCAATTCAGTCAATATGTTCATATAGTGTTGAGAACCCCTCAGGGGGCCGCAATCCAGGCCAGCAACCCGGACTGAGAGCCGCAGGCGCGTACAGATGCATCGGAAAGATGTGGGACGTCACCCAACGTCCTGATCCAACCACATTGATTGTGAAGCCATGTGGTGTTCATGATTGAACCTGTTTTTGCCAGATCTTGATGATATTAGAAATTGATGCAATTTCGAGGTGCATCAAAATAGCATTTGTTTTGCTATTGGCATTTTCTTTTGATGTTTGTATACATGTGTGTGGTACAGGAGATCCCGTGCACACTATCATAGTTTAGTTTTAATATATATAAGGTGCTCCCACCATGAGAATGAGAACACCTTAGTTTTCTAATAAATATTTTATTCCCTATTTTAGCAGTGTTCTTTGTAACTGCTTAGTTGACATTTCTCGTGATTTTCGCCCTCAGCATCTATCTCCATATCCTCGGGCTGCGTAACATAATCATATCCGAGTAATAAATAAATATGTATAAATTATTGGTGATAGAGCAGCTATAAACTCTGTTAAGAATAAGAATAAGAATAATAAACTAAAAGTAAAAGTAAAAGCAAGAGTGGAAAATTAATTGGTATTTATAATTTTCAATATCTGCTGCCAGGTAAAGTTGCACAACATTACTGTGTTAAATAAAAGAAAATTGGCTTTCGGGGGCTGTTTCTATGTTGTCTGAAAAACGTTGAATTTATTCATATCAATAAAACAGCTAAAGGTATTGACTGCCTTTTTATTTAATATTTGACTGTCTGTTTATTCGTCTCAGAATTGTAAAAGTAAAGAAAATTTAAATAAAAACTTGACATTCTGCTTAATTTTCTGCTTAATTTTCTTTATTTATTAAAAATAGCGTGCAAGAGAGTAAATAGATACATTATGTGAACTATAGAAAAGTAAAAACTAGAGGTGATAAATGAGACCGAATGCCTACCGCGCTACTTGCCCGTCATGGGCTCTATTGCAGACATGGCTACATGCCCCTATAACAAAAATTATTCTAGAGGCGGCATGGTTGGGTTCTTCAGACCTGGGTCTAATTTCCTGGTGGTGGAAGTGTCTTCCAGGGTGTTAGTCAACAAGCTAGCGTATATACCCCCCATACACCAACTGTGCACCAGTAAAATATACTCTTAAAACATATTAATTTCACGCCTACTAATAGTCATCCTCTTCATCTGCCGAATGATTAAAATGAGTAGGACTACAAAAGTAGTCGTGCATCAATAGCTCTCTTGCTTGTATGTATGTAATAGTAAGCAACATTGTCATGATTTTTATTAAGTGCATATCAAACCTTTGCTACAATAATATCATCGTAACAAATGTGTATATTACCACATTGGTTCCATTTAACTTTAGTAGGACTCAAGTATTTATCAATTGTAATAAGTTATACAGTTTTAAACAAAATAAAGTTGTTTTAAAAGTGAAAACTAAAGGTAACAACCAAGCCTTTCACACCTGCATGTTTTATTACATATTCGTATACTTCTTTGGCCATTTGTTTTCCTGAAATTATCGTTACTTTTTCAACATTAAACGCTTTAGCCCAAGTAGAATGAAATTTTGATTTATCATTATCTTTTTTCATTAACGGTTAATTTATTTCCCACGACTCAATTAATGTGTTTATTTTGCGCTAATACATCCTTTCTAACATTGGATTGTGACGGACCTGATGATGGCGACAATTTTTTTTATCTGCTTCCGACTTATTTTTTAACAAAATTTTCGTAAAGGTCTTAGGCATTTTTGAGTAATAAATGAATGAATTATAGCAATAATATAGTAGCTATGAATCATTTAAAAGTGAAGAAAAAAGTAAAATAAAAAGTGCGAGGACGGAAGATTAGTTGGCATATATATATATACTGGCGATTAGCTGCTGCCAGATAAATTTTGCGCTACATTTTCCTGTAGTGAAAAAGGCAAATAAGCTATTAATAGCTATTTGTATGTAATATGCAATACTTTTTTATTGTTGAGCAGCCTGATGATATGGAAGTGGATGTTGACGAAGACTCGTTTCACGATTATTAACCTCAACATGCCAATTAACAGGGCATTGATAGTACCATACAAGATCAAATCAGGGGACACAAATAATGACACCCTGATATATCTCTTCTTTCCATAATGCATATGCTTGAACGCGCATATGCGAAGACCATAGCCTTGAAACGCCAAAACATCCATCTACCTACAGAATAGCCAGTTTTTACCAATGGGGTGCAGAATTGGTAAAGTGCACAATAAAGGCAACAAGATACATATACAAGATGAGGCTGGCCCTAGTTCTACTTTTGGTTCCATTGATAATAAAAACTTTCATAAATCAACCAAACATACTTTTAACACTAGGCAGCTAGTGCTTCGCCCAAATCGCCACCCTCTTATTATAACATTATAAATAATCCCCAAATAAGGAATAGTTAAAAGGGGCTTGACTGCCTTTATAATTTAATGTAAGTTTTAAATCAATAGACAAAAAGGTAATTATGAGTCCTTACTTCTTCACCCTCATCAAGTAAGTCAGCAAGTCGACAGCAGTAACAACATGCACGGGCTTGAACGCCACGCGGTCTTCATCAATGGACAGGCGCTCGGTGACAATACCAGCGATATTGTTTTCGAAAAAGTGCTCGAGCTCGCCCAGGGGAGTCTCAGGGGTAATCTCGCGGAACTTCTTTGACGAACCGCCGCCCGTCTGGAAGCGGAACATAACGTCGGCCACTTTGCCGTTCGAGTTGACACGGCCGGTGGTGACAAGAGAAAGAACATTACCGAGGGTGACGATTCCGCGCAGGATGCCGCGGCTGCTAATGACAGGGAGCTGGTCAAAGCCATTGTCCTTCATCAGCTCCACAGCCTCCAAAACTGGGGTGTCCATCCCAATGACCACAGCGCGATTAAGCTTGAGGTCCTTGACGCGGGCTCCGGTCCACATGGCATCGCGCTCGTTGCGCTTACGGATCTCCTCGTCCTTATCCAAGAAATCATGCTTCTTCATCCAGTCGTCGTTGAGGAAGCGCGTCATGTAGTTGCGCACGGAATCCGGCAAGATGGTGACAACACGCTTGCCAGGGCCCAGGCCGCGCGCAGCTTCAATCGCAGCCCATACGGCGCCGCCCGAGGACCCGCCGCACAGGATGCCTTCTTCGCGGATGAGGCGGCGCGCCATGGTGAACGAAGGCTTGTCGGTAATCTTGATCCAGTGATCGACCAGCGACCGGTCGAGGGTCTCGGGGATGAAATCGTAGCCGATTCCTTCGACAAAGTAAACCCCGGTGGTCGCGTTGTTCAGGCTCTCGGGCTGCGCCAAAATGGAGCCAATAGGGTCGACGCCGACAATGATGCACTCGGGGCAACGTTCCTTGATTCTGCGAGCGATGCCGCTAAGGGTGCCTCCGGTGCCGGCTCCGCACACGAGCATGTCGAGCTGGTTGTTGCACGAGCGCAGGATCTCCTCAGCGGTGCTGTCGTAGTGGGCCACAGGGTTGTACGGGCTGGTGTACTGGCCGAGGATAATAGAGTTGGGGATTTCCTTGTGCAGCCTGTTGGCGACGCTAATGTGCGACTGTGGCGAGTCCCAGGCGGCCTCCGTCGGAGTGCGAATAATCTGGGCGCCGAGCGCGCGCAGGACATCGACCTTCTCCTGCGACATCTTCTCGGGCAGCGTGATAATGCACTTGTATCCCTTGACTGCGCAGGCCAAGGCAAGGCCAATGCCGGTGTTTCCCGAGGTAGCCTCGATGATGGTGAATCCAGGCTTGATCAGGCCGTCAGCCTCGGCCTCTTCGAGAATACGATGGGCAATGCGGTCCTTGACAGAGCCGCCGGCATTAAAGTACTCGCATTTGGCCAGCAGCTCGCACTGGAGCCCCTCGCTTGCGGCAATGCGGTTCAGCCTGACAAGAGGCGTGTTGCCAATATGATCCAGAATGCTGTCGAGAATGACGGGCTCGGGCTGTCTAAAAGAACAAGGTTGAAAAGCGTAGATGTGTAGTCGAGTTAGCTGGCGTATAAACAGAGCTTTTTTCCCACCCTTTTTATTATAAGCTACTATATATTTTTGCGAGTGTAACTTTGGGTTGGCACGTACAGCTCGCGGTGGCGGTGTGGGCGGTTGCCAGGGGCAACATCGCAGGTGCAGGACATTTCGTAGTCGGCCATTTGTAATTTGTAATTTGCAATTTGTGATAAGCGGCTGTCAAGTAGTTGAAAGTGAATAAAAAGAAAGAAAATATTAGGGTTGAAAAAAAGAGAGAGAAAACGACTCGCATGTTCAACAATAGAATATGGTGGATTAACATCAGGAATGGAGCGTGGGATTTATGCGCGCCGCCCAGGAATTTTCATGTCAGGAGCAAGATAAATGGAAATAGCGTGCGCAGTGGGGGTGGAATTGACGGCAAATCTCCCATCTGCTCATGCGACGATTTCCTCTGGTGTGCCTGCAGCAAACGGCACGCTTCTGGGCGAGCGCACACTGACGCTGACATCGCGCAATGCGCCCTCAACAGCGCGGCCCAGGGCAAACACAGGCGCGCCGTTGACGCACACCACCGGCATGCCGGCCAGCACAGGCGGCAGCGGCAGCGGCAGCCGGCACTCCCCTTTCAGCCAATGGCGGTGGGCCTCGATGGGCGCATGCCACTGGCGCATGGCATCATCCAGCGAATGCACGCTCCAACTACGATTGCCCGCCCCGGCTGATCCATCCCGGTGATCCACGGTGATCAGCAGCCGCCCGTTGTCCCACAGTGCCGAGCCGCCCAGCGCCACGCCCGCGACGGCGGCGATTTCCGCAGAGCGCGGCGGCTGGCGGCACAGAAGCCAGCCGCGCTTGGTCGTTGGCGGCAGCAGCGTGACGCCGCCGGTCGTGCACCCAACGTTGCCCGCAATGGCGCGCGCGAACGTGTCCAGGTGCGCGAGCTCCGGCGGCGCAGCGCTGCAGCCGACCCAGCCGACAGCCGCTGCCAGCAGCCGCTCGCGCAGCGCAGGGTTCGCCGCCCAGCGCGGCACGCCGGCGCAGCCCGTGTCCGCGCTGGCGCTCAGCTCCACGGTGCCCGTCGGTGCGTCGAAGCGCGCGGCTGAGCGCAGAAGCTCGGCCAGGCGCAAATTAATAAACGCACGGTGGCGCTGCATGGCGGCGCAGACGCGCAGCAGCGCCGGCGCAGCAATGGGCGAGCGCGGCTCGAGCTCGCGCGCAGCGATGGCACGGCGCAGGGCGTTGCGGCGGAAGTCCGCACTGGCATTGCTTGGGTCCTCGTGCCACGGGATGCGCTCGCGACGGCACAGTGCGTACAGCTGCGGCTTGGCGATGCCCAGCAGCGGCCGCACGACCACCTGGGCATCCTGGCCACGCGCGGTTGGCAGCGGCGCCTGCAGCGGCATGGCAGCTAGCCCGTAGACGCCGCTGTGCCGCAGCAGCCGCAGCAGAAACGTCTCTGCCTGGTCGCCGCCGTGGTGCCCAGTGATCACACAAGAGATGCCCTGCTGGCAGCATGCCTGCGACAGCTCGGCGTACCGCTGCGCGCGCGCTGCCTCCTCCAGCCGCTGCGCCGGTGGGTACGCCGCCCAGTGCAGCGCGCGCGTCTCGTGTGTGATCCCCAGCTGCCGCATGTAGCGCTCGACGGCGGCGGCCTCACTGGCGCTCTCGGCGCGCAGCCGGTGGTCCACTGTCACTGCATGGCAGTTGTGCGCGCCGGCTGCCTGGCTGACCACGAATGCCAGCGCCATGCTGTCTGCGCCGCCCGACACCGCGAGCACTAAAACCAAAGATAAATGTAAATTAGATCCTGCCAAATTGATCTGATCCGCATGAAATCCTCCGTGTTCAGCTTCATTTTTCTACTTACGCAGTCGCTGGTCGTTAAGCCTGAGCCGTTTGAGCACGGACCGCACGTGCGAGACCACTTGTGTTGTTGCCGAATCCATGCGTAGCCGTTATTTCGCAAGCTTGTTTGTGACGTGTGAATGTGAGTGCGCGAGTGCCTGAGCGCCTGAGTGCCTGAGTGTCTGAGCAAGTGCGTGAGTGCGTGAGTGTGCGTGTTGGATGCTGAAAAGTATTTGCTTGTTACTCTGCGTTACGATGGTCGCGCAGCAGCCGCTCGCCCCCACATGATGAAATTTGACCATATTAAATGAAAACCGAACAAAACCCCTTGTGGGGATCAAATGATGACTCAAAGCCTCACCCTATAGGCAAGGTTGTCTCCTACATGGTGTTTTCTTCTGCCGCCCCGCCTCCTCCGCGTCACTTTCTCGCTCCACTTATGCCCTGGCAGCCATTTTCGCCAAACTTGCTCGAGTTAGAGTAATGTCACGTGAATTGCCCCTAAAAACCGCCGCCGCACCATTAATACCTGCACCGCAAAAAAAAATTCACAAGAAAAATTTACATCCACCTTCTCCTTCCTCCTCACTTTTAGTTTTTCCCTCTACTTTTCATACCACAATAAAAACAGCACCGCCCAATTCCCGAGTCAATGGACATCAATATGGACATCAATATGGATGTCAAAATGGAGGCCGCCTCAACCAAACCGCTGCCGTCAGCCGCCGCCTATGGTCTGCCCGACGACGAGATCATGGCTGAGATCCCTGTTTTTCTGACACACAAGCTGTCCAAAAACCTCCACCTGCTGCAATACCCGCAGAGCCCTAACCAGGTCAAACCCGGGCAGCTCGTCCCCAGCGTAGCGCGGATCAAGCCGATCCACGGCCAAATAGAAATGGACATGCCGCTGGATGTCCAAAGCCCCATGTACAACACCGAGCGCGGCCGCGAACTGGGCGCCGGCCTATCGGATAACGGCCGACTGTTGGATATCCAGACCTTGGTTTCAGTCGACATCCCTAAGAGCAGCAACTACTTGGCTGCCGTGGTTCACAGTGGTGAGCTGCATTTGACACCTATGGAGAAGGTAACGCAGCTGAGGCCTAGCTTGAAGTACCTGGATAAGGTTGCGGAGAAAATAAAGGCTGCGAGTAAATTGGATGATGACGAGGATGATGAAGAGAAGGAGGCCAAGGCGCAGACTGTACAGGTTACTGTGAGGACTGCAGAGGCTGAGGAGGCCTTGCGCCAGCAGCAGAATTCCATCGCATTTATGCAGCAGAGACTTGAGGAGGAGCCGTGGTCGAAGCTGTCGTATTTTGATGTTGGAACAGAGGAGTCGACTTCGGTGAGCCAGAGGCTGGTCGCTAGCAACCGCGAGGATCTGCTGTGCAAATCCACCCCCGACGAGTACCTGACCGCCATTATTGGCAACATGAATCCCAACGTGTAATAAATGAAAAATATATTTTTTTAAACCGTAAAATATAAAGATATCCCTTGAAGAAAAGAAATAAAAACTGGCTGCTTTGTTTTTAGCTTTTTTTTAGTTTTCCCACTTGTTTGCCGGTTTACTCGGTGCTGGCCTTTGCCTTGGACAGCCACTCGGTGGGGAACGGCATCTTGTGCTTGTACCCATGGTACGCAAAGTCCAGGGGCACATCAGCAAACATATCGTCCTTCTTCTTGGCCTCAGCGATCAGCTCCACTAGGGTATCTGCCAGCTTCTTCTTATTCAGCAGCGAAGTGGCCTCCCTATTTTCCGACATCTTCAGCTCATCCGTCTGCGGATTATACCTGACACCAACCAACAACAAAAACTTATGCAACTCTGCACCCTTCAACCCCAACTTGGCCACCTGCAAGCGCAAAACAACCTTACGATCCTGCGCCAACACCTTATCCCCATAGTAACTGAGCTCTCAAACTTCAAAAAATGCGTATCCGCCTGTGGCGGTTTAAACGCCTTGGCATGTTGTGCCAGCGTTGGGTGTTCGAACTTCATCATACGAACGTATTTGCGTACGTCGCGGATGCTTTCGAGGAACAGGTGTCCGTAGGTATGGTGGTCGTCGTATTCCCAGTCCTCCATATGCTCCATGTCGTAGGCACGGTCTTGCTCGTCGTAGATTTCCGCATGTTCTTTGCGATTCTTGATTGCGTGTGCTTTGAAATTCACCTTTTTCTTGTTCCGTCCGGTCAAAGAAACACTGCTGGCATGGAGTGCCCGGTAGCCTTGTGTGACCTGCTGTTGCTGCTGTTGAGTGAGCCGAAGACTACGTGCAAGTACCGAGCTCATAATTTCTCTATGTCCCCGTTTAGAGAAACTGTATGGTTTTTATCGTTTATAAGTGAAATTGGAATTAATAGACAGTTAAAGAAAAAACAATGAATTGAATTGAATTAAACTTTGAAATTGAGAAATTCAATTTTTTTATCTTCTACGATTGATTGCAGTTGAAGCTGTCCCTTTCAAAACCATCCGTGATCACACATAAATGATTATAATTTCTTTTAATCTGATCAACCAAAAACCAACAAGCTCCCAACAGAAATGGCAGTGTAAAAATAGTGACAAAATGAAAACCCATGTTCAATTTAATGCTTTTCATTTTTTTTCTTTTCAAAGCTCTTGTGCAATATCAAAACAGAAACATTCCCTTTTTTGTTGTCGCCGCTTCAGCTATTTGACTTTCTGAGTAATTGCTTATAAATACCATTGCGCCTATTCTTTCAAATTGGATCTCCTTGGTATTGTCCAACGTATTGCGGGCTTTCTCTGACACCAAAAAAAACATGCATATGATGGAGATCACCCTTCTTTCCTCTTCAGCCGCTCTGGGAAGCCGTAAAGCAGATTGTGCTGCGTATCTGTTGTTTGTTGTTTGTTTGTTTTATGATTAGTTGACTCGCGCGTCTTGATGTGATGTGCGTGTGGTGTGATATGGTGTGGCTGAAAATTTGCATCTGTCAATATGATATCGGGCAAGAAGAACATGAAAATATGTAGGCAAAATGTTATAAATACTAGCATATAAGGAATTTCCTCCATCTATCCATTTGATATTATCCTTTATTTTTAAAACAATTTTTACTTTTTCATTTACGTTCTCACTAATTCAAATTTTATTTATTCTGACAATGATTATTCTGAACTTCTTGCCAAGTAACATTCACATAATGTTTTTCCACAAACACGCTGACACAACCTATCACTGGTTCAACGTAGCGCCAAATGAAGAGAAATTCTTTCCAGCCAAGATCTTCACTGAAGAAAAAGTCCTCGCAATACTAATCAGTGACCACGGCATCTGTCTATGCCCCTATAACAGCCTATCCGGGATACTCCAAGTAAATATAAACTACAGGGTTGCTTGTATTTGCGTAGATACTTTTAATAACTTGACGTTTAATGATTTTTATGAGTTTTCTGACAGAGTTTTGATGAGTTCGTTTGTGCAGTGGGGGTGTGACCCACAGAAGGTTTTAGCGGCGGCAGCTGCCCAGGGAATTGGACTGCGCTTTACTTAATCTTTTTTAAATATAATGTTCTGTTTTTTAATAAATAAATGCCTTGAGCTGGTCTCGTAATTATACACACCCGCGCACAAAGTATAGTGCACCTTTTTTTTGTATGTCTGGCTTTTATTTTTGCAGCAGATTTTATAAAAAGGAAAATTGAGCAATGTCAGTAAATATTTAAAAAGAAAAAAGGGAAAAAAGAAAAGAAAAATTTCTTTATACAATACATTATCAAAAAATTGCAAAGCTGCCAAGTTTGCATTAAAGTTTATTGCTTTTTAGTGCTAAAAGTTTTTGCGAATATGAAACCAATAAGCAACACCGCCTGAAAAAATTGTTTGGTTTTTCTTTTTCTAAATTTTACAACTATTATTATTTTTTATTTTTATTTTTATTACATATTTATATTTATATTTAACCCATGTCAGGCCGCGCAAATACGCCAACATCCAACCGGCCCCCAAACACTGCCACAGATGCAAACAACGCCTCGAGTCCCCGAATAAGTTCAAGAGCCAGAAATGCTTCAAGCCCTGCACCCAACAATGCAAGAACAAACACGCCGCCGAACATGGAACAAAATATGGCACCAGGCTACAATTACGGAGACAACTACAACAATGGGACAAATCCTGGCTATACCAATATGGGCTACTACATGAACCCACAGAATAACAACCCAGCGAATGAAGATTACCTGCCTGGATCGTTACAAAACATGAATGCTCCTTCAGAAGGCTATGTGCCTGGGTATTACCAAATGGCCGATATGGGCACCATCCCTGGCTATTATTATGATAGCAATGGCAATGCAATTCCTGGAAATTACAATGGTCCTGGCTACTATGTGCCAACCACAAACGCCCCAGTGTTGGTTCTGGTTCTGGAGCCAATGCTACTCTGGATTATGACCCAAGCCACTTAGCCCACCAAGCAGGAGCTCGATGCCAGCCAATAGTGGCATGCAGGGTTATTTTGCCCCACAGGATGGCAGTATTCAAATGCCGAATTTGGCATATTACCCTAGAAACAGTGCGCCAATGTTCCAAGGGTTTGTTGTGCCAAATACACCAATGCTCCTGTTTATGCTATGCCATATGCTCCAGACATGCCTGGTTCAGCTGCACCCAGACATTGTATGCCCCCAGTTCTGCTACGCCAAGCACATTGTATGACCCCAGCTCGGCACACCAAGCACCCAATTTGCACCTGGCTTGGCAGTGCCAAATACTTTAGCTGTGCCTGGCTCTGCTGCATCAGACATTCACTTTTCCGAAATTCTGCCGCTGTGAATAGTCCAGTATTCCACAGTCCCGGTATACCAAATACTCCAGTTTTCCGGAGTTCTGCTTCAGTTCACAGCTTATCTTTCCGTAACTCTGCTGCATCACACACTTCAACTTTACGTAACTCTGTTGCATCACACACATCAACTTTACGTAACTCTGACACAGTAAACAGTCCGGCCACACCTGGCTCAGCAGTACCACATACACCAGCTGAACCCAGCTCGGCTGTATCTCGCTCATCACTTTTTCGTAATACTGCTATGCCAAATACTCCTAATTTCCGCAGTTCTGCCACACCAAGTATGCACAGTATCCCAATTCTGTGTATCACACACTTCATCTTTACGTAACTCTGTTGCATCACACACATCAACTTTACGTAACTCTGACACAGTAAACAGCCCGGCCACACCTGGCTCAGCAGTACCACATACACCAGCTGAACCCAGCTCGGCTGTATCTCGCTATCGCTTTTTCGTAATACTGCTATGCCAAATACTCCTAATTTCCGCAGTTCTGCCACACCAAGTATGCACAGTATCCCAATTCTGTGTATCACACACTTCATCTTTACGTAACTCTGTTGCATCAACACATCAACTTTCGTAACTCTGACCAGTAAACAGCCGGCCACACCTGGCTCAGCAGTACCACATACACCAGCTGAACCCAGCTCGGCTGTATCTCGCTCATCGCTTTTTCGTAATACTGCTATGCCAAATACTCCTAATTTCCGCAGTTCTGGCCACACCAAGTATGCACAGTACCCGTAATTCTGCTGTTCCAGGTACTCCATCCATGCCTGGCTCTACTGTTTCTAGAACACTGGATGAACCCAGTTCTGCTTGCCTAGCTCTGCCATGCCCAGCTCCCTGTCTGGGTCAAACTCCAATGCTTCTTTACCAAGCACACCAGTTGCCACTGGCCCTGTAGGGCCATTCACTCCAATGATTCCAATGTTTGCAACCACACCAACATTATCAGAAACTCCCATGTTTGTAGGAACTCCAGTATTTTCGTCTCCTGCAGACACTCCATTCATGCCAATGATGCGGATACTGCAAATTCTGTAATGCAAAGTGGAACATCCACAACCTCAACCCCAAGGACTCTAGAGCTCCCCCAGCCTACACCTGATCCAAGTGATTCTGCCCCTATTACAGGAAGTATTCAGACTCCAGGTGAAACTGATATCATGCTACTCTGCCAGACTCTACCTAACGTCCAATATATATTTGGGACCAACACAGCTGGAAATCCAGCAGAACAGTGCCGCTTACCAGTGAAGAACAGGAGTTTGCTGACTGGCGCAAAGTAAAAATGACACTCATCAAGGAACTCGAAAAAGGAGGTGTTATCATGATAGTGGATTTGCCGGACCATGCTCGCATTGCACAGGAGACTGGCGCCACAGCTGTTATGGTTATTGAAAGTAAAGTGACTCCTAATACATAGACAGCGAATGACAGCACCACAATATTCCAAAAAGTCGTAGATATTGTGGCACTCCCTGTTATTGCCCAAGTTCGATTAGGCCACACCATGGAGCTAGGGCTATGGAGAAGCTGGGTGTAAATTTGATGATGAATGCTCAGATCTAATTGCAGTCAATGCAACTAATCAAATCGACAAGGTAAAATTTACCACTCCATTTATGTGCTCTGCTGAAGACTGCCCACTGCGTGAAAAGAATCAAAGAGGGAGCATCAATATCTACAGTAAGGCCGAGAGAGATAGCGGGGATCCAACGGATGCTGTTGGTATTATCAATGTATACAGACAAATAAAACTGCTAAGAATTCGTCAGAAGCCGAAATTGACGATATGCTCAAAAGAAGGGGTGGATTAGCTATACTCAACCAAATCATACAGCTCAACCGCTTGCCCGTACCGTTTTTTGCCTCTGGAGGAATTACCACGCCTGTAGATGTGGCGCATGTTCGGCGTGCCGGGTGCGATGGAGTCATCGCCAGCACTATAATCTTCAATGGCTTGGATCCTGTCAAGCGCGCTGCTGCTATTGTCAGCGCGTGCAAAAATTTCAACGACAACAAGCTTATAGGTGAGCTGTCGAAGGACTTTAAGCAGGTACAAAGAGAAGAATGAAGCTTTTAATGAATTGAATACATTATATTGAACAAAAATTTGCTAGTGGAAAAATATGTGAAAATATAAAAAAAACTTTCAAGCATTGGTATTCATCGCCACAGGCGCTGCAGTAGTCGCGGGCTCAGGCGCAGGTATTGAAACCGACTTGGGAGCGTCGGTGGGGGCACCGGGTACCGATGTCTTGCTGTTCGCTGGCAACGACTTGCCTGCATTGGCAACAGGAGACTCAGTTGCAACCTTGGATACAAGCTCGCGAGCAGGGTGGAATGTCTCACCCTTGACCGGAGCCACAGCCGCACTCGCTTGTGCTGTCGCCACCGCATCCTCTGTCGCAGCCGCTGCATCTTCGTCGGCATGGCGAGCAGAAAGCTCTCCGACCGTCACGCCCGCAGCCGTTGGCAGAGCATTAGGGGCGTTGGTGGTTGCCGTGGCAGAGGCAGCCACAGCATCCTGGGCGTTGCGCAGAGTGCCGCCGATAACATGCTGCTCGGGCGAGAGCGGCTTGGAGGTGACCGAGATGATAGCGTTGATCCAGTGGTTGACGTATACCGGGTCAGAGGCGCGGAAGACATACTTTGACCGGCCAATCACCTTGTCGCTGATAACCACCTGGAACGTCCGCGTGTCGTCCAGCAGCACAACAGAGCATTCGGCCAGATGGAAGGTCATCTCTGGGTTCTTTTCCAGAAGATCGCTCTGTTCCGAGAAGCAGTGGAGATAACCCAGTTTGGTCAGCACGACATAAGACGGGTGGAACTTCTTGATAAGCCCCTTTTCGCGCTCCAACGCGCCCTCCAGCAAAACTGTCGTGGCTCGCTGTTGCGGTACATATACTCGTAGTCGGGAAGCGCCGAGTTGCCAGTGAGGCCCATAGGGGACTGCAGTACGGGACCAAAGTGCATGTCGAAAGACTGGGACTCCGAATGAGCATCGAACTTCTCTATGTACTGGAGGCAGTGCTTAATGGCATCCCGGTTGCTCTGGTTGCCAGACTGCTCGCGGTTAAGCGTAGCCAAATGATATCGCGCAGACGCTCGGTCAGCGACACCTCCCAGCGAGATAGGCGCACACGCTCGGCCTGCACAGCCTTGTACAGCGCATTCTCCAGATCAGCCTGCTTTGTCAGTTCGCGGCGGACCTGCTGCTGGATAAGCCAGGCGTCATGGGTGCGGTGCTTCTTTTTGTACGCCTCAACTGCATGTACAAGCTTCTCCTTGTACTCCTCGACCTCTTTGGCCTGCTTACGAAGCCGGCGGTAAATGGGGTCCAGGTGGTCGACATACACTTTCAGACTGTCCTTGATGTCTACGCGCAGTGCCTCGAGACGATCCAGTGTGTCATTATCAATCTCCTGCGCAAGCAATGCATGTTGTGCGGCATACATGCGGTGAACGTCCCTCAGGTTCATGGCCAGCTGCTGAATGCCCATGCGCTCGATTCCAGAGAAACAGTTGTCGCTCTTCAGCGGGACGTCAAACTCCTCCATGGCCCTGTCCATCGCCTTCTTGAATGTCTTCTCGGCGGACGCGACAGCCTCAAAGTATTTGGAAAACTCCTTGACCAGTTGCTTCCACGAGTTCAGTCTGTAGACGATAATGTCTTCCTGGGTCGCCGACCCGGCCATGGCCACTCGGCCGCTGACGTCGGACGGGAGCGACGGCAGAACTGGGGGATGCTGCTGCTGCAAATAAGCAACGTTGGGGTCAGCCAGAGCAGCCTTCGTGTCTCCGAGGCTGCGCACATTCTCAAATCCAGCCGGGGGAACAGCAGGCGGAGAGACAGAGTTCCTGGCGGTGGCAGCGTCGGTGGGCTCTTGGTAGTGCGTCTGGCCGGCAGAGTCAATAAGGTTACCAATAGGCATACGCTCCTTCTTCAGGCGAATGCTCTTGAGCCGTCTGGTAGCGCTAGAAAAACCCATTTATTGTGTATAGTAGTTGGTAATGCAGAGAAAGCAAATAAAAAGAAAAGGTGATTAAATGATATTTTGTATGTAGAATAATAGCTGAGGAAAAGAAAAGGTGGGAATATATTGGAATGCAATTGAATGGAGCAAAAGTCGACAAACAAACCCGCCAAAGCCATTCCAAACGCAAACAAACTTGGATTGTCTTTTGCCTGAAAAGGATAAAAACGATGATGCAAACAGGACTTGTAAATCACATGTCCATTTATAGATTTTGATAAAATGAACAAATAGACTAAAAATGATATATGGCAACTGCAGCGAAAGACATGCATGTGATCAGCCCTAGGCGGCCCATCGGATCATACCTGCGATGAACTATATCGGTACTCTATATTTCAATAAACCGCTTTGCAAGCATTTTGGCGTCTGTCGGCTCGCAGCAATGAGCTGCTAGATATTTAAATTAACAATAGTTACAAGTTGAATGTGCATACATAGTATTAATTGATCCAATCAACTGATCAGTCAGCTTTCATTGTTATTGTTAATCTGCCAGAGCTGAATGCAGCCAGGAATATCACACCACATTGCTTATCCTTTTAGTCACAGTGACACACACACATAGTTGCTTTTCCTTACCTCTCCAGTGCATAGCACTCATAGTATATACCTTATTAAATACATAGCATTATACTATATATATCCTGTTCATAGACGTACATATTTCAACACACCTCATATATTCATTTTATATTTAGCTAACCACTACATTAAAATTTTTGTTATTCGAGTATAGAATTTGCAAAAATCATGGCAGCGACTCCCAATGCAAAGCACCATGCAACAACATTGCCCGACTTATTGTAAATGCGAGCAGTTGGCAGCATGCCATTCAGTGAAACCATGCACATCATGCCAGCAGTTATCCCAAACGCAGCGCCAAATATGGCTGGTAGCCGGGTGTCTTTGCCAGATTGTCCTCCTGTGCTGCCCACGACCAGCATACCCAGCGCAGCGCCAAGTGCAGGGGGGATAGCGCCCATCAAGGCCGCCACGATAAATGCCATATGCCGCGCCCGGTCGCCAAGTACAGCGGGAGGCCAACATCAGGCCCTCAGGCAGGTTGTGAAAGAAAAGTGAGGCTGCCACAGAGAGCCCCAGCTTGGGCGACGCTTGGCGTGATAAAAATATGATCAGGCCTCAGGGATCTTGTGCAGTGCTATAGCCACGGCGGTCTGCAAGCCGACGTGCATTAGTAGCCGGTGGTGTTTGCTGCTGATTTGCGAAGTGGTGCTGTCATTGGATCTCAAAAATTGTACCTCGGGCTCTATCTCTCTTCTGGAACACTCATGCAGATGGTGGTGGTGATTTTTTCTTCCGAGTGTTTGGCCATGGCCGTGACCGTGATTGTGTTCGTGTTCGTGTTCGTGTTCGTGTGTGTGGTTGCAGTGGTCAATAGAGGGTTCCACACTATGGGCAGCTATCGACCTATTGGGGATGTCGTCATCACCGCAGCTAGCGACGCTAGGGCTCGAGTACATATGCAGGTGCGAGTGCGAATGGTGGCGATGATCCAGGGCGGCCGATCCGTGGTTGTGGTCAGCGTGTATGGAGTACACGCTGTGACTATGGTGCTAGTGCGCGGATCCGTGCAGTATGTATACTAGCGTCCGCAGTTGAGCTCGCATCTGCATGCGCATGCACATGGATGTGCGGATACAACGGTGTAATGTGGCAGTGCTCAGGGCTAAAGCAGTTTGGCTTGACGCAGGCATACTCGCATAAGCTTGTGTCTTTCTCGAAGTGCAGCTGCTGTGGGAATGAGCTGGCTCGCTCAGACTACATTCCACGATGTGGTGACAATTCTGGACAGTCCCGCTGCTTCGCGACAGCAGCGGCTGCCGTTCGGCGTCATTATGGCAGATGGGTCTACCATCCAGAATATTTGCGGATAATGCGTCCGGTCATCACCGATGCTCCCCTCGTGCAAGTGAAGCTCCGGTTGGGCTCGGTGGGTGCGAGGCGCACGTGTGTTTGATGGGCGAATCTTGCGGAGTCAGATACGTCACCAGCCGCGCAAGCAGCAAATTGAGATGCGCCCCGGTGACGAACAAGATGGCTACCATGGCACCCGGGTATTTTGCGCGAGAGGCCAATTTGTCAGTTCCGACAGATATTCCATTGACTCTTTCGTCAGAACACGATGCTGGTGTATGCCATTATGCCTGAAGCGCCGGCCAGCAGTGCTGACAGCACGGTATGCGAATCGAGGATGTTGAAGCTGCTGGGAGCTCCCAGCGCGTGCAGAAGCGGATCAAGATAGAGTGTCGCGCCTATTTATTAATGAATTTTCGATATATGAAGGGGTTGGGTATGATTTAGTAAATGTGCGCGTGTTGATTCAACAGAGCGCCACGGAATACATGCGGAATAAGTAGCTAGCAGAGGTGTTCTGGTGACATATCACGGCCAAATGCCCCATGCTCCACATGCAAATGTGGGCAACGCAGGGAAAAAAAACAAGGCTTGAGCAAGTTACCCAATGCATCTATATACAGGGTGCCGCAAAATAGCCTGCTTCACCTGCATCTAGCTTTTACATGAGAACAAAACTGAATTGTCTTTACAGTTGTTATAAAAAATACAATAAGGACAAGGGACAGGGCGCATTTTGTATATGCGCTATGTCAAAAAATACTTGCCTCCAAGTGCGATGCCAAGCCCGACGTCATGGCAAACAGCCAGGCTTGCTGTGTTGAATAATCGCCCATTGTCCGAGATGTGTCGATCGTCTAAGCGCCCTGCTCAAGGTCTCGCTGGTCAAAGAATAATTAAAATAAAGAGACTGCCGCAGCCTTTCGTGGACGAGAGCCTTTTGAATAACAATGAAAAAGCGTGGGTGAGAGAGATAGAGAGAGAGAGACGAACAGAATGAATGATGCTTATGCTTGTTTGTGCTGTGGCCAGGATGAAAATACAAGAATAAAACTGAAAAATAAAGAATAAAAAGGCAAAATAAAAAAGAAGAGAAAGGAAAAGAAATAAAAGAAAAGATGAGGCCGATTTCCAAACTGGAATGCTCTCCCAATGCCAAATCGCACAGTGTATTCTCAAAAAAACAATACTTTTTATAAATGCTCGCTGTATGCGCATGGTAAATGGGGAAAGCAAAAGCGAGGCCTGCGAACGAAACAAAAAATTGTGAACTGCTGACTCTTCAGAAATAAAGGCACACCTTCACTGTTCCAGCCAAATAGCGTAAAATTATGTCCAATCCCATTGCATGCAGGCCTTGCACCCGAAAGCGTTGAAAATGCTTAATCGCTCAGGGTGATAACCGGTGAGGTCGCAAACTTTTCAGAAAGAAAGTAAAAAAATTGTGAAGCCACCCCTTTATCTGCGCTTTGTTTATTACGTTGCCCTCCTCTCCCCAATTCCCCCTCCCCTTTCCCGCGGCTTGGATTTCACAGCCTCGAACAGAAAAACAAGGCAGTAAACAATTTGTCAAATATTTTGAATGGATAAAGGCAGCAGTCCGCACATAGCGCCGAGAGCCACACATTTATATTAAAAAACAAACTTCCAAAATGAAGATTAGATTAATAAAAGTGAGGCTTGATAACAAAATGAATAACGACAAAATTTTAACCAGAGATAATATTGGAACAAAAAAGATAAAGATAACAGTTGCTGAACTCACTTTGGAGTCTCGCAGGCGGCGCACTTTTTGCAGATGACGCGTTGGATACCAGGCAAGTGGAACACTTCCACTCACCGTCCTTCAGCGCCGGCATCTTGAATCCGCTCTGCGCCCACATATTGGGAACTGCAGCCGGAGCAAAAGGCGCAGCAGGTTTTTTCAAAACGTCTAGGTCAAAGCTGAAGACAGGCAGCTGGGAGACATCAACGCTGCCAGCATTTTGCTTGGCCAAATCCACTGAAGACTGCACAGCAGCCAGAGCCGGGGCAGCAGAAGTAATCGCAGAGGCAGCGGCAGACTCCGACGCTGGCTTGGGAGACTCGCATGCGGCGCACTTGGATACATCCTTGTTTTTGATGTCGCAAACGGTGCACTTCCACTCGCCATCCTTCAAAGTTGGCATTTTGAAACCACTCTGTGCCCAGAGGTTAGGCGCAGCAGCCGGAGCCGGGGCAGCAGAAGTAATCGCAGGGGCAGCGGCAGACGCCGGCGCTGGCTTGGGAGACTCGCATGCGGCGCACTTGGATACATCCTTGTTTTTGATGTCGCAAACGGTGCACTTCCACTCGCCATCCTTCAAAGTTGGCATTTTGAAACCACTCTGTGCCCAGAGGTTAGGCGCAGCAGCCGGAGCCGGGGCAGCAGAAGTAATCGCAGAGGCAGCGGCAGACGCCGACGCTGGCTTGGGAGACTCGCATGCGGCGCACTTGGATACATCCTTGTTTTTGATGTTGCAAACGGTGCACTTCCACTCGCCATCCTTCAAAGTTGGCATTTTGAAACCACTCTGTGCCCAGAGGTTAGGCGCAGCAGCCGGAGCCGGGGCAGCAGAAGTAATCGCAGGGGCAGCGGCAGACGCCGGCGCTGGCTTGGGAGACTCGCATGCGGCGCACTTGGATACATCCTTGTTTTTGATGTCGCAAACGGTGCACTTCCATTCGCCATCCTTCAAAGTTGGCATTTTGAAACCACTCTGTGCCCAAAGGTTAGGCGCAGCAGCCGGAGCCGGGGCAGCAGAAGTAATCGCAGGGGCAGCGGTTGGCACAGACATTGGCTTTGCAGCAGTAGTTGGTTTTGATGCCTCGCAAACCACGCATCTGGTAGCAGAAGGTGGACTCATCGAATCACACATGCCACACTCCCACTCACCAGCGTCCATCGATATCGGCTTAGGCCTAAATCCGCCAAATCCCCTCAAAACAGCATTAGCAGAATCTGCGCTATTCTCAATGGTAAATTCAAAACCAGGCAGCTGCAAGGCATCAAGTCTGGCAGCACTCTGCTTCGCCTGATCGTCGGTCAAATTTTTTGCCGCCGAACATGCAGGGAGACTGAAGTTGTAGATCGGCAGCTGTACCTCGCTGACCGCCAGCGCAGCAGCTCTGGCCGAACGAACCGGCGGAACAGGAACCTTGGCAGACACCTTGGTGGGTGTCTCCACGATGCGCTCAGCGATGGCCGCCGCCACGGGTGCCGTCGCCTCGGTCAGTGCAGGCTTGAGCGAGAACAATGGTTTCTCCGAGCCACCCTTCGGCGCCGACACAGATGGAGCCTGCTGCTGCAACTTGGTAGCGACGGGCGGTTCTGGAGCCTTAGCGAAAAGTCTCGAGATTTGGAGCGCAGAAGGCGACTCCTTGGGCAAATCAATCTTAGCTGTGTCCTTCTTAGCCACAGCATCGGTCTTTGAGACACTTTCGGCGGGCTGCTTCTTTGCGGCCGTCGCCAATTTGGCCTGGATCTCTGCAGGCGCAGCCGACTGGATGGACTCCATCAGGGATTTAGCACCGGCAGCCGACGCGTCCGCACGCTTTTTCGCAGGGGAAGCGGTCACAGGAGGGGCGGAAGCCTTGGCCAGGCGCTCACTGAGCGGTAAAAGCACGCGACGCTTTACCTGCACTGTGCTCGGATGCGTGCGAAGGGACTGTGGGCTGGCCAAGTCATACGGGTTGATGGTGTCTGAAGGTCAAAAGCCACCTGCGAGCGCGTGGGCGGCGCAGGAGTATCGCCAATGATGTCCAGAATCTTCTGCGCCGTGATGCTGCTTTTCTGCGTCGTGTCGGACGGCACAGTGCCCGGCGGTGAGGCAAAACCGGGGCGGACGGCGCGCTGCGCGAGACGGTAAAGGCGTAGGGGATGCTGCGGGATCCGTAGCCTGAGCCGTAGTACAGCGATGGCCTTTTGCGCAACAACCGGCCTGTGGCGCGCCTGGGGCTACGGCGCGATTCAAGCCCCAGAGACTGCGCCGTAATCAGTGGCTTCTTCGCGTGGACCTTCGACTTCGGTGGCGACGACACCAGGACCGGGCTGACTGCAGCCTGCGTTTCCGGCGCATGTCGCCGCGCGCTGCGCAGACTGCGCATGCTCCGGCCGGTTGCCGAAATGTCGACAAACGACAGCGGCACGAATGGCGCGGCTGGAGCTGCGCGCTGATGTTCACCGTGTGCTTGGGCGACCGCGGGGATTGCATAAACCGGCGTCGGGCCTTGGCGGGATGCTCGTCAGTGTCGCTCTCGCTTTCGTCCATGACGTGCTTCCGCAACTGCAGAGGAGGCGGCTGCGTGGCCTGCAGGCGGTCGCTGAATAAGGAGTGCATGCTGAATGGCCACCAGCTGCGCGACGATAGCGAGGTGGGGGCGGACTGCAGCTGCGGCGTAATACCTTCCATTGCTGGCCCGGCCTCAGACTCGGCCTCAGAGGTCGCCGACGCCCTCTCATCGGTGTCTGGCTCGACTCGGCACTGCTGTGTTGTCTTCGCTATCCAAAACAACGACCTCGACTTCCTCTGCCTCCTCTTCCTCATCATCCACCTCGGACGGCTCCTCTGCCTCGACAATCTCTTGCGATTCACTAGACTCTTGGGGCTCGTCAATCTCCTCGGGCAGCACGACCTCGGCATCCTCAATTTCAGACTCAGACTCCTCGATCACCGAACTTCGATAGACTGGTCCCCGCTGTCAATCGGCTCAGTCAGCAGTTGTGCCTCCAGCTCAGCCGCAGACTCGGGCAGAGGCGTCTCAACACGCCCTGACACGGGCAAGGGTGGGCTAACGTCTCCTGCAGAAATGGTCATGACCTCCTCCTGCTCATCAATAGGCTCCATATTCTCCTGCAAGATCTCCTCCTCGTCATCGTCGGCCGTGGAGCTGCTGGGCTCGAAATCGCAGTCTTCTTCGCTGTCTTCGTCTTCAAAATAGGCAGCTTCTTCAACCACGGAATCGATTGAACAGCGGGCTCAACAGACTCAACGGGTGAAACAGACGCAATGGGCGTTTCCGGAGCAGGCGAGTCCGGCGTGTGGCTGGTCTCAGGTTCCTTGCCCTTGCCCTTGCCGCTGATGGTAGCTGCGCTGGCCTTGGGCTGTATGAGCCCCTGGGCGTAATGTATGGGTTGGGCTGGAGCTTGGTCGGCCGGAAGATACCGGTTGTGCGCTCCTCGGCCAGCCTGCGCGCAGTCTCGAAAACTGACTCGTATTGGGCTTGACCTCCTCAACCACGGCCGTTCTGGTCGCCAGTGTTTCAGGGGCCAGCTCAACCTCAACATCAACCTCGGAAGCGGGAGTTTCCTGCTCCAGCACAGCCTCGGTCTCAATCGCAGAAGGAGACAGTACAAGGGGTTCCTCCAAATCTTCCTCCGCTGCTGCTGCTTGCGCTGCAGCGGCTACTGCTGCAGCATCAGCTGCCTTCTTTGCCTCCTCCTTCTCTTCCTCCTCATCTGCCAGCCTCTTTTCCTCAATTTCCGCGGCTATTCTCTGCTCATCAGCCAGCTGCTCGCGCAAAGCGGCGGTTTCGCGATCCACGGTTCTCCAGGGCACAGAAAACATGTCATTGGAAGATCTGCAGCGACTGCGACCACCCAGGAGGAGAGGTTGGCTGAGTTGCCGGTATATTCCCAATACGCGTTCGGTCAGTGTCTTGGCGTGGCAATTTGTGGCGCTCGGGCGCGCGTATGGCGCGTATCGCCGCGGCCTCTTGTCAACGCGTTGTTTGCCCGTAGTTGTTGTCATTGAGTGGTATATGTTTGGTAATAATAAAAAAGGGGAAAAAGAAGATTTGTGATTAAAATTGCGAATAAATTGAAAAAGGGAGAAAAGCTGAAGAAAAAAGATTCGGAACGCGAAAAGGAAAAATGAATAATTATCGTGAAAATGTTAGGGTTCCAAAAATTTTTTGCAACCTTTCACCCCCCCCCAAACCCTGTCCTCCCAGCGGAAAAAAATTCAGCTGACGAAGCATTTGCAGCACTGAAAAAATAATGACTACCTCTGGCAAAAGGTTTTAATGCCACTTTCAAGGGTTTCTTCAAATGAATTTGATAATCCTCACTGTAATAAATTCTCAACGTTTGAAGTCAGTGACGAAATTAAACATTCCGACATTCCGTTCAATTTGTTATTTTTCATCGGCCGCACAAATAGTGCTCGCTTTTTATTTTTATTTCGTGCATCTCTCTTTTTTCTCTTTTTTTGTTAACGTCATTTGATTCAATTATTTTTCTTTTCTACTCTTAAGTTTTCTTTAACCTTGCATAAATAACAGAGTAAAAAAGGACAATGCAGCTCGCCTTCGTTTCACCAGGATGTGCACTCTGTTGCCAGGTTCTCTCAGTATTCGGCATAGTATTCCTGGTCATTCTGGGCTTTCTATTCACAGCCGAGGTGAAGGAGCTGACAGGCTCGACAGAAGACCCAGTTAACCCGAAGGAGGTCGGACACGCGTGCTTCGTCGCCGCCGCCATTTACGCCGCTTTCTTCTTGTGCTGCTCGTGTCAGCAGATGGTTCGTCAGAGCGACATACGGCGAGCAAGACGTCTCTGAGAATATATCGACATACAGACATACAAACCCACATGGTAGCATTAGCTGCTGTACATGTTTGTTTATTTCTTTTATTGGAAATGTGGTATGGGCTCAGCTCCGACGTTACCCGCCAGACTCTCGTAACCCTTGTCCCCTTTTCTCTTCATACATTTTTAATCAAAATTGTGTTTCATTCATTTATTCATAAAAATTCAATCGCACATATGAACCAAAAACTATGCGTGAGGCAAATGTCTAGTTCTTGGAGAGCTTCACAGCCAGCCAGACGCAGAAGAGGGCGGTGACGAATCCGCCGCCAACGGCTGTGGGCACCAGGTACTTTTCGGGAATACCCAGGGGGCCGAGGGCCTCGCCACTAGCTAGCGCAGAGGTATCCGCCTTCTCCTCCTCCTTCTCGTCAATATACACCAGCGCTCTGGGATTGATCTGGAGCACAACGCGTCCTTTACCATCGCGATTAGCCAAATCAATGGCATCAGCCAAGTCCGAAGCACCAGTAATGTGCACGAAATCGCCCTCGTCGTCGACATATGCCAGACCGGACTCGTCAACAATGATCTGTGCCTCTCGCACTCCCTCGGACAAGAGTTTATTGACGCACGCTGTGCGCACAAAGTCGAGGTCCGTGGAGGGCGCCGTGAAGCGATGGGTCTTGCCTGACGGTGTCTTCAGCTTGAACACGTAGTGGCCGTCAGGAGCGCCCGGCAGCTGCGCCTGCGACTGCTGCATGGAGCCAGAGCCGGTCACCGAGGGGCAGGCACACCGTGCTGGCTGAACATGGTCTGGCTGCCCAGGTTAGAGTACGCCTGCTGCGCGGCGTTAAAGTGGCCGGGCATCTGCATCATCTGCTGCTGCATTTGCTGCTGCATCTGGAGCTGCTGCGCCTGCTGCATCATCATCATTTGGCTGTTGTACGCGGCGTACTGGGCGGCGTTGGGATCCGGGTACCCGTAGCCGTAGATCTCCTGCTCGCCGACGCGCGAGTTGACTGCCGAGTGGATGTCCTCGATCATCGATGCTGACTCATTCGGGTACACCTCGGACGCGAGGCGCGCGGTGCCGTCGACGAAGGACGGCGCGCCCTGGCTATACGCGCCCACCTGCGAGTGATGTATAGTGTCGCTGATGGTCGACGCGGGGCCGCCGAGCTCCGGCGGCAGCGTGCCGCTGAAAAGCGCGACCACATGGGGCCGCCGGCGGCATTGAGGTCCTCGTTGCCGCTGCCCTGGATGGACTTCATCTGCTCCAACGTAGCGTAGCACAGGCGCAGCACGTCGACCAGGCCCATAATCTCGCCGGCCTCGTCGACGACCGGTAAGTTGAGGTAGTGGCGCTCGTACATGCGCTTGAGCGCGTCGATCAGCGATGTCGTCGGCAGCACAGTGTCTGGGTGCGGTGTCATGACGCGCACGACGCTGCAGGTGCGCGGGTCGAGGCCGGCGGCGATGACGCGCAGCACAATGTCCTTGCTTGTGAAGATGCCGGCAATGTTGCCGGTGTCTTCGTCGACCACTAGGCTGGCAGTGACGCGGTGCGCGCGCATCAGCCGCGCAATCTCCATAACGGGCGTCTTGGGGCTGACAATGACCGGGTCGTTGCCGTCTAGCACTGTGGTCATGTCGGGGAAGCTCATGCGCTCGCGCAGCGTGCTGGCAAAGTTGAGCATCTGCGCCGACTGGCCGCTCCACTCCTTCTCGACGCCCTCGATGGCCGCGTACAAGGCCTTGGACGACTTGTGCGCGCGCTCCATCTTGTCCAGCGCCTCGTACATGCAGCGGATGACGTCCAGCAACCCGACAACGTCGCCCTCCTCGTTGCACACCGGCAGATGCCGGAACCCACGTGCAACCATCGTGTTGAGTGCGTCTGTCGCCGGCGTGTCGCTGGTTACGCACAGCGGGTCGCGCGTCGCAATGTCGCGCACGTGCGTTGTCCTGGCGTCCAGGCCCTCGGCCACGACGCGGAATGCCACGTCCTTGGCTGTGAAGATGCCTGCAAGCCGCTCCTCGTCGTCGACCACGAGCACGCTGTCTGCACGCTTTGCCGCCATCAGCTGCGCTGCCTCGGTAATCGAGATACCATCACGCACTGTCAGCGCTGGCGCTGGCCGCAGCGCTGCCACTGTGCCGGCTGCCACGGCCGGCCCACGCTTGCGTCCGGCTGCACCTGAGCTGCCTGCCCCTGCGCCCGAGTTCTGCGGTGCGTCGGCGGCGGCGGCGGCGGCCCTTTGTCTGTTTTGGTTCATCTTTTTGTTGAGGTCGGTTTCTGCCTTTTTGCGGATATTCTACAAACACAGCGGTGCAATAGTGCGCGGGCAGAGGGGGTGGCGGTATTAGTGTATAGCGCAAAAATGTATGGAAAACACGAGATAGAGGGAAGACGCATTGGACGGCAGAATTACTGCCGTCTTGCCGAATTCTGCCCAAGCCCTGGCTGCGAATTTGCCCTGTAAATTACCTCGTCCCTGCGAGTCTGTCGTTTCCTTGCTTGCTCGGATGCGTTTGGAGTTTGATTCGGCGTCGAGCTCATCATTACAAAACCAAATGAAAAGGGAACCTGAAAAAGGAAAGGCAATTTGTGTGAGTGAAAAAAATTATATGTATTTGAGGGCGGAAAAGATACAAGAAAAATAGAATACAGTTGTGAATGGCTGGCTGAGCATGTTTTTGTTTTGCACCAGTTTTTTGTATTTTGTATTTTGGCTGCATGCATATCCCGTGATCCCGGTGCCTTTCATTTCATATGGCATTCATGTGAGAACACAGAAGAGTAAATGCATATTTCCTTCCAATAAAACTCAAACCCGAAGCCCTCGTTTGCCCCCCCTTAAATATCTGAAAAGCTACTGCTGTCTTTGAGGCTCAAAATGGACAATGAGTCGGCGCGGTGCATCGCTGACCGATCGCATTCAGGCTGCTCGCACTCAGGCCGACCACACGGGCCATGCTCACTCGCAGCCACCCCCCTCCTTTCGTTCTTCTCGCGCAATCGGTCGGACAGCACATGGCGGACACTTGGATTGACAAACAATGCAATGGCCAGCAGAATAGACTGCAGCCCGAGCAATACAACGTTGAGATACTCCAGCACCATATACGGACGCTGCTTGTAATGGTGGATGGAAATCAGAATGAGGTTGAGCCATAGCGACACGATTGGAGTTATAGGGAACCAGATGATATTCCACATTGACTGACTGAGCATATGCTGTTTCCCGTGAACGCTGGCTGCCATTGACATGCCGTAGTATTGAGAGGACGCGCGCATAACCGTTTTGGTCCGGCGCCTGGTGCGGATAATGTATATTGCGACGGTTGAGACGCTGATGATGCCAACAATTCCAGGAAGATACTGCCAGACAATGACCGTAAAGACAATATATAGATATTCCTTGTTTTCCCAGTTCTTTCCCAGTAGGCAATAGGATGTTTTACCAAAGACGCTGGGCGGGAGAATTATAAATGGCAAGGTTGGCAGGATGGACAGGCCCACGCCCAGCGAGATCAGCAATACCCTCGGCCATCGCTTTGTAGGCGAAACCTTGTGAATGACAACAAGCTGCAAGTACACCACAGCGTAAATGGTCAGGTTCACCGGCAAAACTCCTGTTACGTTATTGAGGAACAGCAGCACCCGACATCCAAAGTCGGATCTAATCCGAACAAATACCACTATTGGGCGAATCACAAATCGCATGCAGTTGATGATCTGTGCCATTAGAATCACGCGGAATATGGAGCTGCGCCAGACATGCGGCCGCATGTATACAACCGCCAACCCGTAGACAAACGCCAGGAGCGAGACGCTCGCTGATATGACATATATTGATATGGAGAATGACCGCATCCTCGGCCCTGCGTATGCTGGCAGCGGTCCATAGGCGACATCTTCGTCTACCATAGGCCTATTGGAAATAGTTTGCTTGATGCTGGCCCAGTGGCATCGCACCTTGCTCTCGCTTTCTCCCTTTTGTAATTGCAAGCGGAAAATGCCTGATTCCTGGTCCTGAAGCGGTCGCGGCAATAGAGCTGAAGTGAAAATAAATACAATACGATGGAAATATACAATAAAATAAAAATAAAAAGTGAAAGAAATACTACATTGAGTGACAGTAATATAAATGACGGATGGCGAATGATTAGACGACGATGAGTGTGCATGCCGCAGCCATCCCTTGCAGCGAGCATCCGCCTGGTTAATCATTTCCAAAATACTTGGGGTTATTTAAAAACTAAACCAATAAACACAACAACGCGCAATATTCCAATCGATTGCATAATTTCAATGTCAGCCACCGCCTTAACCGCATTGGTGTCTAGGCACGCAGCTATCACCCGATTGCATTTGCACTTACAAATTAACCGTGCATAGTCAACGCCCATCATATTCACCAAGCAAGCCCGTCTGGCTTTGCGCCACCAATTCTTGCGCTCTCCCTCACCCCAGCACTGCACCGCACTGGCTAGCATCGCTCAAAAATTTTGTACAGATCAGGCACGTCGACAAGTTGCACAAGCGTGTTCTCAGTGAGCATCGCATTGGGAGCCCAAAATGACGACCCCTTCAGCGAAGGAAAAATGCGATGCTCGACAACCATGCGGTAGTTGTCCTTTGAGCCCTGCGGATCGCTTGCAAGCGGCGGCTCCAGCGCGTAGAGCGTAGCCAGTACGTTGATAAATGTGCGGAAAAATTGCTGCTCGTCGTTCCAATCGACCCCAAATGTTGCACTATGCAAAAACAACGGCAATTTGTCATAGTCCGGCGAGTAGTCGCGCACAACCATTGGCAGCGACTCCAGGCACCCATCCTCACTCACGCGAATATGAAAGTACTCATCAAGCATAGCACTGCTATCGACAAACCGCTGGGACACCTGGTCGGCGGTACTTTCGGCATTGGCGGCGCCACTGAGCTCGTGTGCTGCCACCAACGCCAGCTCGCGGATCGATGGCGCCGGCTTCAAATAGAGACGACCGTAGTTCATAAAATCAAACAGGATGCGGTGGTGGAACAAGTGGTAACTAATCTTGCAATAGTCGACCATATACAGCCGCGTCTGGTGCTGGATCAGCGCCCGTCGGTCATCAACAAACCCGACAAAGGAGTGCTCGTTGAAGATCTGCGTGATCTCCGCATGCGCATGCCGTTGCAACTCTTTGCGCAGGCCCAGAATGCTGGTCAGCCGCACCTCCACACGCGGCTCCTTCTCGACTGCGGCAAATGACTTTCCTCCCTGGCCGGCCGGTAGCTCCGAAACGTCTGATGAGACTTGGCTCTGAAGACTTGGCGCACTGACGCTGCCCATGCTGTCGTCGATAGTAAGCTGTCGTGGAGTACTACTTGCAAGCAATGGCTCGTCATTTTCAGAGGCCACGCCCAAGTTTAACACCGGCGCTGATCTAAGGTGGGCGTTTTGAACGGCAAGCTCAGACAAGTCGTCCAGCTGCTTTGGCGGACTATTTTTGGCATGCAACGGCGAGATCTGCAATGGCGCGTGTCTAGGTGTCGTTCTAGTCGGCGTAACACTAAAATCAGACTCGATCGTGCCCTGCACGCGGTTGCGCCGGATCGACGGCGACAGCCCAAACGAAAACGAGTCTAGAGACAGCGTCTTGTAGTCTGTCCGCACCGCTCGGTTCACTGGTATCTTATGCGATCCGGAACAACATTCTGAGGCATACGGCTGGTGGATCGCAGAAGACTTTGAGTCAAGCCATTCAGTCTTCCAGAACCGGGCTGAGAATGGGCTTTTCTGGAGTCATTTCGCCCATATCAGTTATCTGGCTGTCGGGCTGACCACGGGGGTTTTGAGCACGGAATCTTCCAGTGGACATTGGTGTTACTAACCGAGGACAGAGTCGAGGCATCACGAACAAGCATACCGACACCAAGGTCTTTGCCGAGCGAGCTCTGCACAGCAAAGCTGCGGCTGCTGTTCGTGCTCACAAGTTTGCTGTGCATGCATTCGACGATAGCACTTGTGACTCTGTCCTCGTTGAGAAACCTGACCTCGCGCTTCGTCGGATGCACGTTGACATCGACGTTCTCGGGCTTGATGCGCAAATCCAAATACACAAACGGGCGTGATGCTTTTGGCAAGATACTGCTGTACAAGGACTCGACCGCCCGTTTGATCGGGGTGTTGTCAACCAGCCGATGATTGATGAACAAAATAAACACTGATTTATGCATTTCGTGCGCCGCACTCGACACATGCCCGGAGAATGATATCTCCAGGTCTGCATCCTCGTGCTTTATTTCAACCAGCGATCCACCGATCTTACCGCCAAATATCTGCCGGATATTGCTAATTGTGCTTGCGCCCTGCTGTGTGCTCAAGTCGCCTTGGGCGTGCCCATTTTGCGGCACGTAAAGGCAACCCCTGAATTGTGAATGGCATACCGGCTGGCGACCTCGAAAATGCGGTTGTACTCATCGCGCGTGTTTTTCAGCGCGCTCTTGCGAGATGGAATATTATAAAACAGGTCCTCAGCTGTGATAACAGTTCCATTGTTCCCCGCACACGGCTCTGGGTCGCTGCTACCTCCCGGCTTTGCCGGCACAAGCTTTCCGTCAGCATAGTTTGCCTTGTACGCGCAGTCAGACTCTGCCTGTTTAGTTGTTATGCTCAGGTGAGACACGTGGCTAATGCTGGCCAGCGCTTCGCCGCGGAACCCATATGTTTGAATAGCGACAGATCCTCGTACACTTTGAGCTTACTAGTTGTGAATCGCTCGCACACCAGCGGCAGGTCCTCAGTGCGGATCCCGTGCCCGTTGTCCTGGATCTGCAGCAGCTTTATCCCGCCGTCTTTGACGCTAATTGTGATAGATGTAGCCCCAGCGTCTAATGAGTTTTCTATAAGCTCCTTCAGCGCGTTCGAGGGCCGGTTGATGATTTCGCCTGCCGCAATTCGGTTAATGACTGATTCGTCTAGCTTCCGAATTGGCGCTGGCTTTCGTGCAGTCGTTGAATTTGTGTCGGACATTGCGGATGAAAAATGTGTTGTGATAACTTATTAAGAAAAAACAAAGAAAAGGAGCTAATAATTGAGCACTTTGCGCTAGGCAGTTCGCGTAGCTTAGTGTAAGTCGAGAGCTTGATGCCAAGCTGCGCATACACATGTAATTGAATTTCTTGATTTGATTGTGATTTGATCGTGCCAAGATTTTGATTTAAATTGCAACAATATCGCATATCCGGTCGGATCTTGAAAATGCGTTTCACGGCGCTGAAAAGCATTAAAAATTAAAAATTAAAATAAAAAGCAAGTGTATAACAACCTAACTCGAAGACAACTCAACCAAAACATTGCTCATTAGCATTTCATAATGTTTTGGAATTTGATTAATGGGTAGTGGTATGTTGTGAGAGGGGTGGTGTATGGAGCACTACTGTGGTAGTGTTAGAAAGATGGGATGCTTTATAATTGGGTTTTAATACCAATGTTTCTAAAGTGCTACCAGCGCCGACCTCGTTTCTTATATTCTTATATGTGTGTCTCGTTGCCTTTGTTGTGCACTCCGTTGGCGAAAACTGGTTCTTCTGCGAGCAGCCCGGTATCTTGGCATTTCAATGTTGTGGTCTTCGTATATGCGCGCTCGTGCGTGTGCGTTATAAATCAGGAAGTGTATTTGGATGGCATACTAGTCCTCCTATTTACTCCCATGGTCCAATATGTGCCCTATCAATCGACATGCGGACAGAAACCTGTTTCACGATTCTCAGCCTCAATATCCACTTCCATGTCCTCGGGCTGCGCAACAACAGCAATCATTATAGGGTTGTGAATGGGAATTTGGAGACCAGAGCACAGCATTTAGATTGTCTTGAATCAATGTTTCTCATTTCAACTTTTTGTTTTATGTAAATATATATGTCACGGTTTAGGTACATGGCTTTGCATGTTGCCTTACTGAGATTAATTGATTACCGCGTGGCAATTAAGAAATAATAAGTTTATATTATAGTTTATTTATATGCCAAGGAGAACATATAAAAGGTGAGCTATCGAGCAGCCAGGAATTTCTCTCCTTGGAAAAAAGAAATATCCTTTTTTGATTTATACCCCTTTGTAACATATATTATATACACAGATGCAATTGTTTGATATATAAACAGGGTGTGACTTTTTCCAATGTATTTGAGAAAATGTACAGAAGGGATCAAATTGTTGTAGACAGATATAATATTGCTGTGATACTTGACTGTTCGTTTTGGTTTAAAAGTACAATTAATATCATATTGTCCAATAATATACATTATTTTTTAGTGTCAGCTATATATGTAAAATATTTCTTATGTTTAAATATATCATTTAAACCATCCCCCAACAAGCTGCAGCATCCATGCCACAGTCTTGACATGTCTCAGCAACCCGCACAATTTACGTTTCTGACCAATCCCCGATTGGGTGCGTCACAACTGGTATAGTGCATTGGCAAGCATAGAAACTTTAAATTAGTATGCCCGAGAAATCAACGATCGCCACCTTGCATTTTGGCCAAGCTGAGAAACAGAATAACCTAAACTCTCTTTTCTTTTTCTTCTCTCAATTTTTTTGCACATAAATATTTATCTTTTTTATTTTTTTTGTATTTTCACCATGGTTCATTTCAAGATCGCTGATTTGTCCAAGCCGGGCACGATTGACCTGACCGACGGCACCAAAACAATCACTGTATCCTACCAGCCCCACCTACTCAGCGCTTGCATGTGTGCTAATTGCAAGGCAATAAAGGCTAAGGCGGAAGAAGCCAAAAAGGCCGAGGAGGCCAAGAAGGCTGAGGAGAAGAAGAAGCAGCAGGCTGCACTTTTTGCATCAAATATAATGTGCTGCCACGGTCATCACAAGTAGGGCCTGAGCGCGCAATGCACATTTCTCTCTCTTGTAGTATCATTTACATTTTATTTAGTAAAATAAATTGTTGAAACAGGGTATGTATATATATTGAACTAATGTATAGCAGCCTATACGTACACATCCTATGCCTCTCGCCGCGCACGAAGGATGTCTTCATCGGAAGGAATGTTATAGACGGCTCTCGCCAAGTCGTCAAACTCGATGGTCCCAAACCACGGCGAGGCCATGCTCTGTGTTGTCTTGCGGTCGAGATGCGACTGGCGTGTTGTCAGGTCGTCGATGTATTGTGCTTCGCTTATGTCACACGTGTCGAGGGCAAACGAGACGCACGGCCGCATGTAATCATTGATAGCTTTGCTATACTCACCCCTATAACAGTAAAAAAGGCAAAAAAAAGCGAACAAACAAACGAACAAACGTACAAACAAACGTGCAAGTAATTAGAAAAGGCGAAAATGGGGGTAATAGACACAGTAACAGACAATGGTACATCGTCTACTATTTTACAAGCACACACACTTACCCTTGCAGAATCCAATTGGTGCTCATCGCAAAACGGCAATGCAGACTTGTGGAGCTTAGGGTCAGTAGCTAACCATTGGCCTAGGAGACGAATAGAGCTGAGGACTAGCTCAGGACTGACGTCCATCATCTCCTTTCGTCGCCCATCCGTTCCCGAAAATCAACCAAAAAGCCGATGGCTGCTTGCGACAGTTTTTGCACTTCGACATCAACTCGTAGATGGCGTCCTCGTCCACATCGGCGGATTCGCTCTGGGCATCCAGCCACTGACCGATCCACTCGAGCCAGCCAGCGGCAATCTCGGCGCACGTTGGAAACTTCCACCCCAGACGTGTCCTTGCCCGCTCCGATCTTTGCACTGAATCCTCTGGTTCATGCTGACAGGACGGCTGATCATCATCGTATCAATAGATGCCTGTCCTTCGATGCACGCCAGTCGCAGCACTAGCTCAGCATCCTTTTGCCGAGTGGGTTCAGAGTCAGGGCCCACCAATGTGACGTCAGCCTTGCTTAAAAATGTGTGATTGGGCCACAGCCTCACCAAGTGAGAATACAAGACCAGCGCCTGGTCAGCGTACTTGCTGGTCTCTGATTTTTGTCTCAGCACCCAGATGCAACCGCTGCTAATATTTGCAATGATCAACGAGCATGAAACCGTGTTGTCAATGGCTGTGGCATCCTCAGAATCAATAGGCTCAAGGGAGCTTGCGAGCACGCCCATCAGCTCAAATTTCAGTGCACCCTGCATCGTTCCAAATGCAGAGGCAATGTGTGCAACCAGGTAGTTCCAGCCGCTTGCAAACTGTGCTACGTTGTCTTGTGCATGAATAAATGCGGAAGACCGGTTGAGTGCAAAATCAACCACTTCCAATGCGCCGATATTTCGATGCCCATGTTGACGCGGCAATTGCCTCCACAAATGACTCGGGCTGCTCCAGTATTCTCCGAATGCAGCATCCAACGCTAATATTTTGCACAGTGCTTGTGTAGCCTCTGCCGAAACATTAGCAACACCTAGCACGGCCACTTTGTATAGTGTGGGGATGCGGTCAACCATTTTTGCCTGCTGGGCAATCGCGCTGTGCGAAGCAAAGACAGCAATGACGGCAACAGCAATGCCGAGCATGGGCGACTCACCGCTTGTATCAGTGTCCAAATCGCTTGACTTTTGACCAGTCGCTTCATCCCCGTTCGCAGCAACCGCTCTAGAAATTTATGTCCATGGCCTCGAATATATAGCCCAACGATTTGCTGTCCTGCACGTCAACGATCCTGGGCACCAAAAGAAGCCCCGCCAGCTTCTCGTCGTCGGTCGACCGCTTGGACAAGAGCTGCGCGCACTTTTCAAGCTGCTGCTGTTTTTCCATGGTACACCAATGTCAAAAGCTATAAAATATTAAAGACAAAGTAGTAAACTGAGATAAAAAAGCTTACAGTCGCTTGAACAAGAATACCGCTCCGCCCAACTCCCAGTGGCAGCTGCATCGGCACGTATGCAGAAATAATAGGCAATTGTCACGTGTATTTGATCCCTTGATTCGTCTTATTGCCATTTGCACGGATCAAGTGATTTTTCTCTTAAATTTTTTTGTTCCATCCTTTTTTTTGGAGCTTTAACAAGACGCACACGGAAGAAAAAATTTTTAACCTCTGTTTCGGCGCAGTTACTCGGCCAAATAGTCTTTATTTTAAATTCATATTCACATTATAATACCCTCCTTTTCACAGTAATGGTCAAGAAATTCATTGACAAGAAGAAGGCGACGACTTACAAGCTCGTATACCGGTCGCAGGAGGACCCTCTGGCCTTCGAGGAGGGTACCACAGAGCGCGTATTTGTAGCGGTTGGTGGCAAGGATGAGCTCAAGGCATCCAAGGGCAAGCAGCCCGAGGATCAAACACTGGAACAGAGTATTCGTGACTCAGGCTCACTGGCATCACGAAGAAGATATGGAGGATGAGGAGGCGGGGAAGGCCGCGTGTACGGTATTTACCTCGATGATCGCGAATACGATTACACCAAGCACTTGCGGCCGGTTGGCTCTGGCGGAGGCATTCTGCTGGAGGCTGCAGCGAAGAAGGAGAAGTTTAGCGGCATTCAGATCATGGACGTGGACGAGGACGATGATGGCGTTGGAGCAAGCGGTTTGATTCCGATTCAGGCGCAGCCTTCGGCTCACCGTATGGACATTAAAAGTGCAGCATTTCCCACTGGTCTGCAGCCATCTATGAATACCAATCTGCGCGAGGTCTGGAAGCCCTGGATGAGGAGGATGTGGAGGAGTTTGACGACGATTTCTTTGACAGGCTCAACTCGAACGAGCTGCCCTCCGACGCCGAGGAGAACGAATCTGACGACGGCTACCATGGAGGCAAGTTTGGGCGCTTTGGCGACGAGGATGACGAGGATGGTGAGGGCTTTGACCCCAATGATGTTTTTGCCCAGGTCAGAAGGATGAAGGCGCGCCAGAGGCAGCAGGATTCGGACGACGACGAGAATAATGGTCCTCTGGATCCGAGGCGGTGACTGGCGTGGCACGCGCACAGCCAGCACTGGTCTGTCCATGTCTTCGTCGGCGATGTACCGCAACGAAAAGCTGACGCTTCTGGACGAGCACTTTGATCGCGTTGAGGCCATGTACGAGCACGAGGACACGGACAGCGAAGACGAGCGGTATGACGAGAACGGCCACCATATTGATGAGTATGACGCTGACGGCAATCTAAAGTCTATCAGTACACGCCCTGACTTTGCGGATGTCATGGATGAGTTCCTTTCGGAATACGAGCTCACTGGAAAGAAATTGCAGGTTGTTGTCGAGGGCGGCTCAGGAGCCGGTAAGCTGGACACCTACCGCGACGCCTTTTTAGATGCCACAAAGCCGAAGGACCAGAGCAAACAAGATGTAGTTGCGGCCGGAATGCGCATTACGGAGGAGGATAATGCGAGGCCCACGAGGTCGAGGAGGCGTACTTTGACAATTTGTTCAAGGAGAAGGAGGCACCCCTTGGGATTGCCAGACCATCCTGAGCACTTACTCGACGCTGGACAACCACCCCGCCACCATTTACGTCGAAAAGACACCCAAGATCAGAGTCAGCCGCAAGACCGGCTTCCCCATGGTCGAGAGTGCTGCCGCCGACAACAATAACAATGAGGGAACAATAGCGACGAGGAAGATGTGCCTAGGGAGAACAAGGGCCAGGCGCGGTCGAAAGCGGAGACCAGCGAGGAGAAGCGCGCTCGCAAGAAGCAGATCCAGGAGGAGAAGCGCAACCGGAGAGATGAGAGGAATGATACCCGTAGTGCCTTTGCCGAGAAGCGGGACCGCAAGATGCAGTCCAAGAAGGATCGTGCGCAGTATGTCATTCGCTTGGACTAGATCACATTCATATTTCCATTCCCTTGTTCAAAAAAGTTTAGCTTTGTTTTTTATTGAGACAAAGGCATTCAAGCGTCGAAAAAAACCCTACAAATCTTACGCCCACGCCTGATTGGTGAGCTTTCTACGGACCATGGGACCGCCGAGCATGCACCCGACCGCCAGAGCAGTGTGGTGACGACCAAATTAACCTTGCTAAATGAGGGCGAAAGCTGGTCGAAAGTGCCCGAGGGGCTTGTGCGGGTGAAGAACAGATCAAGGCCAAAAGAAGCCACCAGCGACGTGCTCTCGAGGTGCGTCGGCGCCGACTTGATGTGCGTGATTCCAGCGACAGTGTTGTAGTGCGAGAGGACGCGCTTGGGGTCCAGGGGCAAAGGCGCCGCGTAGGGGATCAGTCCCTCAGCCTGCTCATCCTTCGTGGGCGCTCTCTTCGGGCGGCGGGGGTCGAACATCTGGTCGGGTAGGCCCAGCAGCTTGCTCGACGCAAGCCCGAACAGCACGTCGCGCGTGGTGATGTGGCTGCCGGTGCGCGTGGTGCCGAGCGCCGTCGCGGGCTCAGGCGAGGTGTAGGCGGTGGTGACAACGTGGGGCAGAAGCAGGTCGAAGCTCGAAAACACTTTGCTCTTCTCGCGCGTGTCAGGCTTATCGCTCTCAAACAAGTCGGCGACCACAGTTATGTAGCTGCGCACAGACTCTGAGCGAATGGGGGAGCCGGCAATCTCGGGGATGCCCTCCTGCCAGAATTGGTAGATGACGCGATTTTCAGTTTGGATCGCCAGGAACGGCTGCTTCTCTGTGACCTTCCCCTTCTCGTGGACGGCCGAGTACAGAAGATGGCCAGACACGCGGTCGACAAAGTATATGCCAATCCACCAGCCTCGCTGAGGCGTGTGGCAAGCGTGACCAAGTGCGGGTTGAGGTACTTGTAGAGCACGCTGCGGTCGCCGAGCACGCGGCCAAGCAGGGCAGTGCTCTGAGCGCCATTGTAGCCGGTGGCGCTGATCAGGGTCTCCGCGTTGGGGAGCTCAAAGTCCCATTGCTTGCTGGCAGCGAATGCTGAGCCCGTGGTCCAGGCAAGGAGCTCCGACAAATCGGCTGGGCATTCTGCACGGAAGCCGCTCAGCTGCGTACTGCCTGCGTTGTCTCCGAGGTCAAAGAAGACTGGGTCGGAGATAGAGCAGAAGGCATTGGCTGTATCTGCAGTGGATGGCCAAATATTGAGCTGGGGCTGCGCCTCGGAGGCATATGACACAAATCCAAGCAGCTGCTGGTTAGTGACCGGGTCGACAGCCGGAAGCTCAAAGACCTTGACGTGGCTGAAGGGCATGAGATTGAAGGCGTTTTCGTCGATGAGTTCGCCAGTCAGGGCGTTGAGCACAACAACGAGAGAGTTTCCGTCGGCGTTGCGGCCAACGACCGTGACCAGAGGCGGAGAGTCGGACAGGGGCTGGCTGCGACGAGTGACAAAGACGTTCTCAACAGCCACTGGAGTGCCGTTGTCAGTCAGGAAACGGGTCCACGAGCGTGATCCCTCCTTCGTGCTGAGAGCTGCGACGATGCCGGTAGACGTACCAAAGATCGACAGCTTGTGGAAGCCAAAGTGGTCGCCGACAGTGATGGGCGTCTTTGGCGCCAGGGACTCGGCAACCGACCGAGATGCCGGATCCGAGCTGTTGGCGCCGGAGAAAAGGTCGAAGGCTCCAAACCCAGAGGCAACCCATGATGCGGCCGACTTGAAAGTCTCGACCCAGCGCAGTATATAGCGGGTGACAGGTGAGCTCAGCACGCTCGGATCAGTAGCCTTGGCGACATACTCGGCGGATGAGACGGGCGCGGGCAGCTCCAAAAACACCATATCGGTGGCATGGGCCAGAGACTCGTCGCGGAACCACAGGGCTCGGTGCCTCCGGGAGCGAGGGCCGCGATGAGACCACCGCTGGTCTGGACCAGCACGCGCAGCTCGCCGTTGGTGTAGTAGAGCGATGCGGACGTGACAGGGCCGTACATGCCCTTGTCATAGACAAACTCGCCGGTATGCGTGGGTGTCTTTTGTCGTATACCGGCGCCAGGACACATCACCTGCGGTGCGAACTGCGAGCACTGCGCGCTCGGACTGGTTGTCGCTGCTCTTTGCTGAGACAGAGACGCCGGAGCCGGCAATGACTGCGTCGTCTGAGCGGAACCCACAATCTTGCGCATCTCGAGCTTATCGCCAGTACGGTACATCTCAACAACCACAGTCTTGGCCTTGCCGTCCTTGATGTAGTTCATGGCAAAGCGTGGCCTATCTGCGTTGAGCCCCGGGTCGGTGTCGATTTCGTGGAGGGTGGATGTCAGCATGTCTGGGGGCATGAGCTCGGTTTGCACAATCTTTGCGTGGTACATCTCCCATTCGGGATCGGTCATTCCGAGCCGGTGGATCTGCCAGACAATGTTCTTCTCCTCGCGCCAGACAACATAGCTGCCGTACTCCTTGGACTCCAGAACCACGAGCCGGTTGTTGTCCAAAGTCTGGTCAGAAGCCACCTGGTACTTTCTCACAATGGTACCAGTTTTCAGGTCAACCTCGATCACCTGCAGCTTGGCCTTGGGGTTCTTCTTGGTGGGCCTCGCGTTGCCAATAACAAAGCAACCTTGTTCTCAACTACAATCCTCTTGTACGTGCCTGTTGCGTTAAGCGCCAGTTCCCAAACAGGAGTGCTCTGGTTCGGGTGAGCCGCACAAACGAATCGCCAGCCACAGCCACTACGTCCTTGCTTCCAACTAGGAACTCGGCCGTCCCGCTGCCATTCCGGTAGTTGGCGTCAGCTGGCTGGAAGAATTCCCAGGCGAGGCTGCCGCTGTCCGCGTCCCACACGCGCACATGGGTCTTGTTGGTCCCTGAGAGCGTCAATGCCTGGCCGTCGCGCAGCTTGAGCGCCTTAATGGGCTCATCGGCGTCAAAGATCTGCCGCCAGGTTATCTCTCCGTTGTCGGGGTTGAGCGACGCGAGGGTGTTGCGGCTGGTGATCGCGAAGATGCCGTGCTTGAATCCTTGTTCGTGTAGGGCATAATCTTCGTGGGCATGCCTATCTGTGCGCGATGCCAGTCGATGCGCCCGGCTTCGTCTGGGAACAGACCATGGGCCACCTGGCCCAGGCTGGAAACTGCCAGGCAACGCTGAGGGCGACCTTTGATAGTGAAATGCCGCCGAGCATTGCGTGCTGATATATGGGTGACTGTTGTACCACTTGGGTTGGTGTTATATGCAGTCAGTCGAATAAGCGTGCTTTGAATTATTCGAGAGGCGCAAATGTAAGTTTAGTTTCGCCCTGCGAATGAGCAGGATGTCGGATTTAGCAAAGGAGCGCTGTAAAATATGGCTGAAAAATAGAAAAGCTGAATAAGAAACTATTTGTTTTGCACCCGAACCATGAGTAAAAAAAGAACGGTTGATTGAAAAAGACAAAGCCGGATAAAGATGCACTCAAAATTGGTGTGTGTGTGCGGAGCGCAATTAAAAAAAGCAACAAAGACGTGGCAGCTTGTAACAAGCCTTGGACCATCATCAGATTTTATTTTTTTTACTTATTTAGTTTCTGCGCTTATGTGTGTTGTGTAGATAAAATCTGTTAAAACTCCACCGCATTTTTTTCTTTGCTCGTTGCAATTCGGCATTCAGTTTATTATAAATTCATTTTTTTCATACCTTTTCCCTTGGTCCCTCATCCGCCGGACGCTAAAAATAAACAGACACCGCATAGACAGGGAGAAGAGCAGCCGGCATATACAAGCTAGCAGCACTTTACACAATAACAAAAAAACCATATGAGACTGCTACCTTCTCTAGGAATATGTCTTGCGCTGGGCGGTGCCTGGCTGAAAGCTGTAGATGCAAAGTCAGCAACCGGAGACCGTGTACTAGTCCTAGTGCCAACAACCGAGTCCGCAAAACAGTACACGCACTTTCTCGGCACCCTCGAAACACGCGGCTTTGACATCTCAGTGAGGGCAGCCTCAAACTCATCCGTGGCTCTGCACCTGGATGGAGAGCGCCTGTATGACCACGCGATTCTCCTGTCGCCAGCAGCCAAAAAGTTTGGATCCGACCTGACAGCTCACAATTTATTCGGTTCGTTGATGATGGCGGAAACCTGCTTGTGGCCGCGTCCAGCGAGCTCAGTGATTTCCACCGCAAGCTTGGCGCGCAGTTCGGTGTTGAGTTTGAGAAGCGCGGGAGCCGGGCTATTGACCACGTCAGTCATTTGAGCGAGAATGGCTCTGATGATCACTCGGTTGTTGCTGCCCACCGGTTCTTCGGAGTGCCCGCTGTGCTGCCCTCACTTTTGGCGGAAAGAATCCGGTACTGTACTCTACAGGGGCATTGCTCACAAATACGAGGCCAAGAACCCGCTGCTTGTGCCCGTGTTGGTTGGATCACCACCACATACTCAGGAAATGCTGCCACGGGCGGTGACAGCGATAACAAGGCTCTGAGTCCCATGGATACACCATTGAGCGGCAAGGCACTTGGTTTGGTCAGCGTGTTCCAGACACGCAGCAATGCCCGCGTGGCGTTCTCCGGCAGCACAGAGCTGTTTTCCGATCCCTGATGAAGAAGCGCGGCAGCAGCAACACACAGTTTGTTGCCGAGGTCTCAAAATGGGTTCTGCAGGAAAAGTCTGTTTTGCGCGAAACCGGACACCGCCACCACCTGTTGTCGACCGGCGAGAAGCCTGAATACTATCGGATTGGTAACGAGATGGTGTACGAGATTGATCTCTCAGTGTACCGCGATGACGCCTGGCATCCGTATGTGGCCAATGACGTGCAGTTTGAAGCCATCATGCTTGACCCCTATGTTCGTTTGACTTTGAACCGCACACTGTCGACTGACTCCAAATCACCGATGGCGACGTACCGCGGTGATATCAAGCTTCCAGATAGATACGGCACGTTCACTTTCCGTGTTAATTACAAGCGCACCGGATACTCCAACGTTGATGTCAAGGACACTGTTGCCATTTGGCCGCTGCGTCACGATGAGTATCCGCGCTTCCTCACGGCCGCGTACCCGTACTACACTAGTTCCTTTGTGATGATCATCGGGTTCCTGGCGCTCAGCGCCGCATGGTTGTGGAACGCTGAACCCAGGGCCAAGGCCAATATCAAGGACGAGGGGAAGACCAAGGCCAAGAACAAGACAAAGCAGTCCGCCACATCAAAGCCAAAGTCAAACTAAAAAAATTACAATGAATTAAACACCATCCAACTACAAATATTGTCTTCTGCACTTTTTATATTCGACCAAATACAATTGTTTTGACAACAAAGGCAAGTGTCTATTTAGAAGAGAAATGAATGAAATAAATTTTAAAAAAAACAAATGGTCTGCCATACAAAGCATCAATAAATAAAAACTGTCTGCACAAATGCCTAATGAATGTGGTAGCAGTTCCTGCATTCTTTGAGGCTGGGTTTGAATGGGTTCTTCTCAAAGTCGTCGCAGCCGCACGCACAAACACACACCGACTCGTTGGGCATCGGGGCAGGCATCGCAGGCACATTGCTACCAGTGCGATGATGAGTGCGTGCCGCCGGCATGCGCAACTCATTTGGAGTTGTCTGCGAGCGGTGCGCAGTAGGAGCTCTCGACAGAAGTGGTGGCGGGATATCAGATTCGCTGCAATCCTCGGTGTAGTTAGTTGGGAACAAGCCAGGCTGGCCTCCTCCGGTAACAACGCCTTGTCCCGAGCCCGAGTGGACAAGCTTGCCGTACCACCAGCCGTCATCAACATGCTCAGTTACCTCAACAATGTCGCCCTTCTCCATGGCCAGCTCACCAACCTCGTTGGCGTTGAACTTGTAGATGGCACGCCTAAGAACACGAGCGGCGGGACGGGCAGGAGTCGGAGGTGGCGGCGCGTGTCGGCGCGGGGCCACGGTCGGCGCAGCCTTGCGCATCATTGGGCTAATATCGCTCTGCACGCGGGCAAACTGTGGAGGCTGGCGTGCGGCACTGTCGTGGCTGCCCGAAGACTCAAACGGCGACATGGCGCGCTGTGATCCGAGCTCGTCGCTGGTGTCGCTGAACTGCGTGCTGCCATTGCGGTGGTGCGAAAGAGCACCCCTGGCTGATGCAGTGCGTGACAGGGATGTTGCGAGTTTGACTGCTGCAAAGACTGGTTCCGAATGGAATAGGGATGCGACCAGAAACGCTGCCGTCGTTGCTCTTCAGGGTCATTGCAGATCGCCGGGAACTCAGCGAGTTGCTCATTGCGCTGCGATCGGCGACCAAGCGCTTGGCCTTGAGATTCTCCTCAAAGACACTGCGCAAGCGCTCCAGTTGCTCACTACAGCTTCTGTGGTAGGCAGCCTGCGCCTCGTAAAAGCTGTAAAGCTCGACCAGGTGATCGTGGTCGCTGTCCTTTATGTCCAGCATGCGCCGGGTGACGTCCTCGTACGTGTCATCGTAGCGGACCTGGGCTGTCCGCACATCATCTTCGAGCGCGATGTTCTCTTTGCGTGACTTTTGCAACTTGCTCTGCTTAGACTCAAAGTCGCTGCGGCGCACATCAAGCTTCTTTTGCAGCGACTGGTACTCTTTAAACTCGTCAATGCTGCGCTGCAGGCTCGACACCCACCCGTCCTTGGTGGAATTGATGAACTGGATCTTGAGGTCGTTCAGCCGCTCCTCAACCTGTCCGAACTGCTCGATGACCTGGCCTATTATGAATCGAATGATCGATTAAAGTGGTTGGTAGTGTGATTAGGAACTTCGTTTAAAATTGTACTCCGATGCGATTCTCTTTTCCTCCACACAAGCATGCGGCGATAAAGTGGCAAATAAAAACCAGCGCTGTGTGGTTGCGGGGGGGGGGGGGGGAAGACCGCGCAGAGAAAATAAAGCGTACAAGCAGGCAGGGAGATGCTGCAAAATTTGGCCCAGAATACCAAACAAAAAAAGCAGCGCTGCGCTTTCTGAAAAAAGAAGAAAAAAAGAAGCCCCTTTGCACAGACACTTTTTAAACTAGAAATGATCATGCAGTGAGAAGCAGCAGCAAGATCAACAAACAGTGCGGTAGATCTTCATAAAATAAAATTACTTACCATACTTGGATTCTGACGGAAGACTGGCACCCAGACGGAACATGGACGAGCCCAGGTTTTCGAGCAAAAATAACTTTTGCTTGGAATTATCGCTCGAGTCCTTTTTCTTCAACAAGTGGTTGGTGTACAGGATCAAAGCTGCTTGGATGTTTTCGGTACCCACCTGCCTACTATCAATCTCCTGTTGCAGATCTCTGAACTCGTCGTTGGAATCGCCTTTGGTTGAGCTGTCTAGGCCCAGCAGCTCGTTGGTTTTCTACAGGATATGGTTGAGCCATGAAACAAAGTTGCAAAAACAGCATTAGTATTTCACTCTTTTCCAGTTGCAGACAAACGGACGGACACAGCACAGACAGCAACAGCAGCATTAGTTACAAAAAAGGCATGCAATAGTGTGCAGCCAAGAGAGGGACAAGTTTGTTCAGAACCTGATCCCAACCGCCGCCGCCGTCGCCACTATTGCCACTTGGTTGACCGTGAATACAAGTGTGTGCGTGCGTGTTTTATAATAAGGATTCATCACTGCAGTTGATACGTTACCAGGCCGAGCTTGCCCATGCCACGCTTCAGAGTGGCAGCCATAGTCGAAGGAGTATGGAAAAGTACAGTGTCAGTTGGAGAAGAGTTTTTAAATAATAGAGAAGCAAAGAAAGAGAAAATAGCTGAGGTGTGAGAGAAGTAAAGAGACGAGCAGAAGAGGTCAAGGAGACGAAACAGCTGTGTATCGGCTTTATCACCACTGCGTTTATAGAGATAAAATAAAAAGAGGCGAAAGCAATAATCAATACAAGCGGTAAAATAAAGGAAAGAAAAAGTAAAAAAAAGGTAAAAGACAAAAAGCCGTTTTCAAAAGAAAAAGGACAAGTCTAAACATTGCTATATATAAAGAAAGCCCCCCATATCCTGGCAATAAAGTTTACGTATGAAAAATTGTTTTTTCATTCATTAGGACTCGGGGACAACATGCGATGTTGAATGCTTGTTTGCTTTTTTCCTCGGTTCCGCATGGTTCAACCCCCCTTGTTATTGTTTCTCATTAGGCAAATGCGGGACTATTTTACGGAGAACCCGATGACGAAAGTGCTCTCTTTTATTTTTATTTTATTTTTGCGAAAAGTTGAGATTACCACGCTCACGCTCACGTACACACGCACACTCACGCTCTCTGTAGACTGAGTAATTTAACATCATAACTCTCCTATACCTAAAAAACACGGGGGAATATTGTTCTGGTGATGGATCCAGCTACTCACCCGTGTCATTACTATAGGTTTTTTTATTAAAAAATAGAGACAAAGGAAGCGAGATTCAAGATTCGAAACCTATTGTCCGTTTGAGCACTGCGTCACAATGGCCCATGTATGCATTCCTCAAGAGTACAGCAAATCCTACGCTTGGAAGGACCCGGGTTCACTCACTCATTCTCTTGACTTTATTTTCTTCTAACGTATGAAACAAAAAAATCGCACTGAAAAGAAAAGGATAGAAAAATAATATTAGGAAAAGGGGATGAGAGAGAGAGAAAAAAGTCAATATGCGGAATGTGAGTGCAACACTGTCGCCGTCTAAGCCAAAACAAAAACAAAATAAAACAAAGCAAATAGGCAAGCCATTTCTTATGTCCGCGACTACATGCCTCAGAGGAAATATTGGCCACCAATGCCGCCGCTGCCACCGCCTCCCATCGATCCGGGTATCCGCGGCGGCACAATTCTCTCCTTATCAGGCACAGCCTGGAAGATCTGGAACGAGTCATCAGTGACATCCAAGTCCTCTTCAATCCTGAGTATGCTAGCTACGTTGCCGCACCGATAACAGTAGTTCGGAGCACTCCACACAGTGACGAGGTTGCGCTCGGGAAACATAAACTTATATCCTTCTTGCACAAGCTGATGGGCGCGCGCCAGCAGCGTCAGACCATTGACGTGGTTGAACTCCTCGGTGACCCGGGCACCAAACAGCCACCCGGCACCGCGCGGGCTCACCGCCCAGCTGTCAATATCTTCGGGATCTGACCACATCAGGTCGCAGAAGGGCCCCTCATGTGGAATCTCCTGGCACCTCTGAATCGTCCGCATCTGGTCCAACGTCCGCAAATCTGGCGACAGTCCTCCGTGCACACACAGGACCCGCCCATCCACTATGGCCGCCAGAGTCAAGTAGTCAAACACCTGACAGCAGTACTTCCACACATTGGCGTTACCGTACTTCATATTGCACTCATCATAGAACCCATACACTTGTGTGATTTGCCGGCTCTCGTGGTTGCCACGCAGGAGCGTGATTTTGTCCGGCCACTGCGCCTTCAGGCACATGAGCAGCGTGAACGTCTCTAAGCTGTAGTACCCGCGGTCGACAAAGTCGCCCATAAAAATGTAGTTTGTCTCGGGTGGCTCGCCGCCTACGCGCAGCAGCTTCAGCACGTCGTAGAATTGCCCGTGGATATCGCCGCACACCGTCACCGGCGACTGCACTGGTTGGACGTTCGACTCTTCCATCAGAAGCTCCTTGACGCGCTCACAGAGTTTCTTCACGTCCGCTTCAGAAAGACAGTCGCATTTGCGGACGGTCTCAAGCCATTCAACAGGTCCGGCCATGGTTCTTACTCTAATTTTTTATTATGTTGACCGCGTGCTCCTGACTGCTTGTGTTTACGATTAAAAAGGACCTCGTCAAAAATGGATTCTAGTTTAGATTGGACGCGTAAATAAAATACAAATTTACAAGTAAAGGAATGCAAATCAAAGCAAGGGAAAATTGGCGAGAGAGAGAGAGAAAGAGAGAGAGAAAAATAAATAGTACCAATTTGCTTTCTTGAAGCTCCTAAATTATGTTTTTTTGAGCGGCAGGACCGCCACTACGCAAAGGTTATTCAAAAAGTTTAATAAAAATCGGGCAGACCAACAACAGTGTCCCATTTTCCTCGTGATTCAAACATTTGTTTTTGATTTGCATAATTTCAAAGTCAAACCTGCAAAAAAAATAGGTGTAACTTATTTTGATTTTTTGCCAAAGACTTTAATTCACGAATATATAAATATATTACAAGGCTCAGAAAGTTCTATTCCAAACTCGCAAAATCCCTAATTCTGAAAACGACAGAACCCTGTACCATTTAACAAAGATGTCTGCAATAATAAAGTTGGCCAAATTTTATGGCAACTTTAAAGCCTTGTATTTTTATCATAACCAAGAAAGTCTATAAACTGCCTTTTAAAAAAGCGCAGTCATGCTTTCTTAATTTTCTGTTTTGCCTGGAGGGGGTACCCTTTATTATTTAAGTATATTGTATTAACTTGGTTGATTTCATTAACCCAATCAGATAGAACAGAGGTCAAGTAGTCGATGCTGGGGCGATTAAAAATATATAGCTTATAAAGTTTATCCAATACCCGTTTCACAACTTTCTAAACACAAGCAATACACTAGTAAAATGTATTTCGGAATTTCCAGCCGTTTATAGCAAAATTTCAGATTTTTAAGCAGGGGTTTCCAAAAACCCGTTTCCCCTAGTTTTTTTAGCCTAAATATCAGAAAGTCCAAAATTTTGAAAATGCAGGGAAGTATTTAAGGTTTGCGTCTGACTGATGCTTTGGTTATGGGTTAAGTCTGACGCTTGACGATGTAGTTTTATATTCATCCAATTCTGTTGCAGCCGCAACCGCTGCCGCTGCCAATTCTGTCACAGCAGCTGCGGAATAGGCTGGCTGAGTGAACTCGTAAGCAGTACATCAATATCCAGTCTGCCGATAATCTCGAGCACATTGTCAGGCTGAGCGGCTGGTCGCAGGGTAAGATCGAGCGCAAAATCAGACAGAGGATGTACACAAGTTGGCCGGCAGCAGCAGCAAGCAGCAGTAGAAACAACAGCAGCAGCAGCAGCAGCAGGTGGCCGCAACAGGGTTAATACAGTTCCAGCAGTAGAAAAACCTCGCCATATTTTATGACACAGCTTGCTCCAGTGCACAATGGAAGACTGCCTGGAAACCTTTAGGGCTGACGGAACCAAAATCAAGGATGGCGAAAAAGTGCCATCAGGCAGACGGAAGTAGAATCGCGACATGGCTATGGTGCTAAACTTTCGCATCATTATTAATGCCCTGCCTAAAGGCAAAGCGTCCTCCCCATTTCTTGCGCAAAAAGGCATCGTCAGAGTCGGGTGAAGCAAGTCTACAGCGACGCCCGGGACTTTGATCAAGCCAAAGCCCAAGACCAAGTGTGTGCGCAAGAAGCAATCTGAATTGGAAGGATGTCGATTTGCAGGATACTTGTAGTCTCATTGTTTTATTTTAGTATAGCGATCATCACTTAAAATTAAAATCCAATGTTTTGCATTAAATTTTTTTGGGCGTTTAAAGATAGCATGGAGAAAACAAAGAAAGGGAAATTAATAAAAAAAAGATAGGGGAGAATAGTTTTAGATAGAGGAAAAATATAATCTGTGCAATGGGAAAAAATAAAAAAAGTACTGTTGTGTTGTTGAATCAGAGTTCGACTAATACTATCAGAGTCAAATTAAGGAGGAGTTGGTAGAAGGGCGGGTGTTGTGGCGGGGGGAAAGAGAAAAATAAACAGACTCTAACGAAGCCAATTATTTATTTCCGGTCAACAGGGGATCAACGAGGTTATCGACTGTGCCTTCTTGAGCAAAAATTCCTGGGTCAGCAGTTCCTCCATCGTCGCGCGGCTCTGGACGTCGACGCACAGGCACTCAGCCAAAAAGCCCTTAAGCTCCCGGCTCAGCGTCTCTGGGTGCTTAAGCGCCGGCGTGCCATTGGTAGCAATAAGATAGAGCGCCTTGAGCGGCTCTTCGTCAAGGTAAGGCGGCTCACTCTCGATCATTTCAATAACCATGATGCCCAGCGACCAGACGTCGACCTTGGGGCCATAGGGTTTCTGCTTGACCACCTCGGGGGCCATCCAGTAGGGGGTACCGACCATTGTTGCGCGCTTGCTGCGTTGCTCCGAGAGCTTGGCGCAGAATCCAAAATCGGTGATCTTCACCTGGCCGTCCTCGCCCAGCACACGTTGTCCGATTTGATGTCGCGGTGGATAATGTCCTGCTTATGCAGATGGTTGAGCCCCGGCATACCTCGCGACATACGGTGGCGATCTGCATCTCATCCAACTTGTTGTTGTCAATGACATCGGTCAGCGCACCGCCCTCCATGTACTCCATGACCACCCAGAGATCGGCCGAGTTTATCAGGAAGGACTCGATGTAGTTGACAATATTGGCGTGCCGAGACTCCTTCATGACCAGGATCTCGTTGACCAGCAGCTCCTTCCGCGGCTGCTTAGACAAATCCATCTGCTTAATCGCCACCAGTTCTCCATTCCTAATCGACCTGGCCATGTACACGTTCCGGATGCGCCCTGTCCGATCTTCTTACCTTGCTGTACAGCACCTTGGATCATCCCGGGACACAATCGTGCGCAGCTTGGACATGATCTGCGACTCGGTCAGCGTCGACAGGCGGACGTCCTTCTTGGGCTTTGGTGGCGGCACAATGTCGGACTTGCCAACGAGGGCGGCCAGCGCATCCTCTTTGGCTTTGGACTGTGTCTTGGTCATCTGCGCGCGGCCACCATCGCCAGCCGAAGAGGTCACGGCGCTTTCGTTTTGCCGCCACGATGATGACGACAAGTTGGCGCCGTTGCCGTTGCTGTTTCCGCCAATGGGAATGGACGTCTTGTTGTGACCCGTGAGGTGCGCAACGGACACGGACTGCCGCTTGGGCCCGGTGGTGCTACCGTTTAAGGTCATTGAGCTGCCGCTGCCGCTGCTGGTGCTAACCCTGCTCACAGACATGTTGCCCAACCCGTCTGTCACCTGTTTCCGCAGCTGTGCCTCCTTGATGGCATCGGCCTGTTCTTGGAATGCTAAAGTTCGACGGCATCTCAGGCTTCGCAGGGGGTAACGGCTTGTTAGAACCGCCGGGCGCATATCTCTACAGTATGAATGCACGTGTAAGCAAAAAATACAAATGGGTCATTGTCGTTTAGCTGATGTCTGTTCCGTTTTTTTGTATTGGATGTAGAAACCCCTCAGTGTAGGCTGTTGTGTCTTTCGAATCCACAAACCAAACCCGTCGATGAAATTTTGGACCAAGATCAGTCTATTATCGTGTCCGAAAGGCTGCAGTGACGGCCAAAACTTTAGGAGGACGACGAAGCAAAGGTTTAAAAGATAAACTGGACGCTGTGCAAACACTCAATCGGACAGAAAATGCGCCCCTCTTAGGTCATAGTCACCGTCATAAAGAGCACACACACAAAGCGAAACAGCAGTAAAAAAACACACAGCAAATGCTTACGAAAAAACTTACCGAATAGGCGCTGTCTCCGGACAGATCTGGGGGCGAAATCCGCGACGAGCCGTTTCCGACAAGCCCGGCCATCTTGTTGGTCGAGACAGACACGCCCGCGTTCCCATCGGCAGTGTTCTTTGTGTAAAACTCTAGCACGTCCAGAACAGCCTGCGGATTCTGGGCATAATCCTGCTGCGTAATGTTGGACGACTGCAATAGCTTGGCCCATTTGTCAGGTAGCCCGATGAACATTCCGCTGACTGGGTCAAAGTCGACGTGCACCTGGTGGTGGAAGTTGGACGGCGGCGAGACTCCGCTCAGAAGAGGGCACTTCTCGTATATCGAGTCCAGCCACGAGTACAGGTCGTCGTCGCTGGCGCATGGATGTAGTAGTCGCGCTCCTTTGTTTTGATTTCAATGCAATACGACTTTAGTTCAGACCGGTTTACGCCCTGCACCTCCTTGAGAAAGATCAGGGCGGTGGCTTGGACTGCTTTCTATGGTGCACAAAAAGACAAACAATCAAGCAAACAAAGCGATTTAATAAATGGTTTTGTCGTTGAGAGGACGCACTGTTTGGGCACTTTGGGCAGCCAGGCACAGATAATGTATGATAATAGGAGCACACTACACCTACTCAAAAGGGCACTGCTGAGCGCCAGAGCACCCGAGAAAGCGTGTGCATTGGTGGCTAACCAAGCACGTGCATCTGCTTATTTGGCGCATACATTTGCATAAATGCCAGCCTGTTTTTTTTCTCAGGAACGGAGATGCGCGAAATGGAGTGAGATGGAGCAAGGGGGGGTGCGTTATGTGTGCGCTCGGAAAGAAAAATCTGCCTCGTTTTGTGCATGGCAGTAATAGCAAATATAAACTGGAAAAGCTTGCAGCGGCCCTAGTAAAAAAAAAGAAAATAGCAACGCAAAAAAACATTTTTCTCTTTGTCGTGACAAGGAAAACAGGAAAGAGGGAGAAAAGGGGGGACAAGGCAGTTGCGAGCTATATCGCAGCAGACCAGGTTAACCGGGCCGGCCGGCCAGTCCTATAATAAAAATAGCATCGGGCTAGAAAATGATAAAAAAATAGCGTGCGCCGCCTCCCATCGGGACCTGCTCTCTTGGCCAGAGCCGTGCTTGAGCTGGCGAGCGGGTCCAGAACTTTGAGAAAAAAGAAGCGGAGGAGCCAGACGACACTGCAAAACGAAAACGCGTGTAGTTGTTCTGTTTGTTGCTCGGCCAAGTACGATCCCCCTCTCAAGTGACAGCTTCAGAGGCGAACGAACGCGCACCAAACCATGCCCAAGCGCCTTTTATTCGCAAGAAAAAGCGCTCAAACAACAACAAAAAAAGATGTACCAATTTTGTGGAAAATCCCCTTGCGCCGGTGGTGTGGAGACAGAGACATAGAGACACGGAGACAGAGAAAGAGTGATATACTAAGGAGGCTAGTAAACAAAACATACCTCGTTTTTGTGAAAGGAAAGCGTGCTTCGCTTCAGTACCGCCCATCGCCTAGACCACATCCACGATTCCTTCAACGAAATGTAACCGTTCTTGTAAATCCCACTGGAGCTGTCCATTTCCACAAAACAAGCCGGAGGGTTTGTATCGAAACGAAAGTTTTTTATATAAACACCTAGGTCGGTTCCGCGTGTGTGCGTTGCTAGTCTTTTTTAAATTGACGTTCCGCTATTCGTATGAGTGTTTTTTAACGTGCTATTCAAAAAATTGCCAGCCAACAATAAGAAAAAGAGTAGAAAGAGCGAGCGAGTGATTGTACGCGTTGTTGTTGGCTGAAGAAATCTAAATTAAATATAAAATAAAAACCGGTGCCAAAACCTAAAGCAGAAGAAAAGTAGGAGAGAGAAAGAACTTGAGCGACGTGTTTTTTAAAAAGAGGAAATATAAGATGCTGGGAATTAGAAGCAGATGAGCAAAAAGGGATAATAAAATAAGAAAACGCAATGTTCGAGAGATGTGCTGGCAGTTGGAAATAATAGAGAAGTACAAAAAAAAGAGCAGACAAAAGAGTAAAAATAGACGAGAAATTTTTGAGGGGCCCTTCTTCCTGGCAAAAGTTCTTTCTAGCAACTTATTTATAGAGACCATTAACAACAGAAGATACAACCCAGCTAAGGTTTTTGGCCCTAAATCTGTATGCTACTTCTTGAGGCCGGCTATATGCGCAAAAGCCGCAAAGACTTAAAGCACAAAGTCTGTCTGAAAAGCCCATCTAACGCAGGCTTATGTAGGCTTGGCAAATGCTCCCCCATGTCTTTTTCTTTTTCGCTATCTTGGACATTGCCAGGCAATTTTCTTTTTGCAAAGACGACTGTTTAAATGGCCTGATATGGCCAGAGCCAGAAGTGCTCAACTGACAGAGTATGCGTTGCAATAGAAAAAACCGACTTTTAGGCCAGTGTTCCATATGGTATGGCAGGACCGGTCCGTGTCCAAATAAAAACACGAGAGAAAATAGGTCCATTGAGTGAGATATAAAGCAAGTAAAAAACAAAACCTAAAGTTGATGAATAAGACGAGTGTTCACCACATCACCTTGCCCTCATGGGCTCTATTGCAGAACCCTAGCCACATGGCCCTATAACAAATCAAACCCAAACGCAGGGTTTTATTGTAAACGAAATGCATAAGTGGTCCCCGAGACGGTCAGCACAAAACCTTAAACCGTACTACGCTTTTTCCCTTTCCGCTTTTATTTTTTTGCATACAAAATACCTTTTTTTACTCGTCCGAATACAAATATCGCCTCTATCTGCAATATGAATACTGATATGAACAGCGCCCGGGCTGCCGTTTGGTACGCCGTCGCCCAGCTGTGCGACGAAGATGGTAACAATAACACGCGCACATTGATATGTCCTTTTCTTTCTCTTTCACATTGAAATTGATATTTTCAGCGCCGAATTTGTATGGCCTATTCATATGTAGAGTCGAAAACAGGCACAAAGTTCTCACCGACATTTGTCGATGCCCTGAGCCACGTCGTATTCTCGCAAGCAGGTAAGTGCCTAAAATTAAAGCAAAATAAGGGAGTTGCGAGAGGGAGGGATGGGTGATTTGCACACGCTAAACAACCTACCTAAAAAGGCCAATGTTTACTTTACCACCAAAATGGACCCCATCCCCCTGGCTTGACCAATGTCTTTGTAGAAACCATGGGCGCGGATCTCGAATGCTTTGCAAAGCACGCTAAGCGGGCAAAGATCTCCGTGGACGACGTAAAGGTAAACCTCACTTATTATTTACTATTTTCTGCTGGCGCGAGGTCGTCAGAGCTGTCTTGAGGGTATTGAACATCCCGAATTGCAATAACGGCGTCTTGTAATGGCACATATTAACCCAAACTAAGCACTTGAACACCGCTTTTTATCTGGACTACAAAATAGCTGTGCGCACGCAGGAACGAACATTTGGTAGGTGCTACGTGTGAGGGTCTGATCCTTGTTGGGGTTTGAAACAAAGTGCGTCTTTTTTTGAGGCAGGCAAATGAGGGTGTATTTCTAATCTATCTTTCTATACTTCCTCTTTTTTGTAGCTCGAGCTTCTTGCTGGCAAGGCCGAGCCCGGCAAAGCAAGCACCAAGAACGCCCAGAGCGCCCAGCATACCACTGACAACGAGAGGTCATAATCATAATCAATTTCATTTTTAAAATTAAGATTAAAAGTTAATTCTGCCACGGCAGATATTCGAGCCACAGTAGCAATCAAAGCTCACAGTGCCCTCGTCGCTCGCAGACGGACTATAGCCAAAGGTCAACTCCTCACCCGAGTCAATGTCCCTGGTGGAAAAGAAAGCCAGGCGGTGCAAGCGCGGATCCCGATGTTCAATAAACACCTGCCTGATCTCCATGTTCGGATCGCAAGAGTGGTTGAAAAAATGCGAAATGTTTCCGTACGTTTTCGCATCAATTGAAAAATCAGCGCTCGCGCCGTACGTGTACGCCATGTCAAGATCAAACAGATACGTGAGGCCGGCGGCCGTATCCTCAGAGCCGCGCTTCTCGGCTCCTCAAAGGTGATGACTTCGCCGACGTACTCAGCGATGAACGTGCCTTTGCCAATAAACTGAGCGGCGCGTACGCCCCAGCCTTTGAACAGGGACCGGTATATTTCGAATTTGGTTTTGGAGCCCCATTGGACAACGCGCGTCGAGCAGTTGTCGCCGCACTTGCATTTGGGCCCGCATTCCATTAGGGGCACATGGCGGTCAACTTGTACCTTGCCATTGGCATCATAGTAGCTCTCGCGCACGCAGACGCAGTTATTTCCGCATTCGCCAACGCACTCGCAGAAGTGCAATGGAGTGCATGGGCGTGGGATATCATCCGAGTAGATGTTCTTGTCAATGTATGTAAAGTTTTCAGGGCAGCCAATATCGTCGACCGTGTTGGTGATGGATATGAATTCTGCCTCGGTTTCCGGCAGCAGCATGTTGAATTTGCTCAGGTCGGCCTTGTTCTGGGCTCGGGACTGCAGGTACTCCTCGACAGAGGCTGGTGGTCCGAGAGATTGTCCTTTGAGAGCCATTGTGTGTTGTTGAGGCCGTAGCCTACCACTTGTACGTTGAACATGTGTATGTTATTGACTAATGCGTCGGACAGTATCTTTACGATCTTGGGATCCAGATCATCATCCGACTGGTATGTGTCGTTGTATGAGGGTGTTTTGTCCTCTAACTTTTTTCTCTGTTTCTCTCATTCGGTTAAACTGTGTCGATGCAGAGCGTGTTACCCTCTTTGCAATTGTCTTTTTCGGCCCACGCTTTGACATTTAGAGACTTGAATTGAACGCGCACTAAATAGTAAAGAAACGGAAAATAAACAAAAATAAATAAAAGGCCACAAAGGGCTTCTTTTTCGCCATCTTTCTTTTGCATATTTTGCGTGCGCAAAATCAACAGTAAAATCGCGCAAACAGCCAATGCCCAGCCCTCCACCTCTCTCTCCTCTCATTTTTATTTTTTTCATATTTTATTTTTATTCTTCAATCTGGATCCCAATCCTCGGACAATAATTTCGAAAGGACATAGACGAACCGCCACCACCTATTCGAATAAAAAGACGGCTTAGCTCTTACCAGGCACACGCAAACATAAACATACACCTTATCAAGAACGCGAACAGCAAGGATCTCTCCTCTCTTCACCAACTGAGACTTATTAGATACCATGTCCGACCCACTAAAGGAAATCGATGATTCTATTTACAACGATGACACCACGCTGAACACCACAGGCGGGACATACGACGCCTACGACCCCTACCAGACCGACAACCAGTGGCTGTACAACGATACGCAGACGCTGCAGATCCCGCAGGGTGGCGAGTCGGCGGGTAATGCTGCTGCTGCTACTGCTGCCGACAAGGGCAATGCTGCCAACTCTGCTGGCGGATATCTAGCAACGACAACGCTGCCAACGGAAATGACAGCAACAACAACAGCAGCAGCAATGTGCCTCAGACAGTGTCTCGCAACAAGGACGAGGGGTAAGTTGGGTTGAGCCTATTTTTTTCTCTTGTATCTTTGATGCCTTGTAAAAACCTTTCCTGTTTTTTTATCTTTTTTCTTTTGCATGCTGTGTACATATTTTTTGGGTTTTCATTTTCATTTGTTTCGAGTTTTTCATTACTGTTATTTTTTTGGTACTGTATAATTGATTCAAAACTTGCTACTAAAGAGAAGATAAATCACAAAAAGCCTTGGTTCTTGACGTTGCCTTTGGACGGCTGCTCTCATTTATTTGTGCGCACACCCTATTCTGTGCAGTTATTTTCCATCCCTTTCAATTTTCGTCGGTTTTATTTTCTAACATTTTTTATTTTTCTTTCGCGTATACTTTTTTCACTCCCTTTCTCTTGATTGAAACATCTCTCATTACCATTGTCATTCTCTCATCACCTCGCCCTACTCCTCCTTGCACTTGATCGAAACTGATTCATCGCCAGTAGCAAGCTGTTTGTTGGTGGTCTGAGCTGGGAGACGGACGAGAACAGGCTGCGCGAGTATTTCTCCAAGTATGGAACCATCATTGACTGCTCGATCATGCGCGACCAGACCACAGGGCGCCCCCGCGGCTTTGGATTTGTGACCTTTGAGAATATCGACGGAGTCAACGCCGTGCTCCAGGAGCCCACCCACACGGTGGACGGCAAGCAGATTGACCCGAAACATGCAATTCCGCGCGACAACCAAGTGTCGCAGGGCCGCAACAACTACTCCGGCGGACAACAGTCTCATGGAGGAAGTGTTGGAAACTACAACGCCAACAGTGGCGGGGACGGCGGCTATGGCAACAACAACAGCAACGGCGGCGGCCGCAACTCGTATGAGGATCCGACAAAGGATATGCGCGGCGAGAAGGTCTTTGTCGGCGGCCTGCCCCCTCGGCAACAGACGCTGATTTGAACTCAGGGTTCGCCGAGTTTGGCGTCATCACGGAGACCAAGCTGATGATGGACCGAGAGACCGGCAGATCGCGCGGCTACGGGTTCCTGCAGTTTGAGACGGAAGATGCGGCGATGCAGGCTGTCAAGATTGGAAACTCGGGTGATGGCATCATGATCCACGGCAAGCGCGTCGACGTCAAGCCCGCCGTGCGCAAGAAGCCCAGCCCAATGATGGGTGGCATGCCCGGCGCGCAGGGCAACTCGTACGGCATGATGGCAGGCATGCCCGGCTACGGCATGATGGGCATGGGTATGATGGGCATGCCCGGCTACAGCATGATGGGCATGCCTGGGTACGGCATGATGGGCGCCGGTGGGGCTGCCAGCGGCATGGACTACTCAGCGGCGATGAACTACGGCGGGTACTACGGAAACATGGCCGGTTCTATGGCGGCGGTGTCCAGGGTGACAGCTCGGGAGCCGTCGCGGGTGCCGACGGCTCTGCTGCTGCTGCTGGCGGCGGTCCAGCGGGTACTACGGCCAGATGAACATGCCTGGGGCGTACTACGGCGGCGCAGGCGCCGATGGATCGGCCATTGCTGACGGCCAGGGCGATGGCTCTGGTGGCAAGGGCGGCGACCAGTCGGGCTCCGGATACTATGACCAGAAGCAGAGCGGCGGAACGCTTAGTGGCGGGTACAACAAGAGCGCCGGGCGGCAGCACGATGGCCGCGGCAACCAGGACCGCATGGCCGTGATTCCGGCGGCCATCGCTCTTCATCGCGTCGCTATGATGGTGGGGGCGGCAGGGCCAACGATGGCGGAAACATGGGTGGGAGATCGGACAGGGATCGCCCGCGCGGTGACAACAGCGGCAATGCTGGTAACAGCGGCAGCCGGACTCGCGATGACTACCGGGGTCGAGGGGCGCTGGTGCTCGGCCTAGCCGCGACCGTGACGGCCCTGTGCGCGGATCCCACGGCGCGTCATCGTCTCGCAAGCCTGGCTACAACCCCTATTGATCGACCCTCTCTTGTTTTCGTCCTTATCGATTTTTTTTACTCTTCTCGTCTATCATACTGGCTTGTTTTATTTTTTGTTGTGAATAAATAAATAAATTCATTTGCCTTGCTTTTTTTTACTACACTCTTGTTTCAAGTTTTTTAACAGGAAAAATGCAACAAATAAAAATACAACTTGTATTTGTATTGTATTCAACTTTACAAGACGTTTCCTACGTGTCGTTCTGCGGTCCATTGCTTCCGCCGCCGCCACCACCATACTGCACAGTGACATAAGGCCCAAACCAGCGCTCGTAGCGCGCGCGCAAGCGGCGTACCTTGCGCCGGTGCTTATGCTCGTCATCTTCGTACTCCTCAATAGCATTTGCATTTGAGCCATTGACACCAGTAGAACCATTGGTTCCATTAGATCCGTTCGCGTCCATTGCTGGGCCTACAGAGGCACTGCTCGGGGGGAAAAGCTCCAAATGCGACTCATCGACGTCGTCGCCATGGCCCTCGGCCAGAATCTGGTTGGTCATCAGGTTAGCGCAACGCTCGAGACACAATGGCGGCTCAACAGTCACACTTGGGTTGATCTCCATGGAAAACATAAGGTCCGCGAGATGCAGCGTGGATTTGCTCTGGTACAGGCGGTCGCGCAGGCGCAGCCCACCAGTGGTTGGGCGCGAGTCCAGTGAAGCTCCATTGGCTGGAAAAGAAACTGCCGAGTTTTCATTGTCAGTGATAACACGAGCGTTGCTGACAGGAATTCCCAGGGCGCGGTTCGATCGCGATTTGTAAATCATATTGGACACAACGTTTTTCAAGTGACAGTCCAACGCGTACAGCAACAGTTCGCCGGAATCGCGCGTTACGCCGCCAGGCAGCCCCTGCTCCAAAGCAATGGCAACCATGCGGTAGCTCAGTGACTCGATATCAGGCGTAGACTTTGTGTCGTAGACCAGCGGCGCTGTAATGCCCTTGGCAATATCCATAGCGTATGACTGTGGTAGCTGCGACGCTGGTAATGGTAACACAACTGGTTTCATCGACCGAATCGCAGTATGCGCCTCTTCGGGGGTAATATCGGGCTTTTTCAATAATGTCTTTATCGCTCGCCTCTCAGCCTTATTCAAAGATTTGACCAGCTCCTTGACGTAGCGCCATTTGGGATCCTCCAAGAGCGCCTTTATGCTGCGTCGACTCCCGCGCCCATCGCTACCGACCAACTCGGCCTCATCCTCCAGCTTGCGCTTCTTATTGCCCTCAAATCCCTCGCTGCGCTCTCCCTCTGGTGGTGCAACCCCGCTTTGCGCATTGTGGATTGTGGCCAAGATAAACTGGTTGTGCAGTGATGCCTTTTCGCCAGATAAATATAGGTACGCGTAAAAGTCAAATTCTTGCCGATTGAGCTTGCCCTGGACAAAATCACGCAGGGCTGACCAGTAAAGAGGTCCGTCGTCGCCTAGTGCTTCAGCCAATTGCTCCTTAAGCTGTGTGAGCTGGTACCGCTCCTCTGCCTTGGCTGCCGCTGCGCTAACATTCGCCTGTGGTTGGTGCCAGACCAATTGGGCTTGCATGCTTGTTTTTGTTGGTAAATAGCCCTTTGCGCTCTTTGAGTGCCCGACCAGATAAGGATTTTATTCAAAGTTAGTTGCAAGTGTAAATTCTGAGCGATGGATTGGGGGAGAGTAATAGTCGAAATACAAATAAAATACAAAATGCACAGAAATGCCTTTCAATGAGAGCAAGGAAAAAAATACAAAACATGCGCGCTTGCAAATTAATGCTTAACCATCACGGCCCTCAAACCCACACGACAAGTGAAATGTCGATTTTCTCAAAATCGTCATTCGAGTCGAGTCGAGTCGAGGTGCTATTTTGCTGATCTAAAACCCAGCCATTTTACAAAGAGCGTCGGTGTTCAGGATCGTGGCGCACTGCTGGCGCAAATGCAGCAAATTGGCCGAAGTGCTTTCCAAACCAGAAAGTGGGCGCCTGGCGTATTGCAGCGACTCCGAAGGAGCCATGAGAAATACAGGTAATTCGATATTGTCTGTCGTCACTGCCAGACTCAACTGGCAAACAAAAAGCCCGATAGCCCGACGATGGCTATGAGCTGGGCCGCAAACTCATCACTCATCACTCATCACTCACCACTGCGCCTTTAGCAGCTGAAAGTTTGAACTTGAAAACCCACGGCAAACAATAGCCCCACGGGACATTGGGCATTGTTGATTGCACAAGGAAGCAAAGGGGATTGGACGAAAAAGAACGCGGTGGAAGTTTTTCTTCTGCTTTCGCACCTCAAGCCCGCGCCCGTGTTGTTGCGCATCTGTTGGATCGCCACTATTTTGTAAAGGCAAATTTGGGAAATTGAGTTTCTGCATGGACGACTCCGCTTGATGGTGGTTGGCTGGAAATGGCCGTTGGGGAGGAGCGGAGGGAGGAGAGGAAAAGTCATGGTTCCCAAATGGGACGAAGCACAGGGGATTAACATCAACGCTGGTACTCATACACAACAGGCAGCTCGGGGCATTATTCTGTTTTTCCGTTTGGCCGGCCACCACTTTGCTCTTGCTTTTGCTAGCAGGGGCAATTGGGCAAAGTGCAATGTGCCAGGCTTCATGAAGAGGTATCAAAAAGAATGCGCAGAACGCGCATTCATTCTTGCAGAATAACATGCCATTTGCGCCCCCTCCTGTGCATGGCCCATGTGCAGTCAGGGCTGTAGGAGGAAAACAACGATAAATGCCCCGCCGCCCACGTCGTCATATGTTGTCGCCAAAAGGGCAAAGGAAAAAGACAGGAAAGCGATCAAAGCAAGAGTGGGATGAGCAAAACAAAAAAAGCAAAGCAATGCGGTATCCGGAGTAGGGGGAGGGGGTAAAAAAGAACCCAAAGATTAGTGAAATCGATCCACGCTGGTGCACATTCCGCCCCTCCTCCTCTGCGCCAAATATATGCCAAAGCGCTCAGTGACCATATGCGCAATCGGCTGGGACTCCTTACTGCCCTCCTATTTCCATGAAAGTGCCCCCCTCTTTCCCTCGAGCAAGCATTTGGATGTTGCCTGTTGTGAGGACGCGAGGAATCTTATATAAAGGGCATGCTCGAGCCGGCCCCCCTGAACATTCTCGCTTCACTTTACACTTGTCTTCAACTTCAACTTTATCCATTCTTTTTTGTCTAAGGTAAAATGGCATCTTATTCCGCCTATTAGCACATACCGCAACTATATCACATTCGCACATTCGCATATTGGTATCTAACACTACTCTTTTGCCTGTTTTTTATTTTACCTGCCTTGTGCGTCTAGAATTTAACCCCAGGTTTTCACACAACAAATACATCATATCATGTCTGTCATCAAGGTCGGTATTAACGGTTTCGGTCGCATCGGTCGCCTCGTCTTCCGCGCTGCCCTCACCAACCCCAACGTCCAGGTCGTTGCCATCAACGATCCCTTCATGAAGGTCGACTACATGAGCTACATGCTCCGCTTCGACTCGACCCACGGACGCGTCGGCGCCCAGGTCACTGTCGAAGACGGCAAGCTCGTTGTCAATGGCCATGCTGTCGATGTGTATGCTGAGCGCAACCCCGAGCAGATCCCCTGGGGCCAGTCCGGCGCTGTCTACGTTGTCGAGTCCACCGGTGTCTTCACCACCAAGGAGAAGGCCGGCCTCCACTTGAAGGGTGGTGCCAAGCGCGTCATCATCTCGGCGCCCTCCAGCGACGCCCCCATGTACGTGTGCGGTGTCAACCTCGACAAGTACAACCCCGCCCAGGACACCGTTATCTCGAACGCCTCCTGCACCACCAACTGCCTTGCCCCCCTGGCCAAGGTCCTGCACAACGAGTTCGGAATTATTGAGGGTCTGATGACCACCTGCCACGCCGTCACTGCCACCCAGAAGACCGTCGACAGCCCGTCCGAGCGCGACTGGCGTGCTGGCCGCGGTGCTGGCCAGAACATCATCCCCGCCGCCACTGGTGCCGCTAAGGCCGTCGGCAAGGTTATCCCCGAGCTGGCTGGCAAGCTCACCGGCATGTCTCTGCGTGTGCCCGTCCCCGATGTGTCGATCGTCGATCTGACCGTCCGCCTCGAGAAGGGCGCCTCGTACGACGAGATCATCGCCGTCATCAAGAAGCACGCTGACACTGACCTCAAGGGCATTCTCGGCTACACCGACGAGGAGGTCGTCTCGCAGGACTTCTGCGGCGACGCCCACTCCTCGATTGTCGATATCAAGGCCGGTATTGCTCTCAACGACAACTTTGTCAAGCTGCTTTCGTGGTACGATAACGAGTTTGGCTACTCGCAGCGCGTCGTCGATTTGATCGAGTTCGTCGCCAGCAAGGAGTAAATTTTTATTTTCTTTGTCTCCCCAATCTCTACGTAATTTTATTTTCAACCTTTTGAACAATCAGCTGTATTGTGTGTCGAAAAAAAGTTTTGCGCCCCGCAAAAATCTGCGTGCGGACCACAATATGTCCACAATATTGCTTGTTCGCTGCCATTTATTAACACGTGGTCCTTATAATTGAAGGAAAATCGGAACGAAAAAAAAGCAAATGTGTGAAAGTTCGCACGGGCCACCCTTCCTTATCTTCGATTGCCACTCAGCCTGGATTCCTTTCCGCAAGCAATCGCTGCAGCATACCGTTCCGAAACATCCCGCGTTATCAAGAATCGTGTCTGTGTTCGCATTTAAACATTCGCACGCTCATCTTATATCTCCGCGTCATATTGGCATTCCGATTGTCGATAAATTATTTTGTCTCAGCAAGCACAAGCACAAGCACAAGCACAGCCAAAAAATTGAAAACCACCGCATATCTGCACATTTGCACCCCTTTTACAGTCAAAGGACAACTATCTAAGGGATATTCGGACTGCTGCAAGCAGTCATATACTGCTCTTCTGCCATTTGCACAAGATGGAGTCCAAGAGCTGGGTTACATCATGCGACACAAACCCATTTGGATCACTGAGATGATCGACGACGCGGACCAAATTATGTTTCAGCTCACCGCCACGGCGAACCAGCACAATCGATACCACCGAGGCATCAGCGAATCCACACTCATCGGCAGACACGCGCAGAAACACGGTCTCTGCAAATCCGGCCGCCAGCGCACGCTCAATCGACTCTGACCTCCTCGAGGCGGCGCTGGAATTAACCAAGATAACTACTACAACGCAGTCCCCAGACTGTGCCCACTCGTCAACAATGTCTACGTACTCGTCAGGCGTTGCATCCCTCAGCGCGCCCATACCATTTTTTCGGCGGCATGGATGAGCTTACATATGCGTTTGTTCTGGTACTCGGCAATAAATTTGTTGTCGTTTTCGGTGCTGGATAACAAAGCTGTGCCGCCGGCAGGCTGCTCGTCTTGCTTAGTCCATATGGTGCGGTTGCTGGCATCAATAATGTTGTGCTGGGTGGCACTTGTGTATGCAAACTTTGTCGCAATTTAATTATTGACCGCTAATTTGTGCTTCTCTGCTGTGCGGCACGCGCGCATTCCTTTTTCCCTCACCTAATAAAAAGTTAGTCAGCGCCACTTTGCAAATCATTGCCATGAAATGCTGGCTCCAACGTGCTCGTGCAATGTGGCCACAGATATAATTAGTTTGCAGAATATGGGTATCAAAAGGTCATTTCAATAATATTTAAAATATGCCAAAAAAACAAGAGCAAAACTAGGGAGATAAAGAGAGTGAAAAATTAATGGGAAAAATGAATGCAAATGCGCATTAAGATTTCCTCAGGCTGAATGCTTCCAGCCATCCAGCCATCCAGCCAGCCAAAGAAAGTTTAAATTTGCTCGTCATACTGTGCGCACAGTTTGCAGTTAGTGCGCCAAAATTGAGTTGTTCCTGCTGTTGTGGCCCATGCAGCTCACATTCAAAAAAACATCTGCAGCACGCCCATGATAAGATCTGTAATTGATGCTGGTAACTGTGCCCATAGGCGAATCAGCGTTTATCTAAATTACTGGCGTGTTCCCCATCACAAGGCCAGGCGGACGCCTTACAAACGACTGTGTCGAGGAATTGGCCCAGCTCTCGTAGGCATCATCAAAGTGCTCTATGGATTCGGCTAAGTGCCCGTTGGAAGCCTCTGTCTGTGTCATGTACTCAGCCCCAATGTGCTCGTTGCGATGCATTGTGCCCCGGTACTCCAGCTCATGAATGGACCAGTCAACAAGAACCTGTGTTTGCTCATCCGATCGCTGTGTGATAATGTTGTGATTTATCAGGCGCCTCTTGTACAGATCATTGTTGTGCAACTGCTGGTTGACCTTGGGCAGCGCGCGTTTCAGGGAGGCAGCAATGGCTGTGGAACTGCGGTCCCACTCATTGTACTTGGCCAGTATCCCGCTAATCTTGCTGCTGAAATCGGCAAGCTCATCCTCCAAATCTTTGTTGACCTTTGCTGCCCTCGAAATTCGGCGCTCAAATTATGAAATGCGTGTCTGGCTCTGGTTGAGTAAAGAATTGGTGTTGTTTATTTTAGTCTCCAAAGCTTTGCTGGCATTTGCTGCTATCTAAATGCGGCTCTCAATGCTCAAAATGTGCCTTTGACTCTGATTGTGCAAAGAATTCACATCTTGCAATTAAGCGCGCAAATCTGCGTTTTTGTTTTTCACGCGCGTGTTGTCTGCCTCTACCTCGGCCAACTGGGCGTTGATACCAGCAAATGTCCCCGAAATCAGCACAAGCGTCCTCGAGCTGCTTGCAAAGGGTATTGGCAATATCGTTGGCGGCAGCAACCTTGGCCTGGATGGATCTTAGTTTGGCCTCGGGTCTCCTGCACTTGTTCTCAACCATCGTTGCGTGAGCGTAAGAAATTGAGCGCTGCTTGTAGTACAGGTCAACTTTTTTCTGGGATTCCAAATCTGCTTCGTTCAGCTTCTTCATCAAAATGGTGGCGTTGGCATTGGCGACATCCAACTGTGCGCAGATGTTTTTATTTTTGGATCTGAAGTCCTCGGCAGTGGTGGTGGCTGCTGCAATGTCGGCCCTAAGCTTCCTGTTCTGGACACAAAGACCACTGTTATCGGCAGCAACTGCTTTCAACTTTATGCGAAGCGCCTTAATATTGCGGTGCATCTGCTTTAGCTGGTTGTCAGATACAGCACTGGCGGAAGTAGAGCTAGCAGCGACGGCGACGGTAGTAGTGGTGACTGCAGTCACAGACTAATAACGAAATGCATTATGACCGGAAGGCAGCTGGAGAAGCCTTATGTTCTCAAGTCTTGCCTTGGACAAGTTGTCCATTAACACGCTTATTGTTTTGGCAGAACCCTTGCAGTGCTCCTTACATCTGTAGCGTGCGTTGGCGGAATCTATCGTCCTGCGTCGGATATCAGCGTCTTTCTTCGATACAGCGTATCTTTTTGCACAATTCTAAACACAGGTCGCTAATAGTTACCTTTGCTTCTATGCAGGATGAGCAGAGAAAGCAATATGGCTTAAATGTAGGAAGGTTTAGAGAGGAAACACTTGTGCTGGTGGAAGAAAAGGAAGAAGAGTCGTTCATTTTTATACGAGAGTGCAAAATGGATATAATAAATCAAAATGTAATAGAGAGTGAATTTCAAATTGTAAGGTAACCTGTGATAACCAAATTATGTTAGTGCTAATGTTAATACAACGGCGAAAGCGATGGTGATAGTGAGAACTAATTGCGAAAGTGAATATCAAAAGAAAATTTAATAAAAATTGAAAAAAAGAGTTAAAGTAAACAAAGCTGAACGACTGCCGCCATTTTATATTATTTTTATAGGAGCGAAGCCACTAATTTTCTTGAACCAAAAAAATTCTCGCACAAGCGCATGTTTGGCTTGTGTGACCAAAGGATTACGCAAACCATGCGACTTAAGGTATTTCCTACTTGGATCAGCTTATTTTGGCCTACCTTTTTTATTCAGTGATTATCAACACCTGCATGCTTATAATTATACTTTTCTAATACTTACATGTACTCTTTTTGAGCTCAGACCACTTGTCTTTGTAGGTAACCATCTATTGGCGCCCAAATATGAAAATGCCCCATATAACCACTAAATAGTATAAGCCTGTACATTGTCGGGCCTATCCATGAATGCTACACAATTGAATTGGACAAGCAGATGCACTCTTATTTCATCGCCGCATATTCTGTAGAAACGGCTACTTCCGCGTATAAGCATTGCCAAAGAAATAATTCAGGAACCATAAAAATAGTCGGGACATCGTCTTGGATTAATAACCCAAAACTTTTGTTACATCGCAATATGATAATGTGCCTGTGACATCAATTATTAAAATGACACGTGACAATTGCAATTGTGAAATTGCGATTTCTATTTTCACTGTTGATAATTTTATTGGTTGATGGCGATCAACTGATTAACCAGTCTTGGCTGTTTAGCAACACAAACAATAAGTCACACAGTGACCAAAGCAATATGCTTTTCTACTCTTCACCTTTCACAGTGCATAGCACTTATTTATTAAATATACTTTATATCATTATAGTTTATCTACACGTTCATAGCACGTTCCTATATTCCAACAATAATGCTCTAGTTATCAGTTTTATTCAAACGGTTTATGAGAACAGTGTAATGGAATATACAATAGTTAGAAAAAGTATTAATATTAACGGGACATTATTGTGTTGGATCTAATTCTCTATTTTTTCTTACATCTCTCTTTATATTGCTGCGGCTCCAGATTCTGACTAGCTTGCGATATGCCTTTCTGAGCTCTGATTTCTGCCCCCACATGGTCAGTGACCACTTGTGCGTCCCACTTGTGCGCTTCTCCAAGGGCTACTTTATACTTATACACTGTTACCGAGTTGCCTGCAATATTTGCAATGATTTATTTTTTGCAATCTGCGCGAAACAGATACTTGGATATTCATTTACAGAGATAATCAGTGAGCCCAAAGCAAATTAACAACGTCACAAGTGTTTCTTGACTAATCTTGGAGGCAATAAGAAGCATATTAAATGTTTTTCAAGCTAATTTTAATTTGTTTTCATTTTAAATTTCATCTAACAAGTTTCAGTATATACACAAAAATTTATTAGTTTGTATTGTTATGTAAGAGGGGGTGGGGAGCACCACTGTAATAGTATTAAAAGAATGGGTGTGAAATTATAAATATTTTATTACTAGTGTTTCTAAAGTGTTATTATCGCCAGCCTCGCCTTATATATATCTCCTTGTCCTTGTGGCACTCACTGGCAGTCGTGTGCTCCGTTCGCGAGAACTGGTCCTTATGAAAGGAACCCGGGTTTCTGATATGGTATAATTGGCATGTCTGTATTCTTGCGCCCAGCACATCCATTTTGGGTCAGGCAGTATGTCCGGATGTCAGTTGTGGCGCCTAATTTGATCACCTGTAATTTGGTCCATATAAGATCCATCTGTGAGCTGACGAGAATCTGTCTCATGGTTTTCGCCCTCAGCGTCTACCTCCATATCCTCGGGCTGCATAACAGCATTATACGCTCAAAAACGCTGACTCTAGTAATGAGCCGAGCGCAGTGAAAAATAAGAAATTGGCGATGGACTGAATGTGTAGCCTAGAGTTGCATCGGCAAGCATGTCAAAGTGCCCAGCAGCTCAAAAATGATAAAGAAACGTGTAATGAGTATAATCTAGTGGCTGTTATATAGTGCCAAAAATTTGTTTGTTTGATTTTCCCACACTTCCTACCTTTTTAGCTCCCTACCTCTATGCCTTTGTATTGCCTGTTTTTTATTTTTTTTATTTTTTTTATGAGTTGCATCTACAACATCACAAGCTGATCAGACTTGTAATGATTGCTGTGCCGCCATGTATTTAATAATAAATTTAATAAAACCCCGAAAACATTTTACAATGTTTCAAGGCCCATGGGCACTCATCTTTTTTGTTTATTCTTTTTTGTTTGTTCTTTTTTTGTTCTGTTCTTGTTTTTTTTGTTTGTTCTGTTCTTTTTTTTTTGTTCAGGCAATACATTAGCAAGGAGGGCGGGTAGCAGCAAAGGGAAGAGTGGGTAATGAGGAGACGAAATATGAAGATAAGGGCTGGTTGTATGACAAAAGGGGATTTGACGTGGAAAGCCAGTGAGTGTGTGTTCAAACATCCCCTGGCATAAGTTGTGTTTTGAAAGTGAAAATGTGGACTGTAGATTTTCCGAGCGAAGGGCTGGTTATTGAAAAGTCAAGAGGAGGTAAGTGATATCCGCGGTCGCTGGTGGTATATTCCATATAAAAACATGGTGCGTAAAGTGTAATTGGTAAGCAGTGTTATAACAAATTGTGTTGGGGATGAGAAACCAAAGAAATGTCTTGGGAAGTGGACGCTCTATTTATATGAAACCTGGCATTCAAATGGGTGGATGAGAAAGGCAGCTAAAACAGACCTATCATTTAGAAAAAGAGATGGAAAATAAAAAATACAGCGAGTTATTCGTTTTTCACCAGCCTAAAATAATTTTCCCATGTTTTTTTGCACCAAGAGGCGTGTATTTTGGTAATTAAACAAGCCCAAACTGCCAAAAATAGTAGCAAGATATATCTCCATGTGCTTGAAAAATGTAAACATTGCATCATTTTGATTCCAACATTGCATTGTTTATGCCGTGAAATAAAGTGAAAATGATTTTGATATTTGCAAAAATACAAACATGCATTCGGCCATTTTTGCAAGACAAACAAT